GCAGAGACTAATAAGAGTTATTTATGTCACATGTGCCACGATGAAAGGCAAAAATTACCTGTTCAACAAAAACTCTGCATGTCTGTTTTCAGGCCCAAATCCTGGCGGAGCTTTCTCCATCACTCGAAGAATGAACTGATGTTTATTCAAGTAAGATTCCTCACTTGGTCACATTTCCTCTATTTCTCTGCCCTTTCATCTGTCTGCTTGCGTTTTCTTAGCACTTTTGGCAGTGGGGCAAGCGGAAGTGTTTTTTTTTTGTTTGTTTTTTTAGCATGCTAGGCTACCTTTAGCCACTCAGAGCTCCGAGGACAGTAGGTGTATCGAATACAGCCAGGTGATTGGATGCAGTGGCAGAGCGAGATTGACCAATAGGAGCTGTCCGGGATGGATGGCTCCCATTGGTCAATGTTTTTGCAACCCTGCACCTGCTAGGGTGAACAGATTTTTTTCATTCTTTTTCCTCTTCACTTTGTAGAAATCGCACTATAGGACCACGATCGCCACATAAACAAGGTTCATAATATTTACCAATCTCTCCAATCATCAACCGTACCTTTAACTGTTAACTATGACATGAAGAGAAAAACCTTTTGTAACTTCATTTAGTGACCAGTTTAAAAATGTTTAGTATATAAGAGCATCTGCTTCTTATTTTCTAGGTTAGCGAGGATGTTACCGCTAAAAACAAGCAAGATGTCAATCAAACTGCGATGGCCACACCCACACATTTCTTACAAAAGGTTTTAATTGCCTTTTTCTTTCAGCAACTTCCCAGTTGTTTTTGTTTTACAGTCTCATTATTTTTGAGATGCTGAATGAGACTCCAAACTTGTGCATTTTTACTTTCAAGTCACTGTTGTAAAGTTGAATCACAGAAGGTATCATGCGAATCAGCAGTTTGCGTCATCTCTCTGCTGGCGAGAGTCGTCTTGTGCATGTTGTTCCTCTTTGTGAAAGCAGCTTGTCTCAGTCGGCCATGTGTTGTAATGACTTTTCAGCTGCTTCTGCTTGACATATTGGGTAATTTACAAGTTTTTTTGATTTCGACACAGATTATTTTTCAGCTTTAGCGCTCTGTGGGATGACTTGAGTTGCTTTGAACACTTTCAGATGAAACTGCTGATTAAAAAGCACTCGGCTGAATGTAATGCACCTTTGCAAATCTGATTAAGCTAAAAATTAAAGTAATTATTTTTTTATATGTAAGACTGTTGATGCAAAGCGGTGTGTGAGGCTTAATTTCATATCACTTTCATCAAAAGCTTTGATGATAACCGGTTCAGAGGCTTAGAGTTCCTGCGCCCAGGATAATGGTAGAGCTTTATTTTGAAAGGGATTCTTACACAGGTGTCCTGGATACCCTTGTTTTTTTTTTAGATAAAATATTTTTTGTTATTTTATTAATGTTTATCCATGTGTGCCTTGAGCCTTTAACATTTCCGAAACTAAAAGATCAAACTAAAACCAGAGTAACTTTAAAAAAAACACACTCACACAATGCGACTTCCACATTCGCTTTCTTCTTGTCCTTGTCAAGCCCACTTCTGTATTTTTTTTAACTACAAATAACTCCAGCTGTGGATTTTTGTGTTGGGCAGAAGTGTGCCACAGCTTTAAAAGGAGAAAAAAATAAAAAAGCCTCAGAGCCAGAGTGCTATCTAAATGAGGCATAATAGATGTGAGAGTGACATAACCGTGTTGAAGGGATGTAAGCAGCCTGACAGGAACATCGCTTCTAGCAACTCCTGTGTTGCATTAGTGATGATTTTCCAGGAGCTGCTCACAAAAAGGCTTCTGAGCGCTTCTCCTAAACCTCGGCCGACCCTCGGAAAAGCCCCTGAAACAAAAAGGCCATGTGCATGACATGGCTTCACATGTTGTTATTCCTAACCCATCCTCTCTGCTGGCCAAATCTGTTTCCCCCCCCTCATGTTGAAAAAATATAGGTCAATTTAGTTCTAAAAATGGCTGCTTCTCCCTGGGGCTTGCCAGAGCATGAAATAGACTTTACATCACGTTAGCCAGGCAACAGCAACCAGGAAACTTTCCCCCCTCCTCTTTTTTTTGAACAGTCGATGCTCATTTTTCATCTCCTTTTGTTGCCGTATTCAAACATATGGCTCCTCTCTCACTTTCCCCTCCTCTCTTACTTTTATGACCTGAATAAGTTATCAGCAGTTTGCCAGGTTTGGAGGATGACAGGCGAGGCTGAAGTCATGTAGAGATTTAGATAATATGGTTGCTAAAGACTTCACAATGCTTTCCCACCTCTGCCTTTCAGTCTTAACCCCCCTGATTAGGAGAAACTCGGGGGTGGATTTTTATAGCTCAAATCCAATGCTAGTTTGGCAAAGGCTGTCACATGGCAGAAGCCCACAAACTTCCTGCCTGTTTGTAGACTTTTCTGACACATTCTACGAGGCGGGGTCTGGATCTGAGTATTCTGGTTTCTGCATGTATGATTGTTTTAATATGAGAAATACTGACCAATCACATATCGACCAGCTCTGATGTCTGCAGGAAAAACAGTCCATAAGGAGAAAATGTGGAACATAGTTAGCTGTGGCAACACCCCATCCACCACTGACAGTAATCTGACATTGATTTATCTACCTATATAAACTGTTATCTTGCAAATGCTAATAGAGATATTATTTTTGATCAAAGAATATACCTTTAATTTTTAATTAATTTTGAATTTCCATCTGGGATAAATAAAGTATCTATCTATCTATCTATCTATCTATCTATCTATCTATCTATCTATCTATCTATCTATCTATCTATCTATCTATCTATCTATCTACTGAAGCAACAGATTTGCTCTTAAAGGCACTTCTCATATCTAACTCTTTAACTTTAACCAAATTCACTTTATGTTGTTATTGTGATAAGCTTAAAGCTCCTGTGTGGGACTTTCATTGTCAAAATTTCGTACCCCTTTCCTGATTTTGTGTCACATAAAATTAATGTCAAGTTTAAAATAAAAGTCTGTTTCAGTAGCAAGCCGTTAAACAGTTTACCATTTGGCTATCAAAGGTTTACGACTTTAAAGCTACTGTGCGTAGCTTTAATTGTTGTTTCTGGCGCCGCACATTGACAGTGCAGTGCCTCATATCTTTTGGCTACTTACAGAACTAAGCAGACGGATGTATCACTCAGTGAGAATGAAAGACTGTTCCAGTGGTTCGTATTTGTTATAGTCTGTTCACTGACTAACTAAAAAACCCCTCACATTAGCTTTAAAATCATGTTGAAATTATAAAGAAACATTTAGTCTTTATTTTGATTGTTTTATTAGCATTTGGAGGTCATGAAGAGGTGCCATTTCCAATGTAAACCTGTTTTGTAACCAGTTAAAAATTTGTGACAGGAACTTTAATAACCAAAAACTGGAGAAAAAAAAAAGAATTGTTTTTTTCTTGTTTTGGTCGTGGAGAGTCAGCATGTATATTTCCTTTTTCTACAGTGAAACTGAGACCTATCAGTAACAGATGCTTTACTTTTAATCAGAATATTTTTGTTTCTCTAGATGCAAATCTGGCTGTAAACAATGCAGCTCCTGATTAGAGGATGTCTTGATTGGAAGTTGTTAATCCCAAACTGCTGGCTACACCAGAAAGCCAGAGAAATTGCCATCTTTACCAGAGGCGTTTATTGTTATCAGATGATAGAAGGCTGTCGGATGAGATTGACTCGGTAGAAATGCTCTCTTTCTTCCCAAATCCTCTGATATGAAACTACAATAACCACCTTTTTCTTGATTTCGGCTGCATAACACAAAATATGCAGAAATAAGCTGCTCTCGCCTCCAATGTGGCTTTGACAACTTAAACTGCAATTTATGGAAGGAAACTGGCTCGCAGCAAATTGGATAATGCAGCGAGGAAATTTCTGGGGTTCTATTTGCCGTCATTTGGAGTTTACACATCCCCCGATGTTCTTTCTCCACAACCATATTGTCTCATTTGGGTTTCTTTTTCAGAGTATCTCCTATTTCTCCCTCTCTATGTCCAATGCATAAACTCCCCAGCGGCTGCCCCTTGAAATTGCCTCATGTTTATTTAAACTCAGAGGGGCGGCAGCGGAGTGCCTGGTGCCCCATTCGTTTTATTTATTTTTTTCTCTCCGTGGTGTTTTCTTATAGCCGTCCAACCCTGGAGCCATTCATCAGCCGGGCTTAAGTGTAGCTACAGCGCAGAGAGCTAAACAGCGTTTCACCACAATGAGTGTGACATCAACTCTCCACACAAACCAGCGGGTGTGTCAAAGAAAAAGAGCACAATTACAGAGAAGAGGCAGACAGAGAAGAGGTGGAGAAATGACCACGTAGAACCAGAGAGGAGAGACGGAGAAAATTTGAAGCGAAGGAAGGAGAGGAAGAGTGTCAGTCATGAGGCTTCTAATTTTGGTTCTGGCTCGAGCACTATTTTTTTTCCACCGTGGGCTTTTTAGGCTATGAGCATGAGCTGGCTCAAGAAAGACAGAGAGACAGAGGAGGTTTTGAATTAGCACAAACCACACTCTACACATGCAGAAATAATGAGCAGGGAAAAGAGTTTCAAGTCGAGTCAAAACATCAAATCAAAGTGGTGGGGACTATTTTCGTATTGTTTTTTTGTGATATTAAGACTTCTCTGAATGTTACATCTTTAGATTTTTTTAATCCTCTGCCCTCGTAAAGAAAATTCACACAAGGTTCCACACACAGAGGTAAACAGATTCTAAAGTGATCTCTCCGCCAAATACGGATAAAAGGGAAGGACTCACATCTAAGCTGAGTGGAGAGCACAAGAAAGGGAGCTCGGGCGAGGATCCAAATTAGAGGAAAGATGAAGATATGGAAGATCAAAAGTGGAGGAGGTGGAATTAGAAGAAAGGAACAGGAATTGGCAAACACCGACATCCAGCTGTGTCGCGCTGAAACGCAATTTTTAAAGTCCAAAAATCCCATGAAAAATAAGATAAAGACAGAATCAAGGAGAGGCCACACACAGTCATAGTGAATATATCTATATATATATTTTTTAATATATATATATCTTCTTTTATTTTAATATTTAAACCCACTAAAAAGTTGTAAATACAACTTTTGAATGAAAGGCACAGGAAAAATCAGACAATGCTGATATAATACTCGAAAAGAAAAAAAAAAAATTACAGTACAAAAGTGGACAGTTAGTTTGAACGCACGCACAAATCCCTCCAGGTTCGACGTCCTCCAGGACACAGGTAACAGAAAGATACGGGACACAATAAAGAGGCGAGGGAAGGGGGGTTAGAAATCTGAAACCCATTAGCCAAACTTCTCTTTATTGCTTATCCTTACAAAACAGGAGTCACATCAAGAGGCCAAAAAAAGCAACTCCTGTGCTTTCTAGTTTCACATGTCGCTGTACTTTTGATTGTTGGCTCCAGTATTACCAAACACTCTAGTGGGATTTTATAAATTCAAGCTAAAAAAGGTTATTTGAGTTTTATCTGTCGTAATCCATTACCAAATCAGCCTATATATGATTATGCTTTAATTCCTCGGTCCTCAGAGTGTAAAACTAACCAAACCTCTAAGTGGTGCAGGAGTGTTTAAATATTCAGCAGAAATTTCAGGCCTGCAAAATTTAAGAGAGCAGGTCAGGAGCCGGTTCTGGAGCGAGGAGGCAATTTGGGATATCTTTATTCCTCCCTTTCTTTTAACATTTACATGATACAGCTTACCGCTCTCAGCACTAGTGGGAGAAGTTTGACCAAAGGATTCATTTATCAATTACAGACATTTATGTAGAATTCAGCACTGGAGGCCACTAGAAAACCGTTTTATTGTGTTTCCCAGTCCTATTAAGAATCCCTTCATTTCCTTCTTTTGTTATGTTTTTTTTTTTTTTTTTGGTTGAAGAAGAACATCTTTATGCCTGTCGTATCATCATTCATCGTATGTATGGGAAAAATTCACAAAGCAGAAGAGGTTCACTGACAGAAATCGGCGGAATCTTTGACTTGCACATGTTTGGATTGGGAAATAAAAATCAGTATGCAGGCCTGCCGGCTCATATAGGATTGTGTACACATTACAGTGCCTTTGGACAGCTCTACTGGGGAACAACTGGAGGGAAAGGTGCAGTCTCTCTGTACTGCTCAGGGTTCTTAATATTATATATAGCCTCTTTGGTATAGGCACATCTGCATCAAGGGACTGGCCATGGTCCAATTATTCCCTTCCTTTTCCTATGTGCAGCTGTCTCACTCTCTGTTTTCTATTATAGAATGAAAAAACACACCTAGAAGGAAAAAAAAAAGAGATGATTGCCACAATCCTGGAACCTGGAAATCAAGTGATTGATTGGAGTAGCAGAAAATTAGACTTATATGGCCGTTGAGGGTTTTCTTTTCTTCCTGCTTGAAACCCCCCTGCCCCCCTGCCTCTCTGTTCCACCTGCTGTTAGCTTTGCCAGACAGCAGGAGATTCATGCTACCTTTGCCTTCGTTGCAGCCGTGCTACACAGAGATGAAAAAAAAAAGCGCCCTGGCACGGCAAAAAAAAAAAAAAAAAATGTAAACGCACCAATCTACTTAAATACAGCCCTGAACAGAATTCTTATAATAAGAAAAGAAGAGACCTTTGGGGCAGAATCAAACAGGTGTTTTGATTCGATGTTATAAAACACAACAGTTCTGACAGATCGGGGAGTGAACAGGAGGATGGATGTGGTTAGGGCTGTGCCATGTTGTTGCATGAATGCTCTGGTTTGCTTTAGCCTGTGTCCAGTGAATGATGCGTTTTACCAGAGCCCTTTCTTACCCCCTCCCCCCCCTGTGAAGGAAGGCAGGCCGCCCAGGGAGAGGAGAGGTTACCTCTATCCCCTCTATCCTGGTGTTAAGCAGAATCTCTTAGCGTCGCACTCCTCTTTCGCTCCGGAGCAAAGTCAGGAAACAGCAAGAGCTTTAACAAATCTTGCTTTGAAGTTTGAGTCTTACACTTCCTGATGCAAGACATCGAACATCTCCTGGTTCCGGCGCGCAAAAAGGGGAGGGGAGCAAATGACATCATGAACAAGAACCAGGACCCCCGGAGTCTGGGGATAAAGAGTACAGGATCCAGTCTGTCGTTACGTCGGGCTGACGCCGACTCCATTCATTACCTGGCTGCTGCAGATGAAGAGGCGGCAGCTAGCTGTGTGAGGTATTCGCGCAGTTCCTTCGCCGCCTGAAAGCGGCCGTAGCGCTTTTTGGGTTTGGTGCACTCGTCCAACAGTGACTCCAGTTGTTTGTCTTTGGCTATGTGGGCTGGGGGGTCGTGGAGGAGGCCTCCGGTGGTCCCCCGCCACGTAGCGTACCGTGACAGCAGATTCTGGCACACTGCGTAGTAGTTGTGGTCCACGGTGACCCTGGAACAGAGCGAGTCCTTGGAGAAAGAGAGACAGGCCTCCCTGTCGCACTCCTCGAAGCGGCTCTCGTACCACACGTCGTAGTTTTCTGGCTTGTCTGCGAAGAGACGGTTAAAAGAACAATTAAAAAACCTGGATCGTAATAACGGAGCATCATAAAGCCAGTGATATCAATAGAGGTGTCAGTGCTTTGCATTAATTTTAAATATGTCAAACCATAACCTATTTTTTACAGCTTCCATGAGATGAATATTTATAAAGATGTCCTGCTCAGTACAAACATTTCTCTTCTGTCATTAAATCCAAAAAAGCTCCACAAAGACAAACAGAAGCACAGCTGATTTTGAGCGATTACAACCAGCTGTTTCCCTGCCTCTGATCATCAAGTAACAATTTCTCAATGTTTTGTAAAAATTTATTACTTTAAAAAAAAATCAAGCAGCAAGAGAGCTGGTTGGTCTATAGCGCCGATTTCGACACTCATTGGAAAGTCTTTTTAAGAGCGCACAACCAAACAACTCATCTACGGTTTTATTTGACAGAAACGAAATACTTTCTAGATTTATTGAGCAAATAAAATTCTCTCTCCAGCCCCCTTCTGCGTTGTTTTTCTCTTCAGAGGACTGTACTTGGGAGAGGAGGTGAGCCAAGAAAATAACCTGGGATGATGAGAGACCTATTGGTTTGTGCATTAAAAAGCAGATCAATAACAATGCGGGGGAGGAGGGAGGTGGGTGCAGACCCAGAGGATGCAAACGCATAATCAGTGTATCAGGGTTGTAATGCACTTCTCCTCTGCCTCATCAGAACAACTCAATCAAACATCCAGCACTGCCCTGTTAGCAAGGGGCCCCTGTGGCCCCCTCCACTGAGGAGGAGGGGCACATCAACCTCAATCAGTGCGGGTGATGAAGATGGATCTGCCTGGGTACGCATGCGGAGAGCACGCGCGCACAGATGTATAAAGATGGACACGTGCGAGCAGCAAGGTGAGGAGAAAGCAATTAATGTTGGAGAGCCGGCCATGCATCACACCTCAGCACTGATTGACAGATGGCATCAGGAGAGTGTCCTATTCTTGTTCTTCCCTCTCAAACGCACACACATACACACTTACTTTCTCACGCACACACACACAAGAGGCAGACAGGCCGCCTTAAAAAAAAAGAAAATGAGCAGGAAGGTTCAAACTCAAGGGCGAAAGATGAGCAAAGCAAAGAAAGACCTCAACTAAAGGCTAAAAGAAGTCTATTTACTTGCACCACAATCCTCCTCTGTTCCAGTCGTTCTGCAGGCCTGAGCGCAACAAAGCTCCAACATTTCCAAAGCAAACCAAATCATTTCCAATTCAAATGAGCGGGAGAGCGGCGAACGAGGTAGCCTCTCTCATCTCCTGCGCATCCGGCACCTTCCATGTTAAGGAGCTCCTCTCGGACTTGTATACATTCACCTCACTCTCCTGCATTCCCGTGGCTGCACTGAGAAGGGACACTGGGCCTGAAATGCTTGTTAGCGTGGCCTTATGAGTGGCATTCAGGAGTACGAGGCGGTTTTAACAATGCATGCCTGTGTTTGAGTGCATTATTGAATGTAAGAGAGGCAGACCTGAGTGTGTGTGTGTGTGTAAATGTGTGTGTGTTTGTGTACAGCCAGCCAACAGAAGCAAAGGAGAATAGGAGTGAGTGAAGTGTGTGTTACATTATACAGCATGTGTTTCCAAAAACCACTGGGGGTGAAAGCATCCTCCAACACTATAAACTCAATGATGGGGAATGGTTCCTTTCGCACCACTGGACTGTGCAAACAGCTCGGCACATCCAGAACACAGCATGTGTTTTATCTCGATGACAGGGACCACTGCTAACAAGCGGGTGGGATTGCACGTGGCTTTTTTTTGTGTGTTTAATTTGCAAATCAATTGGCCTCCATTTGTATAGATGAGATTCAAACCGCATGCTCTAATTCGCCTCAATCTCAGGCTCTAATTGTAGGAATCGGGCTCTGTGGAGCTCTGGGGGGCTACCGTGCCCATTTTGGAGTTCTGTCTGACACATGGTTGTGACCTCGTAAGACTCATTACCGTCATCATCCCTCTTCCTCGTACTGCGCCGCAGGAACTTGGCACATCCGCAAACAGGGCCGACACACAAACACACAAGTCGCACGTAAACATTCTTGAGGCTTAAACTCTGAATGGCCGGGGTAAGCAGCTTGAGCTGTCAGGCTCTAAATGTGTCGGCCGCACAAAGGCAGTCTCAACCTGGACCGTGCTCTGGGAGTTGCAAAGGGCTTCTGTGGACAGGGTGCAAAATTGCAGCTTTGGGCAATAATAGGAATTTTATTCCCACACTCACTCACCTACATGGGCACACAGAAATCTGAGTAAAAACTGGATATGTTCTCATACCAGAGCTGTACTTCACAAGGACCATTACATTTGGTGTATGGGATGGACTTTTAATACCTTTTCATTTAGAGAGTTGGCTGTGCTCTATATATACTACGTCTATATAAGGGCTAGGGCTGGGCGATATGGGAAAAAGTTTATCACAGTATATTTTTTTTTTCATATCAGTCAATACCGATATATATCACAATATAAAAATGAAGTTTAACAGTGCTTATTGGTAACATGTCTTTTGCAGTACAATAAGTTACTGCATCTGTGAGGTCTTTGTGTCTCTGCGATGATTTGTCATAAGGCATTGCACTAGAGAAAGCGGACTGAATGGTCGGTTCAGTGCGGGGCGGACCCGGAGCAATTCCCATTTTCATTGGCTATTCATATAGTTGGGGATGGGAATTGTTAAGATTTTATCGATATTGATGCCATTATCGATTCTGCTTATCGATTCAATTCTTTAACGATAACGAAAAAGTAGACTATAGGTTTTCACTGTAAACTCAAAATTTTATTGAGTCTCTGATAACAGTAGTCCAAAAATAATCAAACAACAAACTGTTTGTACAGTGTTTACTTCGGTCGGTATTGAGTCAAATTAGGGTAACCACATTCTGGATCCCCTAAAAGAGGACATTACTAAGTGGGAGGTGGAGTTACGTAACTAAAGGCACAATGGTTTTCTGCACTTGTTACCACAGACTGAACTAATCTACTGTAGCTAGCGAGACTGCAGACTCCAGGTGGCGGTAACAGACAGTATTAAACACGTGTATAATGCTTTCTGACCACTCAAAGTGCTTTTATACAACTTGACACACTCACCTGTTAACATCATGTTCAAACACTGATGGCAGAGGGTGCTTTAGTGGGCCGTCAGTGTTGACAAGTTGACTGGTTTACAAACAGATATCTAATACTGCAATTTAAGCTAAATTTGGGACTTGTTCTGAACTACTTTCTGTATCGGAGCAGCTATTGTTCAAACTCGACAGAAGAAACTGGAAGAAGTGTTGAAGTACCTCGACATGTTGTAAACGTCTATATGCCCTTTTCGAGTGTCATGTCTTGTAATTTAGCAAAGTGGCACTTTATCACTGGATTAATACATCACACGGCTATCCTGAAACTTAAAAAAAAAACACACCAACACTCCCTTTCCCACACGCACAGACAATAGTTTGTAACTGTCACCGAGCACAATAGCAGAACCTCAACACCTAGCGACAATACAGTTTATCACTTTAATAGGATTTTTGCAGGAAGGGACAAATCTCAGGGCCTGACTGGGTGGTCGTCCTTCTCTTTGAAGTAGCCCCTGCACCGAGGGGGGACTGGGAGGTTGGGAACGGCCACACTGAGTGTGTGATGTATAGCTCTCCCTGTCCTTGTTCTGAGGTTTATTCACAGAGACATAAAAAAATAACTAGGGCAGCTGAGATGGCTTGTTATCCAAACGATCTCTGCTTTGATGGGAGTGAGTGTGTCGCAGGCAGAAGGGGTGCTGGAGGAGCGTATTCTTAGAGGAGGGGGAGGCTTGAAGCGTTTGCCAAAAGCACAGCCGCCGGTCCCTTGAGACCTTTCCTTGAACCTCTGCCACTACAGCTACAGTCTGCAGTTACAGCGAGGACATAAACCGGGGGAATTCAATCTGTGGTCAGTGTTGAAATCACAGTGGCTTCTGCAGAAGTTTGGACAGACAGGAAGAACAACAATTGCGTAAGTGGGATTTCATGAGCAGCATTACCGTAAAATCCAGAATAGAGGTTGCACCAAAAATAAAGGATGATTGATTGTCTTGGAGGAAAACGGTACTTTGTGGCTGTTTATTCATATCAAGTGTTTATGAGTCATTTCAAAACTATCTTAAGATGTTTTCATTGAATCTGGTGCAGCAGCTTCCATATCAGCAGAGGCTGATACATGAGGGTTCACCCCACCTGTGTCTTGTACCGTTGGTTTACCCCGTGTCAAGTTTGCACTCCTGCAAGCTACAAGATACAAAACCTGAACTTTGCCTACATCAACATCTACTGTAATGATGGTGGGTAGTGCATCAGCAGTTATAATGAAACATGTTGCACCATCTTCTTGATGGCACAACACAATTAAAGACCTTTTACTATTTTTTTACACTATTGGTCATAACAGGATAGGATTTAGCTTTTTAGATGAGAGAAGGTATTACAAGTTGCTCTGAAACCACAACTCTGTATGAGCTGTTGTTGTTGTTGTTGTTTCAATGTTGCTGTTGTCCCCTGTCTCACTCTCTCGCCATTGTTCTCTTTTCTCTCTCCCTTACTCATTCTCTCTCTCCTTCCTTCTCCCTTGTTCTCTTTCTCTCCCTTTGCCCTCCTACTCCTCTCTCTCTCCCTCTCTCCCTCCCTCCCTCTCTCCCTCCCTCCCCATCTCTCTGCATTTCTTCCCAACTCAGCAGCGGCTTGGCGGCTGTCTAAAATGAGTCTGATCCTAACCTCACTCATGTTAAATGAGATGGTCAAATCTCGAAACTCTTGAACTCTTGAAAGCAAACTCTCTGTATGCCACTGCTTTAGCTGACATTTATTTTTACTGTACTTGTCGCTGATGTTGAGCTGTGTGAGTCTACGTTGTTCTTTTTGTATTTTTAAATGATAGCCAGGCCCCCCTTGAAAATGAGATCTTTGATCTCAATGGGACTAGCCTGGTTAAATAAAGGTTCAATTCAAAATGAAAAAAACTATGAGTGTGGTCTAGACCTGCTCTTTTTTTGGAAAGCGTCTTGGGATAATGACTGTTGTGAATCGGCGCTATATAAATAAAAAGATTGAATTTGATTGATTGATTGACAAGTCGATGGTAATGGTTGACTGTGATCTCTTAGAGATTTAAAGAATAAAGCCATCACAGATTTTTTTTCTAACTTTAAGTAGAAGTAATAACATGAACTTCATGTTACGATAACAGTAAGTGCTTCTCTTCTGTATTCTCACTGGTTGTAAAGCTTAAGATTTAGCATACATGTTTAAGAACAAGGAATGGAAAAGCAAATGTGGCGAAAAGAAATGATAGTCATCGCTTAAAAACATATGGCCACACCCACACACATACAACACAAAAACATATGTGCAGGTACCACCACTTACTTTGTTTGATCAGCCTTTTATCCGCCACTAGAACATTCTCCGCGTCGACAACTATGACCTTTCCATCCCGAGGCCCGACTGCAAAGTTGTCGAAGCTGACGTCAAGCAAGTAGAGAGCAAACTCGAAGTCGTTGTTGGTGAGCTGCTCGGCGATATCCATCAGCTGACGGGCCAAGTCTACCCTCTTTTCCCAGGGCGCGTTGTAGAAGCTCCACAGCTCCTCGCCCACGTAGTTGACAGCTACCATGCGCCCGCAAGCTCCCAGGTACTTGGCGAATGGCCACCCTTCATCAGACGGAAAGCTCTGGGAGAGAGAAAAAAGATGAGCATTTAAAAGCAGATTAAAAGAAGTCTGTGTAATGTAGAGTTGGCTGGAAGAAAAGGAAAGATTCTTTGTTGGCTTTTAAAAGGAGGGGGTAACAAAAAAAAAAAAAGAGAGAGAACCCTCACATTGTCAGGGAGTATTTATTTAACTCGCAATTTCTCAATAAAGAAAGTCAAAAGAAAAATTCCCAGACGTCGAACACAAAGTTGCCGTGTGCAGTGGTTGAAAACCTGCCAAAGGATCACATGAAAAGGAGCCAGGGCTGGGAATAATGGATTAAATTTAATAAAAGAAAAGAGCCGGTTTGTGTTAAAGCCCTACAGCTACAAGCTGATGCACGCTGCTCTACTCAGTGCACCCGGAGAACTGATAGGAGGTGATTTGTGGTAGCAGCAGTTAGAAGCTAAGTCTTATGAGATGTGATGCAGCAGTGGGGCGATTTAAACTGCTGCATGATGCTGGCTAACCGAGTTAATGCAGTTTGGGCGTGCTGACAAGATATTTCTGTGTATTACAGGTTAAAACTGATGAATAATTAGGTAATCCCACTAGAAAGAGGGGAAATCACTGCTGCTGCACGCTAGCCTCACCTTGCACAGATTTACCCGATTATTTTGTAGTCAAATCAAAAAAGGGAACACATGCAACATCATCTTCAATCATTCAAAGTCGGGCAGCAGCATTTGCATTGACAAACACAGATAGACAGGTTAAAGGAGTTGGTCTTGAAGCAGCTGTAAACATGCCAGACAGTCAGTATGTCTTTTTGAGTTTGCTCCATCTCTCTTCATGTGCTTAGGTGCCTCGCACTTTCCCTAAATCGCTTCTTCTCCTCCTGGTCTCTTTCATTGCCACCGGCTGTGGACTTATTGATGGAAAATAATATAAAACCTCCCTTTTTTTCGCAGCCAACATAAGTTTTGCTACAAGTGATAAGCTCCCATCTTTTACAATAAACTCCCTCCTGCCATCGGCCTCTATCTTTTACAATAAACACCCGGCCATATGTTGGCTTAATGATAGCCCACAACTCCTATGTAACAAATCTCTCCAAGGCTGCAGTTTCTGGCAGACAGCCGCGGCACAGACGCAGACAGAGAAATCAGGAGTGCTCATGTTTCACAGGAGCCTCTGTAGCCCTCCCCTCTCTAGAAATCCAATTGCATCAGAGATACGGTAGGGAACACGCCACACCACTGCAGGTAAGGTGTGAACTACTACGACTGTTGGGTTTCAATTTACAGTGGTGGTAATTCAATCCCTCACCGGCTTTCAATTTCAGTCGACAAGGGGGGATTTTAAATATTCAAGGCTGCCCTGGCTCTACTTAATCTTTAATGAAATACAAATTATTTAAAAACATACATTTAACCACCCCTCCCTTAACCCTAGACAGCTATGCAGCTGCTGTTTCTTAAAAACAACAGCTGGACTCTTGCCATGAAGTCGCCGATGTACCGCAGGGGATGCTGCTCTGTGGCTTGATGAACGGACGACTGCAGCCGTTTGCAGGTTCACAATCACGCCATTAGCTAGTGTTGAGACATTTTTATCTCAGACACTACGCTGCTCTTAAGCTTCTTTATTATATTCCTTGACTCAGCTTTAATTTGCTAAGTGTACCGAAGCTCGTGTGGATCCAAAGAACGATATGCGGCGAGATGAATGCGGCTCTAAGTAATGGCTGAGGATGCGAAGGCCTCCTTGACTAGACAAATAATCATCTTGAGTGAGAAAATGATCTTTATGCAGCAACTATGACTCAGAACTTTCACAGCCAACACAAGAGGAGGTTAAGAGTTCATCCCAGTGCGTAGTCGAGGGGTAAAGCTATACTTCAGGGATATATCCTTTCCCCACTAGTTTTCGGGAAGCTCCACCACCACGGAAAGGGAGGGACAATGACAAGTTGCATGGATGCAGTCTTGGTGGAGCCCTTTTCCCTAAGGTGACCCGATCAATTGTGCGCCAGACAGAAGTCTGTCCAGGAAGCACTGGTGGCTTCCAGTAGCCTGTCTGTCTGCCGGCCTGTTGTCCTTAGACTTGGCAGTGACTCACTCCAACTTCCCCCCTCAATAAAAAAAAAAAAAACCTCCTGACTTACATTTAGTCAAGGAAACAAAAAACTCAACCGGAGGAGGAAGCGTCTCAGAGAAATTCAAGTGGAGACCAGGAACAAAGGATAGTGGTGGGCTGAGTACTGAGTACCGCCTGGAGAGGAGACAATCCCAGACTAGCTGGATGTTTCAAGCCAACGGGCATTCCTACATAAGAGATTTCTGGATTAGGCTCAATATCTAAAATGGCTGTCTAATTTCTGAAGTTAGTGGAGATAGATTAGGATGAAGCTGGATCAGTTGGTGGTACATCCCTATTAGGCTCGCTTCCCTTTGACCCAGATTCAAACCTCGGATCGCTTTATGTTGCTGCACATCTAAGCAGCTCTCGGTCTTGTTGACAAAACTTACTCCGTCCAATTTTATGGCTAAACCTGCTTTGTGAAACGCCATCCACTCTCGCCTGCAGGGCGTATGGGGGGGGATGGATGTGGGGAGGGGGTGGTGAGTGGTGGAAGGATGGGAGAGAGACGGAGAGAATGCGATGGAGACGGCAAACAGAAGAGACAAACAGAGTGTCTCTCACTTCTCTGCTCCAGTGGACAGGAGGAATAAACCAGCAAAGACCTGCCTGCTAAACACATCTCTCTCTTTGTTGTCAGGTTGCAGCCTGAATGGGTGCAAAAGTAGAGCAGTGGCAGATGAAGGGGGGGGGAATGGAGGGCTGGGGGTGCTTGATGGGAGGGAGGAAAAGGATGAATGCCCTGGAGCTACTTTCAGACACTGTCAATGACTGTTATACCTTCACGTCTGTCCGGCCCTCATCCACGCTTCTTTACACAGATGTCGCTCATTCACGGCCGCTCTGACAGGCTCATTGCGCCGCGTCCATTACCCAGGTCTTGACAACTCATACCTTGGTGTCAGTTTTATGAGCTTCCCATATTTAAGTTTCATGGGCAGTGAGTCCAAAAGGTGAGAACTTACTGAGCGGTCTTGGCAGGCACATGGAAGTGGGCACCTGTGCTTCTGGGGTTCAGACTCACCTTTCGCGGAGGTTGATAAATACTCCACGTGTCCCACCAATCATTCTCCCTTAGCGCTCTTTAAACGGTTACTCTGCAGAAGTCATTAACGTCTGCAATGAGGCGTTCAGGGTGGGGTGGGGCTGTTGGGTGAAATAAATTGGAAAGCCCAGCCTAATGTTACATCCACTGCACTATCTAAGAGCAGCATTGGGAGGTAGTGTATCTGTGTGTGTGTGAGAGTGAGAGTGAGTGTGTGCTGCACAGGGAGTGAATTTTACCAGTCGTCACCCAATGATGTTATGCCACTGAAAAATGCTGAAGCTGCAAATCTGCCAATGACACATCCCAGTGACTTTTACTGCTTTAAAAGGTCTTATCACTTCCTGTTCCTGTCGGTGGATAAAGCCTTTTATCTCCCTGCAAAGGAAAAACCTTCAACTTACAGAACCTGGCGCCACATGCTCCTTATTTTCTGTACATGTTGTTGCGAGAGTTTCTCGCAGCTTTACAGAAATAATGAGGCTCGCCGAGGAGACAATGAAAGGGAATGTACAAAACGGGGGGAAAACAGAACCGTCTCATTAAAAGACGACCTCACAGCGACTCCGGTGCCCAAAGTCCGACTAATCTAATCTTAAAAGGTTGCGCTGAAACGCTACAGTCGCATTGACAGGGAAGGGTTTCGCGCTTCCAACTCCCTTCCCTGTTCTACAGACAACAGACACACTGGCATCCTCTTGGGGAGGGGAGATTGGAGTGGGCTGAAATGAAACAGGGCCACAGACAAATGGGCAGCCTCTGGAGGAGAGGATGAAACGAATGGAGCGAGAGGCACAGGAACACACACCTGCGTCCTGACATCTGCTGACAAAGGCATGCCCTTCTACTGGGCCACTCGGGTGGGGAGGGAGGGAGGGCGTGGGTGTGTGTGTGTGTGTGTGTGTGGAAGAGAGTTCGAAAGGGGCTCTTTGTGCGTGTGCGTGTGTGTCTATGTGAAACTGTATCCAAGTGCATGTGAATGAGAACATGCAACGTGACCAGGGCTGATAACAACCTCTATTCAGGGGCCGAGTAAACATGAGCAGCTCCCAAGATATTGCTTTGGCTGGCCTGCAAAGAACACTGGTCAATCAAACACACATATACATACAGAGTCGCACACACGTAGGACACACAGAGCCGTGTTCGCAGAAGGAAGATTTAAAGGCAAATGACGCCTCTATCCTGTAACCGTAGACCGACAACTTAAAAGGAAATTAGTAGTTTGCCGCAAAAGTGTTTCATGTGTGGAGCTTGTTGAAGCCCCCGAGCTGGGTGTGGTGAAAATTCTCCACATTTTCTGTCCTCAACAAAACCCGTACGCTTCAGAGCAAAACAAGTTGGGACAGGACTTGTCAGGAGTCCCGGGATCAAACAGTGGAGCTGAGGAAGCGTGGCGTGCAGACGTGTTCAGCGAGACACAACAACAACAACAACTATAGAAAAAAAAACGAGAAAAAAAAAAAAGACTTTAAGCCGTAATGTTACAAAACGAACATCAGTCTGTTTATCAAAGGGCGAACTCGGTGTTAAGATGGAGTCACATCTGCGCCGCGAGGTTAGCTCTGCCAAACCGGAGAAACACGTCCCTTTCTGCTCAGCTCTCCTGTTGACCTTGTGTGTCTGGGGGATGTGTGGCGAGCCCCGTCTGGCATTTTGTGGACCATTTAAGTTTGAAATCCAGTCGGTCGGTCTGCAGCTACAGCTCAGGCCCCACAGGGGAGCTGGCGCTAACTCCTCATCCTGGCACACACGGCACTACCCCCTTTTCTTTTCTTTTTCCCTCTTGTCTCCTGCTGCTGCTGCTGCTTCTCCTGCTAACCCCGCTTTCCCCCCTTCTCTGTCTTTGTTCCACCCCCCTGAAACCTGCAATACGGGGCAGTGGTGCTGTCTATTCGAGGAAATGCCTCGTCAGAGCGCCGAGCTGAGGAGAGCATTTGTGTCTGTCTGTAAGAGAGAAAAAGGGGTAGGGAGAGACAGAGACTGTAAAGTGTATGTTTCTGAATATAGAATAGGACCTGCCTTTTTCTTTACCAGACAGGCGCTTCAAAGGAGTGCAAAGTCACAGTGTGTAGAGCTGGCAGCAGTCTTGGGAAACAGGAAAATCATTGACGAAAGACACTAGAAAGGACTGCTGGCTGTGTGTGCATGCGAGTGTGCATGCGTGTCTTCAGATGTCGGAGCCAATGAGAAACTAGGAGGTCATATGTGCCGGGCTCGGATCTGAATCGAAACCATGAAGGTCAGGTAGGAAGACGGAGTAAGACCACGTAAAGTCGCGTAAAGTGCAGCACAGAAGGAGGAAGCAGCGCACATGATCCGGCGAGCTCTGCGCAGCCTGAGCGGTGATAGAAATGGGTTAGAGAGAGAGAGAGAGAGAGAGAATGAGAGCAGGATGAGGAATGAGAGCGCAGGGCACAGCAGCTCGGGGGGTTGCTAGAGTACACTCCGCTGCTGGCTGATAGTCGAAACCCTTCCCCGACCTGAACCCAAGCCACCTCATAAATCCCCCACACTGGAAGACCAGGAATGTATTAAGTCATAGCAGCGGTGTTGACTCAGTCTAGGTGGTATTGCCGCCCACATGGCCGGGGAGGAACCCGAGTCAAGCTTGGCTTTAGACCTGAGGGCTGTGGGTTTGAGGTCTCCAGAGCAGGACGTCAGAGCGGGTGTCGATTGTGATGGGGGGGCTGTCACGGACTTTACACTCCAACCTCTGTGCTGAAAAGGTGAACAGCTGGGAGAGGAGCGGTTCAAGTTTCTCACATGTAACACCTCTTCCTTTAACATCAACGTACCCGTCCCGGACCTGAAGATGCTTCAGTCTTCGGTCCTCTGACAGGACTGTCGTACCCTGAGGCTTTAATGCAGTGGACAATTTTATTACTGCGGGCAAGCTGATGGGCTGAAAAGCAGATTCTTGCTCTATTGCTACGCTCTCCAGGGGAGGAAGAGTAGTAAAGAGCCACTCGTTACCGATCCATATTGGCTATCTTAAGGGGCCCAGGAGGAGTTGTGAATGAGGTTGCACTCTCTAGCATTTCAGGACTGCGGCTTCAGTATTTTTGGGGTAAGGTTGGTAAGAGTTCAGTAGGAAGCTAGGGGGCTGCTAGGTGGGGGGAAATCTAAAAAAAGGGGCTGGTGGGTGGGATGAAAGGGGCGGGGGGTTCAGCCACAGGCATTTACCTAACCAAACACAGCTGTCATGCATGTGTGTGTATGTTTGTGTGTGTGCTTTGAGAGAGGAAGAAAGAGAGAAAGGATTATGGTAACACAAGCAGTCTGGCTCATTCAAATGGGGGGGGGGAACACCACAAGGCTCTGGCTTGTACGACACACACTCTCTCTCTCGCTCACAAACCCTCCTCTCCTCTACTCTCCTCCTCTTTCTTCTCTACTTCTCCCTGTTTCCACCAGGGCCTCCATCCAGTGAGGGCGGCCAAAAGAGGGGAGTCAGGCCCAGATAACTCCCTGTCTTATCCTAACAGGATTCAGTCTGTACACAAAGGCCTATAAGAATAATGAAAGGGGGGTTTGGGAGCACTTGAAGCAGGGTTAAGCGGCATACACAACCTCCTCTCTTATGTGCTAAGAGCGTCACAATCCTCCCCAGACCTGAAAACAAAGGTTCTAATCACAGACTAGCAACTTAAATAGTATTTACTGGCGGACCTCAGCCACAGAGCCAGCCTTCGAGACAGAAGCCTCTGACTTAAGCTGGGATAGCATGTGGCGCTTGCGATTGAATAAAAAGAAATAAATAAAACTGACAAACAGAACGGGCTTTGATCCTCTTTATAAAGAGGCATGACCCAGAAAGCCAGACCGTAAGATTGCAGAAAGCTCTCTGAACAGACAATGTAAACACAAGCTGACATTTCTGAAGTTATTATTATAGACATTTTGTTACTTTATCCAGTGTTACTTGCTAAAGCAAACTTCCACAATTGTTTATGTTATGAATATTTAACTACAGAAATAGGCAGTAATACGGTAAGCTACTGTATTTGAAAAAAAGTGATTAGCATACATCAAAAATAGTGTTTGTCCAGCATTAAAAGCTCATCTCTCCAATAGTATATAGTTTCTCTCAGCTGCTGATTCAAGAGATAGCATTCGACTCGGTTTACAGGCATGTTATTGTCATGTGACAGCTGTCAGTCAGAGGGGATGGAAGGAGAGTAATAGCGGAGAGCAGGCTTGGTCTTTGTGTTTGTGAGACAGCATCACTATTTCAACTCAGACTCCAGTCTGTAACGTCGCTCATACACTTCCAAGATTACATTCAGACATTTGTCCAAACATCAAATGATGAACTTATTGTTTCTTGTCGGATCACATGACCAGAGTATGGTTCAGTTTAAGTCTGGAAGGAACCAGAGTTGGGAATCGCCAGTGGCCGCACAATAAGATATTATTACAATACTTGGGCCATGATACAATATTTTCGCGATACTTGAGCAACGATACAATATTATTTTGATATTTGGGCAATGATACGATATTATTTCAATATTTAAGGAACGATACGATATTATTGCGATACTTGGGCCATGATACGATATTTTCATGATACTTGAGCAACGATACGATATTATTGCGATATTTGGGCAACAATACGATATTACTGCGATATTTGAGCAACGATACAATATTATTGCGATACTTGGGCAACGATACAATATTATTGTAATTTTTAACATTTTGCAATACAGTGAGTATTTCATTACAATATTTGCAATTTATATAATTTTTTCAACTATTTAGCTTATTTATCATTTGCCTTTCTTCATGTTTGCCTTATTTATGTTGTATTTTATTTTCATGTAACAAATCTTGCAAACCTTATATATATATATATTTGTTGTACCAACTTTCTCCTGCTCTATGATGTCACCTCTGCCAACCTCACTGGACAAACCATTGATTCTTTTTTCCCCATTTTCATAGATTTGACTTCATATTAGCAATTAACTTGAAAAACCGATACTTGCTAAATGAGACAATACAATACATCACCAGACCAAACATCGCGATACTATACTGAATTGATTTTTTTCCTCACACCCTTAGTGGGAATGATACCTAATACATAGACATAGTAGTGTTAATAATACAAAAAAGTGGTTCAATGATAACTTGGTTATAGAACACAAAATACCCCAAAAGGTAACATTCAGTCAGTACCCTCACAGTAAGGAATAATCAAGCAGTGAAATAGTAAATCTGACTGGAGTGGAAATCTGTTTTGACTTCTGGACTCTATTTAATGAAAAGATAGAGATTTGTCAAAAGCAATACAACAATTTTGATGCGTGAGTAATTTCAAAAACCCGTAAGATTACATATAAACCCCCTAACAGAGAGAGAAAACAAGCCGTCTTCCTGAAAATGAAATCTGCTGCAGAGTTGTTGTTTTTTTTTGCCAAAATGACCCAGTCTTACTATTTGTTCAGAGTATATTTTATGTCCGCTGCTATCAAGATGATCGTTTTTATTGTGGTGTGTGTAAACGAGTTCTTTTCAACAAGTGCCGTTTCTGCAAACACTTCATTTTTCAATTTATAGCGTATCTTCAACACAAACTGTTGTCAATTTGATGATTTTCAAGGAGACGTGTGGAGTGTTTGACTCAAAGCTGTTGTGAGCAGGCTGCATATCTATTACAAAATGCTGCACTCGAATGTAATTTTTTTTTTATTCCGTTAAAAATAAAGCAAGGTTCAGTGGGTCACACTCAAGGTACCATCTTTACCTTTGTGTGCCAAGAAAAACCTGGAGTTTGTTCCGTTTACATTGGCTTAGATTCTTAAAGTGGATGAGTGTCGTAATAGATTATGCAGGAGACTCGTTAAATCAACAGCATACCAAGGAGGCATCTCCCTATTTTAAAAATTCAAACAAGCTGCCAGTGTGTTTGCTCACACCATGTGAATGTTTACCTACACATTTGCGTTTAAATGATGCTGTCAAAAATCTTTGAGAGGAACAGGAGAGAAGGTCATCCATCTAATCTTGCTTTTCTATCTTTTCTCGGATTTAGTATCAGAGTAAGACGTCTGTTCAGAGAGAGAGAGAAAAAAAACACGACAGCCTTCTGAGGAGTATGTTTCTGTGTCAGGTAAGGGCGGGGTGTCAAATAAAGAGGAGGATTTGAGGGAGGTGAAGTGGGATGGCAACAGAGAAGACAGACAGAGGTGTCTGTGAGAGCACAGATTTGAGTCGGGAAGAGATGACGGAGTTAACCCCACAGGCTTGTCACATCCTATTCTCAGCTTCACTGAGCAAGTCGGGGATGAGGACCAAAGAGGGTGCGAGCGCAGTCACATGCTTCTGGCAAACTCACCGGGCTTAATGATTTGGAAGGGAAGACTGGGCTAAATCGAACTAATTTAAGGTTGGGCCAGATGCACTCCATCAAACACAACCATCACCTGATGAATCAGTGAGTCATGTAGCCGAGGGAGGGGAGCCAAGGATGGCAAATAGGGTTCTAGCCAGGCCAGGGGAAAGGAGAGGAATTTATCACCAGCTTTTCATGCAAACCAAGTTATTGTCAAATTAGGGACTAAATTAAACAGCATTGTGGTTTTTCTCTGCTCAGCCACTTGACACTGGTGCATTTATTACAGTAAACTAATCTGCCAGACCTGAAGAAAAACAGCGTTAGCCGAGAGGAGAGGAAACAGATGAAGTTGCATAAGGTGCTTCTCATTGCACAAGGATTTTCTTGTCCGCCTGTCGTCATTTTGTCTTCCAAAAATATTTATTCCCCAAAGCCAAATTGTCTTTCCACGTGACAAAGGAGAGGGGGTGGTGTGTGTGTGTGTTTCTGTGCGTGTGTGTGTTTGCCTGTATGCGCGCTTGTGTACCACAGAGCACACAGAAAACGCATTGTTGGCCGGCGTCGAAACAACACAGCAGATTGTTTCCCACTGACAAAGAGGGTCTGGTTTCTCATAGTGAAACAGGGCCGATTTACTGCCTGTGGCTTCAAAAAGACTGGAAACAGAAGCCATTCGAAGAGAGAGTGCAGCTCGCAGAGTGTGCAGCAGAAACGTTCCTGGCATTATTTAACTGTATAAAGGCGGGGAGGAGAGATAGAGAGAAAAAACCTCAAAAACCACAGAGCTGGCAACCAATGACAGCAGGAAATCATTTAGACTAAATATAGCAAACTTAAATTACACACTGAAGAGATACTGGTGTCTTCAGCTTACAGAGGAGGTGTTTAACTACGACCGGGCGCATGAAAGCATTGCTCCAGGGCTTGCGAGAAGGCAGGGTGATAAATAGTCGAAATAAGGATCAGGTTTCATTAAATACCTGGTCATAAAACTCAGCCCACATTCCTCTAGCTTTTGTGAAAACCAGTCCCCACACAGTAGCACTAACCTCTGGCAAGACCAAGGTGTTGTAGTACAGCACGTCTCCTGTTCAATCTCTATAGACGCCATTAATTCTTTATGGTCTACTGCTGCCCAACCTTGTGTATAGGGCCTCTCAGTCTCTCAGCAAATTTTCCCCTCGTCTTTTCAGTTCAGTGATGCTGACGAACAGTCAGAGCACTCAGGATGTGTGAATCTCAGAGATATCTGGCACATTTTTTTTGTTTAATATCCACACACACACACGCACACACATAAAACCATGGCCCACCATCTGTTACCACAGGCTTGGTGCACACAAAGACTCCACAGTTTCTTTCTTGTGCCTGCAGGTCACAAGTTCAGGATGAGATGAACAATTCATGAGTCCCTGTAAAAGTGCAAAGGCTACATGGAGCAGGGAGGGGAGGGGGGAAGAGAGGACTATGGAAAATGCACATGTGATGGTTCATTGTCTGTAGCTATGTGAAAGATAAGGATAGTGGAGGAGAAGAGGGGGATTCGACCAGCCTCTGAACTGGGGCATAATGGCATTAAAAACAGTGATGGAATTATCCAGCCAGAGTTTGTGGAGCGCACACAAGCAGAGGGGCGAATATAGAGGGGGCTGACACAGATAGAAGAAAGCTCTAAAAAGACAGAAATGAGAAAGAAAAAAACAAAAAAGAAAGAGGAGGGCGGGGAGAGGACCACACTCGGCTAATCAGATTTTATAGATTGACCGGACTAAAAGGCTGATCTGGCCTTTTGTCCTCAGAAATGCCTGGAGGTGTGCGGCGCTATGTTTCGCAGGAGGGGGTTGGAGGTCAGAGTAAGTTATTGAATGTCTACACGGGCCGTGACCATTGTTGTTCTGTCCCCTCACGAGACAAAGTCAATGCTGGGTTGAAATTGAAATTGATTGGCTGCTTGCGAATGAGTGGCAAAGGATGTGAGTAGTGCTTAAATGCAATACAGTTTTGCCTGCTTTGACATGCAGACGCACAGAGTCGAATTGACCTGTCTTTTAACTTCTGGAGAGATCATTTTAGTTCTGACGGATAAAGTCGTTTGTCAAATTGGAGTTTCTGATAAGTATGAAAGAGGATTAGGGCCACAAGAAGAGAGAAAAATAATTACAGGAGGGAGATTCTTTTAATTTCCATTTTGAGATTAAAGTTGAAATTTCGAGATTAAAGCTGAAATTTGAGTCAAGATTTGAAAAAAAAAACACAAAATTACATGAATAAAATCAAAATTCTAACTTTAATCTCAAATGTGCATTTTTTAATCTCTAAATTTCGACATTATTCACGACATTTGGACATTTTGTAATCTCAAGATTTCAACTTTAATCTTGATATTACGACTTTGACGTAATTTCGACTTTTTAATCTTGAAATTCCAACTTCTATCTTGAAATTTTGACTTTAATCTTCTTCCTGTAATTATTTTTTTTTCTCGTCATGTGGCCCTACTCCTCTGTCGTACAAAATAGATTTTTCTTTCCCTCAGCTCCTTTAAGTTATAAATTTCAATCGATGATTTTCTGTATCGCAGTCCTAAAATAAAGGCAGGGATCTAGGTCAGAAACTTCTAAAAAAGCTTTTATTTTGAAAGATTTGCCGAAGGACCAAGAATATTTATGCTGATTTCACTTAGCAGCCCCCCGTAAGACATCCCTCTGCATGCTGTCTCCCACAAAAGACCAGACTCCGTTGGACACAGACGTATATTAAAATTAAAAACAACTTGGACCATTTACAGATGCATCTTTGAATAATTCAAAACTGCCCTACATATAGTGTTAAATATGCAGTATTGCCGCCAGCCAAAATCTCTCATCTTTTGGGAGGCCACAGCTTTCAAACCTCTCTCTAGCCTGAGTGGAGGAATGTTCGTGCTCCAGAAAGCGGACGTGGAGTCGGGATGTAGCCTCGAGTTTAGGGAGGGTGTAATGGCTCGTCTCAGATCTATGGAGGAGGAAGGAAAAGGAGGATTCCCGCCCTGTAATTTACTGGGGGCTTTGTGGGCCAACACCCCGGCTTGCTTTGTAATGATGCTCTTATTCTCTGTGGCAAAGGTAATCCAGGGAACCGCGCCTTATCAACGGTTATGAAAACAGCCGCTGCTGAGGATCAGCTACACCTCTTTTATCAAAAGGTGATATTTTCTCTATACAAAAATATAACCGCAACCTTTGGATCCTCAGATGGCTTTGTATACACCTGATGCTTAAAGCAGATGCTGTGTTGACAAACACATGTTAATGATAATGATAGAAAGGTTAAAGCAGTACCTGTAGTACGAGCGGCTCTGGGTTGAATGCCAGGGTCATGAGCAGCTGCATTCTCTCCGTGTCCTTCAGGTTCTTTAGCAGGAAGCTGCCCGAGTCTTTGGTCTCAGCGTACCTGCGGACCACACGGTCCAGCAGCCTCTGAGAGGGGCAGTGCACCAAGTCCGACCAGCCCTCTACTACCTCTGGGGTGAGCAGACGCACATCCCCGTTGATCCTCGCGAACTCAGTCTTGTACATCGCCTGGATGAGGTCGCAGCGCGGCCTGCCTGTGGCTCTCTTACAGATTTTCTGGTCTATCTCGGCCAGCTCCTGGTTGGAGCCGAGTCGTTTGAGCACCACGCGCCGGGTGCCCTCCCTGGGCTCGCCGTACTGAGCGAAGTAAACATTCTTGACATTAAAAACGTCCAGGAATCTTAGTCGACCCCATGTCTCGAAGGATACCTGTCCGTTCATGAATTTGCGGCACCAGCTGGTGCCAAAGCAGGCGGGACACTTGTTGAGGTTGATGAAGCGTCTGTCTGTGAGCTCATTCTTCTGGAAGGAGGCGAACAGGTTGTGGGTGTTCATCAACAAGATGACAAACAATCCCACCACCAGCAAGAGTTTCAGACAGCGATACAGGCGGCCAAGTTTGAGAGGCAGAAAGCGCAGCATGGTGGGGATAGGGGGAGGGGCGGGGGTGGGGGTTCTTGAGGGATAGGGAGGATGATTGTCAGGGGGTTAACCTCAGTGCCTCCCTGTCATGGTGAACCAGGACGGCTTCTAAAGTGGCAGGCAGGGGCGAGGTTGGCACAGCTGCCCCATGCCAGTCTCTGGCAGGGGCTGGTGAGTCATGTTCTCCCTCCTCGGTGTTTGTGTGCAACTTTGAGCCAGCAGGCCTGAAATCAAGAAAGAGAGAGAACTCATTACATCAGGGCAAATAAAAAAGCTACATTTCATAACAGGAAAATTGGCCCTTTTGGACCTGGATAACCGCTGAAAAAAGGTGTGTTTAATTTGTCTTCTGCTGGGGTTGCAACTTAAACATTTCAGTCCTAGTATGCAATTCCTTGTATAAAACAAAAAGCACTCTCTCCAGCATATGAAACTGTCTCACAAATCCAAATTGCCTGGGTCATTTGAGAGATTTCATTACTTTTTTTGAGCAGAAATGAGATGGCCTACAGCCAATGCAATAAACTTTCTTGTGCCTGTTTGAGCTCTTCCACTTTGGGAATAGATTTCTTGTATACCTCGCCAGTTTGGAGATAAATAAAAGTGTGGAAACAGACAAAATAAAGTGTCAGTGATCAAATTAAGAGGAAGTGTACGACATCCTCTCCTAGTTTAAATAAAATGCGCTGTACTCTGAGGATGATTCCTCACAGGATCTCCCTCTGTAGCCACAGAAGTATCCATCATTTTTCCTCCCATGCACAGGAAAGTAACACACCGCAGATACACTGAGCTCTGAAAACCTTGATTTTTTTTTTAAAAATTCTCACTTCAAATGCAAAAATCTCACTTCATTGTGTAGAGAGTCACGCTGTGCGTAGTTTAACCTTTGATCAGAGTTGGCCTGCTTCGTTTTAATCACACTTTGAAGTTCTTTCTTTGAAAATGGCTGGTGTCACTAAAATAACGTCTGTGGTTGTGGGGATGGTGGTGGTGGTGGGGGGACTGCGGATAACTCCATTAGGCATATCGATGTCAGCCAAGGAGGGAATCGTGAGGGAGAGAGAGACAACAATCTGAGCTTCACAAAGCTCTCTGAAGCCTCTCAAGCCCCCCTGTAGTCGAACTCATGATGAGGCCATGTTCGACCCCCCAATCAGCTTTTTAGCTATGAGTCTTGTAAGTCGTCTAAGTGGCTTTAAGAAAGACAATGACTCAGGCCATGCAAATTAGCCATCCCCAATTAGAGCTCATTAGGACATGCCTATTAGGACTGCCGACTTGAGAGGGCACGGCTAACAAGCAGGCACAGTACTGTGATTAGTGCGCGTCGACGGGTTCCTCGCATTTTGCTTTGCGGATCGAAGTGGAAGAGATCTGGATAGACACATGAGCTGGAGGCTGCCGAAAACAGCAGCGATCGTGAGGGTTTGCATGGCTGTGGAGTGTCAGATAAGACGTTGAATGCACTAGTTCTTACCTGACGCCTCTGTCTGAAAATACCTTGAGCAGATCAGGCCAGCAACATCCCTAATGTAAAAATAGACTGTATCCAAACAAGGGGGAACTACAGACAGCCACACCTTTTGTTCTGTCGTCTGAGGGAAACAAAATCATGATGCACATTTTTTTTTACCTCTTTTTCTCAAACAATGTGACTCAATCGTGAGCAGTGTACCATAAATAGTATGTGGATAATGAGAGTTGCAGACTTACTGTCTGTCTTTGAAACAGAAGTTAAACTCGCATCTGTTTTTGAATCAGCAATGTCTGCATTGAAACAAGCAGCTACTGTGAATCTCAATTGAATGCGCCAGAGATCTTTTTTTAAACTGTAAAAGCATTTTGAAGCTTTACGAATTTGCCTTTTAAGACCTACTCCGATGTCTACATGTTCTTATGGCATTTTTCTGATGCTACGGGACATATCATCAGAAAACTAAGTGCGAAATTGCATTTCTGAGTATTTCTGCATTCACATCGCTGTGAACCTCACAGACGAAAACAGCAGGTTCAGATTCAGTGAGATTTCCTATGTAGCAAATCCAAGCTCCGCCCCCAGAGCCCCACTATGCAGGTCACACTCGGAAAAGTAGAGGACGATCGCAGAACAAGCGTGTGCGTTAGCAGATTGCAATGCTCATAAGAAAGGTAACAATGATATTACCTTTCATAATGTCCCTAAAGACATTATTAAAGTTTACAATTTAAAGACTACTGATAAAACTTTAAGTGGTGAAAAAAATGATCACAGTGGGGCTTTAAAGAGAACACACTGAATCTACAATTTCATCACCACATAAATACGTGATAGCGCAGAATCTAATCTTTACAAAAAGACTACTCAACACATTTATCACAATTCAGTAAAAGTGTGATAAATAGACAATAACCATAACCTCAGAGTCGTATCTTTTTACAGAGAGCTCAAAAGAACCCCCAAATGTATTCAATTTTGACAGATATTTCTACTGGATCTGAAAAGAAAGGAAGATGTACCATAAGATATGAAATAAAGAAAAAAGTCTGGAAGACTCGGGAAAACAATTTCAACCTGAGTCAGAGGGAAGCATGCCTTCTCCAGGAGGGAGCGAGAGGAAACTGATTGCTTGAGGGGGAAAGCTGAATATCCTGTTGCTATATGATCTTGATTCAAGTGCCATTTAGCATTTGACACAGGCAGTCACGGCTGCACTCTTGGCTGCAAGAATCTGGAGAGCAGATTTGAGATTTTACTCGGATCAGCAAAGGGCTCCAAGAGGACGAGTCACAACCTCAGCCAGGCCCGCGAGGTGATCACCTTTTCATCCCTATTTTAGAGGAAGAGACAGAGGAGAGAGAGAGGAGAGAGCAGGCTGGAACAAGCCCTCCAACAAGACCTGGTCACAGCGGAGTAATGAGATGCATGAGCTGGCGGCGAAAACGAGGAGAATACATAGTTTTACCTGCTGCTTACCTGTGGAGCATTACCTGGATTAGACGAGTTAATGTATTATCGACATATGGGACGACGACAAACATGCTGCGAATTCTTTTTTGCTTAATAACAGCGAACCTAGAAGCTTAAAAGCCGAATTTGTTGACAATAAAATGACAAAATCCTTTACAGATGGCTTATCCTTGATTCTGCACTTTTTATCATGAAACAGGGAAGAATTAGGATTGAAATACAACAAGATTTAAGAGTTTTTATCGCCTGCTGTTGCTGCTGCTTCACACAGAATAATTGTGTGAGTGAGGCCAAAACATTCAGCTTTATTGGAAGGATGGCACGGTCATTTACAGCGGGGAAGTGTTTTTTTTTTCCTGGTAATTATACCAGTAGACTGCCTCTTGTGAAATCTACGCCTGCATAACCAGCTTTATTTCACTCCCTCACTGTCTGTTATCTGAGAATTACTTAACAGGACGTTCACAGAGGGGAAACAGCGAGCATGGTGAGGTTGCTTACTCAGGTTTTGACAAGGGTAAAGTTCACTTAAAGCCCCAAATTACAGCCAGATGCTTTGTATTCCAACACAGATGTTACCCACCGGAATAGGGGCCAGTGAAATCTAAAGCAGTGTTTTCTTTCGGACGGACCTCATTGTGCCCAAAGAATACTTGTGTTTTGAGTTAACCCCCCTCTCGCCTCTGTTCCTCCCCTGCTGTGCCTCTGTGAGAGGGAGGGATGCACAATACCAAGAGGAAAACCCTGTTTAGAATAAGCACCAAATTACCCCTTGTCATGCAGACATGCTGCCAAAACTAAAGGGGAAAAAAAAAGTTCTTTTGGACGTCTGAACACACACTGTACAAAGTACTGTGGTGAACGCTTCGAAACAGTGGCAAAGAAAAAGAGGGCAAATCAAAGGATGCCTGACTCCTCATGCATGGGAGATGAGTCTCGCATTCGAAATGTTCCAAGTTTGGCAGATGTTAAAAGCCGCAAAATGGCTCATTACCGGGACAGAAACGACGTGAGATAAAGCAATAGGCCCCATGTTGGCTTAAAACAGAATGACAAAGGTCGAGACAGAGCCAGATGACATGGTAATATCCTAATATTTCAACTTTTTATTAAACTTAGATTTTGACAGAATAACCCAGATAAGAAAGAACAGGCTGAAGAGGAAATTTCTTTCTTGAATAATCTTTTCCACAGCTCATTGTGCGAAAACTGGTTTCAGATAATGCTGCACAGGGGCAAAGCTACTCGCAGGCTAACCCATTTCCTTCACTGCACCTGAGGCTAAACTTCATTATGATATAATGAAGTCGAGCCACACATGAACATGCCTGATTAACTCCACTGGAAATGCAAAAGAGAGTTAAAAGGAGGAGTGTTGGAAAGGAGCTGGAGTACAGAGAAGGAGCTGGAAAAATAGAAAAGGGTGAGTGAAAGCTTTAACAGACAGAGCAGGGTGAGAGAAACGTAAAGTTACTCCTCTTGTAAAGAGACGACTTGAATGCAGAGTCGAAGTTTGTCATCTCTGAATGGACACACACGAGCATGTCTATCCTCCAGACGGCCGGCTTCCTAACCAAACCTTTCCCAAAGAGCAGAAAAAGCCTCCTCTGACCCCCTCCCACTCCCATTGCAATGCTCTAACCGGAGAGAGGAACTACTGTTGCCAAGGTTATCGACTGTGGGAGTCAATAATGTTTGATCACAAAAACATTCAGCCACAGCCGGGTTGCCTCAGTACAGCAAACACAGAGACAATGATGGATAGATATAAATGACACTTACATTCTCATGCCTAATGGAAAAATTGAGTCATCATAATACAAGCACCAATTAGTGGCATCCCAACATGAACATAAGTCCATTCATCTCTGGCCCAAACCAGATGCAAAGAGGTTTTAATGAGAATATCAATGATATCTTTTCTGCGCCAAACTGCCTCAGCTATTTTAGAGGACTCACTCACTCACACACACAGAGAAGACTCGCTCTGGATTCTCCAACACGCACTTTTCACTCATTCGAGCCGCTGCGTATTGTCACTCATCGCCTCGACTCTCTGAAAGTTTAAGAAGTTGTCATACTTGTAAATCTATGTTAATGTTATTGCAGAACTGTGTCTCCTAAGTGAGGCTGCACCAGAACTGATTATAACAACCTATCAAAGTGTCTTCAAGCTTAAACAAATGGGGACTACGTGTAGAGCTGGGGGGGTGATTAAATTGATGACCTGACGGATATTTATCGCTCCACCAAAGATCATCTTAAATTACCGTGGCTCCATCTGTTGAAGAATGTTTCATCCGAGTATGGCTGGGTGAGTGTGGAGGTCAAAAACACAAAATATACCTCTCCACTGGGAGCTTTTAGGCTACAATTACAAGACATTCCCCTGCTGAGTGCTGAGAAACATTCAAATCAACCACCAGCAGAATGTCTTAAATACACCGGTCTGCTTTCATAGTTCCCTTGCCAACTAACCTTGCAGAAAAGGCTCCGCAATTAGTCTCCTGATAGGGAAAAATTAATTCGAAGCAGCACATTCTATTCATTAGACTGGAAAAAGAAAGTCCTTAGAACTTATAAAAGGATAAGCCATTTTTTGACTTAACAGTAAGACTGTAATCTGTTTTCCTTGAAGAAATCAAGGGCACGAGTCCGCAAAGACTGTACGATCGCTGAGATCTCATACCCAAGTCAATGCAGCTATTATTGAAAATTATGCTTTTATTCTTGGCGCCTGAGCCTCTCTGTTTGATGGGTAAAATATTAACCTGCTAAGGAGGAAAGAAAGAAACCTGTTGAAGCAGTATTGTTTTTTTCCCCTCAAACTAAATAGGAGGCAACAAAAAATAACTAGATGATACTGTATTTAACATATATTTATCCAAACAACTAAGAGACTGGATTTTAAGGAGGTGGAGGAGATAGGTTACACTCATTAGTACTCCTATCTTGTTTAACAGCTTGTTTATTACATTCATTACACCCCCTATGCAGTAAAATGGGTTTTATTTTACAGACGTCATTTGATGTGTTTAGGTACCCGAGCAGACTGCAGAAAGATAAGACGACGCTCATTTTCGAGATGCCCATGATAGTTGTGTTTTGTGTCAACACTACCAGCTCTGTTCGCAGTAATAATAAACTTCCTGTTACCGTTCAGCGGATGTGGTAATCTGATAGAGGAGTTTGTTTTTGAAAAACACTATTTTATCTCAGCTTTTTATCATTCATGCGGCAGCAACAGTGACGCTTTTACCGCCGAGCATCATCTTGCATGACTTGAAATCAATATAGTTTTGTTTTTTTAACCTATTTTGAATAATGAAATAATGCTTTAAAGTTTAAATTAAATGCATATTACTCTGATTTATTTTTTTTCAGCGAGAAGTAGAGAGGAGAAAAGAGTGTGGAACAAACCTGTGTGACTTTTCCTCTCCGGGTCTGTAGTAGTGTGGTGGAGAAATGCTTAGCGCTCACTTGATATCATTCTTCAAAGTTGCGTTCACTTACGAGGCGGGCGACGGACACTTCAAATCACTGCCCACTGTATGCAAACCGCAAACAGCGTCTTCAAGGATCGATAAAGATCTCTATCATGCAAACTCACACGGGCTCCCCATTTCTAGCTCCTAGGTATCTAGCCAGCTAGCCTGCTAGCTGCTGAAATAAACAGTTGGGTTGTCGAGTCTTAACTCTTCATATACCGGCTGTTTCCGACTGGACGACGCGGTCCTCTTCACAAAGGGCAACAACGTCTATGTTGTCCGTTAGCGTCCATTTCTGTCCGCGTACCATGAGTCCCCTAGTAGTCGCGAAATTGTCTCTTTTATTCTTCTCTCAGGCAGCAGCTCACTCCTCTCCAACACCACAATGGGTTCTGTTTCCACTCTTTTCAACACCAGCCTCTCTAGCCTTCACGACACCCGCTGCCCATTTGCGGCCGCGGTTGCTAAGCGACTGTTCTAATATTGTCTCGTCTGAAACGCCGCCCCCAGTGCAAAGTTTGCCAAGGTTTCTATTTTCTCTCTGTCTACGATAACAGAGCACATCAACAAAATCTTATACGGAGGTTTTTAACTCTTATTGTAATTTGTGGAAATCTTAACGGGGTAGAAAAACAGCTTTATGGTACAATTTCATTAAACCGGATGCAAAGGGGTTGTACAAAACCAACTACTGCTTTGGGTGTATTGTGGCGGTCCTTACTAAACCAGAATCAGAGATAGCAGACTAATTAAACGGAATACATTATTATGTTGGGATCACCCTGTGGAGATAACACAATTCAGACAAAGGGAACTCTAAGACAACTGTCCATAAATATTTAATTGGGTTGCGAGGCTGCAGCATATTCATAAACGAAAAAAAAAACTGTCAAAGCAACAAAAGGAGGAAATAAATGGTCTGTTTTTACATGTGTATTTGTTGTTACAATGAAATAAATGGACCAAAGCACACAGTGAATTTCAGTATTTGACTGGGAAAACCTCACACACGCAGTTTCTTATATGTATAATTTATAGAGTGTCCTGTAATATACAACTTGATTTTATTTATAGTTTTAAGTCAGAATACGAGTCAGAATAAGTCATTTTCCTGTAACCAAACAACCACTTAGATAAATCACTTCTAATTAAGGCCCATGACTAATTCACTTACAGCTAAGGGACAGCGAGTGAGGATTCACTGTGCCAGCTCACGGAACTTCACGAGCATTAGTTTGTATTCACTGCCACCTGCTGGAAGAGCGGAGGCTGACAATGACTAACTGGTGCATTCAGGTACCACAGGACATCCCGCAGTGAGCCCTCGGATTTTGATTAAATCAATTACTAACTACACCCCTCAGCTGATCGTCCAAGTATGTTTAACTTTTTGAGTTTTGCTCGAGCCAAGCAGGTATATTTACTGCATCCAAAAAATTACAGTGTTTTTTGTTGTTGTTTGTTTTGTTAAAATGCCGCCAAAAGGGGCTTCAAGTAGTTTACAGTGAAAACAGGAGAAGGCCGATCCGAGTAAAGGATTCAGATGGTGTTACTCAAGAGACTTCACGGTTCAGTATTCTGTGATAAAGGATGTATGATTAGTTTGATCAATATTTTGTCTGTTCCTCCTAAAAAATATTATATATCTTTTTTTTAAACAAACGATTCTTTTTTTTTATTATCATTTTTCCCTTTGGACCACAAACTGTTCTTGCAATTTATTACTGTTATTTTGTGCTCTACCCCAAATTTGCACTGATTAAAATTAGATTAAAATGTTGTTTTCTACGAAATTTAAGTAAAACCATAAAATAAAGTTTGGTTTTCCGGATGTCATTGAAAGCAGCAGCATGTCTCCAGTGCTGCTGATGCGGATGTTGCTGCAGCTGCCGACATAAATCAAAAGTTTGTTTCCGAAAACTTCTACCACAGCCTTGAAGATGACGAGCGCTGAGAAGTTCAGACAAGACAATGTAGCACTATTGGTGCTATCTGCAGTATTCTTGGCACTTATTACCATTCTCAGTGTGTGGAAGTTAAAACAGTTTAAATATCGACTCATACATGAAACTGGGGGTGCAATGTTTTGTGGTAAGTAGCCCTGGCTTAAAGTGTATTTGAGGATAGGCTGAATACGGAAGCTGTTATTAAGCAACACTTCCGAGGCTTACAGGTTCAAAACCTGTCTGTAATTCTCCCCAAGAAAGTTTGTTTTGTTTTTTCTTTGGGTTTCACCTCAAATGGGTCTAAATTATTTAGTTTTGCTTTGTGCACCAGCTTTTTTTGTAGACTTATTTCAATGTGAAGAGTTTTTTCTGGTTTTGAAGAGCCAAAATAAACATTAATTTCTCTGTTAAAACTAATGAGACCTTGAGTGACAGGATTGATAAGTTTCATAATATTATTTTGAATGCCTAAAGCAGCTATGTGTGCTGGGTGTTGGACAAAATGAAGTTGTTGGTTATGCATCCTGACACCTACCCTGCAGCAGTTGTTTCAGGCACTTAGAATGACTCCATATAATTTGTCTTTATGATGGAGATTATGTTTGCCTTTTTAGATCACTGAGAGATATCAGTATTAATTTCAATCAGTTGCATTACAAGTCAAAATATCTTCAGTGGAGCTTTAATAATGAGAAATAGTTTGACGTATGATTTATTCGTGGTGATTTATTTCGCTATAGTGGGATGCTTGTTTAATTTGGATCAATGTTTTACTGTTATGCCAAGGTTACATCGACTCCAAGGTGGTCTAGATGTCATAACAAATTTGATAAGCATTACACTTGATTTATAATATTTAATAAAAGCCGTTTTCACTTGTGTTACATCACCAGAACAACATACAATATAGATAAGCTTCTTACATATCATTTGTGTGAGGTTGTATGATTTTGTTGATTTGTGTTGGATCTTATCATAAAGGCATGATATTACTTGATTGATTTTTTGTGACAGCAAGCTTTATTCTTTGTTTTTATTAAATTTTCATGCAGGTATGCTGGTTGGGTTGACAGTGAGATGCTTATCATCTGAGTCTGGAGGACATTTGATCAATATGGAGACTGTTTGCACTTGCAGTGGTCTTAACAGCACTCCTCACAGCTTGATGATCAACATGACATCCCACTTTGACTGTTTTAGACACATCGGGAAGGTCCGTGAGAGATGCCCCACAGTCTCAAGCCCTCATATGGTAACCATGGTGATTAAATTTTAACTTGCATTTCAAGTACACATTACAGAGGTGGGTATTTTTTTGTGGATAGGTGTAGCAGTGAAAACATTTGCTTCAAAGGCTGCAAAATCAATACTGCAGAAGGAGCACAGAAAGATATTGCATCATACAAAATGTTTCTTTTGGTGTAATATTGTTTCATTTTTCACAAATATTTGGCTTTATATCCTTTCCTTTAATCGCATCTACATTCTGTCCCTTGTGTATGCTGCTTATTCACATGAACATTGTCCTCTAATGCTGCTCACTTATTGGTTTTCCTCTGAATTACTTTCACGGTCTGTTTGTTATTAAGGAAGCAAGAGAGAGGTGGTACTGAGAGATAGTGGGATGGAGAGCAATTTAACCTATATTAGGGATTTATTAAGGAACAGATAGCAGAGATAGCGGCTTCAGATGTGCTGTGAGAACAAGAGGAAATTACAAGGCAACTAAGCACAGAAACCAATAAACAAAACGTATACTTAGACTGTAGAAGTGGAGGTAATAAAGCAACAGAGGGAGCTGATCAATGAACCAGAAATGCTACGCTCTAGATTTTCTCAAAATAACATCCATGCCGATATCTGTGAGCACCATTTAAAAACAAAACATTTGCCTATAATGGTAACGGTCAGAATTGCAGATGGGAGGTTGTGATACAGGCAGGGGATCTCAACATTTGCTGCAGCTTCTTCCTCCGAAAAAGAGACATGGCCTTGACAGTTCATGACACAAAACAGTGCATGAATGTGTATCATAGTGAATGTCAATAAAGTAAATTATGAAAAATGCTGTTGGACTGCAAATCATAAAGCAGTTTAGTAAGCATTCAATGGTGCATTTTTACTGAGCCATATTACACTGTTGTCAATAATGTGGTTTAAAGGTAAAGGAATTGTGATAATTAACAATCTGTAGTTGCCAGATTCTAGATTGGATTGCTCCCTTGCTCACCCCTCTCGTCTGTGAAGCAACGGCAGCCTTTGGGGACAAAAAGCCCCTGTAATGCATCAAAGGTGGATCCTCAGTTTACCAAGTTTTTTCTCATTAAAAATAGCTCAATACAAATTCTTCTGCGCACAACAACAGATACTCTATTTGTCTTTGTCCTCAAACGAGATACAAAACCCCATATGCCACTAGTTTGTATGTTCTGAGCCTGGACAGAAACATGGTCGGGCAGGATGGAATAAAATAAATTTGAAGGTTTTATAATATCTGCCAAGCCCATGGCTGATCTTTAGTTATCTTTTGATATTATCACTGTTTGTTGGCTTTGGTTTTTATCCAAGTCATTCTATCCATCCTGAGCCAGGGATTCACTGAAAATTTGTCCAACAAGCATGAGAGGAAGTGAAATGAGCGTGTTTGAAGATGTATTTCCCAATTCCAGAGTGACATTTTAACCCAAGAACAAGTGAGCAAGTGAACCATGAACCTTGCAAATCTTCTAGGCCAAGTGTAACTCTTCACTAATGGCTTGGACTCTTTGGCCCCCTTTGAATGCTTGGTTCTCATTAGTAAACCAGCAGAGGCTACCACAAAGGCCATTACATCAGTCAGTCTATTCTGTGTAGCCTTCCTGCCATTAAGTCTGATACATATGGGGGACCTAGCTGGGCCAGATAAGGATTTCACTGCATTACTGAGTCCATTATGTGCCACCGGGGAGTAAGGCATTAAAGTTTGTGGTCTGATTAAATATAGCGCAGCTCGGCTGAAGAGGCAATTAGTGTATACAACACACCTCCATCTTTGACTGTGTAGCGCAGGTGGTCCTAAGAATTAAACCCTCAGAAGTGCATTATTTATTTTTTACATTGTATTCGTCTCTTTCATGTAGTATTACATTTGTCATGCACAGCCTGAACAGATGAAAAATATATGCAAACTGTGCTGTGCGGGTAATTTCAGCTGCAGAAAAAGTAATTCGTATTGCAAAAAAGGCTTCGTAGTTGACAGAAAGAAGCAATTAGTCGCCCTAGAAACCAATCCAAGTGTGAATTACTGGAAAGCACGGTGGCTGAAAAACTATTCTGGGGGCTTTCAGGCATAAGAAACAATAATTAAAGATATCGTGTGAAATTTTAAATAGTAATGGAACAGAGTTCAAATAGTAAGAAAATGAGCTATAAAAGCAAAGAAAAACATCCCCAATCAGACTGATTCTCTTTTTTGTGGTTATTTGAAGTTATTGAAACTGGTGCCGCAGGGTAGGAGGCAGGTGAAGCGATGAACTGCGAAGCTAAAAGAATTTTTTTATCATAATCATGGCTATGATTCTTGATGAATGATGGTTAAAAGACAGTAGGATAATATTTTGTGTGGAAAAAACTTAAGCATGTGCAAATCAAGAACCCATGAACTTCAGAGGAGCTTTAAAGAAATAATAGTAACAAATCCATATTACATTGAAATGTAAACCAAAATATTTTTCAAAGTAAGACTTATCTTTATTCATTCTCAATATCTAAGCTTTCTTTAACCTTTCTTCAACCTTTTTTATTTTTGTTTAAAGTCAAATAAGAGCCATTCTCAAAAGTGTGGAACCGCAGTAAACCCCATCTCCACATCTTTCCTCTGGATTGAAATTCATTTGAATATGAATGTAACTCTTAGCAATGTAATGAGACCTTATGAGATGTAGGGACTGCAGAAAAAGTAGCATTATTTTGATCTGAATTGACTATCACTGCTGTTTGATCCTCCGAACGCACCCACAATAGACATAAAAAGGATTCAAGGATGAAGTACATGAAAGGCTACCTTTCTGAGCAGCTTGCATTGCACTATATTGGCTAGGATAAGAAACAGCCACAGAACGTGCGCTGTATGATAAAAATGCCCTGCACTCTTTGCTTGCTGTCTGCATTGAAGGTAGATTGCCATGTTTGCTGGCAGAATTTACTCAATCTGTTGTCTGAACACCTGTGGCTATACTTATGGTACTTGCTTATTTCTATTCCAGTGACTGCTGGGAGCCTCCATGCTGAAGACTGACACGAGCTGTTAGGCTTCTCACTTTGTGTTATGCTTCGCTTTAATCAGTCTGAGAAGTCTGAGTCATGGCACACAGACAAAATGCTAATGTAATGCAGTACACAGTGATTATACCAACAGCTCTATAAGCAGCATCTTGCGGCTTAACTGAAGGCCCAAAGTTTGCTGAAAAATTTGTTGCATTTCCTAGCCATAATGGAACATTTAAACACCAATTAACACACATTTTAATCACCTAATTGCAATACTCTTACAGTTTGATTCAGTAGATTTTGTACTTCAAAATACAAGGCAATTACACACTGAAAGCAAACTAAAGCAAAAGAACTGATTGAAATATAAAGTGGAATAATAATAAGAATGTTATTGTTTATTCTAGATCTAAAGTTGTTGTTTTTTTTTTTAATCCAAAAAATGCTCTATTGTCAAAAGACACACTGTATACTGTGTTTTTATCTCCTTGTTTTTATCTCAATAGCTGACATATTCAGTATGTGAAGAATAATGTATAGTGAGCAGATGGTTATGCAGATTAGAAACCTGACAAGGTGAGGTGGACAACCAACCAATCACATAAAGAAACTGACTCTAAATATTTGCTGCGTTCAAGTTACCTCGCAAGTCAGATGTCCGAGCTGGGAATGACGCCACACCTACGTTACCAGCGTTTCAGTTACCAAGTTAGAAAAGCAAAATCGGAGGCGGGAACAAGATGGCTACATCTACGAAATGGGGTGCTAAAATAACTTAAAATAACTAAAATAACAAGCCCTAAAATAACTTGCGCAAATGTAGCCATCTCGTTTCAGCCTCCAATTTTGCTTTTTTCCGACTTAGTAACCGAAACACTGGTTACCCGGGCGTCATTCCCAGCTCGGACATCTGACTTCCGAGGCAACGCGAACGCAGCAATTGATCAAAGATAACTTTATCGCTTAGAAAAAGAAAAAAAAAGTAAATTGCCCCTTTAATTCCATGGTTAGAGATGCTGCCATGGCAACAAATTCTTCTCAGCCTTCTTGCAGGAAAAATGAACATTAAAAGTGAAAAATTACATTTCACTCTCTGCCTATTTTTTACAAACCACCTCAAACTGAAGTTAACACTATACTCGCCTAGGTGATGAGCTAAAGAACACACTGTACATATTCCATCTGTTTTTTAACGCAACTTAAAAGTTAATACCCAACATGGTAAAAATTTCCCCCTATTTGAGCTGTTAAAATGCATCAAGATAATACGTCTGTTCAGTCAAGGTATCAGCTTTAGAAGAATTAGAGAAGTTCCAGCATTAGCACATAAACCTAGAGTACCACACAGAGACATGACATGCAACAGTTTTTCCATTTTAAAGAGAGCAGAGTTACTGCTGTGTTGGTACCTGCAGACTGTTATGAATTGGAAGAGTAAAAAGAAGAAAGTCTACTGGAACACAGCTGCTAAAGTGCACAATAAGTGTGTGTGCTTGTGCGTGTGTGTGTAGTAGACTGTCTGTCAGACGGTAAACAGAGTCCTCCTATCCCCACAGAGCCCTGTCAGTCAGTCAGCAACACAACAGCTCTGTCTCTTTACAGGAGACCTTTGATCCGGAGGTCCTTTTCAATCTGTTCCTGCCACCCATCATCTTCCATGGGGCTTACAGCCTTAATCAGGTGAGACGGCTGCCCTGACATGCCTCAAACTAGTGGAATAGACTTCATCAGAGGACTGTGCATTTAATGTGTGTGCTTCTTCATGTTGAAAAAGAAGCTCTCTGTGGAGTTTATGCTGCTTTTTTTTTTTTTTTAAATCAAATTTCAGCAACTGTGTCACATATTGTGTTTGTACAGTGTCACTGATTTGTTTTTATTTTTATTCCAGAGAAGATTCACTGAAAATATTGGATCCATTGTGACTTTTGCTTTTCTGGGCACCATTATCAGCTGTACTATCACAGGGTAAGCCTTTTTTTTCTGTTCAGTCACACAAGTGAAAACAATAGAAATACAAAAAAAAGACACAAAGCTGAGGTGCAAAGAAGTGAGAGAACAACTGTGAAACAGCACCTGCTGTAGGAAGATCTCACAGCAGTGGATTTTTTCACGCAAATCTACAACATTTAAAAGGATTCCTTGATTTTAATGTGCGTTATTTTGGTTTGTTTGCTGACAACATTTTAGCTGAGGTACACTTTATCCAAAAGTATACATGCTTCTCTCTTCTTAAATAGGCTGTATGAAAATATTGACAATTCGAGATTTTCAGTTCATATGTTGCTCATTTTCAGTCATATTAAAGCTCCTGTAGGGGAAATGTTTGTTTAGTTTAGTTTTTGCCCTCATGTGTTGACAGACCCTTTGCTACTCTTCCCCCATGCATGCATAGGAAGTGCTCTCTGTCAAAGAAAATCTCATCCTGCGTTAAATTTAATACACACTTTAAATATTTATGGAAAAAGTTGCCATTTGTCTGGCTCCCTCATCCCTTGAAGTGAAAATATATAGAAACTGTCAGTCTTAATGCCTTTGCCGGTCATTGAAGCGTCACTTTTAATATCAGTCTGTTTCACAGCTGATTAAAAATTGCTCATGGGGGGCTTTTAATAAAAAAACTATCTGGAATTTTGGGACATTTGTTAATTTATTGACTGTGTCCCAGTTCCTAACAGTATACCTTTATATGGCACATAAAACTGATGCAAATTATTAATTTTACAAAGGTAATCCATCTTTAAAGAGAGTTGAAAAAGGTTTTTAAAAAGGTCTCATCCCAGTTGGCTTTGTGCATGTCACTGTGGTACAGTGAGGCTTAAATAGCATTGGAGTATCTGATAATGTTGAAAACTTATCTATTTTATATGGTTCCAGAAAGCTCTGTTGGTGTACATGTATGCCCTGACATACTAAAGTACATATCATAATTCACCTAACATGAGAAGTCTGTAACACACATAAACAGGACCTTTAAAACAAACAGATTGTCTCATTTATTCGTTTCGACTTCCTATAGAATTTTCTGTTCATACTACTTGCTGCTATTCCAGTTTAAAAAGCTAGATGGCACTGTCTGACTTCAGAGGAAACAAACATTAACTGATGCATTCATTTGCTGAGAGCAGAGGCTGTAAATAAACCTCAGAAGTCCAGTTTTATTGGTGCACTGAAACAACTCCAGTCTCCTCTGTGAGCAGAAATAGATAATAGTCAACGAAAATGTTTCATGTTTTAAAACTGATGTTGGAGATGGTGATGGTGTTGAATTGGACTATACTGAAAGGTGTATCTGGAACAATATTCTGCCCCCTTTACCTCTTTATATAAGAATCTACAACATCAGCTTTAACTACAACTTAATGAAGTAAGTATAAGTGGATTAACTGACATATTTAACATAGTTTAACCCAAAGTGAACATAATGAGCTTTAGAAAGATAGAGGGTTGTAAATTAGTTGTTGTATTGAACTAAAGTAGATTGTCTTTTGTATGGTTTCAGTAGTTCTTTCCATCTCTAAAAGACACTTTCTTGCTCAACTGATCACATTTTAGCACCGTTTTAGGAATTTTGCCTTTAACATCTTTCAGCTGAGTGTTTTGGACTCCTCTAACCTTCAGAAACTCCAGTATCTAAGATGTTGTCTCTCCTGCCTTTTAAGCAGTGCGTCCCCCCTGGAGCACCCTTTGTCAAACTCTCCCACTTCCCCAGGGATACAGGGCAGGGTTTGACATGTCGGGTCACGTGCACATTCTTTGATACGAAGGCACCAGACCTGACCAATCCCGTCGCTTGTTAGCGAGTCTGCTTTATCCCTTTGGGAAAACAGTGTCATGGGAGTGAGGGAGCCTTTCTGAGTCAGTTGACAGAGCACGTCCACTTCCTCCCCCCCAGTGTGTGTGTCTGTCTCACACACATACACACACAAACACACACACTACACATCATTACCATAACTGCAAATCTCCCTTAAAGATACATGATTAAGACAGCTTAGCTGCCCAACCTGTGGGCACTGCTTTAAATCCCAGCCTTAGGGACAGGTCGTGTGCCGTCACTATGGTTACATAGTGATGCCAGTGGACAGAAAGGTCCCTGGGAAGACACGCTGGCAGCCTGATTATTATGGGATGCTTCACAGTAACAGGATTAGTACTTAACACACATTCTTTGGCGGTGAGACGCTGGACTGTAAGGCTGAATGCTGAGTAGATGTGTTGGCATATGGGTCACAGTGTGCAAGTTTCTTTGACTTATGACATGCAGCTGTGCATTCTGGGCCAACAGGATTTAATATTTGGGCTTATTAGATTTGTCTAACCCTGTTTTGTAGTTTTCACCCTCAAACATGCCTTTCAGACAGGTAATTCTCTGGACACACACTTGCACACACTCTCACTTTATAAATAGAACTTTGTGTCCACCTGTGCAAAGCAGCCGCTGCCTCCACTCATGCACTGGCCCCGTTACCCAGACTTCTCTAGGGGAAGCCCCGTTGCGGTTAGAGAGGCAGCTGATAGGACTTCTCTGGCTGGCGCTTCTTGATGACCTCACATTGTGTCCCTCCGTCTGTCCTCCACGGCAGGGCCTGCGTCTTCGGCTTCACCAGACTGATGGTGCTGTTTGACCTGGCAGCAGATGGAGACTTCTTCTTCTCCGACTGCCTGCTGTTTGGAGCCATCATATCAGCCACTGACCCAGGTAACGATGAACTCACAATGAACTGGCATCACTTCTAAAGGCAAAATTGTTTAATATCTAAAACTCTACAGCCAAAATTCTACATCATTTCACAAGACACACACTTTCTTTCTTCATAGGTGCAAAAAAAACCCATCCGAAATGTTCTCAGGCATGCCCTGCACACACTCATAAGAAGTATTCAGTCAGTTCAATATGTACAAATAAGCTAGAGTAAAAAAAATGATGAAATCCATGATGGGTGAAGACTGGTTGAGTCTCTGTAGATTTCTCCCCTCTGCTGTTTCTTGATTTTGATCTGGTACATGGATTTCTCTGCAGTATCAGACATCAAGATGTCACAAAAGCGCACGTATCCTCAGCTGAAGTCTGAATACAGAACCTAAAGCAGGAAAAAGCCCGGTAAAAGAAATTCAGATTCTTTTTTTTTTCATTTTTTTCACCCGCAGAAATGGAAAGAAGACCTCTGTTTGGTATTTCTGCCACCACTTTTATGAGACCTTTTTACTTCAAGTGAAAATAAAGAAATAAATGAATGAAAAAAATAAAAATATTGAAGGAAACAAAGTAAAACTTAATTTTATCCTTGCTGGAACATGCATATCTTTCAGTTGGCTATACTGGTAGATTCACTGTCATCCTCATCACCACAAGTCCCCCCTAGTGGTCACAGTCATGGTCTGCCTCTTCTTCTCAGTTGCACATTCCTCATATCTAATTCATCACGATACAGTTTTAATATCTTATGAGTGATAAGCAGTGATGGATAATATCAAGAAATCATATTTTTATGTGCAGTTTTCTAGTCCTTTTAGGCTGGAGCCAGCACTGATGTTTGTAAAGCAGCACAAATCATGCAAAATAAAAATTCGCAGTTCCTGTCAAATGTGTCTGAGCTGACGTCTGGAGCCTGTTGGGAGAATGTAAGGAGTGGGAAAGGCAGATTTTTGTGCTCACATATAAAGTTAAGCTACCTGCAAACTCTGCAGAAGTGTTTGTTAATACAGTTGGAATATAAAATATGTTACAGAAGGAAAACCCAGCATATGGTGTTTCTCTCCCCCACATCTCTGTTTCTCCTCTTCTAGTGCACCAAAGATACTGTTAGCTCTACATGCTGTATATTTGAGGTGTTTGCTGTTCAAATCAATAACACATATCTCTGTTACAGCTTTGGCAGTACCATCATACACGACCATCCTTTCCTTTGTCTCTATACTTTTGCATAACAAAGATTGATAGTCAAGGCTGGAGGCAGAAACAAAGTCACAGTGCCCTCTCAGTAACTGCTTTGAATCCGTGTCACCTTTTCCTCGTGGAACCACCGCATAATTTGTGTTTTTGAGTTGGATGTCATAAGGCATCCAACAATGCTGCCAAAGCGGGAATGTTAATGTTCCAATTTGGTAATGAATTAGATTAAATAGTAAATGGCTGAAGAGGACAGCTGATCATTATGGTGCAGCTGTCAGTCAGAAACTCAGCTTCACCCGACCCCAGCGCCCTCATCACTTTGATAAGAATCACACTGCAATGCATCCACCGCCCAAACGCCAAGACCTCTTGGCTGCCTCCTTCTCCTTCTGTCCAAATACGGAGCCAGACCCTTGATTTTCAAAGAGGGACCCATTAAACTTTCCGTCTCTCTTCTCTCATTTGTACATTTGCATTTAAATGTGCAAGACAACCACAAACACACCACTTTCAATTCACACATATACATGCACATTTTTTTAAAATTTTGATGTCAAAAGCCCAGAGTGGCAGCTCTCTGCACGTGTCAGTGACTCACGGGGAGACAGCCTCACTGTCACGTCCAAACTGAAATGATGGAGATCGAGAGGATGCTGTGAAAGTCATCACAGGCTGGCAGCTAAGCGTTGAGGGAAATTGAATTTATTTGCTTCTTTTCTTGCACAGAATTCTGGAGTATTGCAGAGATATGGGATTATCAGGTCGTCATTGCAGCTCTTATGACTTATTCAAGCCCCCCCCCCTTTTTTTAGAGCAGTGCTCATGAAATAACATTAGTCCTGCTTATGAAATTGTTATGGTGGATAAAAGAATGTGACATTAACATGTGGCAGGCTATCTGAAGCTCAAGATCATGATATAATCATCTTGATATTCTCCCTAACAGATGCTTTCTGAAAAAAAAGAAGTTTCAGAAGGAAAAATCAAGTTATGAGGAAGAGACTATTTTGTCTAATAATTAGATTTAAATAAATAATACAATAATTCCTGGTTTTCACAAACTTTAGCCAAAACAAGTTGCATAATTATTACACTTAACTCTCTAAAAGTCTTGTTTGAAAACTCACAGAAGTTTCCTTTTCTTTCTACTTCTTTTTTTTTTTTTAGCATATCTTATGAACATTTTCACCGTGTGAACATCAGCCAGCATATAATACAAAGCAGAAGTTTCTGAAAGTCTTCAAATAAAAGTTTTCTTCATTTGACAAAGATTATTAAAAAAAAAACAAAAAAATCTGAAAATGTTACAAAGTTTTATGAAAGCTTCCATTTAATTTCTGTAAAACCTCAATTTTGAAAACATTTCTAAAATGTTTTAAAATGATTTTTCTGGAAATCAACTAAAAATTCCTGTAATGTTTGAAAAATTTCCATTAAAATAGTTCCAAGCTTTCACAAAATCCTCAAAAAGTTCAGTTGACAAGTTAGTGTTCAACAAGTTTTCTCATGTTTTCAAGAATATTTTGTACAAAAGAACATGTTCAAACAGTTTTAGGCAAATGTTTTTAAAAGCATAAAAAAATTAGCAATGGAAGTTTCTTAAATTTGCTTGAGAATATTTAGATAAAAGTTTCATGTGTATAACTGACTGAAAACCAGGTGAGAACAAAGACATTTTTGACTCTGTAACTTCTAAGTTCTGGGGCTTGTACCACTCCCCAAAGCTTTGAAACCTTGTAACCTGTTCTTATAAGACTCGCGGTTCAGGTCACAAAGAAGAACACCTGCTGTGGTGCATCCTCCAGCCTCAGGCTTGGTTACCAGAGGTCGTGAAACCTTCGCTTAACTTTTCAAAGGCAGAATTTTTTATGGCTGGGAATGCTCTGCAGTTTTTCCTTTCATCTTTGAGTTTATATTTAAATATTTATTTTCTTATTTGAAAGAGTCCTCTGATGTGAACACTACAATTTCTCTCTGGATGCCAGAGCTTCCAGTAATGCTGAAGTGGGACATTGATTTTTTTAAATAGGGCAGTCAAATGATTCAGTTTTTGATAGCAATTAATTGCTAAAAAGAGTTAATTCTGGTTCATCAAATTTTAGTCCATTGTTTGAAATTCCGCCATGATGCATATCAAGAAGGTGTTCAATGCAAAGCAGTTCTTACCAGTGTCTCGATGTAGTTTTATTCACAGATCTTTACTGTTACTCTGAAAAATAGTACTCCACTGGCTTTTGCTACGCAGCCAGCCCCTGACTTCAGTCTGATTAGCTTACCATTTGCTTAAATTGCTGGTGGTCGCTTGAACTTTAAGTGCTTTGGTGACATTCTCATTTAGTTTGACACAAAATGCATATTACTTTTGATTACCTGTCTGTGTATTTTTAAAGTGAAAAGTGCCTCTCAAAAGGGCAGGGTATTGTTATTTTCCATTAGCAGGAAGCAAGAAGACACTGCGGTAGCTTAAATACTGTGCCCTGAAAGGGACAAAAGAGTCTGTGATATAAACAAACATAGCTTGAGAGTTACTACTAAAGTCGAGAGTAAAATACAGTTAGACTCTGGTGTGAACATAATGCAGTCTACCAGCAACAATGCAATATTACACTTGGAAGTGAGGATTATACTCACTGTTGAGCAGCAGTACCATGCATTTCAGAAGAAGTAAGATAAAGTTGCAGCTTTTAGTGACTAGTCTTAAGCAAAATGTAGTAAGCTCAAACAGACACTGGTTACAAACTGAAGCTTACAATATCATGAAACTGGTATGATTCAATAAGGCTAAAACACCATATTCCATCCAGCCTTTCTTGCACTTGTTGCTTAGAGCTATTTATTCATGGCTGTTCTTGCTCTTACTGCATATTTAGATAGATAGACATCTTAGATGGTGGGAAAACAGAAACTGACAGCTAGAAGTGTGTAACTCGATCTCAAAAGCCCAAACTTCTCAGTTGTCAGTAGTAGGTCAACCCATCCATCTTATGGCCTCATTCATGTGTCAAAATACGAATATCTCTTAGATCTTAGTTTACGACTTATAAGTGCACATCAGCACACACATTAACAACTATGAAAACGCTTCTTTTTTGTTATTTCTGGTGAGCTATGAATGTAAAACGCAGACTTATCCAGATATATATCCCATTGAAATGCAGCTTAAATCAATAGGGACCTTTTTCTAGCCAACCAAAGATGATAAAGAGAAAAATCTAAGAGAACTATCAACTTTGTAATGCTGGTTTCCTTGCTTTGTAGCCATGAGCTGTGACCCCTGTTTGTGCACTTGTCCCTGCCCTCATATCGAGTACTTTTCACCCTCAGCTCTGAAAATTATAGCAATTCCCTGTTGACTGTTGTCTGCCTAATTTGGCCGAATCAGCGAGCAAATCCCACGCTCTCTAACCACGATGGCCGCGGGCTTTGCCTCCTCTGAACCTCTGCAGCTGGGTAATTTGACCTAATAAGGCTTCCATCCAACCCTTTCAACTGTATTAGGTCTGAAATAATTGTCTACTCTCTCTACCTTATGGTGTTGCTGTGGAAACTGATGAACACTTGACAGCTGTAGGACGTGGGTTGCCATGACAACCCAGCCAACCCGCACCCTCCCATGTATGAGAGAATGTGTGTGCGGTGGACGCTCTTTTTTTTTTTTCCCCATCTTGCAGAGCGACTGGTGCTCGCCATGCTGTCATCAGCCAGGCATTATGGGTGCAGGGAGATGGAACGATCGTGACTTCAGGGGCCTACCTCACCCCCTTCAGATAAAGGATCTTCCCTCAACCAGGAAGAGCTTTAAACCTGTCAAAGACCAAAGAAGCAGATCTGTCAAAACAAGTCCTAAGGCTGCTCTCTTGCCACTGCTCTTATTGTCAGTCTGCTCGTACACGGACCATGATGCCCTCTCTGACCCGATGTTCACTACGGGGCCAAACATCGCTATCATGCTAGACTCATTATTCACAACAGCAAGCTCCATGACACGGATTTAAAGGATTTTTTTCCACATCTTGGCCTCAACAAGTGGAACATGAACCTAAGGAGAGCAGTTGTTGTGAATATGAAATTGTCTGGCCTTTATAACGGCACTGCTACAAACTCCCATTTCCTCTCCACTCCTGTGTTATCATAGTTGTGTATGTGTGTGTGTGTGTGTGAGAGAGAGTCTGTCTCCATACCCAACATTGTTTTTCCTGTCATATGATAATTTTGTTTTGCCTTGTCTCTCCTGGGATGGATTTGTGCCAGCACTTTCCTATCGACTTTATCTCATCCATCCGTCTATCTAGCAATATATTTAACTGCAGCGATATCCTGCACTGTGATGTTAATCTAATCTAATCTGCAGTTTCTATACACATAGAGCTAACAATGCTGCAGCTTGCAGAAAGAAATACCATGTGTTGACAGGAAGACTGAAGCGGACAGGCCCATCAGCGCCTCGTCAATGTCAGTATTCGACTTGTCACTCAGTGTCAACGCACAGCCGTTCTGCGCTGCCGAGATGCGTGCGCAACATGCTCATTCATATTCTCAGCATCTTGTGCCCCGTGTTTACCCACTCCATGCGAACTCACCACAGAGTTCTCCTCACATTACAATCATTGGATGCAGTAAGAGGAGAGATTCAGTCGTATGAATGATTTATAGTACTCAGTTTTTATTAGGGATATCACATTCAACTTACAATACAGCACAGTTCAAGATGCTGGGTTCAATAATACTTTTTTAAGGGTGTATGTAAATGACTATTTATTTTTAAGCTTTAGGGAGGAGATTCCCGAAAATGATGTTCTTGTTCCGCTTTTATTTTACCTTTCTCACTGCTTGTGCCAAGGTTACTTTATCTCCTGCATTGAGAACAAATGTGGGCTCTCTCTGGGTCCTCCTGCTTCCTACAACTACTCCCACAGTCCAATGGTACACTTGTAAGGTTAATTGGTGACTCATAATAGCCTGTAGGTGTAAGTTTGTGCATGAATATTTTTTTCATGTCAGCCCTGTGATAGGCTAACAACCTGTTCAATGTACTCTGCCTCTCTCCCAATGATGGCTGGAATTGGCTCCAGCTTCCCACGACCATTAATGGGGTAAAGGGTCAGCATAGATAATGGATGAATGGATGGTGACGAGTGTGGATAATAAAACGAAAGATGTAGATTGAAAAACAGCAAAATGAAAGATGAACGTTAAAAATATTATCGGGATGAAAAAGAAAAACATTGAAATGGTTGGACCTCCAAGGTATGAGCCATGTGTTGACATATCCAAATCAACGTTACCTTTAGAAAAAGCTAATTTAGGGTACCTTCTTTGGTTGATGAAACCTTTATTGCTATAATGACTGAACTGAAGGAATATAATGTTGTCATGAGACACCAAGCAGAGGATTTTTTGTAATTACACAGTTTTAATTTCTTATCCTCCAGACTCACTGCTATCCCGGGTTCAAACTACAACTGTTTCATTTCACGTAAACCAAAGCCGTCTGGGCTTAATAGCTCTACAGTGTTTTTGTGTGGGGTTTTATGGGCTTCAGTGTTTGATTTCATCTCTGCAGGATTCATACATTGGCATGAGATTAGAGTTAAATCATCTCCAAATGTTACAGTTGAATGCTGGGGATTCCCTGATAGATGTTAGTTATTGAGATTAAGACAAGACTCCACAGCAAGATCAAATTAGACTTTTTAACTCAGAAAATCTGTTCAACTTTTTGAGGCACACAAAGTTGTTTTTAGTAACTTTGACTTTTTTAAAATAGTGATTCAGTTGTTAAGGTTTGGTTTTTATGATCCTTTGGGTTTCTGTTTTTGTTCTAGTTTTGCTGAAACCAGAACAGTGACATTTCTGTGTCACAAACATCTTACAAAATCATGTCACATAAAACTCAACAACACCCACTGTGCGTGTAAACCCCGTGTCCACTGAAAATCATTGCAGAGAGGCTTTGTGGTTGAGCAGTACATCCTGAGATGTTTGTTGTTTGTGTATTTGAGCAGTGAGTGAATCTTCCATTATTGAAAGCATGGAGCGCTCTGCCTGAATTCCCCCACATTAGACTGTAATTGGCTTCTTTTGAATGTTCATTTGTGTCTTTTGAATTGTTCATACAGCTGCAGCATCCGAGCTCTAATCTCTGCCTTTTCCACCTCTGTTTTCTTTAAATCTGAGAATGCCACAATGATACAAAATATATATGATTAATTTTGTGACCACAAATATAAGAGAAAATTTATTTTTCATATATTAATATATAAATCATTTTTTTTTTTTTTTTTATAAAAAGCTTCTAAGGTTGAAAATATATCAAATCTTTAATGGGGGAAACTCTACATTTTAGGCGGTTAAACTGTAACTGGTAGCCATTTTTGCTGTGGTGACCAATTAAGCATTTTTTCTTTCCTGTTTTTTCTTGTTTTTTTTTTTTGCAGACACAAATATTGTCTGTACCAGAGCCCAGTGTACTAAATGTTTGCTGATTTGGAAGTTTCAAACTTTCATTGCTCTGTTGGCCCAAAGTGTTCAAAACCTCTTTCCAAAGCTGTCAGTGAGCTGACATTTTCTGTCAGCCTTTATTGTTAAACACTTACATTAATTCCTGTTCGGAGTAGCAAAGATGACGGTGTTTGCTGTCCGATTAGTAAAGGAATTGTACCATAGCAGTAATTTCTTGTTTTGTTTTTCAGTTTCAGTGCTTGGCCTGCTTTCACAGCTGCATGTGGATGTGGATCTGCACAACCTGCTGTTCGGCGAGAGTGTCCTGAATGATGCCGTCGCAATTGTCTTGACTCAGTAAGTGTCTTGCACAGGATTTGTTCACACTTTCAGAATGCAGTATATCTCTAGGTTTAATTGTGTGGGAGATCAGTCTTTTTCGACTGGCATCACGAGGGAAGAAGTGTGGAGGAGGAGAGACGTGATGGCTGATGCCAGCTTTAAGGAAGTAGTGCGATTGGCAAAAACTGCACGAGTGCTTCGGATGCTATGCGGTGGACTGCGTAAGCGGGTTGCCCCTGGCACTGTCAGCATCTCATTAAGGTACTCAGCGGAGAGACTCACTGCCAGAGTAGAGGCACAGTCTCTGCTAACGAACTCAGTTACTGTCATATGCAGACAATACACAGCATAAAACCCTTTGAAGCTCAGTGGAGAAGCCATGATGCAGTCATGCCCTGTCAATGTGTTTCAATTGCTGCAGTCATTCCCTTCTATTATCTTCTCTTTCTTGAGCATTTCATTTAAATATGCATGTTTGTCCTGCGCACACATTGCTGTCAATGTCTGCTCTATTTACGCTTTGCTGGTGAACAAAGCCATTCAAGTAGACGTGATAACAGACGGCCAGATGGGGAAAAGAGAGCTGGGGAGAACTCACACAGGAAGTTCATGAATGGAGATGACAAGATACACAGGAAGATTGTGTTTGTATGTGTTCACACAGTGACGTATCACATGTACCGTACCTGCCCACTCTGGCATCTCTGTCCAATCACACAAAAGGGCTCGGACAGGCCAGCAGATGGAAAGAGAAAAGAAAAAGCAAGCAAGTGTACAGGGTTTTGTGTTTATGCGGCTGTTGTTTTTTCTTGTGTACACTAGAGTGCAAAGGAGGGGAGGTTGCGTATCTTCCCAGACAAAACAGTCAAGATAGGGCCGTGTTTGTTCTTGGAGTGGCGTGACCGGCCTTCGTGCCATCTCCTGTCACTTGACTGGCTTGCTCGTCTGCCGCTCGCTCTGGCTCTGCACACAAAGCGCGCCCTTATTAGTGGGCCACGCGGGGTCCTGGCACTGGAATTTTAACAAGCTCCCAGAGCGGCTCAACCTTATGTGATGTGCCCTCTCACAGGCACTAAACTTCCTGCCCCAGCAGCCCTGACCCAGCCACCATTCAACCAGGACCTGTGTTGACATCTTGAGAGTCTTGCCCCGGAGTTAACAACCTGAGACGCAAGAAGAAACAGTCCTTAGAGGGTCGCACTGACCAAGTTCCTAATGTCCAAATTTAGTGTCCCAGTGCAAGTCGAGTCTGAAATGTCACAGAGGGGGTAATAGATTTTCCCCTTCCAGCATGCCGAGCTCATTAGCAACAGCTTGATTGATTCTCCCCCTCCTGCATAAGATTAGAGCATGTTCTGGTGTGTGCGAGCTCATTTTAACCTGACAGCATGAAAAGTGAAGATGCATTAACCGTTCGTTTGTCAGACATTTTTTGACAGTGTAAGGATTTACCGTTTTAATGGTTGCTGGAGTTCAAAAAGAGTTTCTGTCAGTTTGAACTATACAGATACCACTTCAAGCAGGGGCAGCTGGTGATCGTATTGGAGGGGTGACTTAACAACTGCATCATTTCTGGAAATCCCCAGTGCAGCTGAAAAAAGCAGTGTCACATGTGAGACAGCATGGAGCGTAACACTGCAAATCCCATGCTATTTTCAACAAATGAGACTCAAAAGTGATGAAATAATCACTGCAAGACGAAGAAGAACACTATTTGTACAGTATACCAGCAAAGTGCCCGGTGCTAGCTGTAATGACTGCCAATAGAAAGCCTGTGAAACTTTTATAGCAGCTGTTTTACAACACATTGTGAAAAAGGTAATGTCACAAATAAAGTAGGTTGATAGTCAGAGCAAAAACAACAGCCGTTAAAGAAAAGACAGACTGGAAAACTGGAAACAGGTGCAACAGTCATGTAAGAGTTTTGTCTGCAGACTTGGGCCTACCGTGTGAGAAAAGAAGCTCACGCTGATGGGAGATGAACCGTTTAATTGCCAATTTATCAATGTCAGGTGATTTTTGGATGAAGTCCCCCTCACAGCTAATGCATTCAGTCTGTCGTGTCCCAGATCTTTAGAGAAATAATTGAAGTCTTTTGAGGTACTTAAACACCTCTCCAGCTCTGAGGATGTCATGGAAATGGCAAATCTGTCCGCACCAGCTTGTTGTGTCTCTGTATGAGTTCCCAGTCCCCCATCTTCCAATTTTTCGTCCAAGAACTTAAAAGAAACAGAATCACTCCTCTGCCTGCTCTTGCACAAGAAGCATCTCCACTGTCTGTACAGCTTAAGTCGTGTTATTAATCAGAAGTCAACAGCCTCTGGGCTAAATGACTTTTAGCTGAAATAATCGGCAACTCAAGGGAATGTCGCAAAGTCTTTCAAGCCCATCTGTACCAGCCGTGCCCGACAGCAAGCCCACTATAAGGTCAACACTACTCGCTAAAATTTAGGATCTGGTATTGGTTATTACACCAGCTCATACACAAATTTGATGTTGTAATGTGTCCCCCCCCTAAAATCTTAATTTCTCAGCACTGTAAGCTAATGTTAGCTTTGTGTTTCGGTGCTTGGTCTGTTTTTAGGTTGCGATTTCATCTTACTGAGCCAAACTATATGACAGTGACATCAATATATCCTATCTAGAAAGTGATAGTCTTGCACAGAGCTGTAGGTTTTATAAATCTGTAGTGCTGGTTTGACTATCCAAACATGTGTCCGATTAAATCTTTGAGGAAACAAGTCTTATTATTGCTGACTCAGCGCTTTCATTCTAAACAGTCAGAGTCCAGCAGAAATACATCGAAGGGTTTGTGTTGCGTAAAGAAATGCAGTCATTCCACAGAAGCAATCAGCTCCGTCAGCTACTCGCATGGGTGCCTGCCTCTGCTTGCTTCACCCCCCCTACCACCACCACCACCACTCTCTGTCTTTCTTTCTTTCCCTCCTTCCCAATTTCTCCTCCCCCTTTCCTCCCTGTGAGGCCTCTTTGCACTCAATGACTTCCATGTGGAAGTCTCTCCTTCCTCCTCCTCCTCCTCCTCTGCAAAGTAAATATTTATAGCGGTGTGAATAACACGATGCTGCTGTCTCTGTGAATAACAATAGTATTTCCCCTGTTTCCCTTTAACTACTCGGGGACGTCTGGGAGGCAAATAATTCAGAATGGATTGTTTTTGAGGGCAGGATTTGACTTCTTAAGAAGGCCATGCATTCTCAGAAATGACTCCAATAAATTTCACTTTAAGGCTTAGCTCAGCATAATAAGCATGTGAATTTATGCTCAATGCTGCAAACTGGTTTACACCAAGAAGCAAGTGGGCTCTTTCTGATGACTGCACTCGTTTCAGAGCCGTAAACCATGCTGTTGCTTTAATGGTTCTGCATCTGTAACACTTCTATTTACTTCTGTTGTAACCGTGATGTTTTCTGTTGCTTTCATAACACTTTTTCTTATTTGTCATGTTTTTTTTTATGTCATTTTGTCTTCCAGTGCCATCATCACCTACAACCAGATGGGTGCACGACTCAGCTCCAAACCCTTGGCTTTACTCCTCTCTGCTGCGTATTTTCTCGAGGTGCTCGTCGGCTCCTTCCTCCTGGGTTTTATGTTTGCAGTCATAACAGCCCTCATATCCTTTCCCTCCCTCCTCCCATCCCTTCCTTTGCACCTAAACTCAATTATCACTTCTGCATCCGCTGCAACCTCTCCTCCTCCTCAGCTTGGTAATCACCTCCCTAACAAACCCCCCCCTTACTGTACCACCTTTCCTAACAAAAGTGATGTGGCTGAGTCTAAAGTGCCGCTGTGACTTTAATGGTTGCAAAGAGGTCTTCAATCAAGCCGATAGCCTCTGATGAAGTTTCGACTTGCGCAGTTGTCCAGCATTTCTCTCTGATCTCGCAGTAATAAGACTTTAGGATGAAAAATGAGAATGTGTCATGAGAGGTTTGCGGCACAGCTCAGCTCTTATTTACAGTGACTAATCTCCTGGTGCGAGCAAAGCACAAATTGAGCATTTATTAGATTGTGCTGATGCCAACCATAGCAACAGCCTGCTCTTTTGTGCTGTCTCCTCAAACAACAGTGTCTTCAAAAGATTCGCTTTGACTTACAGTCTCTGAGTTGTCTTTTAATTACCTTATCTACCTGTCTGTGTTAATTACAAAAACAGACTCGGAAAGATAGCGTCATTACGGTGAAGCAACAGGGGGAATGATAGTAGGATTAAATGCAGATATACAGAGCAGCCAACTATAAAGAGCTAAATGAATTGAAATTGATACATCTACAGTAGCCATGTTTACATGTGCAAAATTTCTTGATCCAATTTGAGGGATCGGAAAATCTGAATCCACTGTTTATATGGGTGCAAAATCAAGTAGTCCGATCATGACGCGTGTATACATGCACCAAGTTTTATCCAGATTAGAAGCATTTGGACATGCGCAGAGTTGTATTTACGCCTGTACTGTCAACAAACAAACAAATGAACACAGTAGTAACTCACACCATCCAATTCAGGTGTTTTCCCTCTGTTAAATGTTGTCACTAGTTGGCGCCCTTGGTCACTTTTTTTACTGTTCTGTCAAAGGTTGTACCATACGTGCAGATGTGACATCATTACAATGTATGTACGACTTGTTATGTTATCGGAGGAGCAGACACGGTGCCTGCGGTTGTGTTTTATGCCAGAGTGTTAATAATGGAACCTCCTGTACTGGCCTCAGTAAATAAGCCAAAGGCTAAACAGAGAAGATCGAGTCACGATCAGAATAAGTGTTACATGGGCGTGTTTCGGAATAACGATCGGCATAAACCACACCTCTTGATCGGAATACAATTTCATTCCGATTGAACCGAATTGAATCAGAATCTTCCGATCAACATGTTTACATGACACAGGTTTATTCTGATCGGGCCATGTAAACGCAGCTATTGAAATATCTACCATGTCTACCTTTTCTGTTTACAATCACAAACACACATTTCAAAGTTGTTTGTGTTTTTTTCTTTCCTTTAACACTCTGTAAAGACTTTCTGTTTGGTTCACAAGGACGTTTAGCCACAGAGAAAAAGCAGAGATGAGATGTGGACTCTATTATCTTTTAGAGATCTCTCGGAAAAATTGTATTAAAACACAGACATTTCTTCCCTCTGGCTTAGTAAGTTCCTTTCAGTAGGATTTTTTTGTGGTGCTTCTCTGCCTGCATACTATCAAACTAGAGGGAGCAACTAACCTGGAAAAATACAGATAATGAGCAAGTGAAAAGAAACCTGATTGTTAGAGTTTGGAGAGATATCAGGCCAACTACAAAAAAAGAATTCCCCCAGAGGATGGTGTCATATAAGGTATAATTATGTTCCTGTTTTTCTTAACTCTCTCTCCACCTCACCAAATTCACCCGCCTGTCTAAGAGCCCACTTGTAGAAACGTCAGTCTTCTTCCTGCTGTCCTGGAGCAGCTTCCTCTCAGCTGAAGCCTGTGGACTTTCAGGTGAGCCCAGTATTACTCACATGTCGTCTGTTTTTGTGTGTGTGGCCATCACTGGAGAGGTCAGACTGAATAGATAGAACCTGCTAGAAAACTGTTGCCCTTTTCCCCCCTCAGGCGCTCCTACTTAACTGCATGTGCTGACTTGCTCACTGCTTCACACTATCAGTATCATGAGCAGCTGTTTGATTGGCATGCTCCACTGCTCCACGGCTTCTCTGTGGCCTTTCACTCTCCTGGATATAATGCGCGCACGTCCTCCTGTGTCCAGACATGACCATCTGCACAAGAACAGATCCAATTTCCTTTTTTATTTAACCCCTACCTGCCGAAGAAGGCCTTTCTCTGCCTCACACAAACACATCCCTTCTTCTCTGAGAGTCCTTGGAATCATAGCGAGTCAATAATGTACAGATGAGAAAGTATTAAGCTATCTCCTCTACACGGGGAACTGCAGGTACCAATCCCATTCTGTGCTCACGCCCCATAACTCATTTCCAAAAGGCGCCTGCCCTCTTTTGTCCGAACAAGCTCGTAGCAATAGTTTGGAGATGGCTGCACGGATAGTAGCAACCCATAAAAAGCTTAATAGCTTTCTTGCCCTGGCTGTATGGTTTCCTGAAGAGTCAAGAAGTGCACATGCCTCGTGTTAAAATTGATACAACATGATCCACTGTAACCTTCTTGGCTTTTTCCATCACTTAGGGGAGGTTGCTTTTTCATCATCCCACTGTTCGGTTTTTCACTTTACTGATTTATAGTTTCTAAATTCTACTCCAGCTTGTGTTTGCAGAAGAATAATTACTCAGCTCAGCCTGTCTGGGATCATCTTCATCTACTTAGTTTCTGAATTATGAATGTAGTGTACATATGCATGCACTGGTGTTGTTGTTCCTCCTGCCCTGATTGTGTCAGCGGGATTGTGTCGGTTCCGCTGATGCTGTCGAGTTCCCTCCTTCTTGGCAGTCCTCCCTGTGGCTTGTGGAGGAGGAGGAGGAGATGGTTTTAATGAAATAGCGTAACCTTTGTCTATTGAGCCCAGATGCCCCTGTCTATAAAACACAACATGCTGAATGCAGTTCAGTGTGGGAGGCACACCGCAGCAAAAAATGAAGCACTGATTCTAGCAGAGCCTCGGGTATTTTAAAAGCATTATATATATTTTATTATAGTAAAATTCTTCTTTTGACCTCTGACTAAGAGGGTTTTAAACAGATTTGGGAATTGCAAGAGAACCAACAAAAATCAAAGTATCTTGATACCTTTGTTGCAGTACAGTAGCATTAAAATATTGAACATCTCTCAGCATGCCTTGCAGCTGATATCCCCTGAGATATTCACTGCCCACTTATCTATGAGGATTGAGTTATTGAGTTTAAAGGCTGGTTATTTCACTGGATGGACTTCCTGTATCTAAATGTGATGTCAGGCATATAGAGGTACCAACGCCCCACAAAAAAACCTGATATGAATGTTGCACGATTCATGCAAAAACAATGAGGAATCAGTGTTTAACCACTGAGAGCAAAGTGAATAACAAGAGTCATGGGTGGTAAAGGCTAATTGATCGTAAAGGTTGACCCCTGAGCCTGAATTTGTTGAAAAGAAGAAAGAAGGGGTTGTTGTGGTAAATCCAACATAATGCACGGGAGACAGGATGAGATCTGAAGAACAGCCTGGGCGTCTTTTATTGTACAGATGTAGAAATCAGTACAGATGACAAACAGAGTCTCGACCAAGACCAAGGGAAGCCTCCCTAGCTTTTCTTCTACTCTACTGTTAGGTGTGTGTGTGTGTGTGTGTGTGTGTGTGTGTGTGTGTGTGTGTGTGTGTGTGTGTGTGTGTGTGTGTGTGTGTGTGTGTGTGTGTGTGTGTGTTCTTTCATCATGGGTATATCATATCAATTCTATCATATCAGAAGGCTACCCATGATGACATGTCTGACTGTTCTGACCCTAAACACTTTGTTCAGACTCATCTTATCTCTCGTCGAGATTAAATGTTCTAACAGACAGGTAGTTCTGGTCTCTGAAAGACAGCCTTGCTTACAATCTCAGGGTCATCAGGCTGCATGAGCAGACCAACCTAAATTATTTGCAGCTCCTTACTAAAAGATAATTACTCTATATTTCGTAACCTAAATGTATGAAGCGATTCTATGACAGGGTCTAAAACTGGTGTTTTGAACAATGTGTTTTGTGAAATGGAAAAAAATAGAATTAGTTGTTATCACTACAACGGAGTATTAGGGCCACATGAAGAAAAAAAAAATCCAGATTAAGGTCAATAATTTAGGAGAATCAAGTCATAACTAATGAGAATAAAGTCGTAATAGAGTATTACTTACGTACTGAGTTACTTTTGAGAATAATGTAATAAAGTAGTTACTTACGAAAATAAAGTCTTAATAAAATCATTACTTATGAGAATAAAGTCGTAATAAAATCATTATGAGAATAAAGTCGTACTAAATCATTACTTGCGAGAATAAAGTTGTACTAGAATCATGATGATAGTCTACTTATGACAATGTGATGTTGATGTGCCAAAAGATTAAGAATCTTCTTGTTCGGGAAACCTATATTGAAGTACATTTTCATGAAATGCTCCATGGCTCTCATTTCAACAACCGTCATCTTAAACAACAGGTTAGAATATAAGGTCTTTTTTCTCTTAAGTAATGATTTTAGTACGACTTTATTCTCGTAAGTAATTTCTTTATCATTACTTCTATTACAAATTTATTCTCATAAGTAATTATTTAATTATGACTTTATTCTCATTAGTAATGGCATTATTCTTGTGAATTAATGACTTTAATCTCGAAGTCTTAATTTTTTCTTCTTTATGTGGCCCTAATACTCTGTCGTACATCACAATTTATCAGCTGTTATCAGGTACTTTTTGTGTATTTATACACCATTGCCACATGATGTATCAGAATATGATGCTGTATCGATTTTCCTCTCAGCCCCTAGAGGATTGTTCATCACAGAAACCTGAAACTATGTTCAGCTGCAATCTTTTCAGTGTCATATGTGCAAAATTGGACCCTGTAGGACTAATCTGTAGAGAGCCTCTCTCTTCAAAGGCCTTTAGGGGTCCATTTGGGGCCAAGCGACACCTCATACAGAGACACCCAATGAGCGATGGCAGTCCTCCCTGCCGTCCTTTGGTAACCGCTGCTCTTTCTGCTGCTGTTAATTGCTGGAGTTTAGTGAGGAGGTGCCTAATGACCCTCAGCCTTGCAGGGAGTCATGCTATCATTAATCTCTCGCCCATCAAAACTGCTCATTATGGGATGCATCTCATCTGTTGCCAAGAGTAGAGGAGTTTTTATGTGGATGGTGGATGATGGGTTACCACTGTCAGTGTTATGAAAACCAAGGAGGATGTTTTGCCTGAAACCGAATGAGAACCAAAATGAGATCTGCCATGCCAGCATGCTTCATTAGATTTTCTTGGATCTTGCTGGAAAGGACATTGTGAACTGGGAGCATTGGAGCTGGGAGCATTGTGCAGGCACAGGTCAGCATCACGGTGTGAAGGCAGATTGCAGGTAGGGAGAGTAATGGACTGGCTCCACTTAGCTGCCTGAACCACTGGAGCTTTCTCTTCTCGTCTCTGCTCCGGCTCTTTCCCTCTTAACTACTGCTCCCCATCATAGTAATTTCACATTCTCCCATCTTCTGTGGTTCTCTCTCAAGGCAGAAGGAGCACAAATGTGAAATTGAATTTCTGCAACAAAGCAAGCATGTCCTGTGAGGCAGCAAACCCAACTTTAACATTACGCGTTTCAAATTCCTGCTCTCTGCTCCAGCCACCTTTCTCTGTAGCAGAAAGGGCCCTAATCATTTCCTCTCTTTCCCCCTCTCTCTGTATGTTTTTTTGCTTCATTTCTTCCCCCCTCTGTACTTTCTGCTTGTCATTTGTTGGCTTTATGTTGATATCTGCTCCTCTGCATTTGGCATCTGAGCAGCGATTATGTCATCCCTTAGCTTTTATTATTCCCAGAGCTTCATGTTTCTGCAGGAGTGGATATAAAGGAGGAAATGTATCTGGCCAGATACACAGGGCGCATAAATCGGGCTGTATAGAGCATGTGGAAAAAGCTGTTTGTGCAGCTGGACTTAATAGGAACCATGACAGTGGGTGGATACAGGGTTGGTCAGGTCTGATCTGATGACACATGTTGTATTGTCTAATGCAGAAGGAGCTGCTCTCAGGAGGCTTCCCTTGGATTCTTTCTCGGCAGGAACAATGCATTGTTTTACTAATATGTCACATTTTCTTGTTACTTCACCATCAAGTCTGATTTGAAAATCCTGCCTCAGAATAAACTGGAGCTGACTTCATTTGTTGTTTGTGAGTTTCAAATGATTCATGGAATCACGCAGATGGGGCCTAATGTTCCACAATCACACACTGATTACATAACACTATGTGCATGTATAAGCAATGCTGCATAATTTGTAGACATTATATTTAGCTCATTGTTTAAATCCCCTCTGTCTGCCTCTGACTCCAGCAGTGTTGATACTCACATTTTACACTTACAGCCAATTTGGTCATTTCCCTTTGTAGATTTCCACTTTGTATAGAATTTTTGTTGTTCAAAATTGACTTAAAGGGATATTCCGGCATAAATTTAAGTTATGGTCAAACACACCATAATACCGAGTTAGACACCCCGTCAAGAGATGAATGTCGAAGACCACTTCGGACCACTCCGAAATCTATGTGCAACATGTCAAAAAATGTAAGTCTGTTTAAAGGCATAAACAGACCACAAGCCCTGCGATTGGTCTGCTTTAGTGTTTTCAATAAGTCACCATATATCCACCATACATCCCATCTCCTCCAATGTCCTGTCTATGCTCAGAAGGTGGTCCTTGTTCATTAAAACCCCTTTAGGCTGAGACAAGACTCCTTCCTCTTCAGGTCTGATTTATAATCTGCTTTAATGATTCTATTATCCTTTAGTATTTAGCAGCTGTAGCCCACATAATTAATCCAGTGTGTATTTGATATGATTGCTATCATTGGATTAGGCTGTGCCCCTGAAAACAAACAAAGCTAACATTAGCAGCATCTCAGCTCGTCCTAAGATCCTGTGTCTATTAACGGCCATTGACAGAACTAATCTCTAAGATAAAACCTGCAGCATCCTTTTCCTTAACTAATTGAATGATGGATCAAAAGAAACACCATGACGGCATTGATCACTTTGAATATTGCTGGCTAGTTTGATATTTTGCAAACTTTAATGATGCTTCACAAACTGCAAGCTATGGGAGCTAACATAATAAATTAGTACAGTTATAGTTGCATTTAAACTGCATGTCTTCACTCATTCAAATATCACAACATCTTCTCTGAATGTCTCTTTATGTCGCAGGCATTGTTGCAGTGTTGTTTTGTGGCTTGTGTCAGGCAAGGTACACAGTCCACAACTTATCCACCGAGGGCAAAACCAGGACAAAGCAGGTATGTATAAGGAGGATGATTGAGGCCTTCTTTTCCACTCCTGTGTCCAAACAGCCTTTTCCTGTCCACTTACTTTTGCTCACATCACCCTTTAATGCCAATGTTTGTGTCTTGGGTTGTGTGTGCAAGCCATCATTAATTTCCCATTAGTGCTCTGGCTGTTCAGTGGGTGTCTTTGTGGGAGGCCAGTCCCCAGCTAACTGCTTAAAAGGCTCTGCACAGATGTAGTCCAGCACTGTTTCACTGCAGCAGGCTTCACAGAGGAGAAAATAAATCAGGAGTACACACATATAATCATCTATACATTTATTATTCATTATCGGTGCCACAGTGGAGATAGCTGTTTATCACAGAAAAGAAGCCTTTTAGAAGGCTGAGTTGTACAGTTGAAGCTTTTGCTTGTAAAGTGGATGGGCTTTGTGGTTCTCAGCATGTGCCTGTATGTGTATGCTGCCTTGTGTTTATTTGGCAGAAAGCCTTATTCTACATTTTTATGATTTATGCATGCAGCTGCAGCTCAGATGGAAAGACAAAGGTAAATCATACTAGTTGAATTACTTGTAGCTGATTTTTTTTTCTCTTTCTTTGTGGCATCTCGTGTCTTTGTGATGTAAAGGAGGAGTTACTCCTATTCAGTTAGATATCTTTGTAGCAGAGCTTTAAACCATAGCTAATTCAGCTGGTAAAAAAGTCCATTAATCATTCATAAAATCACAACTTCTGCTTTAATTTAATTCAGACACAACATATGGGGCTTTATTAATATTTCATCACTTGTGCAGAAATGCTTCATTAAAATGATTCTGAGTCTATTCCTTTACAGTTAATGACATCCTGGCCCCTTGGTGTGACCCGGATCATTACAGGGAGTAAAGGACCGAGTTGATGTGTTTTAATGTTTGTTGATCAAGATTTTAATAAGAGAGCAACAAGTCTAAAAAAGCAAAAAACACATTTCATTCTGCTCATGTTTGTACAAACAGAGTTAAGAATAAAAATCTTCCAATAAAAAAAACAAGGACAAAAACACGCCCGGTGCCAAACATCATTACGGCCTTGAGCTGTGGTTGTTTTCAATCGCTACCTCAAAGGATCAAGGAATAACACAAACACTGGATTTGTCTTGTGTGTACAAATCCAAGCCTGTTTACCCATTTCAGATATGATCCGCGTCCTTTACTCCCCCACCCTTCTCTTACACACTGAGAGACACAGACACCGTCACACACCATCCACCCTGAATCCCCCTCCGTCTCAGATGACCTTCTCTCTGCTGATCCTCTCCATCCCTTTTTATAATTTGCAGCTCTTTGAAGTCTCCAACTTCCTGGGGGAGATTTTCATCTTCAGCTACATGGGATATATATTGTTGACGTCCCCTCACCATGTCTTCAAAGCCCTCTTCATTTCAGGGGCATTTGTATCCTTTTTTTTGCTACATGATAGAGCATCTTAACCCCCTGCTGTGCAACCTTTCAGTCCCACTGAAAGCCCAGGAAAGGTGCTCTGTTCTCTGTCATTTTTTTTTTTAAATCCTAATCTACACCATCATTCTTCCTCTTATTTGACCGTGGCTCTTCCTATCTCCTTTCTCCTCTCTCGCCTCTCTGCTGCATTGCAGTGCAGTCATTTCCTTTAAAAAGAACCTCAGTGCTTTAAATTGTACAGGTTTGATCCAGTGAGCTCTACAAATGCCATACGGTTAGTCTCTTGTGATCACAATCTCTGCAGATTAGGATGCTGCAGTGCAGCTCTGAGGGAAAGCCAATGAAACAGAAATTTAAATAGGTCTTTAATTATTGTTAGTGCTGCTTGTTTAGCGTTCTCCAGGAAAGCTCAGTGGAATAAAAATGTTTTCCTGTTAGAAATAAGCGTACAGTTTGTTAATTTTCTGAGGATTAAACAGTGTATCCCTGCTGAGGTTGAAGATTAAATCTTATTAGTTCAAAAAACTCCAGTGAAAGAGGCCCCTGCTGTTCTTTGTGGTGGTCTTTTTTAAGAGGAAAATCCTGTGAAAAGCTGTAAACAGCTATCGGAAATGCTTATTGACTTTTGTTGCCCAGAAAAGCATGATGCCATTTGGCAGTGTGGTTTGGATGTTTACTGGCCGGTAGAAGGAAAACCAAAAGGATTTCACAGATTCTAAAGTATATTAACAAAATTGCCAAACATGGATTCAGCTTCTGAAATGTACTAATTTTCATATTTCCCCAGTCAAAAATCTCTGTTTGTGATTCTCTAAATTTGTGAGCCGTTTCTCAGACTGACTAGTGTGCAAATGGAAGACATTAGGGCAGCATTAACTCAGTCTGCTGGGACCAGAAGTATGGAAATTAGTCTTGTAGCTGGAGAGATGCCAGGTTACTTTAAAAGCACTGCCAATGTACTTTGAGCAAGGCACTGACCCCAGATTGCTTGGGGCGCCTGCACTGTGCAGCCCGTACAAGGCCCATTTATGCTCTGCACACAATAGGCATATGTAGAGAGTTACCTCACCACCTGGTGAAGCAGGTTGTTCAAAGCTCCAGTAGAAAGAAAAGGGAGCGATGGTTGTCATCAGTTTTTCTCTGTGGTATTACCAGGTCAAAGGATTAAAAGTATTTCATCACAAAACTGACATGTCAAAACTGAACCAAGTTTAAAATATGTCGTCTCCTGACGTCAGCAGAAACTTTTGTCTGCACTTAATGACATTGCATGTATAAAAATAGACAATAAAAAATCAGTTGGAGATTAATTGTTGCACAGACAATCATAATTTGCTCTCCAGCAGAGAGTTTGACTCTAAATTGGGTGCACCGTCTGTTCACAGGGGGTTTACAAGTGTTGTAGTTTTCCATTTGTCATATTTTAATTTTCTAAGAAGCAAACAAGGTCGTGCGTGGAAAAAATATCAAAAAGCGAAAATGATTTGGCTATAATCTAACCCCTCATCTTATCAGCTAAAGTTTAGGGACAGTTTTGCTGTTTATCCATTTCTAATCAGATCTCTGCAAATGAATGGAATAAAATTCTGCTCATAATTGCATCTCCAAACTCCAACTGCTGCATTTCTTTGCCCTAATTTGTTAGTCAGGCTGTAAACAAAGCCAGTGCACAGAAAAAAATAAATCTTGGCAGTTATCTAAATATCCGCTAGCTGAACTGAAAGCCCAGAACTATGCGGTGTCGCCCCAGGAGACCATATGTGAGAGGAGATTTATTCAGGCATCAGATGACCCAGAATCAAAGAATTCGTAGTATTTTTGCACCTATGCTCAAAAATCTTTGTTTCTCCTCTTGACAGAAGCCCCCAAGGACCAGAGTGCAATGCAGCTGTATGCTTTGTTATAAAAAAGCCATTAAGCGCCTTGATAACACTCGCCGCCACATTTCTGAGCTATACTTCCCTGACAGATGTCTGATATTCACAGCTGTTGTTGTGTCCATCAACTCTGCTTTCTGGGAAGAACCAGAGGAGTAGTAATGGACTCCTGGCTGGGATTGTCCTTGCCTGAGAGCTGGCATAACCAAAGTGTATGCCTGAAGAGAGACTGTAGTGGCCTCACTCCAAGGAGCTCTTCTTTCACAGTCCAGTGCCCAGATGGCCAGCAATTATTATCACAATCCATCTCCCACCATCGGGTCAAAGAAGCCGGAGAAAGAGTCGACAGAGCAGATTTTTTTTTCCAATGCTCTTATGCTCAGTGCCAGCGAGGAAATGTTTGACTCGAGCACTGATCCCGTTTTAGCTTTTGTCCTGAATCACGCTTCCAAAATGAGTCTGGCGAACTCTGCTGATTGGCAGCTGACCCGGATGTGCAAACAGGCAGAAATGGAGGTCATAGTCCTTGTGTACAGAGCTAAATGTGTCTGTGAAAATGAACTAGTACCGGTGATTCAACTCCTGTTAATCGCTCTTTGCAGTTGATTTTAATCGCTGTAGCTTGCAGCCTTTGCCAGTGACAATGCAGATGGGCTTCATTGGAAATGAGGCTGAGATAGCAGTGCTTAATTACCTCCTTTCAAATAGCTGCAAGGCCTTTGATAAAGAGAAATGACTGCTTTTGGAGGGAGGATATTGCTTTTGAAAATCCATAGGGTGAAGGAGATCTAATATTGACTGCAGGTTGTGAGGGGGCTCTGTTTTACTAAGAGCCCTGTCAGAATAAAGGTCCCCGTCTAAAATATTGTTGCATTAATCATTACAGCTTCTATACTTGGGTATACAGTAGAAGTAGAGAAATCCTTTCCCTCCATGATACTTACACTGAGGATTGTTATGCTTGATGATGAGGGTTGTTACACCATTTCCAAAGAATCTGTTTATCTCCGATTAACAGAAATAACCAATCAATCTTGATTATCCTTGAGAGATAATTGAAGGGCAACCCTCATTTACAAAAATGATGATTACATGGACTACTGATAATCACCTCATTTGTAAGAGGCTGGTCCAAGCAGGCCTGTTTGGAAGGGTTAGGCAAAGGGTTAAAGATAGGGTTGGTAATTACAGTAAACTAGCATGAATTTGAATGTAGCATCTCCTCAGGACTTCGTCTAGCGGCTCCCCCCTCCCCTTGAAGCTCCTCGAAAATAACGCCCCCGCTTACATGCACGAGCGCTGCTGTCTGCTGATTTAAAACCAGACTCAAAACTTTGGGACTTTAGATTGGGAAGTCTTTGCACAGCAGAAACAAAGAAGTTAAGGTTAGCATTTGGAAGACCACATAACTAGCAACAAGGCTAAATACTTGATCAAGATTAAAAATGACCCGAAACAAACCCTCAATGTACCTTTCCAACACAAAATGAGCGACCATGGCATCTCTTTTAAAGCCCTTGACCTCTTCCAGTTCTCTCCATCACTGAAAAGCTGTCCCGATGTTGACTTTTGTTTTAGCCCTCGCTTTCTCCAAACTCTGTCTCGCTTCGGCCTTCTCTGGCTCCGTCTTTCTTTTCTTGTTTTTTTTTTTTTTTTGCAGGGGGAGCAGTCACCATTAATCTGGGTATAGGTCGTTTCTCTTCCATTCTCCCGCGTACAGTACAGGCCAAAAGTTTGGACACACATTCTCAATCAATGCATTTTCTTTATTCTCATTATTATTTAAATTGTAGATTCTCAGTGAAGGCATCAAAACTATGAATGAACACATGTGGAATCATGTGCTTAAGAAAAAGAAAACATGTTTTATATTTTAGATTCCTCAAAGTAGCCACCCTTTGCTTTTTTTGATAGCGCTGTAAACTTTTGCTGTTCTCTCAGTGAGCTTCATGAGGTAGTCACCTGAAATGGTTTTTACTTCACATGTGTGCCTTGTCAGGGTTACTTTGTGGCTGACAGAGTCAGTCACTAAGTACTTCTGTCATCAAGAGCAAAGGGTGGCTACTTTAAAGAAACTAGAATATAAAACATGTTTTCAGTTATTTCACACTTTTTTATAAGTACAAAATTCTACATGTGTTCATTTATAGTTTTGATGCCTTCAGTCATAATCTACAATGTAAATAGTCATATAAAAAATGAAGAAAAGACACTGAATGAGAAGGTGTGTCCAAACTTTTGGCCTGTACTGTAGCTGTATCCCTCTCAGCTCGGCAATGCGTATTGAATCAGGGCCAGTGCAAGCCGGCGATATGTATGCGCAGCAAGCGAGCATGGGATTTGATTGGTTTAAAAATGTGGGACCCACACGATGTGATTGGATGGTGTTTTCCCAATTTTTTCCTTTGCTGTAGATAGCGGCTATGTTTCACTCTTTTGTAAGAACACATCATGTATTGATTGCCATCGAAACATAGAGATCATTTTAACTAGAATAACAAAAAGTCTATCTAAATCAGATTACCAACCCAGCCTTTAAGGGGTCAGGGTTTGGGTTATGTAAACACTGATCTGACTCCTTCTTGATGGGGTAAATTTATCCTTCCTGGTGCTGCTTCATGCCCGTCACATGCATGTCCGCCAAAGGAACCTATATGAGATTTCTATCAGGCTATAACTTTCTCTAAAAGTTTGACAAAAAACACTTAGCGTATCCAGAACTGCAGATAATTGAACAGATATCCTCCTCCTGACTGCTGCCCAGGACACTTAGCATTCAGCGTGCCGTCCTATGTGAGACATCAAAGTGTGTGTGGAGGGCAGAGACAGCTGGCACAGCCTGATTGGCTTCTTGCCTCTGCATGGTGCCACACTGCTGTGTTTGCATCCTAAACAGAAGATATTCAAAGATCCTTTATTTTATGCGTGCATGCACAACCATATGTGTTAATATTCATCGATGTTCTTTTACAGCCTGATCGCACATAGAATTTGTTTTATTTATGGGATAACTTTTGAGTTTTGCCTGATGTGAACCAAAAGGATCAAGCTATGTGAAGTCAACTGGGGGGATTTTATTTTGACACCACATGAAGCTAATTATTAATCTGCATCAGAAGAAACTCAAACTATAATAAGTTTGAATAAGAACTGTTGAAGTGCATCTAAGAAAAAAAACTGAATCATTGTTTCATTTTTAATCAGATCTAAAGAAAAAAAATCTGTCTCCAAGGCTGTCTGTCTCACAAGTATAATGAACATGAACCAAACTGCAATTTTCATTTAATTAGACCCAATTTTCCAATATAAACTCTATGACTTGTAAGTGTGCTTCAACCTGTTTATGTCTCACTTGTAAATATTCTCCTTAATCTGCACTCAATGCAAACAGCTCTCCATCTTTTTATCAAGAGCCTGCAACATCTACCCTCTGTCGTTCTTCCTGAACCTGAGACGCACAATCAAGATACCTCGCTCCTTTCAGCACTTCATGATGCTGGCAGGTAATAATCTCAATCATTTTTCATTCTTAGCAGGATGAGGCATTTTTAGACCTTATTAATGGGGTCTGTCTGGTCAGATCACCTGCTGTGATTTTGGAAAATGTTGGGTTTGTGATCTCATTACATCAAGAAACCCAAGAAGAACTTTCACCATAGTTTTTACTCTTTTAAACTTTTTGAGTCTTTCTTTGTTGTCACCTGCAGCCCTATAATGTTAAAGAACTGTATACTCTGTATAGAATGTACAAAAGATGGATGGCATGACGGTCCAAAAGTGAAGCCAAACATTTGGAGCTCCTCCTTTTTGACTGGTTAATGTAAAAGGGATATTCCGGCATGAAATAAAAAAAAGCCACTCTATAGCCACAAATAATGCTCAGTACAGCACCTAACTTCATCAACAGTACATATAGGGTCCTAGCCATAGTACTAGCCACCAAACATCTTTTTAACTTAGCCTGATTTATTTAGCAAAGAGACTAAACACAACTCACCTACTCTCCTCCAGCAGCCACTTGCTTGTAGCAAGACCTCAGGCCAGTCCATTACGGACTGCTGCGGGGTGACGCAGCTCAAGGAAGAACATTTATGATCATTTCCTCATGGAAATGCAATCAGACCGAGATGCTAAGGCAGAAAAACTACCACGTCTGCAGTGCAAAATGGTTAATATGGTGATTATTACTTCAAGGAAATGATCAAATAATGACCATAAATATTCTTCCTTGCGCTGTGTATTGCTATCCTGTGGTCGTTACTAAAGTTGGTATAACTAGAGAAGCAAGCGGTCTTTGATATTCATCTCTTAGGGGGAGTCTAACTCTGTGTTGTGGTGTGTTTGACCCTAAATTAATTTTATGCCGGAATATCCCTTTAAGTAAGATTTAAAAAAAAGCCTCTGTGTTCCATGCCGGCAGGTGGGACATCTGTCAAACCTAAAAAAAAAAATAAAAATACCCCACAGGAGAGTTTTGGTTTTGTCATCATGGATAATTGTCATCATGCTGATTTATATCTAAATGTTAAGTGTTAATTTAGTTTACAACAATTAGTAAGCTAAATGTCACTGTGCTGCATAAATAATTGACATGTTTGTTGATGAATTTGCCTCCTGCAATGCTAGAACTCGATTTATCCACAATGAGTGTATGTTGTAAATGAGTAAAAAACTCTACTGCTTTAACCTGAGGGATTTCGGTCGTTTTAAGAAGGATTTTAAATGTGTGTTTTAGTTTTCTGGATGTCAATTCTATGGCCTCCAGAGTTACCTCCCTTATGTTTTATACTATGTTAAAATTTACAAGATGTTGGTGCCTGATATAGGGGGTATTTTGGATTCACTTTAGTATGAATGTAGAGATACTGTATGTCGTCCATTATTATGTACAATCCTCTGCGGGCATTTTCAGGCTTTATTTTAATTACCTTACTAAAAAAAACACAGTTTTGCAAATTTCTGATATTTCTTTTTTGAAATAATCCACTCTCAGCCTTTTGTACTTTTGCAGCATCATTTCAGGGTACATAAAGCATTGCCTCCTTTTAGTGTCTAAGACAAATGGCTGAAGCTCTGAACGGTTTGATGATGCAGGAGAAAAGAGTGTTTGATGTGAAGTGATGTAGCACAACAGCAGCAGCATGTTTCTCTGCCTGCCTGACCCACTTTACCTCTTACATAAGAAGGCTCCTTTGTAAAAAGCCCTTGTCTTGCTATTTTTCAAAACCCCCTTTTTACCACCGCCAACACCACCGCTGCTGCCCCCTCCCCCTTCTGCTCCTCATGGCAGTCAATGATTTGCGCTGGGAATTGTTTTGCCTTTAAGTATTGTGTCACCACTGTACAGCCATGTAGAAGTTTGTTTTGGGGGCCACTAGCTGGTCAAAGATAGTGATATTCAGGGTGTAATCTGTTACCTCTGGACAGGGTTATTAACTGGATAGCTCTCCCCTGCCCTTTTTCAAATAATTGGTTGCGAGATGGTTGTCTGGTTGTGTGATGGATGGCCGTAATCCTGCTGATAAATGTCTCCTCTGCTCTCAGGTTTAAGGGGGGCTGTAGCGTTTAGCTTAGCAGCAAGAGACACAAGCACAGAAGTGAGGCGCACTATCTTCACCACCACCCTGCTGCTGGTCTGCTTCACTGTGTGGGTGCTGGGTGCAGCTGCTGACCCCATGCTGCGATATCTGGACATCAGGTTAGCAATGGTTATTTTTATCTATGTATTGATTTTTATCTTTTTTTTATTCCCTTCACACATACAATACTCCTAGCTTTCACATAAACTCATACAAACAAAGTCATCCTCATTCGTTAGTTACTTGCCTGTGAAAGGAAAAACACTGTTAAGATAGAGAAAATAAGAAAGCAGGTACAAATAAAATTACAAACATGGGGAAAAAATAAAATAAAACTGATGATATTTATTATTATTTGTGCAGAAATCATAGTGTAAAATGTTCAAAAGAAAAAGAGCTAAATTCAATAGTGGAAATAAACATGTCTTTGTATTTGGGACACAGACACAGTATGCAGGTCTCCCTCACTCTGTGTGAATTCCAGGAACCTGCAGAGTGATTATCATGAAAATTTCTGTGAAACCATCAACAAGATATTGACCAAAGACAGAGAAGAGTGTTTGTCCTGTTTTTACACTTTCAGTTAGACACACCAGCCAGGCACAAGAAGTGCTCTCACTGGGTGTGCATGCCATGGTTTCCTCTTGGAGACATAGTCCCAACACATACACAAACACCTGTGAGTGGTTTGTCACTTCTTCTCTGGCACTTGTCCTCCTGTGGCGAGTCCTCAAAAAATAGATCCCTTAAACCCATTCATATAGGAAACTAAGACAAGGGACTCCGAGACTCAAAGAGGAGTCAAGGATGCAGAACATCTGTGACATGAAATCTGCTCTTTTGTGTTATCCTATGGAAAATTAACAGTATTAGCAAGCCATAACTGGTAAGCAATCATAATATTTGACTATGATGCACACTCCCCGATTGGTCAAAAACCCGTATTAGCCTTTAGGGATGAACTCCATCTCATATAACAAATTGCATCAACCCATAAAATGAATCTCGGCACGTTTGACTGCTTGTTGACACTGTGGCATAAATGTTATTCTGAATTGTTATAAAAAACCTTTTAGATATTACTCTTAATCAATTTTGAGAACACAAAAGTTGACATTTATAGCAAATCACTGATCATGCAAGTTCTAGCTGTAGACCTGTTGTCACGTTGCTTTTGCATGCAAACCATCGCAAAGTGTGTTGTCATTAGCCATTTATGCTAACAACAATAGTAGGTCATGGTTAAACAGCTGGCTGACTTTTTCAAATTTTAGAAATTCACTCTTAATGTGATCGACAAATGGGCTGATAAGAATGTGCTGTTGCCATGGAAGCGCTATACCAACCATGGGATCTGAGGGGCAGTCTTTTTAACATCATAAAATATTTTACATTTTTTATTTCATCCTTATTTTTTGACATCTTGTTCCTTTCTTATTTGATAGTAAATGGAATAATGTAAAGTGACCAGGATTGTCTTTTTCATTGAGTCCTGCTTACCTTGGGATTCTCATCATCTACACCTCCCCACCTACTGTACATAATCTCTTTTTCAGTTCATGTAAGGTTCCAGACTTCTCTGGCATCAATTTTGTGTTTTATTTACCCGTCCATTGAATCATTGTTCTCATGACTCTTGTTTGACTTGTTATTTCACCATTTTCAAAAAAGTTCTAACACCTCAGTCGACATGATGCAAGCCTCTATCCCCCGTCTCTCCATCTGTTTGTCCTTTTCCATCATCTTCACGGTCCTCCAGACGAACACAGCTTTATTCCCCTCTCAAATTCACTTAGTATGCAACAGTTCTTTGTAGAGCTTTTTCATGCATGTTTTTCCTCCCTGCCTCTCCCTCCTCCCCTCATTGCTCAGGCACTTAGCTGTGTATGTGTCTGCTCCGGTTCTGCCCTCTATTAGTGACTCGCACAGCTGGTGCATGGGGCAAAGCAGGTCTGCAGGTCCCTGGAAACATGTTACCGAGGAGACAACATTAAAATGCAGCTTGCTGAACTGTATACATGAACCCATGAGTACAAGCAGAAAACATTTGTAGCTATATAATGAGAACACATAGTGAGCGCTGCGTTTTTGCTTTTGAAGCCTGTGTGCTATCAGAGATTCGAGGCCAGTGGGCGATCATGATTAAGGAGAGCAGAAAAGGCGTGAAGGATGCAAGGCCGTAATTAGATACTTATATTATTAAGGCGTAATCTATGGCCCAGATCACAGCGGGATAATTGACTCCTACGCTCTTTTGAGGCAATGCTTTGAATTCTCGGGCGGTTTTCAGTGATGTAAGTGTGTATTTATGTCAGTGAGGACATTGAAACTGTAAGAAAAATATCCGAAAATGATCCAAACCAAGAAAAAGCTATTATTGTTTTTTGTGGAAGAGGAAATGTGCTGGTTACAAACTAGAAAGTGGTTTATAGATTCAAATCAAGTCCAATGAAATATGGAAACTGTGCAATATAGCACTAAAAATATGCATGCCAAACAGGATAAGGCAAAAAAAACATCTAAATCAATCCAAAAATGCACATCCATGGACCACTTGTAAACACTGAAACGCTTCCTATCTCAGAGCTGCGAAACACAAACAGCAAAGCAATTTGTGATGTGTGAGAAAACCCAGAGCTGCCCTTTGCTAAATAAATTGCAGATTGACTTTGGAGATTCAATCTGCCAAGCTGTTTGTCGAAGCTTTTACTGCAGAATAAGCTTCATGTCATTACAATGCTAATGTTTATGAACCAGACGACAAAAAAAAAACATCTCTGCAAAAATCAGCTCAGGCTCAGGATTCGTGTCCACAAACTCGGGCGTCTTGTTCTGAGTCAGTGGAGCAGCTTGAGGAGTTTTTGCTTTGTTGATACAAGATGCTATCTTTACTGAACCACGTCAGAACATTAGGTTGAAGATTAAACAAAGAATCTTCTAAATCTGTTTTTGGTGGAAAAAGCCCAAGGAAGACTGGTTGTTTATCGTCAGTGTTATGACAAAAAATGTCTCCAACCCCTTTCTAGTGGTCTGTATCCTGAGTGACAGCCTCTTAAGATATGGTTCACAATCCTCTGTTGTCTGTTAGTAAACCACCTACAAATGTGAAAATACATAGAAACAATAAATATACATGCTATACTTTCAAAGCATCCAACCAAAAGGAGAAGGCTAGACACCTCCCTAAAAATACACATAAAAATAATCCACTCTGCTGGTTCAGGAGAGGTGAAAGGAAAGCTGTGAGGAGAGGAGTGGTGCACACTCCTGTCGCTGCTGTTTCCAACCTTTCCTTGCCATTCTTGTGGGACTGACCAGCTATATTTAGCTTGAGGAAGACTCTGCTTGCACAGTGTAAGTGCACAGTAAGAGTGCATCCAGGGTGGCAAAGTAAACAGTCTACAGATTAGGAATTTTTTCCTCGATTTTTTATTTGTGTAAATTTTTTCTTAAATATGCTAAAGTAGAGCAAGGACATATTCAAACACAGGTAATGTGTGCAACATGAATAACAGCAATTGTGGCTCATACATAATACACTCTCTTGAATGTCTTTTTCTGTTCATTCACTTTGCATTGTATTGCAGCACTTAACAATGTAATTCATGTGAGATGTGTGGCTTTTGTTGTGCAGGCCTAGTCAGTGCAGGGTTGTAACATCAGCTATTTCCAGCTAACATGAACTACAAATAATATAAATATGTTAAGGCTGACATTTTTGCTTCAAAGTGTTAAAAGCACTACATCTCATGGGAAAAAAAGACTTGATGTCATGTTGTTAATCCAAAAATTGCCACAAGCATTATAGAGAGACAGCAGCATTGGTTGTCATAGTGAGACAGTGAAGAGGGTGAGCACAACGTATGGATCTAAAGTTGAGAAAAAGAAGATGAGGTGTTATTCTCTGATTGTTTATGGTGGTTTTACTCTAAGTACTCTTCATACCAGCACAAATGCAGCCTGGCTCTGTGTGTGTGTGTGTGTGTGTGTGTGTGTGTGTGTGTGTGTGTGTGTGTGTGTGTGTGTGTGTGTGTGTGTGTGTGTGTGTGTGTGTGTGTGTGTGTGTGTGTGTGCTCTTCATCACACCTGCAGCTGTCATACAGCCCAACAAACAGACAGACAGCTCTAATTCACAGGTTGGCAGAAAGTGACAGTTTGTGAAGTCTCTTTGGAGTCTAATAAAGATTACCACCTGAGATTATTTCTTCAGCAGACAAACAGCAGAGGAGGCAGACACTGCTGTCCCCTGGATCCTATAGACTTGCAGATTAGGATGTGGAGCCACAAACCACTGCACTATGATCAATGCATTTAATGTAAAAAAATACACGATACACAACAGTGAATACATGTTGTTAAGAATGTTGAAAATGTTGTTAAGATGGAACTTTGAATTCTGTCTAATCAACTAGTCTAGAGTTAAAGGTGGGGTAGGCAGGATCTGAGGAAGTGCCAGTTTTTGGGAGAAACCTTGAATGTAAACACTACCCCTCCCAACCAGTTTTCCCCTCAACTCCTCCTCTCCCCTCCCTCTCTGCTCCAACAAGCCCCGCCCACAAACAGACGCTCTTGCTAACTCTTGTCGTTTCAATAGAATTCATATATAATGCAGATAAATGCTTCAGATAATCACAAATGGGGCCCAGTCAACATGAAAGTAAAAAGCATTGGTGCTACTGTAGATGCCAACAGACTAACCAGCAAACACAATGTTTGCAGGACTTCTACAACTAGGATCAAGTGACATACTCCAGGACCCGAGGTAAACAGTTTAGCGGCGCTACAACACGCAGCAGGTCCCATTTGACTAGAAACACTTCTGTTACAGACACTTGGCTTACTTTGTAAACAAAGCGGTTTACCTGTCCAGCAGAAAGGTTACAGGGTCCGTAAGATCCCAAAGCGTTTATGCCTCATTGATGCTGACATGGCTTTTTCGCTCTTGTCCGGTCTACCTCCTTTTTAAGTGCCTGTTATCTCACCGGAGTCTCTGGTATTTACTTCATTTTCTTGCTTGTGTCGGCAGTCGTGGCCAAAGGAGGATTCAGACACATTTTCGTACTTTCTGGTTGGTTTCTACTGTCCGATATTGAAGCACGCTTACTTTGTTTGGGCTCGTTAACATTATTCAAGGATGTGGCACGTGCCTCACAACACAAGGGAGCAGGGTCCGCCTTGCAACCTACCAGGTTTGGTGAAGCAGAGAATGGCTTTGTTTACAGTCAGAAAGAGCAGGCCACTCAAAAATTTTAAAATGTTGACTGCACAGACATAACAGAGCACAGCGATATCATTGTATTCCCAAATGTCATCAATAACTAATAGCTATTGACTGATATTAAAAGCTTATTTGTATATACACCACAAAAAAGATGCTTCTTTAACTGAATCCTGCCTACCCCACCTTTAAGACAACACCAAGAAAACAGTCAAAATAGAGCACAACTAATTTAACACAGCTTAACATGGTCTCGCTGAGTATTCCAGTGAACAATGTCGTACCTAAATGTGGCTAAAGCTAGCAGAGCTAGCACCACCAGTCTCTGTCTCTCCATGCAGGCCTGTTCTGGTTACGCATCACTTCAGTCAAGTATGTAAGTTAACTAGATACAGCCTACATACAGCTGTCTCCATTTTTAACACTATAATACTTCCACACCATCTGTGTTTGTTTACATCCAGGTAGAACATTATGGTAATAGATTCAGCTAACGGTGGGTGACTGAGCTTGAGCTTCAATAAAGCAAGAAAGTTTTCTATTTGTGGGTGCCAAGTAGTTGCTGTGGTATTCTGACAGGTTTTTGCATTGTTCAATTGTTGATGGTTTTGTATACATAAGTGTTTATTAGTTAAATCACTAAAACCAGCCTTTTGATTGAGTATACATTTATGAAATCATAGTTTTTCCTGCTGCTCCAGCCCCATTTTCTTCCTTTCATATGTGTGCATGCAAACATGTGAACCTGTGAATATCTGCCCTGAATAATGCAGCAGCATTTATTTGCATGTTTCTGCCTGTCTGTGATCGTTCCATCTCTGCAGCTCATCACAGTTTACCATGTTGACTATGTTTCAGAAAGCCTCTCTGTTTCTCGCACTACCTCATCCCCAGCTCCCGTCCCCACTTGTCTCTTCCCTCATCCAATCACACGAAGGGAAGGGACGAGTAACAACTTTGCAAGACTTCATTTTTGATAAATAATACATCAGATCTCCTCACCTAGAGAAAATGTAACTCCCATTCCATCTCTGAAACGGTTTTGTGGAGGAGTCTTTGAATGTTGTACTCTGTGAAATTACAGACCTTCCCCCACAGGCGACGATTCAAAGAAAATGAGGTGGTAAAGTGTTTTTTTTTTTCTTTTTTTTTGTTTCCACATAGTGAAATTTGTTCAAGAAAGCTGGCATCGCTAGTTATATGGCTCTGGGTGGACGTGTGTGGGAGAAGCAAAGAAGGCCAGACTACACTTTCACACACAGTAGACAGGACACAGCAATGATTTTCTGTCTCTTTCAGTCAGATGTATCTATTCTGCCAGTTATTTTTTGTTCAAGAACCGACAGAGGATATGTATTTATCTATCAATCTCTCCAGACTTGAGTAGGCGTTTAAGACAGAATTACTGGATTTCTTTTTGTCAGTTTTTATTAGTGCGGTACATACGCTGCTTTTATAACAGTCCACCATGTCTGGTTTTACCTAATAATCGAGTAAAATACAAGAAAAGACTGTTTTTAACGACATATCAGGCGCAAGGATTCAAAAAGGAAAGAAAAAAGACAAAAGAAAATGTTGGTATCTGTGGCTTCAAGAAAAGACTTGTCACAAAAATAAAGGATGGCAATGTTTGTTCCACTATTCGGCAATCTGAAAACTCACAATAACATAGTTTCACACACTCACACTCTGAAAAGTCTGCCCACAGAGGTGAGCTGAGCAAAAAGAGGTGAGCTGTCTGTCACGCCATAATGAGAAATTCATGCGCTTCATGTTTGGATTGATGGTTTAGACTCAAACCAGATGAGAAACACACAGTAGAGCCTCAGTTTCCAGTCGGCTCACTGTTCAGTCAGACGTCAGACTTCAGAACACAAAATGAGCTTTTAAGGCCCGCACCGTCTGCCTCCTTTTATTTCAACAATTTCTCTCTTTTCCTTTTCCATTTCAGGCTCCATTTGAAGGCCTATTATTGCTCACTCTTGAGAGTTTCATCATACGGCTGTGAAAAGAAGGGATTGTTTACTCTGAGATGAATACAGTAATGAAAATACTATATCTACTTATTGTGCATTTAATCAGTCTAAACACAACCTTCAGTAAACCTTGATGATACTCATTTGTGCACATTCCTGTGCAAACCCATAAACATGACATTAACGGGCACTTTGAAACAAACTTTGAAACAGACTGTACCAATCTGGAGTGAAAACAACTTATTAAGAAGTCATTCAATTCATGTTTAAATGAAAATGCAGCCCATTAGCAGATGTGAAACTTTGGTACTGTTGTAGGAGCAGACTGAATATAGAGATTTTACAGTAGTTGCACCATGCTCATGCAGATTTAACCACATTAAACATCATTTCCTTGTTGCATAATTAACATTTTTATGCGTAAAGGCTTTCTACTTTTCCACTATGTTATTGAAATAGCCCACTGGTACATACTGTTAATATAGTACGGTAAAAGTTTATTGGAGAATAATCCATGTATGCCTGTAGAATAGGAAGCAAAATATACAACTCGCTATCTCATTCAGAGACTGTGTTTGTGTTTGTGGTAGACCTTCCCAGCGTGTGAGGCTTGACGGGGAAAAAGAAAACAAAAACAGGAAGGCCAAAAGTTCCCATGTGCCTTATTTAATTGGCAATAGACCAGTGCTTGTATTTGCCCCAGCTCTGCACCAGCTTAGAGAAAAGGCCTGTGTTTGTGGCTGTAACTGCGATATTTGAGATTGCGTGATCTTTTCATAAGGCTGGATCAGCCCTTACAGTAAAGTAGTTTTACTTTTGACTGTAAGAACACTCATATATTGCTAAAACAGAAACTTTTTAATCACTTTTTTAAACACCTATATGCATTTGGATTTTTTTTTACATTAACACTTAAGAAGCAACATTGGTAAATGTAAAAACATGACCTTGTTACAAAGTCCCTTTTTAAGTTTTCTGTTAGTTTCGGGGTTTTTTTTCCTCTTTTTACCTGGGTAACCTTGTCCAAGCAATATAACCAACCTTCAGACACACGCACACACTCATTGTCACATATCTGGTCCTCAGTCGGTCTGACTTCTTGGCTTTGATGAAGGCCTGAGGTGACAGGAAACCCCCGGAGAGATCTAAGACCCAGTTAAAGTGAGCAGTCTGGGGCCTCTCGGCTTTGAACGTTGGCCTGTTATGTCCTCCTCAAGCCCTTTCACTTTTAATATCATCCAGTATCTACAGACCAGCTCAGACTTATAGTTTTAATTTGCCTTTACAGTCTGATACTGGTGGTGTCTGTGGTTTTAAATGTGCAGTGGGGATCACAAGGTCTATTGACTCACTGTGTGATTACCCCGGTTTATTGCTTTGTTATATAGTGCACAGCATTTAAACATTTCCGGTTTATACTGGCAGCATTGTGTAATGTTTCATGGATGACTAGATGCTTGGTCCACTAAACTTTACATTGTCGTTCATGGTCCCTGAAGGAGGAACCACACAAAGGATACAGTATAAACCATAGACTGTATGTAGAATGGACAGTGTCTGCCTCCTTGCTGGGTGAAGCCACTGTGAGAACAGCACCCTCTGGTGACGGGCTGCAGTATAGGTCATAAATCCCGCCTCCTCCAGCAATCCCTATGGAGCTGTGGACAAATTTTAAAACTTTATTACACATAATCTAAAATTTTCTCCCCCCTGCTTCAGATGTTGACATGTAGTTATTGTAAGATTGGTTTGTGCTGAAGTCCTCTTTTTTTCTGTACAGCTCCATTTTTAAAAGTTATGAGGGGGTTCATATTTTTTATGATTGACACTTGATACAGCCTATGGGTGTATGAAGATTGCGAAGCTCACCCAGGGGATACACTGTTTGAGCCGAGCGTCATCACAGCGACTCTCGGCGACTCTACCGCCGAATGTGTACAATGCTACTGCGCAAGTAGTGGAGTGCGTACAACGCTACTATGCAATGTTGGTTTCAGGAAGTAGTATATTATATACAGTCCATGTTATAAACCTAGCTTTCTTGCAATTTCAGCATACATCACAAAGTAGCTACTGTTTATTTTGAAGCTAGGCTTTATGAGGCTTTACGCCGTCACCTGGAGCTTGTTAGTATGGTCGGTTTAGCTTTTAGCTTACTGTGGCAAAGAGCTGCCTCAGCATAACTGTACCCTTATTTTATTATTTTTTTTTTGAATATGAACTCCGTGAAGCGCGAGCAATCAAAGAAGCAGAGCAAGAAGAGGCAATGGCATGCAAGTCGTTCTCCCTCTACAGTTTTGTGAGATGATGTCATTTTGAAATATGACGAGAGGAAAGCAGGCAGGAAGAAAGCCTGGGCTCTCCACTTTGGCACAACTCTCCATGTGTCACTTTTTGTGTGCATGACAGTGCAGGGGTATGGTTGTAAACTTGGAGGCGAGTGGCAACAGCTGTAGTCTGGCTAATGACTGGTCTGTTTGTTTTGAGTGGACAGATGGACAAGTGGAAAAGCATGTCTCTGATGTCACTCACTGTCCTTCATGCCCCACTGACCTCTTATCTCTCTCTCTCTGTCCTTTACTCTTTCTCTCCCTCTCTCTCCTTCTCTCTACCAGACTTCTTTTTGACATCCATCTGCCTGTAAAGCTTTGATAACATTTTCCAATTGTGGCGGACTGTGTAATACAAGGATAAGGCCACACACACGCACACACACACACACACACACACACACACATGCACCTCCTCCCTAATATATAGGCATGGCAGTACTGAAGGAGAGAGGAAAGTCACCCACATATCCTCATGTACAAATACACACTGCCCATAATAAAAAGATGTTAACCTGATTGGATGGGAGATACTTCAAAGGACTCTGATGATGAATGGGTCCTGCATCGGTTTGCCCGTGCTGATAAGTAAAGGAGACAATAAGACAGAGGGAAGACAAAGAAAAAAGCTTAACTCCTAATGTCTGTCTTTCTTAGTATATTCTTTATTCTGTCCAGTAAAGAAGATTACTTTGTAAAGGACTGAAATGGGAAAAAAAATAAGAGAAGAGTGAATTAGAAAACCAATCTAAAAAGTACGAGATGACTTTGGAAGTAAGGAGAAGAACAAAGGCTTTCCTTCGTCGCACTAAAATGTAACTTTATTGGGATTTACCAAGCGATCGCTGTCACACAATAGCTCTCTGAGTGTAAAGTCCTTCATTTCAGCAGTCTTTTTGTTGAGCTGCTTTGTCAAGCAAGACCCATCAGTTATTATGTCAACCAAACACATTTATGAATAATTCAGCCTGATGATCCAGTGATGGATCTGAGCTGTAACACTGTTCCCAGAACACTTTGTCGCTGTTATTTATCAAAACAACCTGCAGATCTATTTTTTCTCTTCTTCTCTTTTTCTCCCACTGTTCCTCCTTGGATGATTTTTACTCCCGCTACTTGCTGTACTGAAAGTTAAGTCTCATTTTTCATTACATTGAGCGCAGCTCCAGTGGGTGAGCGGGTTTAGATGTGCAGCACTAAGTCACGGTGGAGACCTGGGAGTTCAGCGAGCCGCGCCGACCATTGATTATGTCTCCAGAGTTTTGGAGGACCAGGCTTCATTTTTAACATTTCAGGCAGCTCTTTTCTCCGTCAGGGAAAAAGATTCTGCCATAAAAATATTCAGCCGGTTCTCCTCCAGCTGTGACTTTGGACTCAAAATCGACATGACCTCAAGGTGTCATTTGTAATTGCTGTCCTCAGCCTGAAATTAGCTCTTAATTTGAAAAGGTCGGATTTATGTTTGTACTTAACACTCATTTCCTACTAATGCTAACTCGAAGGAAAGAGTTAATAACTTTAACTTTTTGGGTTTGAGGTGTTCTAGAAGATTTATTCAGAGACTGGAGAAGAGATGATGAGTTGCATTTGTGAGGCAAATAGATATAAACATTTAATCAATGCACTTTAAATGGCTTTTATCTTGGTAGGGAGGAAAAAACTACCCATCATATTCAGCCTATCCTTGTCCGCCTGTGACAGACTCCCAACCCCAAAGCCATTATCTATTTTTTTGTTGTTGTTTTTTGTTCACCCAAGCAATGTCCCCTCTCAAACATATCCAAGTATCGCTCCACTACGGCTGAAGATGCATGTGCACTTAACACTCATTTAAAATTCATAAAGGGAAAAAGGTCAGTCACTTCAACTTGTAGGATTTAGAGATGCTGCAGAAGCCAACTTCACAACAAACTTGGTCGTAGGACGGGTAGGCCGTAAATGCAGACAGTGAAAAGATGATGTCATTTGCCATTTCAGTCTTGAGCTCAGCATTTAAACTAAATCTTACTCTGGATTTGCCGAGGCTGAAATCAGAAACAGGCTAATTTGTAGAATAGGCAGGACCCACACAAGGATATTGAATTTTATTATGTTTTGCCTGTTCGTTTTTTGCTCAATTTTAAGTGATGAAGATCACTGTTGGTCACTTTAACACTCTGTCTACCAAAATTCTGCAACTACTAGAATTACCATAAACAGTCATTTTGACTGCTCAGTCTTTACTTGCACATAATTTGGATATTCAACAATAAAAACTGATAATAAATTGGTGGAATAGATAAAAAAAACATCATTACACAAAATGAAAATCATAATAAATGAGATTTTTAAGAGCCTTCCTCAAAATACCAAGACACATCATTCCCTGAAATTGCTCATTCATTGGTTTCTTCCCCATCAAAACTCTGAAGCAAGGCTTAAGCCTCCATACTTGTCATTTTTCTGTTAGTTGTCATTTTTTAGTCTCTTGAGTTTTGAAGTAAGTTATAGCAAGATTTTATCTTTACAGAGCTTAAAGTACAAAATAAACAATGCAGCAGGAAAAAGAGTGGGAAAATGTAGCAAATAGTTAAATATAACACCCTTTGCAAAAAGGTAGTTCGAGGTAGCTTTACTCAGCTCTCTTTTGTGTTTTGAAATTTTAATGATAAAAAAATGTTAGAATAAAATATACACACATTTAGGAAAAGTCTGGGTATAAAGTGTATAGGTTTTTTTTTTTTAAGTTATGTCTTTGTAAATTTGAAAGCAGTCAAAATGACTGCCTTGGTTGTTCGGGTGTTAAACTGCTGGGTTGTGACATATACCTGTAATTTAACATCAGGCAAAGGAAAAATGCTTGTTGGTCGGTAGGATAGGTAGGACCCAAACCAGAATGCTTTCATGGTTAATGAGGAGAGCAGTCAGTCTCTTAAACTTGTGGGGTTGTAAGGTGTCTCTTGGACTTCTAATATGCTGGATATAGTGGGACTCAAATGCAGATGTTGTTGTCAGAAATCTATGACTTTGTTAGAGGCAGGAATTGGACAGTAAAAGATATTTAAAGACATCCAAAAATATCTAAAACTTTTGAGGTTACTCTAGCCTAGCCTGTTGTTGTCCTGTTGTAGCTCACAGCTCCACATGGACACGACTCTGAATTGCTGTGTACCATTTCTGCGTACAGCTCAACACTGCCACAGCCCAAGTGTAGCTAACTGTGTTTTGTTTTGCTAAGGCTGAAGTTTCCTGTGAACGCCACACTCATTCCATATTCATGAGGGGAAAAGAGTCTGTCACCTGTTGGGTTGTAAGGTGTTGTTAAAACAGGTGTGTTTGGAGGTCACGTAGGATCCAAATGCAGATGTCTGCAAGATGATAAGAGAAATGGAGGCAGAGGAAGAGTTATGATTGTGATGCTGATCAGACGTGAAACTTTATCTTCTCACATCAGCCTGCAGGGTTACTCTTTGTGGCACCAGATACAGATAGTTCAGCTCAACTATCAACACTACTATGTGTGTTGATAGCTGAGCTGTGTGCGTGTGTGTGCGGTTGTTTGGTGCGCGCGTACAGACAATAAACAGGTGAGAGCTTGAGAAGAGTGTGCGTGCAACTGTTAAATGTTCTCCTCTGACACACTGCTCAATGGGTTCCCTCTCAGATTGATAGTCATGTCGGCGTGCGGGGAGACTGAGTAGATTGCTGTGGTAGCGGCATCCGTCAGATGAGCCAATACAGCGAGTTTATCAGGTGGAGATTGACTCTGAACTGGGGGTCTCGTACATTGGAGTATCGTGCTAAAAAGGCCCCGAGGCACGGCCTAATGGATGTGACGTCAATATGGAGAGGGAGGAAGAGGGCCATTAGGAAGAGCATCAGGACAATGAAAGAGCCCACTCCTGTGTGTGTTCATGTGTGTGTAGTCGTGTGGGTGTAGAGGGGCAGAAAAATGATCTAAATGGAGAACCAGGGAATTTTGCATGAATATAATATGCAAATTTAATACACAAAGTGGTTTGCATGTGAGTGTTCATTGTCTAAAGAATGTCTCCTTCAAGCGCAGGAGAGAATATAAGCAAGAACATTTGTTTTTGTTGTGTGTATCTCTGGCAGGTGTCTGTTGGCTGAAAGAGGATCCACACATGAGTATGAATAATAAAACAGACACGGGGTGCCTCTGCTGCACACTCTCTCACACATGCATGTATGCAAACACACACACTGATGCAGATGCACACCTACACATTTTCCACTCTGCTGGTGGATGAACAATGCTCCAGGAATGTGGTCTGCATGGAGTCCTTGGAGGGAACAAGAAATTGGTAATGAGCGTTGATGGATGGTACTGATGGGACTAAATTTGCAGCAGAGCAAAGAGCTGCAGAGGTAGAGATAGAAAAGTGTCTGCAAAACTCTCATCCCAGTGCTTCATCAGTGTGTGTTTGTTGTTCAGGAGAAAACCCTATTGTGTTTGTGTGGATGAATTGTGGGGGCTACTCTTTGTAGAAGAGACGCCCTAATGAATCCAACTTACCCAGCATCCCTAGCTGCTTAGCGACCTAGCCTCTCAATCTCAATGGGAATCTCCTATTTAGAAAGCCATTATTTTTAGTCCTCTATAATTAAAGCCCCTCTGCCTCCTTGAAGAATTAACATTGGAGGGAAGGACGGGGACTGAAAATTCAAGGACAGAAGTCAGTCTGGATGAAAAATCTCTGACCTCCAGCTCTGTTTTTAAACTTGTGAGAGGAAGAATTGTACAACCTTGTCCTCTTTTTTTAAGTTTTAGCTTACTTAACAAAAAAAAAAGTTATGAAACATTTTGATTCTGGGAGTAGAGGCACGAAAGGTCAGACCAATAGAAAAAATGAGTGGTTTTACTTGATACACTCATGGTTATTAAACAACAGTATCTCTTAGGAATGGTAACAAGTTAGTACTACAAAGTCCAGTATTAATAGCTCACAGAGGCCTTATCAGTTGCACATCAGGACATTGCAGTGTGTAGGAAACATAGGCAGCCTGAGGCAGTTTATATAATGCCAGTTTTGACATTTATCAATTGGATTTACAGAGGGTAATTGGCTGAGCTATCAGCTGATCTGGGATGGCCTGATTCAAAGACAGTTTCAGTCCATGCAGTTCATTTCTTAATTCATACACTCTTTGATAAAAGATCTGTTATGATCACATAAGGGATAAATATCTGCACCAGATCCACCTCCTAAAGGCATGATTGACAATCTGAGAAACAGTTGGATAAAACTGAGCTGTTGAGGCAGATTTGAAAAAAGCGTCCCACCCCCGCACAGACAAACCTCTCCCCTCTGTGCTCCATGATAACTCCCACCCCGAACCTGTATCGCCCTCCCCATGACACACACCCTCTGGCAGAGCAAGAAGCCGCTCGCTTCAAATAGGATTCTCCATGTGGGATTTCTAGTGACTAGCAGCAGTAAACGCCAGCTCTGCTAGCGAGCACTGTCTGCAGCTGCCTGGACAACTACCATGTTGACATTGCAGAGACTACTAAGAGTTATTTATGTAAAATATGACACAATAAAAGACAAAACTTACCTGTTCAATAAAAACTCTGGGAGGGGATGAGTCGGAACCACGGGAGAGGGGTGTGTTGAATACAGCGAGCTGATTGGATGGAGAGGCGGAGCAGGAGATTGACCAATAGGAGCTGTCCAGGACGGATGGCTCCCATTGGTCAATGGTTTTGAAGCCCTGTAGCTGCTAGGGTGAATGGATTTTTATCCATTCTTTTTTCTATTCACTTTGTGGTGATTGCAATTTAGGACCATGATCGCCATATAAACAAGGTTCATAATAATGACCAACCTCTCCAATCGTCAAACATGTGCGCATATATCAAGAGTAAAAAAAAATAGTTGTGGCAGCTCATACAGGGTTACCAATATGGCAGCAACTATCATTGGTCTTCAAAACACCTCTGCAGAAACCATTAGGTGACATCATTGACTAGCACTATGTTTTATATCGTCTATATATCAACACATGTTGAATATATATTATTTATTTCATTACTATTTCTTTCTGGACCAAGGGGTTTAACCACCCTCAGATATTATTTTACTAAACTCAAGTTTAAAGCTTGTAGTTTGCCCGATAACACAGATAACACAGAACTTTTGTTGTAAGTGAAAGAACTTTTGAGCAATTGTCTAAAGAGGATGTTTCCATGTCTTTAGACACTGAACTGTTTTCTCCTTAGTTTGTTTATTGTCGTCCAGCGCTACAGATCATTGTAGAGGCAAACTGAGGCATTTGTCAAGGTGACACTGTGTGTGTCATCCTTTTGATTCCCCGCTGCCCCAAATGTTAAGCTCCCCGCAAGGTTGAAACCCGTCCATTTTTCTTTGATCTGTGCTATGAAATCCAATCTCCCTGAGGTGGGTTTCTGTTTGGTCCCGACTGCTTGTTCTTGAGGCAGGAAATCATTGGCCAGAAAGAGAACAACAGCGTTGGCCAAACACAGACTCCCAATACACAGATGAGAAAAGAGAGGCTGATTTAATGGTTCAGCAGAGGGGGCACACATAGAGAGGAGGGAGGAGGGAGGGTGAATGTATAGCAAGAAAATGAATATAGACTAACTGAACGACGAGACAATCAAGTGAAATGATAGAGTGAGTGCTGGGATATGGTAATTGGTTCAGTTTTTGAAAGCCTCGAAGCCCTGGCTCTGCTTGAATCAAGACCATGAAATCGTGTCTTTATTGAAGGAAATTGTGTGAAACTGTTACATTATGGTATATATTTAAGAGCCTGACTTTTGCCACAGAAATACAAGTTCCTATGTATGTTAGTTCTGCAGCCTCTTTTCTAACCCATCTGACTTGTACTTGAGACCCCCGCCTGAAGGCAGAGCTAGCGGAAAAAAAGAAGAATGGACTTGGCAGACCTCAAGTTGGCCATCTGTTCCTTGGGATGTGGTCAGGATGAATTATGCCCTTCTGTCCATGTCACACACACACACACACACACACACACACACACACACACCCACACACACACACACAAACCCATCCTGCCCTCCTCGTGTACTGTATTTCATCAAGCCTTTTACGCACACAGTCACAGTGCATCTGGCTGTCCAGTCTGCAGTGTCCCTCAGCCATGTGTCTGGACGTCTGTTCAGACGGTCTGTGGTTTTCAGGGAGAAAAGAAGAAGGGTGGTGGTGGTGGTGATGGCCGTGTAGTGGAGAGGGGTCGTATTGATTCACACCCCCTAGCATCATGCCAAGAAGCTGCTTTCATAACCCTCCCTCCTAAATAATTCACCACTTGCCCTCAAAATTTTTGTTAGCACCTACATGGACTCGACAATGTGCCCTCACACACGCAGAATTGTGGAGATAGTGTGTGTTTGTTCATACAATGCAAAAGCATGTATCTTCTTTACCCAAGTAAAATGACAGATTGTTAAAAAGATTCATATAAAAGCAGGAATGTGTGTTAAAATAAAAGGTATCGAAGTAAAAGCAGCCATCTAATGCAGGAGTTCTCAACTGGTGGGTCTCAACCCAAAAGTGGGTCACGGACACGTTCTGGATGGGTCGCCAACAGCTGGTCAAAGGGTAGATATTTCAGCACATCTGATGTTTGATATGTGTTTTATTTTGAAAAATAGCTTATTTTGAAAGGCACACATCAAGTTGAGGTCCTCCTCGGTCCTTTATTAATGAGGCCTGAATGCAGTAAAATAAATGAATATATATATGTATATATTTGGTCTTGATTTTTTGCAATTTGAAATTTTCTGTAAATGCAACTTTTGTAGTTGTCATCCTCAGTTCATGTACTGCAATTTACTTGATAAACTGCAGTACAATTATGTTAAAGATTTGAGTCTTGAAAGGTTTTTTTACATAAAAAAACAAATTTGCTAGGTTTATATTTTATAAAAGTGGGTCGCGACTCAAGGACCATGAGAAAATGTGGGTCCCAGAATGACCAGTGATCTAAAGGATTTTTCTGCAAGCTGTCCTAGCATCCCATCATAGTAAAAAGACTGCTAACTATAAATGTTTTCAACCTCAAATTGAATTTTAAAAACAATATTTAATGTCATTAAAAGTCAAAGACAAAACTATTTTCTAGATCTTTTAATTTTCAGAGATTGTATAGATCATTATGTTTGTTATTCATGCAAGAAGCTGACAGCATTAATTTCTAGAGCTTATTTGCAGAGGGCAGAGTGATCTCTCACCTTTACTGTCTGAGTAATATGGACCAGGAAGCAACAAGTAGACAAAGCCAAGCATAATAGCAGCGGTATACAACTTCTTGTGCCCCAAACATCTGAAGTCTTGGAGCATTTCACCCTCATCACTGCAAAATAAACAAAAAAAGAAAAAATTGCCTGTAAAATTTGCGAAGCATCTCACGGGAACACGCATGGGTTGGTCATGTGTGAGCATTTGAAGAGAATCTCAGCTAAAAATGTTCATCTCTGCCTGTCTTTTTCATTTCTTTTGCTTCCTCCTCATTTAACTCTGAGCAGTGGAGCAAACTCCTACCACGTAACTATAGCAACCACGCTTCAGTCGTCCGTCTTACTTTGACAGTGTGTGTAAAAAAGATGGCTTCCATTAATTTTGTGTTTTGAGTTTGAAGAGTAATATCAGATTCATAAGCTGATAGTTTAATAAGGATAAGTAATTGAGTAGTTTAGTCTCAAATAAATCAATTAATGTTTTTTTAGTTATTATTATTATCAGTTAATAATGAGGATTGGTGTGCTGGTGATGATAGTCACCCTACTTCAAGGAATGTTTGTGTTTCGAGCTCTGTTGCTGCAGAGGTGAGACAGTAGTTCAAACATTCATTAGTACTTCATTTTTAATATTTGACTAATGCTCATCCAAACTATCTGACTGATGTGCAGTGCTCAGTTATCACAGTGCCTCTTTCCCAGAGCAGAGCAGGTTTAATTTTCTAGCCTCTAATAAGCTTGCACTGAATTCAAATTAACAAAAGCAGGCCACCATCTCTCAATAAAGAAAAATCCAAATTAAAAAATCCTCCCAGTGAGCTCTGCAGCAGGAAGCAGTACGCCATTAGCCCAGTGCTATATATAACACACAATAAAAAGCTTTCTCTGAGATTCTATCGATATATTTAGCTGGTGGCAGCAGACACCGCCCTCCATCTTGATCCTCCTCAATAAAAACATGACACTGTCCAAATCTGACAACCAAACACAGCTTTAGACGCCCCGCTGCGGCAGCCATGAGCCAGTATCTCCTGCGTTATCAAAAGGAGACATTTGATGTCACATCCTCAAGGCAAGAATGAGCGGAAGGAAGAGGGGAGAAAAGAAAATTACAGCCGTATAAGGGGGATTTGTGCAGTGGCGCAATCATGAATCTGGCAGCGAAAAGACAGACCCCCAGGCAAATTGCCCTCGGACTAGTTCAGTTTCTCAGAGCTTCATCTGAAAGTGTGTTTGTGGAATTAAATTGTTTTTTATTGATCACAGCACTTTTTTATTTGGATTTCAATTTCCCTGTGCTTATACTCCTTCCAGCATGCAACAGGCTTTTATTTCTCTCTCCAATAAATACTCTGCTGGTCATTTAGATTTATTAAGTTTTGGCATCACAGCAAGGTCTTAACTTACGCAGCGAGGGACTTTGGCATGAATGTTTGTGCATGTCTGTGCACGGCTAATACAACACACTTTCCCTCTTTACTGATGGTAAAGCCTCAACATCAGCAGAGGACTGTATACAACTTCCATAATGTAGATTTGTTGCATAATGGTTCAATTACAGTGCATATAGAGAGAATTTGAATGCCTGTAAGAGACTTTTATTGCTTTACTTTGTTTGAAAGTTTTCTTTGGCAAGTCTTGAGACAAAGCAATGTATCTGCTTGGCAATATATCTGTCAAAAGAGATGTTATTGTTCCTCAAGGGCACTAAATCTGCACCACCAAAACCTGCAGTTGGAGTTTTTTTTCCCCTGAAAAGTAATAACTTACCTCTCAAACCTGGGGGATGAGAGAAACAGAGCAGCACTGGTATCTACAGGAGACCTAAGATTGGTCTAGAAACACCACAATTAAAAAAAAAAAAGATTCTGCTTGATACAAAGAAAAATACTTTCTAGTTTAACACAAATGATCCCTTACGAAATGAATGACCAGTTTGATGTTTTCTTCAGATGTTTAATTCGTTCATTGTAGACAGGGACTGTTCTCCTGACATTTTGCCACGCTCCATATTCAGGTAGCTGTGCCAGGCTAAATTTAGGCCGCTTCCCTGTGTGACGCTGAGACATCCAGGTGAATGTTGTGAAAAGGGAAATAAGTTCTCTGTGATAATAATATCTTTGGCTCCCACAGCCTCTTGCTCCCAACTGTCCCCGGTTATCCACAGGGATCCAGCTGGCTGAAACGATAAAAAAACATCCCCTCCTAACACACACAGAGAGAATCCGTATAAAAGGGAGGCCCAAGCATAAACACAGATACATGATACCACCAGTTTGACAGGAGAAAAGTTAGATCAGAGAGCAGCTTGGTGGCAACAACAGTGAAGAAATCGTTAGTTGTTTGGAAATCTAGATAAGAAAACAGTAACTTCCCGTCCAGTAATCTCAGTTTAGCTTGATGGGGGGAAATCTATCCTGGCTTTTTCTTATTTTTATTTTTATTTTTACTCCATGGGAGGTTAGCATCAAAAAGTTCTAGTATTTCAAACCTTCCTGTTGTTAGTAAGCTTATTTCGTCATCAGATGACGCTGTCGTTATGCTAATCGAAGCAAGCAGCTGGCTATGGCCTGATATGTTTCAGTCTAGTCTCTGTCCAGTTGCAGGAAGGCAATAAATCAATTACACAAAAAAATTAAAACATATAATATACTGAATAGTCGGGGTGTCCCAATCCGATATTGATATCGGATATCAGTCCGATATCAGCAAAAAAAGGAATATCAGATTATATCGGCCTGCATCTAAAATTTCCGATAATATCACTCTGATACAAACAGTCCACTCCAGACTCCACTGCAGCACCTCTATCAAGCAGCGCCTACGCAGAGCGCATGTGATCACAACAGCAGTGTATACTAACGGGGCGCCAGTCTGGACGGGGTGCCGGTCTGTGGCAACCTGACAGTTCTTCTGTTTGTACAGGATGAACTGAAATAAGAATTTTTCCTTGTGGAACTAATAAAGGAGTTTTTTACTAAGGTACTAACAAAGTAGCAAGGAGTAAGAGTGATGTCGGCCATGTGGCGGTATTTTTCGTTAAAGTCCTAAAAAGACATTGCAGCTGAGTGCAAAACTTGTCATGCACAAGTTTGCGCCAATATCAGATCAGTATCAGTATCAGCCAACACTGAAGGCTACAATATCGGAATCATATTGGAAGTAAAAAAGTTGTGTCAAGACAACCCTACTGAATGGTTACATTGGCATCTATGAGGCATAAATCCATTGTACCAGTACAGTTATTCTGGAGTCAGGCCTATACTGACTATATACTACATAGTCTATACTCTTGAAGAATCCAACTCTATGCAAGGTTGCTTTACTGTTACTAGGGGGTTTATGTTTTCTATGATTGACACCTGATACAGCCTATTGACGTTCAGCGATTGCATAGCTCACCCGGAGGATATGCTGTTTGAGCCAAGCATCATCACAGCGACTCTGGGCTACTCTCTTGCCGAATGCATATGACACTACTGCGCAGCGCTGGTTTCAGAAAAATAAGAAAAATCGCGGAAATACCGAGAGCTTTTTGGCTTCAAATCCATATACAGGCGGGAGGTGGAACCAAGTTGTCCATAGTATATACAGTCTATGGTTTTAATTAGTTAGTTCTTTTTTTCTTAAGATATTGATTGACAGCTCTGCTGACAAATGAAGTCCCCTGTAGTACTCTGTACAGGATTAGTGGAGTACAGGAATTACTGTGAGAGAGAAAGTAGCAAACACTGAAACAACAACAGTCTATGAACCTTCATGACCCTAATCTGAACTGTAATCTGTCTGTTTTTTGGTGAAAATGAAAGCAAGTTGTTTATTCTATGATGGTCAGGTCACATGCAGTAGGAGATTGAGGCAGCTGCATTAGTGGTTATGACAAAGCTCCAGCTACATACAGTTGTAAAACAGTTACACAGTAAAAGACCTTTTTTTGCATTTTATACTGGTATATTGGTCACATTGGTGTTCAGCAGCCTAAATATATAGATATAGATATGACATATAGAAAATAAATTCATGTGGTAGGTTGATGTTTTTAAGAACATGCTTTAGTGATGGTTCCTTCTTGGTTTTTCCACCACTTTCCAAGTTGGCATTACATAGTATGCTAAAATATTCCTGGTCTTGATTACACTGTGTCCCAAAAGAGAAGATAACTTGATATCTGGACTGTGTTAGGTGTGTGCTCACTCTTCAGTGTGCAGCGCAGCACAATATTTTTCAACTTTCCTCTGTGTTAGATGATGAATTGTGCAACCGTTGTAGTAATATATGAAACCCTGCTCTCGTGTAAATGTTTGCAAAACCAGCTTCAGCTTGAATAAATTTATTCCTGATTAAATCACACATGAGCACGCTTCTGATGCCTCACACACTTAAACCAACGCATAACTATGCAAATTTTCTTTTAACACCAGCTCAAGTGGCGTGAATTTCGGGTTAAAGCTGCAAAGTGAGAGGGATTCTCACTTCAGGTTTCAGTGAATTGACCTAAATACTGCAGAGACTTTGCCTTATATGGACTGTTCTTTCATAACACTGCAGTAATAGGAATGGGCGCTTCTCTTTTACAGTTCTCTGTTCTGTCTTTTTGTCCACTGCAGTGTTGTAACAAAGAGATGAAGGACTCAGAACAGCTATGATCTCAGTTTATATGCGGTCGTTTCCTTGTAAACCCTTATGTTATGAACCAAGAGCTATATCCAGGATAGATAATGGAAGGAAACATTACACTATAAAGAGTATTTACATTTCCCTTGATAATGGCAAAATATTGTTTAATATAAGAGCAGATTTATTATTATTTGTCTTGAGTTACATATCTGTTTACTGTTACAACAATTGACTGTGCTTATGGAGGCAAAGTAGCATTCGCTCTGGAAGTTGAGATTGTCACACAGCATAGCTATCATCTGTGGGTGCGTGAGATTATTTGTGAGTGTGCGGGCTCCAGTTTCTTACAACATCTGCAGCACATATTAAAGAGTTTGTTTCAGGGGAAATCAGACAAAAAACAATGGACATTTTCCTAACTTTCATTATGAAGACAAACACGCAATTCTAATATGTTTGTAAGGGTTATAAACAACAACAAAAAAACACAAATGTTTCATTTCTATCTGAATTCACAGGTCTGGTTTTTATCAAGGCCCTCCACTTTTTCTATTTCTTATCACGGTAATCTCCCAGTCAATACGCTGAGATCCTACAGTCAGTGGTTGAGTCACTGCAGACATTGATTTCTGCTTTTTGTGTTTTTATTGGGTGTTTTTTTTTTTCTACTCTATGGCTGCTAGAGTTACTCATGCCTGAGCTTATTCTCACTTAGTAATAACTTTCATGTTGAGTTGATAAAATGTGTTTCTGACTGTTAAAGGCAAATAATTATTGAAACGAAAATCAAAAAAGGTCAGTTTGAGGCCGTCTCCTGGTAGAGTTGGAGGATCCAGAGTCAACAATCCCAAAGTTCACTCTTTGACTAGAACATAGAGCTGCCTTCATAGAAGGTGGTTTTTGGGAGTGATTTGGAGCTTATGCTGTGATTTTCACTGCAGAGTCATATCTGTTTTTAATGTACTGTCTTTTGGTGACCTAGAGATCACAGTCATCCAGCATTTTTTGAGCATTGATTTAACAAACGTATTTACTGTGAAATCCCCAAATGCGTTGCAATTTGGTAACACTTTATTTGACGCCTATCTCTATAACGCATTATAAATACATTTATAATGTGTTATAATCACGTTATAGCACTGCATAATCGTTGTTATAAACACTCATAAATGATCATAATGCTTTATAACAATAATCATAACACATTATAAAGCATTTTATCATGACTTACAAGGTTAGGTATTATAATGTGTTATAACTGTTAACAACAGTTGCATTGCATTATCTATGTGGGCATTGACAGTGAGTTGTTAACAGTTATAACACATTATAATACCTGAGCTATTAAGTCATGATAAAATGCTTTATAATGTGTTATGGTTATTGCTATAAAGCATTATGATCATTTAAGAGTGTTTATAACTATAGTTATACAGCGCTATAACGTGATTCTAACACATTATACATATATCTATAATGTGCTATAGAGATAAGCATCAAATACAGTGTCAACCATTTGTACATTTATTATACATTTATTCTTTGTTAATTTATCTATTGCTTGCTCACACAGTCCCATCTTTATTGAAACATGCTAGCATTTCATTTAAGATAAGCGAGTATTTTTCACAACAAAATCTAATTTTCAGATTTATTATTTGACATGTCTTTGACTTTAATCAAAAATGGGGTTTAAATGATTTGCAAACCATCAAAGTAGTGGTAGTGTTTCAAGTGGGGCTCAAGCCACCCTGGCTGCATCCTGGATCCGCCCCTGTTAATCAGTGTAGACTTCATTGAAAAGCAGACGCCTATTCTGCCACCTGCCACAGATAGTCACTACCCTCTGAACTGAAAGTGTTGAAGTCTAACAACCACATTGTAATGCACAGGCCATGTGTCATCATGCTGTGAATCTGAAGTCGTGACCCACAAGTTGTTCCCACTGTATTTTACTAGTGTATGCTTCACACATCCTTCACGTCTAGATCTCAGTATTTGTCCACCCACCTTACCTCTGCTCCCCTCCTCTGTTCACTGACCACACCCACCTCACCAATTGACTCAGCTCTCCTGTGTACACAGCTGCGCCTCATCAGTAATCAAGCCACCACTTATAAGCCTCCCCCGCTCACCTGCTACATTGCTGCATTGTTCTTGAGACTTTGCTGCACTTTCACTCAGGCTGATTCCTCATTTCCTGCCCTGTTTGCCTCTGACTGACCAGCCTTGTTGTAATCCTGGAAATCTCCTCGTCCCTTTGGACCCTTCTGTCCACAACCACAAGATCTGCCTTGGTGCTTCAGACTCCTGTTTGCCTCCGTCACCCGTTGCTTGCTTGGCATTGCCTGGTGTGACACTGCTGTGTGCCGGTTTTACCCCTTGTAGATACTGACTGTGTCACCACACTTGTCGCTGTGTGTGTATTCTGTAGATATACCTGCTGACTTTCAAAGTCCAGATCCCTAGTGCAGCCCAGTCCGGTCTAATGCCCCCAACAGCTTACTGTTTCTGACCTGGACGTAAATTTTACTGCCTGTTTGAGCCCATCAGTAAGATGAGATGATCATTATTGATCCCTGTTGTTCCCCGGTGCTGCATATGGGTCTGAACACCACCTGTTATGGGGGTAGCTGTTGCTTCCTCATTATGCAAATATATGATTTAATGTTCTCTAGTTGGATTCATATCGCAGTGCTTACCTGTCTACTCCAGTCATATCACTGAGTACAAAGGTGTCAGAAAAATCATGTATAATAGCAGTAATTGTGCAGTTACCCTGTGGTATTTTTTATCAAGCAGACAGTCAGTGCGTTTACATGCACAGCTTAATCGGACTAAGCTCATGATTCGTTTTTTTCACAGAATCGGACTTCTCTCCTTGGCCCCATATACATGCAGCTGAGAAAAAAAAACGGAGCATCATACAACATTGTTCAATAATTGCAATAATTCGGTTTTCTCAAGTGTCATGTAAATGTACTGAGTAATGGTAGAGGGTTTTTTTGAATATTCTTGCTACTTTAGGGATATTGTTTGTTCCAACACTCAAGAAAGTCTCATGCTTATCCATATTTATTTATTTCCTATCAAAAAAAGTCACATAAAAATTAGCCAGTAACTCAAGTTTAAAAAAAAAAAAATTCTTTGCCAATAGCATTAAGTTGCAAAATTAGTGCCATATTAAAGTACCTCAAATTGCCAATGATGTCTTAGTACATGCTGGTTCCAAATTAAAGTCTCTGTTTGGAGGAGGGTATATACTGTCAAATGTGGAATCTGTGCAAATCCCCAGTGAGAAACCAAGTGGGACTTGCGAACAGGAAACTGGAAATATGTCTTATATGTTTGGTCTTGTCCAAACTCACAGTACAGCTCCAACACAGTCCCCATGAGAATCCCTATTTCTCTCTCATCCTCTCTGCCAGAGAGGCGAGTTGGGGAAATGGCGCAGAGCGAGCACAGCGGGGAGGCATGTTGCAGCTTACTCTGCCCTGCCTGTTGAGTAGAAACGACTTCAGAGCTTTAACTCTAGGAGAAACTCGTCCAAATGTTTATTAACTACAACTGCTAATCACCTCCAGCAGAGATTTGCTCCTCCTGAGGAAAGGATTGGGAGGCGAACATTTGGCCTGCATGTTAACCATTACCTGTAGACTGCCTCCAAGGTGAGAGGAGGTTTAATAAACAAGCCGTAGGTGCTCTTTGGTGTCCGTTTGTGATGTTGTGCTCGTTCTTCTCTTGAGGCCTCTTTCTCGGCTTGCCTGCAGTATAGCAAACACAGCATTATCATCCCGCTACCGTCAGCTTGTCTGATAACAACACTGCAGAGAACTCTCACGTATGTTCACACACATACCGTACCACCGCTCCAGGCCAAGTTATTTTCTCCTTTCCAAGAGAGGTATAGTGGAAATATTGCCTTCTATGGAGGTGTTTATTGCTGCTTGTGGGTATTTTTTACAGCCATTTTTGTGTGTAACTTCTTTTTTTTCCCTGTGCTTTTAAAGGTGTTGAACAAGACAGAGTAAAAATATTCTGCTTACTCTCAAAGTCAAAGCACAGGAGCATTAAACTGTGTTCTTATTAATAGCAACATTCCCCAAAAGCGTGCATGAGTCCTCTGTGAAGGCCCGTGCACAATGCTATGTCATCCTGGAATGTGTCCAGAGATATTTTAGTCACAGTGGAGCTCAGCACAAGACTGTCGAGATGCTATCGGCACACAGAAAAAGCCCACGATCAGGGTAGCAAGCATCGACTTTGCTTTTTCAGGCTGCGGATGACTGATAGGAGAGCAGTCACCGCTCAGTCTTACAATCTTGCCAGATTTTGGGCAGATTGAGTTTCTCCATTGTGTATTTCTTTTTGAGTGGGTTTTGTGATTTCTCTGCAGGATTGAGAGCTCCACCTTGTTGGAGAGGGAACTAGGACATGGGAGGATCACATATTTCTATTGAGACTCATCAAGAAGTATCTGTTATCCAGGATCAGCAGATTTGTACATCCCTTAATTTGAAGAATAGAAGGAAGTTATCACTCACTTGCAGGGGACTGTCTCTTCAGCAGTTTCGGTATTCAAAATGAAAAAGTGCATAGATATATGAGCAGAAGGATAGAGTTCACTCTATTTCTCTGACCTCGTCACATTTTGACACAGTTTTTTCAGCCAAAATATTCTGTTTGCAACTGATGTCATGTACCCAAAAAGAGTTGCCAAAATTGCACTTTACAGTTGTCTTTAAAAAAGACTGAAATCCTTTTTTTGTAACAGGCTGTAAACATGTTAAAATTTGCAGTAAAAGTGGACAATTTAATGGGGGCTCAAAATGGTCTCCTCGCTTTAAGCGGACAATGAGGAACTGCCACTTTTGGCACTTTCGTATCAGCTTTTTTTGTTTGTTTTCTACTTGAAGGTTTTCACATGGGGGATGCTCACAAAACTCTACAGCAAGGGCTCTGACCTACATAGTCTGCTTCTATACCTGTGACAATTGAACCTCCTCAAAACTGTGCATCCTCTTCACATATAATCCAAACTGAACTTCTGACCATACCTTGAAAATTCAAGAGCAATAGATTGATTTATGTCGTCACCAGCAATGATTTTTCATTTCAAAACGTGTAAATATTCAAAATATGAACATAACATAGTCAAAAGGACACTTCAATTTCAATCTTATAGGGTGACCATATTCTGAATCCCCAAAAAGAGGACACGACTAAGCAGGGGCAGAGTCACGAAGTCGCATGTAGTTAATTTTGAGAGTTTTTTGGGTCGGGTCTAGTGTTTTTTACACACTTCTTACTCAGTAAGTCCAGGTGACACAAACTCAAATCTTCCATACAAAGCCCCAGAATATTTGAAGGATTTTATAAACTCCCCCAGACAAAGCCAGACAAGGCCAGACAGCCCCCCAAAAATAGGTCATGTCCAACTAAAAGAGGATGTATGATCACTCTACAATAGTATACTCAGTAAATGTTCTCAAAATGAACATTTACTTGTTCAAAAGCTAGCTTAGACCCAGTAAATGCTTACAGAACCTGTTCCAGATCTGGGGTTTCCTCTGTGACTAAGTACCGGCTCTGCTCCCTCACAGGCTGATGACTCTCGGTAAACTTCACGTTATCTTACCCAAATGCTACCAAATCTTTCTCTCAACACTCTTGCCATCGAAGCAAGTTAAGTGTAACTTGTCAAACATCAACACTAAAATGCTGAAAATGACCGCAAAAGTTGTAGAATTGGGATTTTTTCGACTGTTAAATGACAGAAATATTTTGAAGCAGGTTGTGAGAACAAAGTATGTTGACGCAGACAAAATTAGAGTATTGAGACTATTAAGATTATCATATTCTGGCATAATAAGGGTTTAAAATAGTTAATTAATCAGTGTTAAATGAGTGTATTTGCAGCATCACAACTCATTTTTAAACATGAGTAATTTGCAATAGTCCTTGAGTTTGTAATCCTTTCAGCCGTCACAAAGTTGCTTAAACTGCTGCTAAGTTTGCATGCTTTTCTTGCCCTTTCCTTCCTCTTTGAGTGTGTACTTTTGGCCCATGTATGGATTTCTTTCCCAGAACTTCTGCCCACAGAGTATTTAGATTAGTTTGAACTCAAGTTGTCTTTATTGAATATCATTGCGTTGAAGAAAAAGGTGCAAGGGGTCACATCAATTCCAAAACACGATGCTGTGAAAACAGGCTCGCTGACAGCTAAACATTTTCCCTGAGACACAAAGCAGACATGGCCCCGCTCACAACCACCCCTCCTGCCTTGTTATCTCTCTTTTCCCTCTCTCTCACACTTTCTGTCATGTCCTGTCTCCGAGTCAATCTTTTACTCACCACCTCTGCCTCTCACACGCAGTCACCAGCAGCACCGACTCATTCTGTCACTCTCATGTCACAGCAAACCATCTCACTCTCCATCACACGTGGGATAGTGGAACAAAATCAAATGTTTTCTCCTCTCAATTTATCCTTTTCTTTTTGCTTTTCTCCCTGCGTGTCTCTTCACTCTCTCTTTCCCCTCACACTCTTATCTGCCCTTTCCTCGCTATCAGCTTAGCTCAGTGACAGAGCCCGTCGTGTTGGAACGCATCCTGCTAGCTGAAGGCGATGCGTCATGTGTCACAGCCACCACACCAAAACAACTTCACAGAAACCCCTTACATAACTAAAATGATATCAAGCATGTTGTTAACCTTCATTTGCAATTTTAGCACACTTTTTCTCAGCTTCTTCCTTCTATTCTTACATAGACAATACATCTATGTGGGCAGGAAATAAAGACAGAAGCAGGGAGATGGTGGGAGGAGGAGACAAAGAAACAGGATTAAGAGGAGGTAGGAGGTGATAAAGACAGGAAGAGTTATCTGGGGGAGTGAAATGGATTGTGAGATGATAAAAAAGGGTGAGAAAAAAAGGAGAGAGGGTAGAAAGAAAGCTCAAGACACTTGTAAGAAGAGGGGAGGACAAAACGGCTTGAAAAAAAGGAGGCTATCGTGGAAAATTAAAGAAAATGACGAAGATAGAAATATAAATTTGAGCAAAGAAGCAGACAAAGAAGTGAAGAGACCATTCACACCTTAGTCTGAGATACTTCCTGTGAGATGGGATCACAGTAGACGGCTCTAAGTACAAACACGCTCACTTTACATTGTCATGCATCTCCAACTGTGCCTCAGACGACCACTTGTGATTAAATCGCACCTTCCCGCCTCAGATGCAAATCAACACAAAGCCCCACACGCCTTCAGGATGAAACATAGAAAAGCTCTTGAGACCTGAAAAAACATTAAATAATAAGATAACATGATAGCGACTCACAGCATGGGGGGCAGCTGCATTTTACACTGAAGTAATAAAGTCACAGTAACACTTTGAGAATGACACAGTTGACAAATACTGGTGTCTCCGACTGACAAACAGACCTTCATTTTCCTCGCTGCACCGCATTATTATGAGTTGTGATGAACCATCTCCCTACTGTGTCATTAAAGCACGGGTAGATGCTGATCATGCCTTTTATTACGATGTGCTTGGATGATAAATGGACCACAGTGTTTGTACATTCAACATCATAGTTGTTTGTCTGGCATGCTTTTATTTTGATATGTTTATGCCTTGCATTTAGGTAGCTTTCGTGCTTTTATTTTGAAGTATAAACTACTCCCAGTGGATCATAAGTCAGGGAGCTAAATGAAAGCAGTTAAAAGAACAGTTAGAGAGTAAAAATGCTCTATTAATTAGCTCTAATGTTGCATTTGGATTCAAAATAAATCACTGGTTTAGTTTCTAAAAGTGTTTGATCATCCCTCAGAGAGCTGCATCAAGCTAGATCACAGACAGTCTATTTTGTTTTCCTCTCGCCTCTGTTTTATGACATGTGCCAATAAGCATAAAGGACTCTGAGCTGTAAATTCACAGTACTGTTTGGTTACTTTAAGTGCAATATCAATACTCAACATTTTGATAAAGAAGGTTATCATAAATACAGGTTTACTATGACAGCCCTACTTCACATTTTGGAACAGCCTGGGAAGATGAAAATGCAATATATCCAGGAGACACAGCATAGAAATATCACATCAGTTATATAGGCAGAAGTCTCTGTTACTCCATAGGATCATTGCCATGGATACTGAGGGAGTGGGTGGTCCATAATGTGGCCCAGGACACATGAGAGCACAAACTGTCAGGCCATTGTATACAGATCTTTCCCAGATCACCCCTGTAGGTGGCCTAAGTGATCAGATCTCAATCCATCCAGGGTGTGTTTAACCCTGTTGTCCAGGCTTTTCACCTGTGATCTGATCACACAGGATGAATGTTGATATTAGGGATAAACAGAGTGTTAGAGAGGGGAATAAAGGAAGATGCTGGGGAAGATAGTAAAATATCAACCGAGATACAAGGTTCAAAAATAGAAAACAGAGAGGCTTGAATTAAGTTATCGTGCACTTATGTTTGCTGATGTTGCACAGGATTTGACAGCACAGCACCTGCCATACGCAGCCCAAAAAGGCCTGCAAACCCCCAAACAGTACAAGGAACAATGATGAGTGAGGGAGAAAGTGAGGCACCATGGAGACAAACACCAGAGGAGGAAGATGGATGGTGGAGGGAAGGCAGCCAAGACAAAAATCTACCCAACCTTAAGTAGACGCAGCGTCCTAATGCTTTAATGATAATCTCCTCTCTGTTGTGTTATTGCAAAACTCTCCAAGAGAAAGGCTCCATCGTCAGCACATTCGGAAACACACACACTCACACACACACACACGCTTGGGGAGGTCTATCTAAAAATGTCCTGAGCCCTGCTGCAGTAATGCTAGGCTATTAGCGCTAACTGCTGACCTGTAGGAACAAGCATCGACAGCCAGCATCGCTCTGAGCTCTGTGGTAAATTTGACACCCACAGTGCTCTGAATGAAGGTTTCCCTGTATAAGTGGAAACAACTGCGATTTTGGGTGAATATATCAAAAATGTTAACCTTGTGTGGCGCTGAAGTTTAACACTCTTTAAATTCAGATTTAAAGCAGAAGATTGTGTCAAAGCACCGCAGCGTGGGGGGTTATTACAAGTGCAAATGCAGGGGGATGCATGTCAGTGGCAGCTGCTGAGTCACTTTATTTCAATTCACAGCAACCACGAGGAGTCAAGTAGGTTCTCCACTGCGCCCTGTTGCTGGAGCACGCAGGCAGTAAAGTGAGGGCCCGTCTCGACAGGGTAACAATGGCAGACGCTCAGAATGTCAAACATAATTGCGACGCTGTTTGTCATTTATCAAAGGTTTACCCAGTTGACATTTTCTCAGTTTGATGAGGAAGACAAGGCTGATTTTCGATGAAACAGTTTCAAAGGTCATGTTCCAACCCAGTCAAGTTTGATGCTGATTTGGACTCTTATAGACAGTCATATAGAGTGTTTGAACAAGTTAAGCTGCTCATGAAATAAAAGTCAAACCCCGGGGAGTTGTCTCTTTCTTCTTTCCCCCGCTCACTCTTTCTTTTTGTCATTTTATTGTACTGAATCAGGCACTGACTGCATATTTTTGATCTGAACAGAGTGAGGGATGATGCCGAAGAAACTTCAGAGGATCTGCTTTTTGAGGTAAACCACCCTTTTGGAAGCATTCATTAATTCACTAATCTGTGATGTACACCCTCTTCTTTTTGGTGTTTTTTTGGATTTAAACCTCAGCTGCAGAAGCAAAAAGCAGCACAAGTAATGATACCATGTTGTCAGCTTTCAAATCATCAGAAAAAAAACAGATATGACATCCTATAAAACCACTTTCAATGGTTCAAAAAAATTCAGAACTACCTGTTTGAAGTAATATCTCACTTTTAGAACATTTCCAAAAGCAGCAAATGATACTATTTTCATATGAGGCAGCACAGCCCCGCCCTGTCTTCATTTATTCAGCCTTACTGCAGAAGCTCTTAAACCCTGTGAGCCATGTTGGCTAACATTGTATGCGCTCGACTGCTTCCATTTAGCCGCACTAACGCTCTCATTCAGGTACTCCTCATCAATCCTTTTTACAGTCTTTTGCATAAGTGCTTCTCTATAATGACGCATTAAAGACAGTCTGCAGTTTGTTTTGTGCGCTTTAAACGCTTAAACTATTAGCAAACACTATTTCTAATGAGTCTTTTTGTAGTTTTATTGATTGAGTTTAGGGACTTACTGGATTAATATTTCATGAAAAGTAGCTTCCAGCAGGCATTAAACTTTAAAATGGGGGACTAATTTACAAAATATGGAGAGATAAACGGCAGAGGGAAAGAGCAAAGCCTTAAGACCTAATGACATGGGCCTAATGATATTCTTATAGATACTCATGACTTGAAGAAATACTGCTTCATTTGTTTCCTAAATGACTTAAACAGCATATAATTCACTAAATGTTGGATTTTTTATAACAAGATATTCACCTTTTGTGCTCTATGCAGCTTTTTATGCTTAGTTGCTCCTCTGGAGAGGGAGCAGGGATGCAGCCATCACATTTAAAGACAATGAAACTTCATTTGCTTAAGAGCTACTTTTAATCACAGTAAAAGTGCTGCAGGGCAAAACTGCATCACCTCCTGAGGCTGTGCATGCTTAGTTACTTGTATAAGATATTAGAGGACCTAAATACACACATACAGGGATTAAAGGTATATCCTGCCATCCTCACCCACTGACAGAGAAAACGCTTCGGCTCTTTAATCTCTCGCCTCCGTTGTTTATTTTAACGCCGCATGACATCAAAGTGCAGCAGAGGTTCACAAGGAGGAAATGCACTTTTGCTTCCTGCTAAATGACGGTCCGTAGCACATCCTCGCATGCACAAAGGCCTTCTGAGTGGGCTTTTTTGTTGTACACCCACACACACGCTATCCTCCCACCGATCTGCCGCCGCTTCCCCCCCATCAGTGCTCCATCTCCTCTCTTTCATCTTCTTATTTGACCTGACTCTTATCTGCACACTATGAATGGGACAAGGCCTGGGCAGCTCCCTGGCATTATGGAGCCAGAGGGATAGACAGGATAAGCAGCAGGGGCCAGTAAGGCTTGGTGGAGGATCCCAGTGGAAATGTGGGGCCGAGCTGCAGGGCTCTTTGTCATGGAAATGGATAAATGTTAATTTGTCCAGAGTGAGAGCTGCGCCCGCACCGCTTTGGGCATGCTCCTGATCTTTAGGGATGTTTTTGGACTCTAGGTCATACGATATGGCCCCAATGACCATCCAGAGGTGCAGGTTTCCACCATTTCCATCAGGAGGCAAATACAGCCGGCCCTGATGGTCTTTGTGTGTCTTCCAGTAACAGTGGTTCTCTCATGGTTCTCCCACAGGTTGCAACAGGGAGACCAGAAACAGCACAGGGTCTTTGGCACCGCCTGGACTACAAGTATCCTTTCACTGCTTTCTTCTCCAAAGCACTCCCACATCTGCTCACACTCACAATGCTTAATGCACCCATCTGTGGAGCTGAGTAGTATTATAGGGTGAGTAGAAGGAAAATAACAGAGTGCTGCATTTCAGGGGATGTGAAGAAAGGCCCTTGTGTGTTGTGATGGTCGGGCAAAGAAGAAGCTCTTAATATAGTTCAGGAGAGTGCTTACTCCTATATTTAAACTAAATACTCCACCTATGGGTATTACTTTTTGTAGATGCTCTCACAATAGGAAGATAATATAAGACATAATTTCGTTATCATTTCCTTAAAGTAATAATCACCATATCAATCACTTTACAATGCAGATGCAGTAGGTCTTCTGCCTTAGTGTCTCGGTCTGATTGCATTTCCATAAAGAAATGAACATAAATGTTTTTCCTTGAGCTGCGTCACCCCGCAGCAGGCCGTAATGGACTGGCCTGAGGTCTCGCTACAAATGAGCGGCTGCTGGAAGAGAGGAGGAGAGTTGTGTTTGGTCTCTTTGCTTAAGAAATTAGGCAAAGTTAAAAAGATGTTTGGTGGCTAGTGCTGTGGCTTGGACCCTATATGTACTGTTGATGAAGCAAGCAGTCTGCATCATTCATCTCTCGAGGGGGTGTCTAACTCAGTGTTACAGTGTGTTTGACCCGAAATTAATTTTACGCCAGAATGTTCCTTTAAAGCTGGACAAAGTGATACCTGTGATCTACGGTCCACTGCATGTGAAAGTTGTGTTTTTAGACAAAAAGTTTGGTCTGTTGTCTGTTAACAATGAAGACGGTCACTCACTGGGAGTATTTGCTTCAGATTCTGTTTCAGACTGTTCCTCCACCAGTGAAAAACTTCCCATAGTACCTTTTAAAGGGGATGGTTTGACATTTTTAAAAATAAAACCTCAAAACAAATGTTTTTTAGGCATATTTTGTTGTCAGTTTGCTAGCAGTGGATGAAACCCAGGGCACTAACCTCTTCCCATTCTTCAAAATTAGCTAAGCTAACAGACAGCTGTTGAAAGCTCAGACACTTTGACATTTTGAACAGCTGTTTCCAGAGCAACAAAATAAACAAACAGAAAAAAACATCTCAACCATGTACATTGGACAAACCCAGAATTGATGCCACCTTCATTTCCAGTTTTTATACTGTGCTAAGCCGAGCCTAGCTAAGGTAACCGACTAGGCTACCATCTGTGAGTGTGCGGCTCCAAAGAAACACAGGATGAATGTTTGTCACTGAATGCAAAATGCTTTTCATGATGTATTTGCTGTTGACTGCAGGGCAAACTGGATTCCTGTAATCAGAAAATGGAGTTCAATCATCCAGCAGTTTAAAAAAACGGTGCTGTCCTCTGCTGCAGAGTTTCATGAGGACTGCATTAAGTTTACGCTAATCGAATTTTACCACTTAATGGCCTCATGACCTGGCTCGGTACTCGGAGGGGAGCACATCATTTTACTTTATGGACTCCGTCCTCTGCTGCAAAACAATGCAGGTCTGCCAGTACATTAATTTAGCATTTTCATTTAATGCATGAGTGCATTAATATTAAAATGAGCTTTTTTCAGCTTCTATAGAAAAGGGCATCTAAAGAGAAAAGGAGACATATGACTGGACTGTGTTGGTAAGCTATGAACTCTAGCTAAAGATAGATGAGGCAAAGTATTAAAAAAATATGATGGTTTCTTTCTGCAGGCTGTTTCAACAGTCCTGTCCTTTTTCTGTAAAAAAAAGCATCATACTTCGCCTGCTGAATCATGTGAAGGCTGTCCAATTCTCTTACATAACACCATTATGACACTCTAATTAGATGAGCAGAGATTAGGAGGTAATGGCATCCATATTTACTGTGTGTATGAGAATATTTCACTCCCCTGATGTATTTGCATTTCGCGGAGCTGAAAGATAAATAGAGCACAGTCAAAATGCTTCAAAATGAGCTCTGAACCTTTAATGAATGTAATAAGAATGTAAATGATGAATGTGAAACACTGTAATTAGTTTATGGAGGTATCTTTGGCAGAGATTATAGCCTTGGGTTTCATGTGATCCCAAACTTAATCGAATTAACCTGGGAGCATCTGTGAACACACATTTACAAGTCGCTCTCAGATGTTTAAATGGACACTGTCAGGTATTTTTCTTTGCTCAAACAGCTCACACTGAAATATTTTTTCTCGAAAAGTGCCTCCGCGTCGCTCCTTTGTGTCCTCACAAGTCTGCATGTCCCTGCTGCTGAAAAAGCCTCCTCACAACATGATACTGCTGCCACCTCCATTTTCACAGTCTGGTGTTAGATGAGTGATAAAACCTGGCAAGTTTCTAACAAAGATTGAGCTTCACATTACAGCTCAATAGCACATTTAATCCCTTCTGGGAAAAACCGTTGCATCTCTTTGCTTTGCCTCTAAATGTTGTTTTTTTGCTTTTTTCAGTTTCTTTCCATTTTGAACCTCTTCTTATTCCAACCAGCTCTGCCTTGAGTTGCTTGTGACAAAGTTTCTTATCAAACCCATTTCAGCTCAGGCTTTTAAATCCTCAAAAGACAGAAATGTGAACATGTAAAGTAGCTGTTAGACTCCAATCTTGGTTTGACTTCAGAGTTCAGAGTTAGCACTTTAGCTCCCCAAATCACTGATTCAAATGCTAATTTTCACAAAGCCAGCTGCTAGTTGTAAAACATTACAACTACTCAAAAGGTCCTGTGAGGAGCTCTTGGTTATGATGACTGTAATAAATATTTATGCCTCATAATGAGCTACAAAAGCAAAGAAGACCAGCACTGACTATATCTAATTTACCAATATAGTTAAAGCTCCTATGAGTAGCTTTTTGTCTGTATTGACATTGGCGCCCCCTATGGACAAAGTGGTAACTGTCTGACCCGATGTTGTGTAATTTTTGATTACCCATCCATGTCCCTTCCTCTTTTCCTCCAGTATCATTTGAACCATATCAAACTGAACCACTGACATCCGGATGTCAGAATATTTCCTTTATCAGTAGGTGAAATTGCCTTTGCTCTCTGGAGTGGATGGACCCAATGATTTCTTTTTCACCGTTGCTGTGTCAAGGATTCATTTAGTCTAATACTGCAAATTTCACAATTAACAGAAAAATAAGCACATCAGATTCAGTGTGCAAATTTTCTATGCTTAATGTTTTTGCTCATCAGCTCATAGATCCAAAAAAAGGCACCAGAAAAAAAGGACTCAGCGTGCAGAGACCTTTATTTTCAATGTGTGAAAATGCTGCCACAGGCTAGATGTCAAAGTGACAAACTGCACATTGCCAAAGCATTATTTTTTCATTCCATTAAAATAAAGCGGGATAAAAATGTTCTGTAAAATACAATGTTTACTCAGACACAAGACAACATAAGCAGGAGGATAAGATTAACCTCTTTGTCCACAGGGCTTGACAAGATTTACACAAGCCACAAACCACAAGCCTCGAAGGAGCTTTAAAGAAACTCTTAGTCTTTGTAGAAGTTGACTTTAAGAAAATTCTCAGCTGAAGCTTTTGACATTAGTGAAATAGACTGAAATTTATGTTGATGCTTTTTATGATCAACAAAAGCAAAAAAGACAACCATCAATGAGATAGACAATTTTAATACTAAAGTATTTATCGTCTAAAACCTGTTAGAGAGGGCAGGCATCAACAGAACAGCTGAATAAACAGCCCTGTTTTTACATTTTGGGTTTTCATTGTTCACATTTGACTGTCAAAAAGCAGCAGGATGAGAGTTGTTGTCAAAAGTCAGTACTCAGACATGCAGAAGATTAAATAAGCAAAGAGCCTTACCCTAACCTACAAACAGGAAGTTCCTCCCAGAATCTTTAAATTTGCCAAACTGGTTTTAAAAATTTAATGACATTTCAAAATAACTACAATTTGGTGAATATTGAAAGTTAATTCAACAGAGATGTCTGTAGTTTCTGATAATACTGAACAGCTCTCTAGAAGGGTGACTTCAGCATTAGTACTCATGTAAGGAGAAGACTCTGTCTGACCTATAGGAAACAGACTAATTTGCTTTGCAAGGAGCAAGATGAGAAGATTGACACTACTCTCACGTCTGTTGCATAAATATCGCCTGAGGTTGTAGCTGTCAGCCAGTCATCTTAGCTTCGCATTATGGTTGGAAATGGTAAAACAGTTAGCTCACTGTCTAAAATATCTTAACCTTACTGCATGGTTGGTTAAATTCTTACAGATACAGTCATTTTTCGTGTTTGGACAGAGTTGATTTAACTCACCAATATCTACGAAGACAGTCAGAGGGTTGATAAATGACCAACCCCAACATGGCACACTGCAAGCACAGTCTACTTTCATTTCTTGCAACACAACATTGCAGTCTGTGTAACTATAGTAACCACATAGATTATCACCATCCCCTTTGGCTGTAGTTAAAAGTCTCCATACTGGGTTGAGATAATGTGTGCCCGCATGGAAATGTGTAAAGTAGAGAGAGGGAGGGGAAGGGAGAAGCCCTGAGCAAGATGAAAGGCCGGGCCAATGTTTCCTACTGACGGGGGGAAAAATCACACTATAGAGAGGCTTTGATGTGGACCAGGTGAGAGAAGCCCCTGCCTGGATTCTGCCGCCAGGTAATTGAGCTTTGTGTTGGTTGCTGGTGTCTCATCCTGCAGAAGCACTACCTGAACCATTTCCCTGTGGGTCTGGCTTTAAGGCTCATTAGGACAAACATTTTACTCCTAACCAGTGATTTGACCCACATCAAAGCTTTTCTTGCTGTAGTAGTTAGTACACGCTGTAGTTTCAAGGCAACCTGTGTTTTTGTTTTGACTCTGGTATTTCAAAGACCACCCGTGTTTAAGGGACCTGGAATGGCTGTATTGTACTGTTGGCTGGAGAAGCCTGTGGTGCCTCTTGGAAGATAAATCTCTAAGCCTTATCTATATTTATAGATCCATATATGGCAAGGGATACACAAAACACAAGAATAACAGATGGTGGTGAGCCAAGCTATAAATTTGACATTGTGTATTGACTGTGTAGATGCTATAATTATGCAGTATAGTCTCTTTGAGGGTTTCTTTATATTTTCAGTGTTAGATTTTATAATGAATGCGTCAACCCACAGGCAGTATTTTATTGTACCACACTAGTAGTGTGAAGCTTATTCTACTACACTCACTTTGGTAATTTATTCTCTTAAAATGCACAGTTTTGTTTAGATGATACTTTGTCTGATGTGAAATCCAAATCTCTAAAGAAACGTAACTACAGATGTAAAATATACGAAGAACAACAGTTCCTTTTGAAATATCAAATTAAGTCGATTTAAGTCGCCATCATAGACTGTATATACTCTGGACAACTTGGTTCCTCCTTCCACCATTATACAGAGTTGAAGCCAAAAAGCTCTCGGTAATTCTGCTTTTTTTTTCTCCACTTCCTGAAACCAACAATGCGCAGGAACATTGTGCGCATTCAGCGGGACAGTCGCCGAGAGTTGCTGTGATGCTCTGGGCTCAAACAGCGTATCCCAAGGGTGAGCCAAGCAATCTTTGTATCAGGTATCATAGAAAACATGAACCCCCTAATAACTTTTAACATCGCAAGCAGGGGTGAAATGAATTTCTAAAGTTTGTCCACAGCCCCATAGGGATGGCTGGCAGAGGCCCACCACCAGGGTTCTCGGAGTGGCTTTACCCAGCGAGGAGGCAGACGCTGTCCATTCTATATACAGTCAATGGTCGCCACAAAATATTCAAATTATGAGGGATATATAACCTACCAGAGAGCAGTGACTTCTTCAAACTAATTAATTAGGTTTATACATCACAGACCAAAAAATAGCGTTTATCTCAAGCTTGTATATCTTGTCTTTAGCTTCTCAGCCATATTCCTCTCAGTGTATTCAGTTAATAGTGGAATAAAATAGCCGTAAAGCAGAGAACAGATATCTCCTGACAGCAAGAACATGAATGTATTTACTGTCCTCCGCTGGTGAGAGGTCAGGAAAAGGAGACGTGTGGGACACGTAGAGAAGCAATAAGCTTGCAGGGAAAGAGAGCTGAAGCAGCAGTTGTGCTTCTACCCCCACACAGATACTCAGCACCTTTTCCCACATGTGCGCACACAGACACACAACTAAACAACGTGGCATTATTGCAGAGCCGAAAACAGCTCTAGCCTTTATAATTACTGCTGCCATCTAGTATTATGCCAGCGTTGAACAGAAGGACTCTGTGCCAACAAGGGGACAACTCACTCCTGCAGGTCCCAAGGAAGTCGTTACCTCTTTCTTCCTTTTCTACCTCCTACACTCTTCCTCTCGTTCCCTCTCCCTCACGTTAGACATTTATAAATAAATCCTGTTAGCTGGCAGAAAAGTGGCCATAATTCCCACCTCTTGCATTTTGCTGATAACAGCACCAGAATGTAAGACTTGGCACTGAGTACAACATTAGATCAGTTTCCTCTTCTCTCTGTTGTTTTTTATTTTTTGGTCCTCATGCCAGAGGATTGTGTACTTGTCTGCTTTCTCTATGTTGCACATTATTCATTATAGGCTCTGAGGTACAAAGGTTGCATCATGCAGAAATTATAGTGCTGGTGAAGTATTGTGTTCTCATTCTCCGTGGGGGAGCAAAGTATCGACTCATGAACAAGGACAATTATAAATCCACGTATACTTAACAGCCAAAACTAACCAGGATTTGTTACTATAGAACAGTATAGATCGGCTGTCAACAGGATTCTGTACACAGAACTCTGGCAGGAAAACAATGCTGTCTTAAATGAATACTTATACACATCTATTTGTAAGCTACCAGACTCTATAACCAAATCCTAGTTATAGTTAACTTCTAGACTGATCCATCCTGCTTAACCCGGCAGTTTGATTCCTGTTTTGGAAATGAAAGGCTCCATACTTTATCCTTTCTTCTTCTTTTTTTTTACTTTAAAGCCGTTAGAGCTGCCTGAAAGCTGTTTGGTGAGTGTTTTTCAGCTCTTTGCTGATGATACTCTCCTATATACTTGAGCAAAGACACCAGATGAAGCAGCTGAGAGATTATCATCATGATTAAATGGGGTATGTAAGTGGCGTTATCGAAATGAGCTTCCTTTGAACATGAAAAAGAGAGCTGTTTCCAGCTTCTCAGCTGACACCTACCCACTCATGTCGGTTACAGGCGTTTAAGAAACACAACATAAAAATCATCACTAATGTTTCTTACTTCTTGCTTGTTTTTGTATATCATAAAAAATCTTCAATATGAATTTCCGTCTGTTGCATTAGTATAAAAAAAAAAACTCCTCACAGGAGCTTTAAAACAATAATATTTTGTTTTAATTTTACATAAAGTAAAAATTTATTTCATGTTATTTTTAAACAGTTCTTATTGTTTTCATGTTATTGTGTGAAATACTGATATTTTTCTTTTAAGTATGCATCAATAAGTTTACCAAAAGCCTAACTAGGGAAATGAGTTGGAAAACAGCAATAGTTATCATTTCTGTATGTAAAACATTAAGTTACTACAGCTTGGAGATGTGTCGTAATTCTTAGTCTGTTTCAAATAAACTATAAAGATAAAATATATAGCCATGTATGTACTCTGTATGCAACAAAATGCTCAGTTCTATGAGAAATGCAGATATTCTGTATTCATGATCTAACTATTAGACCTTTTTCTCACTTGAAATGTATTAATCAAACCATTTCAGGCAGGCTGTTTTTGCTTGCCTTGCAACCTGACAGAAAATAGTGGAGGAAAAGCTCCAAAATTTTAAATGAGATTATTCTCCAACCTTCTTGCGGAAAGTACTGAAATAATTAAAGTTTTCCTATACAAATCACTTTACATTAAACTGGATTGTCTGTTCAGCTAATTTAAGCCCTCTATGCTTCCTGGGGAGGAAAAAATGCTATTCAGGATCCTCAAAGAAACTAGTGATGGATTTAAAATGCTCTGTTTTTATTTAGAGAAGCATGAGACAAGAGATTTCTATCTATATTTAGGTGGTTTTGATGCTCAGATCCACAAACATATCTTTTTATGGATATCAAACTTCACAGTAAATGTTCAAAAGGTATGAAATATTCTTCTCTATCAGGCCTTCTGCTGTTCTCCCTTAGTGTTCCCCTCCCAGAAACTTGTTTGTTGTTGAATATTTCATTGTGGGCTTTTATTAGTGCAGAAAACTACCCAGCAGACAAGAGCTGGTACTTGTATATTAAATATGCTAACAATTTAGCAATCTGCATCTTAAATGGCACCAGCACCTAAAGCGGGAATGACTAATATGCATCTGTATGCAGATTGTTAAAACGCCACAGCTACTTGAAGGCAGATGATGGCCTTATAAGGGTAGCTTTATGCTGCACAGTCTATAATTTTCACATTAAATCGTTCTGATTCAGAGCAATGATGACAGTGGAATTGAAATCTGCTGTGTCATTGTTCAGGCTCTCTCTAAGCTGTGCTCTGAGTGATGTGTTGACTCAAGTGATGTTGATCCTTTAGAAATAAACTACCTCAGATGTCTGTGCAGTATGTCCAAGAGTAAAAAGCAGGACTGTAATGTTTTTCATGCTTTTTTTTTAGACCAAAATGAGTCACTTTGATCAATTCTTTCCACCCCAGTCACTAGATTCTGACAAACACTCCCTAAATTCCTTCAGTCCCACTCATAATAATCATTCCCTGATAAGCATTTCCAGCTGGTTGAACACCTTCATGTTTTAAAACCTTTACGAGCACTTATAACTAAATCCTTAAACTGCCTCTGTTACTTATTTTACACATTATGACAAAATGAGCCCCCAGTGGGATGTGCTTTGGCACTGCTAAAATCTTCATAGTTATGACTAGATAGCCTGAGGCCAGATTTGTAAAAGGATAAAAACAATCCATTTACTGCTGTCGTTGACACTCACACACCTTTGCCTTCATGCCTTAACAAGGTCACAGATATCTAAAGCCTCTGCTGACACATCGTGGCCCTCCTTTGACCGACTCTCTACCCCAGTGCTGTGCAGTATTCGCCAGACTCTTCAGCAGCACTAACACCCAGGAGGTAAGACTTCTTTTGTGGTGTCAAATACTGGAATATCTTTAGGAGGAGCAGATAAATAATCAAATATGTTTTTCCAGAATGAGGAGCAGCTGTGTGAGACTGAACCAGACGATTCTACCTGTGATTTGGAGAAAGCAGAGAACCAGCTTGTGTCAGTAGGTGGCGACTCTGCATCTGAGCACCATGAAGACCTGCTGGAGGGAGACCTGGGCCTGGGTACTGCTGCGGCACTCTCCAGGGAGGGCTGAGGCTTCAGGACTCACTTGTAGCCTCGGCTTATCAGTCCACACCGCCTCAGGGCTAAGACCCTGCCTCCCACTGCGACTCAGGGTCATTGGCTGAGGCATCTGAGAGGAGCCGACCGGGAGTCAGAGTTACAAAAGCTTCACCAAAGGTCACACACCCCCCTTGTGCTGACATGCATGCAAAGACACACTCACAGAGGGAGGGAAAAAGGCAGCTACAAAAGGCCATTGCTCTTTCGCTCGCTCTGTCCGTGATTATTTTTGGCTTGTTGTGCTTAAAATTCCAGGAGTTTAAAAGCTTAAAACAATTGTTCTTAACGTCCCCCAAAGTGGAAGCATAAACTGACCTTTGTTGCACGTTTGTCACAGAACACAACATTTTCAGGCTCATTTTCTTGTGAAATTGACAGATTTGAGGTCCAAGATTTCAAGAGGCACTGTTGTTGTAAGTTTGATGATTTCCTCATGCACATGCACGCTGCAGCTGAAGGTTTTCTGATTTCTCCTAAACAGCTTTTTTGTCAACTTTGTACCAAACTCCTTAAATTTTATCGCACTGCTTTTCAACAGCAATCATCTCAAGTCATTTACAATGTTTTCCCCCTGAATTTATTTGCCTCTCATCTCCCTTTACATCTTGCTTATCATCCTGCAGATGGTTGGAAAATTCCCTAATGCTTCAGCGTTAGAAAAACGGACAATCAGCATGTGAGGCTATTTTTTATAGATTGCACAGTGCTGCTCTCCAAGTACCTCATTAGAAATCTCAAGGCCCCTTTTTCCCTTGAGAGACGCAGGCTGTACAATCCCAGTCTGTGAAGGTTAGGCTCTGTGAACATGCAGACTGTTTTTCTCACATTAATAAAGCCATTGTCCTTGGAGTGAGGCCGATCTGTGAAGCACTTTCTGTTGTGAATGCATGGGTGCATCTATGGAATGCTGCAGAAGATTACTTTGTATTCTCTTTTGTTTGTGTTTTTTTTCTAGAGAACAAGAGTGAACTCAACATCAGCACAAAGACTTGAACGCTGGTATTGAGATGCCTGACTGTAAGCTCTGTCCTTAAAAGAATAGGCCCCTCAAAATGAAACCACAATCCAATACCTGTCATCTATTTCTGAGCAAGTCTTACAAGTATGTCATTTTCTCAGATTTGAAATTATCCCATAATGACAACTCTGTAATGCATTTGGTGTGTAGTGCAACTCGCAGCAAACTCTCCTCGGGCAGCACCTCCTCATGATTAACCCAAATATTTTCATACATCTATCACAGTTATAACTCTGTGCAGAAGTGAGAAACTTCTGCACAAGAAAACATGCTGTCTTGCAAAGTTCACTTCATAACACCGTGAGCGCCACACACCAGATTAAAATGATGAAAGTGAATTTTTCACCTCAGTGAATCACATTTGACTTTAAGTCGAGTGAGAGGACAGTCTGTTACTGATGCAGTTTCCATGTGCCTTCCACTTTTATCACCATCAGCTGTTTCTCCAGTGGCTGATTACTTCCCACAAGTAATGAGCAGAGATTTTGGAGTATCATAGATCTAGTTTTTATGACATATGAAAGTTTTTGAAGCTTGAAAGTTAGTTAGAAAGCTCATGCTGTTTCTCTGATTTAAAGCGTTAAGGACACAGTGCAGCAGCAAAGTCAGGATAAAAGAGTAAAAACATGGGTGTTAACAATGCGTTTTTGCTCTATTAAGAAAAAATGCCATACACTGGGTTTTATTGGCAAGGAAGTCTTACTCAAAACACTAGCTGGGCTTTTATGATGCACACAGAAAGTTTTGGTGATAGACTCTGAAAATAAACAGAATTGTGTTTACAACAAAACCCCACAGGGCCTGTAAGTAAGCAGCTTGGAAGCAGCAACAGATATATGACGTTATTTCAGCACATTGGGAACTGCATTAAGCTTTTAAAAATTCCCTGATAAACACCAAATTGAATCCAAACCCATCAAGTAAATATAAATGTATGATTGGCAGATATTTATTGATATCACTAAACCAATCATGGAGCCCAACAGATATGGGATTTTTAGGATCGCTAAAGATAGCTGTCTAGAAAGATATCTATTTAGTTTTTGCATCGATATGACCGTACAAATGTTCCTTTAAAGCTATCCCAAACTGACAGCTTTGGTTAGGAATATTTAACATATATGAAACGTTACATCAGAGTCTGCTCGGTTGTGATTTTCGGCCACAGGTGCAACAGACAGTGCTGAGAGTATCACTGTTAATACCAAATATAACAACCCAATAGAAGTAAATATGATTATATTGTTGCAACGCGTTTTTGAGGAATAATTCACTGGTTACAGGAATGATTATGAATTTCAGAAACAGAATTTAACTACTTCTCTTTTTCTCTAATTGTATACAAATGTGGCAGAGCAAAAGTTTTCACACTGCTGTCCCCTCAAACTTAAAACTTTGCCATCAAATATTGAACATTAATATACATATTATCAGTCTTGTGGTCACCATCCTTAGGCCAGTTGTGTTGGTCTGCTGTAGACACTGCTAAAAATATTATCAATAATACCTATTTACAGAGCCCAACAGACATTGGATTTTTGGGTCTACAGCGTGATTATAGATATGGCTGATAATGTAAAAGTATTTTTCTTATTGCAGCATTTTGAAATCCGAATAGTAACACTGTAAGTAAGTATAAGATTATCTGTTTAAAAAAACATCTAAGTGCATGATAGAAAAACTCAGTATGTATTTTAGCCTGGCTCTACTCATTAAAACCCCTGCCTTTACCATGTTTTACTAAAAATTCCTACCAAATCTTTGCCTTGCATGCTGTACCTGAAAACCCCTTGTCTTGTGTTTTTGTTTCAGATCACATAAAAAGCAGTGTAGGTCAATCAAAACATATGCTTAAGTGTTTTTTGTTAACTGTGAACTTTACTCAATGCAATATTCCCAGACCATGTGTTTTTTTTAAGAGCAAGCAATTGTAAACATTTGAAATGGTAGAACATACTGCTTACACTGATACTGAGAGAAGACTTTCCAGCTCCAGAGTCATGACATTGTCCACAGTGCATGAAATCATCCTACAAGGATTTGGTGACAAAATTAAAACATCTGTTTGTTTTTTTTATCTATAAAAAGCACTACAGTTGTTCTGATGTAGCCTACTCACACCTCTACTTATGCCACACCATCATATGATTGTCTCTGACTTTAACCAGATCATACAAATAACATTAGCAGTGATCTTTTTTTTTTTTTTAAATCAGATGTTCCTTGTTTTTTGTTTTTCTTCCATTCACTATTTTCACTTATACAGACAGTATGGAGACTGAAAAACAGATTTTTTGTAAGGTTTTGAACATTCAAAAATAACCCCAAAACATCCACTTTGTAGTGTCATCATAACAAGATACATGAATTATACAGTTGTTGTTTTTTTCATGGGTGCAGCTTTCGCTTTTTTAGCTGTCATCTGTAGGCCTTTGCATTGTCAAACACATCCAATATTCCAGTATAAAAGGAGTGGTCCCTTCAAATACCACTGAACTTCAACTGAGGGGAACATGATACATTCCAAATGTGGCCGGCCGAGCTCCTCCAACACTGATTCAAAGTAAAGCTTTAATTCCACAATAAGAGGAAACGGCACTCGATGCAAAATGAACATTAAATTAAAAGGTCTTTGGTGGAGACTTCACAGTTTGGAGTGTGTCAGTAGTGATTTGCCCAAGTCCTTGGCCTCCCCGGCTGTTCTGACCCTTTCGTACCCTAAAACAGACATGGCATGGTGGCAGTAGTCCTCCACTTGTTTGATCTGCTGGATGCTAAGCACTGTTCTCCATGCACTAGCAGCTTGTGTGGCATTCCTGGAAGAGACTATGAATGGCTTAGAGGAGGAGCTGGAGCCACTGGTCATGTTAAGCGCAAACGACTCAATGTCATGGTTGGTGGTAAGGTTGGCAAATCGGTAGATGCTCCGCAAGGTCTTGACTGGGTTTTCCACGAGGTCCTCGTACCGCACGGCCATGTACTTCCCCTTCAGCCAGGCGGGTGGGTTTAAGGCAGTCCTCAAAGTCCTGGAGGTGCGGTCACAGATCACCTCCATAGCTCCTATGGAGTGATAATCTGAGCCGTCCTTCTTGTTGGCTTTGTGACCTGGATCTACGAAAGGTATCCGGCGCAGTTTGGGGTCCCTACTCCGGACCACCTGTAAGTTTTCCCTTATCAAACCATGTCTGGATTTGATCCTAGAGTTGGCCACTGCCCGCGGGTCTCTGACCAGGTGTATCACCTTCAAATCCAAAGATGGGTCCTCCATTAGAGGGGCCAACACATTAACGTCCAAAATGCGTACCCCTTTGATGACTATAGTGTTATATTTGAGGCACTCCTCCTCCAACAGTCTGAGGCTCTGTGGGGGGCACTTTTTGCACACCTTATCATCTACCATCCCCACCACCTCTTTCCTGTAGGCAGAGCACAGGGGATAGGAGCACACCACTTTATTGAGGGTGGCCCCGAATAGTCCTAAAGAGGTGAAATTCTTGCCCCCAGGGCTGTTGTAAAGTTGGAAAACAGACAGATCACAGCGGTATAAGGAGCTAAGCATGTCCCTAGCTGCCCCTTGTAAAGACACCGCATCACCAGGGTACAGTTTCTGCCAGATGTGCCACATCGGCTCGTACAAGAAGAACACTTCAGGATTTTGGTTAAAAAGCTCCCCGAAGAAGGACGACCCCGACCTCCAGGTGGTGAGGACATAGATAAGCTGTCTCTTCTTAGCCAGGGAGGGCCTGTAGAGGAAGCGAATGTCAGATCTGCTCTGATAAGTGGTGCTCCTCATCTGGTGATTGCACTGCTGTGGCTCTTTAGTCCATTTATAATTAGCTAAGTTCAGCATAGTGAGCACCAGCAGCAAGAAATAGGCCATAAATAACACAATCCTCTTCCTGCGGAGGACTTTCATCACGATCCCCGGCTGTGCTATTATCTTGGTATGATTCCTGTAGGTTTTAAGCTTCCTCCCAAAGCCAGCATCCTTCTCCCAAGGCGCTGTCAACTTCAGTGGTTGATGATATTGTTTGCCTCTCATCTGTGCCCAAGGAAAGTGGCTCTCACCACTAGACCAAGCTCCTTACATTGACTGAGTGTAGAATGGATGCAGCCTGTGCCGGGGATTGATACCCAGTTGAATCAGCTTATTAGGTAATATATTCACTACCAATTGAAAATCCACAACACGATATCCCGTTTTCACTGCACTGCGCAACGTTCTTCATGGGAACGACGGATGTGAGGAGCGCTTACTTGCCCACGTCGAGCGTTGCAGTGATTCTGTGTGACCCGTGTTCAAAACAAAAAGCAAGAAGCCTTCATCATTGTAACAACCGCCCTGTTTGTCCATGATCAGCGGAGGCATCCCTGCGCAGTTCTCATCCGAGGCATCCTTGCAAAATGCAGCCTGCACAGACTCAGGCACCGCAGACAATAAAATACTCGTCACGATTTGACGCGCCGGGCTGCAGCTCACACAAATCCCGTCCCTGACATAACGGAGCAGTCGGCTAAATAACCCGGTATCCACAGTAACAGCGTGTGGTGAAAGATTTCCCCCCTCCGTTCTTCCTGCTCCTCTGCTCTTCCAACTAAAACAAACTGGACCGATTCAATCACAATACGGGGAGTAAGTCCCGCCCACTTAGGGATGCCATTGGCCGGCGCTGTGGCATATAGCGCCAGGAAGAGACGCGATTGGACGCAATGCACGTCCGTCTCGATGCAAAGGCTTGATTCTGGCTCCCACAGTTCACAGCAACGGAAGACTGTGAGAAATGATGCTGTTGTTATTTTTCCGGGGGTCTGCGTCCCTGTAACTCTGCTCCACCCTGCTTTTTTAAGACACACAGCTGCACACTTCACCAGGTGCAGCACCTTTATGGGATGCAAACAATTTTGTGTGTGATTGTGTGTGTGTGAGAGAGAGATGGAGTGTGTGTGGAAAAAAATCCACACATCCCACATTTTTATCATGATCAAAATCTTAAAATCCTAATCTTTCACTCACCTAGTTATGTGGCTCCAGAAAGAGATCAATGTGTCAAACAAAAAACATTTGTTTTACTCAGTACAGCCTCAAGAGGGCTGCCCAGATCCACAGAAAATTAAACAGTTGAAATCCTGCTACACCTCAGACACACCTTCTAAAGGACATGTTTCTGCAAGTAGTCAAGAGACTTCTTAAACTAAATCCCAACAGTAAAGGAATATTCCTGTTTTTTCTTATTTAATCTCATGGCAACCAGTCAGCACCGATGACTGGCGCTCCTCTCAGGCAGAATCAGCTGAAATCTGACATCTGGCAGCTGTTACCCAGGAAATGACAAGTTCTGGGACATCACACAGCCATGTGTTTGAACACAGGAGACCACATGCTCTACAGATTGAAAATCATCTCTGCTAAGAGGCTTGCCAGTTTGGGATTATGGCCCCATACAACTCAATAGCACAAAGACTGAGTGTAAGGGCATGGGCCCTTTAACCCCCTGGTGGGAAATCTGTTGGCCTCTTATAACAGCCAGATAAGTGATTTCATGTGGTGATACAAACAAGATGTTGTGCAAATACTCCATATATCATTTACCACCATGGCCATCTTTCATCATGAGTGTTGTCTTTTTCTGAGGCCCTAATTTGTTACTGCATAGTTATCTTTTTTATTCTGAGAAGACATCTGCTGCAGATGAGTCTCTGCTGTGTGCACTTACAGCCTTTGCATGAGCTTACACGGCCTGGATTATTGGACCGTACAATGATACGACTCTTTATGGTCTGTAGGTCTGTGCAGTGATCTGTCTGTACCACAAGCACTCATTTTGTAGCACTCTTTCATTGCGGATGTTTACAGTGGAAAAGCTTTGTGTAGACTGCCCCCTGCTGGAGAGCTGTCATGACAGAGCAAACAAAGAAACAGACTTCCTTGGTCATTTCATCTTCAAAAAGCTTGACCTAAAAATAGTTATGATAAAATATATATTTCAGGTTTGTATTGTATCAGTGGAGTTAAGTGTAAAACCTAGACCAGGATAGTGAATCTGTTATAGCTGTTATGTTATAGCGATATAATGAATGGGAGGACTCAGGGCTGCTTTTGTCTTGTTATGCACTATTGTGTGTTATTTTCTGTTCTATAATTCTCTTATTTGGCTTTTCAGGTGCGTGAGAGCACACAAATAGAAAGAGGATACATCATTATCAAGAAATGGTACAGAAAAAGTAAGGCAGAATGTAATTTATTTGATAGACAAAATTGAAAATGTGGTCAGAATTGTATGTGTCATTTAGTGGGAGTTGGCATTTTGTCACTCTGTCTAATATACAAAATGTGTTTTTCTCCATCATCTGTATAAAAACCTAATTCAAACAGCATCACATATTCAAATTAATAAAACTGAATTTAAGATAAATTACTTTACAATTATAACAGGGCGGCAGCTTAGTCTTATTCAACCCTCTAGATATTGTCATGAGAACCAACGATTCTCTGCACTTCAAAAATATCCACATATGTGCGGTACAGTTTAATTTCTCATTTATTAAACAGTGCATTTTAAAGCTCTTTTTTCCCTCAACCACCTCCTATAACCTGAAAAAATGTTAGAATAGAATAGTCCTTTATTGTCACTGTAACAAGTACAACAAAATTTAAAAAGTGCCAGGCGGTCAGTGCATGAATAAAAAATTAACACTGCAGTAATAAATACTACGACAATAAAACACACACACACACACAGTAATAAATATTACAATAATAAAACATACACATGCACATCTACCATACATTCCGTCAACTGGTATTGCACAATTCCACTACATGTATGCATTGTGTTGTGGGTTATTCATAAGGCATCTAGGGGCGTGATTGGTACTAGTAAATGTTCTGCTCAATAATAAATTAGTATAAACTGTATAGCCCACTTCACTTCAACTTTATTATGTCCCAAAAATGGGAAAATCAGGTTGCAGCAGTCACAGACATTTAAAACACTGCCATACATCATAAAAATAAATAAATAAAATAAAATACACCTACATAAAAAACAGTTCAGGAGGTAAAAAGTATTAAAGATGATTTAGAAGGTAAAAAGAAAAGGATATGTCAGACATACCAGTACTTTTGCATGAACAAAGTGCATAAGATAAAATGCAGAAACAAAGTGCAATGTGCGGTTTGCTTACCAGTAAAAGACCCCTAGAAGAAGCTTGATCTAGAATAATAATAATACTCGAAAAAGCCAGTGGCTGTGTACTTCTTCCATTTTAAATTTATATTTTCTCTTGCACTTCTGCTGGTCTGGGTTAGGACCACTTAATGACTTTAAATGACTAATATGCGTGGTTATGACTCAGTGCCAGGGGTACAGCTGTGTATATCTCCCATATGTGCTCTCACAGTCTGCACAGTACTGGCTATAGGCTACAAATTCAGATATCCTTATGGTCCTGGTTTATTTTCCATGCGGAGAAGATATCAGCTATAGACATCTGTTTTATGAACAAGGTCACATAAAAGCAGAAGATGGCCAGTGCTAAAAGGGGTGCAGAACATCCTGCAGACACTTCCTACTGAAATAGACAATGTCCTACTATGCAATAAAAGGGAATTATCATGTTCGCTGTGAATGTTACTGCAGTCTCTGTGATACATCTTTATTGCCATTATATGTCAGACCATTCACACTCGTATTAAATAGAAAACAAGCACACACAGAGACATGGTCAGAACAAAGCTGCACTGAAAGCACTGTTACGTAACCACGAGCCTCACAACAGCTCTGCGCCTGCGAAGTGCGCGAGCAGGTGGAGGAGGAGACATGCGCAGTGGGTGCCTCGTCAGCAGCATCAGGACCAGAAAGATCCTCCACGAGCCCGCGATGCGAGAAGATGGTGCGTGTAAACACCGCGAGGGATGTGACGGTGTCGTTTTATCGCTGCTTACATTAGAGAGCTGTAACTTTAAAGTAATTTAACGCTTTAAAAACGAAAAGTAGACCGCTTTTTGGAGCTAACAGAAACGCGCGAGCTGACGCAGCAGAGATGCGTCGTCAATAACAACACTTGATGAAATTAGTCCCGTGACGACACTTTAACCCTCCGCCAAGCTGCGACACAGAACAACAAAAAGACAACAACGACGAAAATAAAGGATTTCAACAATGTCACCCTTTATCACCGTGGGCTTAATGTAGTGGGCTGATGGTAGCCGGTTCTTAGTGGGATGCACATCAGTGTTTGGCCGTACTCACTCTCCGTCGTAATGGCAGCTCTGTACCAGGGCACGGACGCTTCCTCTCCGGATAAATTTCTAGCCTTAAAGGACGTGAGGGAGGTGAAGGAAGAAACTACACTGGATGAGAAGCTCTTCTTGCTGGCATGCGAGAAAGGTTTGATCTCTCTTTTATTCTTATTATCATCATCCAGAATTCATTGTAACCTTATTATGATGCGTTTAGGGTCATTGCTCACATGTATTTTGGAATCAGTGCACTTCCTCAAGCTCAAAACACCGATCATTGACCATATAACTGAGGCATTATGTCTGATATCTACAATCCACCATGACTAACAGAATGATAGATCTCCAGCAGGGTCATTGCTGCAGAGCACACTGTACAGTCATACCACATTTTTTCCACTGAATACCTCTCGCAGCTGCCTACATGTTGGCTGCTGTTGAAATTTGCCCACAGGGGTTTAGATATATTTAAAATCTTGTCTGCTTTTATCAAAACTTCCCACCATGTTCTGCAGACCTTTTGCAACTCCCTAATGCAAACAAAGTGAGGAGAGAAAGTATGCAAGATGCAGAAAGCATAAGTGTAAAATCCTAAAGGGGCATGTCAGAGGGGAGGAGAATGCTTCATTGATAAGTTGTGAACATTATACAGGCCTGCAACTGCCACTGTGACCATATAAAGTCTCTCCAAACATAGCTCTGCTACAGATACTGTCCTTTGAGGGAGATGTTATTGTTACAGAGGTTAAGAGAACTGCTGGAGCTGAGCCTGATCTGCCAGAGTGTTTGCACCAAGTCAAGTTTTGTGTGTCTGCATGGCGCCACACACAGATAATAATTCACTTTTTCTTACACATCAGACTCTGCAGGAGTTTCCCCTAAGAAGTGCTTGTCTTTTTCTTTGATGTGCTTCCCAGGTGACTACTACATGGTGAAGAAGCTGCTCGAGGAGAACCGACATGGCGAGCTCAACATCAACTGCGTGGACGTTCTGGGGCGAGATGCCGTCACAATCACCATTGAGAATGAGAATCTAGACATCCTGCAGCTCCTCTTGGAATATGACTGTCAGGTAGTGAATGCACAAACACAAATGCACAATGCTTGCTCCAATTTTGCTTCACATAAGTTTTGGTTGGTGATCTGCTACCCTTATAGCTTTAAAATGTTGTGTCTGTAGGCGACAGACGCCTTGTTGGTTGCTATAGATTCTGAGGTGGTTGGAGCTGTGGACATCCTCCTCAATCACAGGCCGAGGCGATCTTCCAAGCCCTCCATTGCTGTGAGTTTCTCCTTAAGCTTTAGAAATTAAGAACCACTTCTTGTCATTTAAAGTTTCCTTGTTTTCCTGTGCAGTGTTTACATTTTTATATTCCTGTTCTTGTTTTTAGAAACTCATGCAGCGTATCCAGAACCCAGAGTACTCCACAACTATGGACGTAGCTCCAGTCATACTAGCCGCACACAGGAACAACTACGAGATCCTGACCATGCTACTGAAACAGGACATCTCTCTTCCTCGGCCACATGCTGTTGGTTGTGAATGCACACTCTGCAATGCTAAAAACAAGAAAGACAGCTTACGACACTCCAGGTACACTTCACTAATGACGACATGACAGTATAAACATTGTTGGCTTTTCTTAGAAAGCTGCATTAAAGCTCCAGTGAGGAGTTTTTATGTGGTTAAATTTAAAATTGATGCATATTTATGACCTAAATATAAGCAGAAAAGACCAACAGCTTCAAGACCAATAACTTCTATGTAATAATTTTTTATGCTTTTAGTTTTTGCTGTTGGGTAGGTGTTGGAGATTGCGACTAACAGCACACTGCAGAAACAGCCTTGTTTAATATTTTCTACTGCACAGATTCACAGTAAAGGATTTTATTGGCTGTTAAAAGGAAGCAGGATAAAATTAGTCTCAGCTAAGTCTATTTACAGCCCAAGATCAGCAAAGAAAAAAAGAGGTTCTTCTTTGTACATGGGGACACCAAAATCCACTCAAAACAACAGTTTATCTCAGGACCTTTAAGCGCCGATTGATCTGAAATGGGTAACAAGTGTTGCTCTTGTTTTCCACGTGACACCTATATTTTTGCTCCTGGTGGCTGTTTTGGCCTTGCTTTGGTATGCAGGAGCTATGAATCAATTCCTCTGTCAAGAAAAGTGTTCCTCAAAGGTTCTTGTGAAACATGGCGGCGTCTTGTTTTGATGATAACATCAGCCTTACAGTGTCCTCTTAAGCATCTGGAAAGAAGTGATTTAGTATGATCCTACTTTCAGTGAATGCTTTTACCCAGATCTTTTAAAGTTGTCCCTTAAAAGGACCTTTGAAGCTGTCTGGAAGTAGAGTAATGGTACAGTCATGTGTCTTTTCAAGGGGTGATCTGAAATATAAGATCACGTTCACTTTAATTCAAGCTGTAGCTGTAAAAACAGTGATTCTTGTTCCTGATACCATCCTATACCAGCTAGATGAGATTTTGCCGAGGTCCTCAGCTGGCATTTTTATTCTCTCTGCAGAGTGGAGAAGCCTCCCACACAGTGAACTAAATGAATCAGTCTACAGAAAGGCTGGCAAAAAAAAAAAACACAGAGGTCAGAGCAGGTACAAACCAAACAGCTAAAACAGAGGAGTAAATGTTCCAGGTTTCTCTTTCTCTTATCTGTGCTCATGTTTCCTCTATATTTTCAGATATTTCATACTTCTTTCTTTCTACAAACACATCTCTCTTCTCACATGCACTGTTTTTTCTGGATCAGGTTCCGCTTGGACATTTACCGATGCCTGGCCAGCCCCTCTTTGATCATGCTGACAGAGGAAGACCCCATACTCAGAGCCTTTGAGTTGAGTACAGACCTCAAGGAGCTCAGTCTGGTTGAGGTAGAGTTCAGGTATGGCTGCCGACAAATGTAGCAATCAATCATATCAGTGCACATTTGTTTAATTTCTTTCCACCAAAGATAAGACTTTAGTTGCACCCCCACAAACATATCTACTGAAGCGCGCTGTGAAATTCGAAGTCCTATTCCTTTTCTGTCAGTAATGATTAAGAATCAAAATCTATTATGTGGTGTGATTATATCTAATTTCCTTGTTCCAGGAACGACTATGAGGAGCTGGCAAAGCAGTGTAAGATGTTTGCCAAGGACCTGCTGGCTCAGGCTCGAAACTCTAGAGAGCTAGAAGTGATTCTCAACCACACATCCAGCGAGGATCACGTTGACAAGAGAGGCTTACTGGAGGAGCGCATGAACCTTAGTCGACTTAAGCTTGCCATCAAGTACAACCAAAAGGAGGTGAGATGAGTAAATCTGTTTATGTGGTAATGTCATTTGCATGCATTTTGCAGTACAAGTAATAAAAGGTTGATTGGTATCTCATTGTTCATCCATTACTATGCGCACAGAATGAACTTCAGCGCAGAAATGCAGATTGTAAACACCCAGTTGTTTGTGAAATGTTAATAAACATCCCAAAATTACAAAAAGAGACAATACCCAAATAGAAATATACAATTTATGAGACTGGGAAAAAGGGTAATTTGCTGTCCATAGACTTGTTCAGAGGCATTAAAAACACTGTCTGTCATCACTGTACAACACAACCAGCTCATCTGCTCCAGCACACCATGTGCTTGTCTTCGTGAGATATGAGTTTGGCAGGAGAGAGTAGTTCCTCCAGGCAACAGCAGTCAAAGACAAACTAAAGCTGTAAGTTTGGGGCTGAGGGGCATTTTACAGCTGTGGAGGCTCAGTGTGAAAAGAGTTAAACTCATACATCACTGTAGAACTGGAGGAATATGGTTGTTTCCTGCGAGATAAATAAGACAGTGAAAGTTACTTTTTAAGGCTGCACATTGAGGAGTTACTACCTTTTGTCCGGCGTCTTATTTATTGCTTGTGGTTGGAACCGTACAGCAGAAAGGACGCTGACATGGAAGTTGTAATTGGAAACACATCTATACATAAAATTTACTCTGCTTGCCCATGATTTTAATTGAAAACATGTGGGATACAGCAGCATTTAGCAGAATGGACTTGGTGAAAATGGAATATAATATTTGTAAGTGTGTCTGGATTAGTTTTCAATCCTCTATATATAAAAATCGTTTTGTGTTCATCAACTTAGGATGCACTTTTTATATTGACATAGAATCAGCTCCCCCTACATAAAGGCCGCCATCATGCACCACCATGTTGTTATGGGTGTACAGACAAAATTGTAGCACATTAGTTTTTGCATTTAGTAAGTGACTGCTTGAAATGATCCTGTGGGGATTGGAAAATGAGGTCGCTTTTTAAGGAGGGTCACCTTTTAAAAAAAAAACTTCATTTTCTGCATTCTGATGGATAACACTGCATGTGAACTGCAAATTATTAAGACTGAAAACAGATTTGTGAACCTCAAATAAAACAAGTTCATATCAAACAACACACACTCTACAAATACAGCTCCACCCTTCCCACCACTTCGTCAAACCTCCACCATTGCCCATCCTTTTATTCAAAGTTCAGCACATGAACTGTTGTCAGACTGAACAAACGGCCCCAGAACTCAGTCACTCTGTCAGCACCACACAGGCATGTCAGGGCCTGATATGTAACAATGACCCAAAATGTAATAAAAAAATAAATAAAAGTAATAAAACCCAAAATGTGATAATTGGTCGATAATGTAACAAGATTCTCAGCCCAAAACATAATAACTTTTTGCCCAAAATGTAGCAACTTGTTAAATTTAGGGCCTGTTATGACATTTAAGGTTTTAGTAAATTTTTTAATCACATTTTGGGCTAAACATATTTGTTTTATTATTGACCAATTATTACATGTCAGGCTTTATTACATTTATTTATAACATTTGGGGTCATAGTTACATTTTCAGGTCATTGTTACATATATTGGAAAAAGAAAACAAAAATCACTCAGGATGACACCAGCTTGTCCCTCTACATGTCAGACTGCACGTGCCTGCCTGGTCGTCTTCTGTGCTGCTTGTCTTCTTACAGTGTGGGTGTGTGGCGCAGACCCAGACGAGCAGTGCTCAGCTCATAAGACTTCATAAGAAAATGTTGGCCAACGGGCCAGTTAGCAACTGGGAAACTTCCCGGTACTCTCTAAGATTGGCACTTATTTAAACCTCAGCCTGGAAATGAAAAAATTATGGAATTCAAAAATTAAGAGTTTCTGGATGCAGCTTTTCTTTGACTTGGAGATATTAAACTGGCATCAATATTCCCATCGTAGTGAACAGGCTGAATTTGCTAACCTTTATAATCCTCTTACAGTTTGTTGCACAGTCCAACTGTCAACAGTTCCTCAACACCGTCTGGTTTGGAGAAACAGCCAGCTACCGACGCAAACACACTTGTCTGAAGATGGCTACAGTGCTGAGTGTGGCCATGCTTTGGCCTCTGCTGTCCGTCTGCTACCTTCTCGTGCCCCGCTCCCGTGTGGGCCAGATCATCCACACCCCCTTTGTCAAGTTCATCATCCACAGCGCATCATACTTCACGTTCCTGCTGCTGCTCAACCTGTACTCTCTGGTCTACAACGAGGGCAAGAAAAACACCATGGGCCCTGCACTGGAGATGATAGATTACCTGCTCATTCTCTGGATCATAGGTCAGTTTTTTCACACACTTTATTTATGCTATTCGACAACGGGAGATATTTGTTGCAGTCACAAGATATATTCCGGTTTATGGCAGGTTGATTTTTTTAACTGAATAAAATGCACCCCCTCATGGACACAACAAAACTGAAATTAGTCTGAGAATGAAATCATTCACACCAGGATAAATTTGCCTAGCAGAGTGAAAATGAGAGATTCTTGATATGGTCTGGACAAAGTCCAATATCCTGTATCCATAATTTTATCAGGCAAGACATGACAAACAGCTGTCTCGATGCTGAATGGCAGAAAGCCCGGCCTGACTGGATTAAATCTGTCAGTTGTGCTCCTAATTGAACTGCACAGAAACAAACCACATCTTCTTCTTTCTCTTCCATCTCCTCCTAGTGCTGGTATCATTGGACACAACCCACATACATGCGAATATATAAGTGCGCAAACCATGAGGCAGGGTAGTGACAGCGAGAGATTGACTTGGTCTCTCTCTCTGGGGAAGGAACTCTCTACCCTCCCCTTCTGCTGAGAAACCATTAGCATGATCATTCAATTGCTTTAATGGCCCTGACTTCTCAGCACAGATCTTTTTTCTCAGGGTTGCAGCACCATTCCCTTCTCAAGTGGGCACAAAAAGCCTCACAACCACAGCTCATTGGTCGATATATCATCTTTTTTTTCACCATCGCTTTGATAAATCACTCCCATAACTTTACCAGACAGGTTATAAAAGGATGAAGAAGGCAATTGACTTCTATTATTCAACATTATAAAGATAGTTGTGGGGTAATTTGCAATTTATTCTGTATATTGCTGGAGTGAGGTTGGTAGTTGAGCCATTAGACAGTAGTGTAATGGGGTTTTCACAGGCCAGGATAGCCCACTAGAGGGGGAAAGATTCCTTAAGTACCACAAAAAGAGAAGGACCAAGGATCAATTTTAATAACCTCAGCTGTTTTTTTCGTCTCTCCAGAAAAGCTTCTCTGCAATATATGATGCAAAAGTGCAGCTTTATCCCACTATGGTGTTTATAGTATCAAAAATACATACAGACTTGATTATCAAGAAGGGAGACAGGCTTTTTATGTTTCTAGATTTGCTGCAAATGAACAGCATAAAAAAAAGATAAAACAGCAGCTTTTTATTCCTTTTAGGACCAATTGTTCTCCCTTTCTTCCACGCTGCCCCCGCCATCTCATCTTGTTCCAGTTCTCTCCACTCTGCTTCTTCCCTTAGCCAGATGCCTCACATTATGAGGAAATCAGATGCTGGGACTGGAAGTGTGTCTGTGTACTGGACTCTGCGCATATGCGTGTGTGTCAGTGTCTATGTGTGGGTTTTCTGTACTAGATCTCCATGTCAGACATAGTGAAGAAAATCCAAGAGTTTTCTAACTGGACAAAACCATCTGAATTCATTCAGGGTTAAAAAAGATTATTTTTTAAACAATCTTTCAAAAGGATGCTAAAGCCTGCTATTTGTCTGTTTACTGTCTTTTGAAACTATGACTACCAAACACAAATTAACCATGTTAAACAAATTAAAGAACTTTCCAATTTGCTATTTAATTTTATTATCCTTGTAAGAGCAAAAGATAAAATTAGCTTAGACTAAAACAGTCAGAAACACCCAGTTTTATTAAATTCCCCCACACCCCCCTGGATCCAACAGATGACACATTTTTCTCTTGTTTTCACTACACGATGACTTATGAGTGAATGTGGAAAAATTAAGGAAATGTCAGGGGTGATGAAAGCAGAGAGATGTTTTTTCACTGATGTGTTTATATGTGTGTGGTGATGCTGAATTCCTGCTCTCCTGTAGGGATGGTGTGGTCGGATGTGAAGCGTCTGTGGTACGAGGGGCTGGAAGACTTTCTGGAGGAGTCTCGAAACCAGCTGAGCTTTGTGATGAACTCCCTTTATCTGGCCACATTTGCCCTCAAGATTGTTGCTCATAGCAAGGTAATCACACATGACTCACTCTCTCTGATTCACAGGATAACTTTATGCAACCTTTTAGACTTTTGGATTCATAGACTTAAATTTTGCTTTATACTGGAAGCTGGAAACTAACTCTTAACTGTGCGACCTTTTTCTGAAAAGAGAAAAAAAAAAACTAAAAGCTCATTAGCACCTCACACCCACACGCGTGTTGTCAGCTATTCTGAGTAAATGGGCTTCAAGCTCATCCTGGAGCCAGGAATGAGGTTGCTGAACTGAAGGTGTTAATTTTCACACCGTAACAGGTACGAAAAGAGATTGAGGTAAATGCCAATCAGGCACAGTTCATACTCCTCTGAGAAATCTTGAGAAAGACGTCTAGTCTAAACAAGTTGAATAAATAAATTCACCTGAGTGTGGGAAAAATAATGTATGTAAGTCCATGCAGCAGGAAGAGGAGTGTGTCTGCAAAAAGTTAAGTAACCAACAAAGTTAAAAAAGCGTCATAGGTCGTACATTTTCGGATAATATGGTATATTTTTAATTTCTATTACAGTTAAGGGTTTAACAGGACATTTGTAAAATTGAGAACATAGAATTGAAGGAGTAACAAGGTAACTCATAATTTGGTCTATAACTTAATATATTGAAACTCAAGTGATGGCAAACACCTGGAAAGGTCTTCAAAAGTTCAATTTAAGCTGTGGGATGTATAGAGCAGGTATACCGTACATTTACCCCTCAGTTAGCACGCTGTGAGCTTGATTAGAATTTATACTGGATAAAGATGTAAACAGCTAGCCTAGCTTAGCCAACCCTCATGAGTTAAGTAACTAAACAATCATAGCTTATTGTTAAAGGGGTACAACAAAATTAAGTAATGAAACCAAATGCTGTGTAACCTCATCATGTCTCAAACAAGCATACAAAGTCCCTGGAAGGACAGTTTTAGGCATGCTAGGCTAAGATAATCATCTGCTAACTGTTTATTTAAAAAGATAGAAGAAAGAGTGACACTAGTGTTTAATTAGAGTGTCGAACTCTGGCTTTAATTGCAATATTTTCCACTTTTAGTAAAACTTTTGTTGACAGATTGAAGAAACGGATGGTAAAACATTTAAGCTAGCCTTCTTTCAGGCTGTTTTACATCTAGATAATTCTGGGTTATTTCATTTTATAAGACTTTGCATGCCATGTTATCACACTGCCATAGATTTCAGGTTAGGATTCGACATTCCCGGGGACAGGTCATCCAAAACGGGGACTGTTCCTGAAAATCTGGGGATTTTGGTCACCCTTTTCTAAGTGCTTTGTCTTTGAACAACCTTTTCTATTTCTCAGTTCAAGAATGTGGAGGATACAGAGAGGAAGAACTGGGATGCCTTCCACCCCATCCTAGTGGCCGAGGGCCTGTTTGCCTTTGCCAATGTGTTAAGTTACCTGCGACTCTTCTTCATGTACACCACCAGCTCCATACTGGGGCCTCTACAGGTAAGAAAATAATGGTCATATAACAAAAGTTTGATTCCTATTAGAGCCAGACATGACCCCTGTGGAGCTTTGAAACCATATAACGAGCCATTTATTCAGAAAACACATTGAAAAAGTAAAAAAAAAAAAAGCTTATGTAAGGATTACAAAACGGCTTCTCATTCTATCACTAGCCTTCAACTCAGCGGAGAAACACATACGCCACCCACTCTTCTCCTCTCTCTGTGAAGTGTGAACACTCAAGGACAAGCCAACACTAAACATCACACCAGCTGTGCCCGGCAGTATCATAACCATCATCATGAGCATTAAGTTAAGCACAGTGAACTGAGGCGGCAGATGAAAGTGCTCTGCTGTGATAATATCCTCATAATAAACCCAACACAAGATCATAAAGTTTCGCAGCTTAGGCGCCATATGCATCTGAATTTCCATTATCTGCGTGAACATAAGCACTTTGATGTAAACAAAGTAGGTTTCTTTAGAATATCAAAGTCCAGGCTGCGTTGAAAATGAAAAAGCCGTACACCCACGACACATTGATTTTTCATCACGCTCTGGCACAGGGTGGAATAAATATAAATCACATCAGTTCCTGACGGCATTTTTGGCTGCATGGGGAGAAAGACAGAAAAACAAAAGGAAACATATGACGATAGACACGATAGTGAAGTCTGGTGATTGAAAACATTTAAACTCTTACTTTTTTTATTTTTATTTCAACTTTATTTACATCCTAAAGTTTACAAAAGAAGTAGATATGGCTGTTTTTAAAAGTTAAGCCAATGTGTAACAAGTTAGAAAAATACATCCAACTTAATTCCAGTGAGGGACGACCACTCCTTGCAAAAAGAAGTCTGATTGTCCTTCTTAGAAAATCTACCCTTCAGCCTACTTCCCTGATGACTTTGTGGTCTCAGTCCCAGGGTTCAAGCCCTCCACAACATGGATTTATGTTAATTTTTAAACAATGGTCCCATTTAGAGGAATGGGAACATATGGGTGGGTATGCTTCAGGTTTCAGCCACCAGTGACTGACATGTCGCTGCAATGGTGACCTCTTAGCAAGGGCAGAGACGAAGGAAAGCCCACCTGCCTCTCAAATGTGGTCTCTCCTGGATCTCAAACATAGAGATAGAGATTTCAGTAAGAACCTAAGGCTTCGAAACATAGGACAACAGAGAAATAGGCGACTAGATTGCCTCCTTTATGTTCCATGTGTCTATGATTTATCTTTTGGAAACCCGGCTGGGTCTGCCCTGTTACCTCTGAGGTGCAGGAACAGTGTATTTTTAGTACCTTTAGTATTCCCAAAAGTTTATGAAAATCTGTAGCAATATAGTTGCTCATTGTTTCTCTTACATAACAGAAAATAAATCAAATTTTAAAAATCAAGCATCAAGCCTGAAAATATCTTGAAAAGTCGTTCAACAGAATATTGTGTTTCATTCAGCCAGCTGGAAGAGAGAGGCTGAGAAGCCAGCCAACGTCTGACTTTGTTTTGGCGGGTTCTTACTTTTCCCCTGTTTGTGTGACTTTATTACATAAAGGTATGCAGTGAGGTCAATCTGCTAGCAGGGATGCCTTCCTGTCATTAAGCCGAGGTGCTGTTTGTGGTTGACTTATAAAACGCTGAGGGTTCCCTGTAGATTGTTAATGAGCACTTTTCTTCCATAATCTCCTCCATCTTTCTGCCGCCCTCTCTTCTCCTTCTCTGTCCTTTCTTCTTTACTCTCTCTATCTGTGACATCACTGTCTGGCTTGGCAGGATGGAAAAGTTATTCGTTTTTGGAAATAGATGCCGCTGTGTGTTCATGGCCAAACTCACACTCACATGTCAGACACACCTCCCCTCTAATACACACGTGCCCACACATTTCCACTCACTTGTGATTTGTGAACGTGCTAGTCGGTCGCTCCTCAGACCAGCTTTTGCGCACACAGACAGTGAGGCAGTGCTGTGTCGGTTCGCCGTCATGAAAGTTCCTCTCATTCCACGGTCCCTGACGGAGCCAGCTCACGTTTCTGCCGGGTAGTGCCCCCTGCTGAGGTTGGAAAGAGTGAGTGAGAGTGTGAGTGTACGTCTGTGTTTATCTGCTATCACCAGGGAGCATTCAGTGAGCTCACATATGGCCCAGACTTAACCTCTGTGATGGAATTAATCTCTTACATAAATCATGGGGGGCATGTATGAGTGTGTTCAAGGTAAGAAGATGTAAGATAACACCAAACCAGTTCTGCATGCACATTTAAATCAGGTTGTTTTTTTTGTTTTCAGTTCTTTCACATTCAAATTGTTAAATTCAGTGGACCACTTTGCTGGTTCTGGTGTTGGTGGATATAATTGTTATGCAGTGCAGCACAAGGGAGAACTCAGTTGAACAAATTTCAAAACAAATTGAAAGCAGAATTGAGACTATTGGGAAACATCTTTGGAAAAGTGTAACCTTCCGCCAAACTCAATGGAAACTTGAGTCATTTTTTGATAGAACAAACGAAAAAACAACACATGGTAACTATTGTCTTTTCTAATGAAACTTAAAATTTTGGCCCCTAAATTAAATCTAATGTATTTAAAAGGATTTTATACCAAATGTTTTAGTTAAAATAGTGCACACCCAGCTGTAGAGGACATTTGCTGCCATTATAAATATTTTCCCCAGTACCGCAAAGTAGGTAAAGAATTAAAATGTAACCCTCAAAATAATTCTGGAGGTCTAGTTCTGTTTGGAGTCATTTCCTAAAACAGGATTGATAAAATCCAAGTTACAAAGTGCTTTACAGGGACAGCAAGATAAAACCATAAAAGCACAAGCAAAGGCAACAAATGAGAAACAAATAGTTCAAAGGGCATAAAACATATCAAAGAAGAAATGGTAATTGTGTCTTTTTAGTTGCTTTTCTGGGCGTTGTTTTCCTTTATTGATAGGACATCTGAAGAGGGGCAGGTACTGCTAAGAGTAGAGAATAGGATAAGACATGTGGCACATGGGTTGTGGCTTGAAGTCTAGCCAGCAACTGTCTTAAAGATGGACATGAAAGTGAGACAGGAAGAGACCTTGAGGATATCAATATCTTGGTTGAACTAACCTCTAAGAGGAGATTGTTCCAGAGCCTTGGACCAAGTCTTCATTCAGGCATTTGCAACATACAGAAGATTTCTCCGTGATAATCTCAATGTGGGAATTGGTTCATGGGATACTAACAAATATGTAGCTGGAAGAAAGGACATGGAGAGCTTTGAAAGTAATGAGAAGAATTTCCAAATCAATTATGAAAAACACTGGGAGCCAGTCTAAAAAGGTCAAATAGGAAGTTGTGATCATGTTTTTTGGTTCTGCTTTAAAAACCTGGCAGCTGAGCTTTGCACAGTCTGGATCAATCCATTGATTTTTGGTTCTGGCAGGTAAAAAGTTTGTTGAAAGAAAGGAGGAGCAATAAAAATGAAAGCATAGTAGCTTAAAATGCTTTCTCCAACAGTAACATCCAAAACAGCTCTGTAACACGTGTAGCCTATGCTTTCCTGGTTTTATTTTGGCATATTTGTTTGTACTGAAGTACTTCTAATTTATTCGACTTCCCTCCTGTCAAGGTTAAGAGCTCCTGGCCTGCTGCATTCCTGCTCTGTTTGGGCTGCTACTAACTGAGAATACCTGTCAGCCTGGATAAGCAGGGAGCACCCTCACCTCCTAAATCAGACATTTACAAATTGACCGCACTGCGGGGATATGGTCATGACAAGATAATGAATCACACAAACAGACCGACCCCTCTCCTCAAACAAGCTGCCTTGGTTTCAGTGCAAACAGCCCAGTCCCCGTTCACCTTGAGGCGTGGGGTGAGTGGTCATCCCTCACACTGGAAACTGTGTGTGAGTGTTTGTGTTTTGCAAGGCCGAGCATGTTCAGACCTTGTTTGAGCATCCCTGGCTCATAGTAAACAGATAAGCCACCCAGAGTTATAAATAATTGGTTTGAGAAGACTTTCTCTGTCCTTGAAACCTCCGTTTGGCCTTCTCCATGTGTGTTCGGCTTCCCTCAGGCAGGGTTAGAGCAGTACAGCTGTCAGGATGTGTTGTTTTTTCCATTTCTTTGGTTAAACCTGCAAGCAAGCCCAAAAAAAAAAGCTAAAAAGTGGTCAGAAAAAAGGAGTACCAAAACGTCAGAGCCAGGTAGAAATAAAGCTTTACTATCGAAGTTGTCAACATAAATCAGGTAATGAAGTTAGTGGTAAAAGTCAGCATAAAGCGTAGATGTGGAACATCCCAAAAATAAGAAAGCAAAACTTGTTTGTAATTCAGATGTTGTCAAATGTATTTAGACGTTGGCAAACAAAACACCAGAAACAGTCTTTTGGATATTTGCAGTCAATTTTCGTGCATGCTTCCTTAACACAGGACACACTTTGTGGTATTTTTCCTTCTCTAATACCGTGGTTTGAAGCTCTTAATGTTTGCCAGAAAAAGTCTTGCTTCCGCTGCAATGCTCATGCTCATTGGCTCAACAAAAGTGAGCCGAAAGTGCTGAAATCAATTGTCTGTAGTTACAACAACACTGCAGACCACATCACCCAGACACCCAAATAACATGACTGAGAAGTAAGTTTGACTTCCATCTTAAATAGACACCAATAAGGCGACCTTATTTTCAGCCTCTTTGACATTAAGCTTTCATTCAGTGAGAAATCGCTTAAATTGTGTAAGGATCAAACAAACTGTCCGTCTGTCTGTCTGGTGTCAGAGCTGACCCCAGCTCCCCTCTTTGGTAATCAGGATTTCCTGGCAGGAAACCGACTGACAAACAGAAAAAATAAACACCCATGTCTGTTGGATTAGACCAGATCAAGCAGAAGAGGATTAACTGACAACTAATTATATTCCCCCAGATCTCCATGGGTCAGATGCTGCAGGAGTTTGGAAAGTTTCTGGGCCTCTTCCTGCTGGTGTTGTTCTCTTTCACTATCGGACTCACCCAGCTGTATGGGAAGGACCAGAAAGACCCAGACAAGAACCAAACGAAGGACTGCACGGGCATTTTCTGTGAGCAGCAGAGCAACGATGCATTCCACACGTATGGGCCAACCTCAGTCTGTTAATATTAGACAGTGATGATGACTATGATAGATGTAACGGATATTTTCTCTGTGTTTACTAGCTGATAAGAATTAAAGAACCTATCAGAGAAGTTTCTTCTGAAAATATTTGACCTTGATGCTCACTGATCAGCTTTCTTGTGTGTTTCAGGTTTATGGGGACGTGTTATGCCTTGTTCTGGTACATCTTCTCGCTGGCACACGTTGCACTTTATGTCACCCGCTTCAGCTACACAGAGGAGCTGCGCTCTTTCGTGGGTGCTATGATCATAGGCACCTACAACATTGTGGTTGTTATTGTGCTGACCAAGCTGCTGGTGGCCATGCTCCATAAGAGCTTCAGACAAATTGCTGTAAGTATAAACAAATTCTGCAAAGGGTTTTTCTCTCATGCTACTGTCAGGGGTAATTTGAGTTCAACTTGGAACGAAAAGTTGTGACCGTTCTCATTTACTGTTCAGATTAGATATCCCTGATTTACTCACCCTGAAATGGTTCCCAGATGGGAAATTGTTCCTTTCTTTGGAACTGCGCTGCACATTTTCTTCTTTCTCGAACCAACAGTTTGATTTTCATTACGCTAAGTGAAAACAACTCATTGACCAGGAAAAGCTGGCCTCCTCCTCTAGGATTTTCACAATTTCTTACATTGTCAGGATTCCTGCTCTAAATGGAAAGCAGTGTGCGGAGGTTAATTCTCACATTCCTGCGTTCTCTGTGTTCTTGTCGGTTTGTAGAATCACGAGGATAAGGAGTGGAAGTTTGCCCGGGCCAAACTATGGCTTAGCTACTTTGACGACAAGTGCACCATGCCTCCACCGTTTAACATCCTTCCCTCCCCAAAGACCGTCTGCTACCTGTTGACCAGCATGAGCAAGTGGATCTGTTCCCATACCTCAAAGGGAAAGGTGAAAAGACAGAACAGTCTTAAGGTAAGAAAAAATTGTTTCATTACGAAGTTTTGATAAATTTCTAGACCATTTTACTCTAAATCAAATCATCTGAGTTTTGTGCTGTATCGTTAACTTTCTTTGTCTTTTTGATTCAGGAGTGGAAGAACCTGAAGCAGAAGCGTGATGAAAACTACCAGAAGATCATGTGCTGTCTGGTTCACCGTTACCTGACTTCCACACGGCAGAAGATGCAGAGCACAGATCAGGCCACAGTGGAGAATCTCAACGACCTGCGCCAAGACCTGTCCAAGTTTCGTAATGAGATGAGAGACCTGCTGGGCTTCCGGACATCTAAATACGCCATGTTCTACCCAAGGAGCTAAATAATAGAGACTAGATATCCTCTCCTTTCTCCCTTCCTATCTTGACAAAACCTCTGCTCCTTGTTTATCTGAGATGCAGTGAGCATGTGCAAAAAAACTCTGTTCTTTTGAGTCACAGAGGCAGATTTTAAACCTGGAACTTAACTACAAAGTATTTATTCTCCACCAAAGCCTCCAGACTCAGGCCCTCTATGTATTATTCAGCTATCCTACCTTTTTGTAAATAAAGAAAGCCATTGTTTTCAACAGAAAGCCAAATAAAGATTTGTGGAAAAATCAAACTTAATGCCATAAAAATAGTTCTGCTGGATTTTGCTTTTGAGATTTGAGGTGACGTTTGTTTCCCCCACAAGAGCTCATTTTTGACCACTCAGGTCTGAAAGCCAGAAAACTGTCAACTGAGTCACATTACTCAAACTTGGTTCATTCTTATGCTCAGGTGAGCAGAACTTCATTGGCAGCTCTCTACATCCACAGACCAATTAACAGACTGGATTTCCTGTAAAAAGTTCCTCTATATTAAAAAACAAACAGACAAAAGGATCATGTTAAAAGTTTTATTACTTTGGCAGAAGAAAACAATAAAATATAAATAATATTCACAGACTTTTTCATATGAAAATAATTTTCATTTCATACCTCTGCCTTTAAAAACAATGCGTGTAAATAATGTATGCTGTTGTTGGTGCTTTGATAAGGGCTTAAGCTAGGAAGATCCTCATTTGTTTCACATAAAACAGTATGAAAATCTTTAACAAAGAATCAGGTATGTATTACTTATTGCACTTTTTAACACCGCTTTAAAGCCTCCAATCCTGCCTACTGAAATTTAACTGCAGGTTGCTAAAAAAAAGCCTCTATGTTTATCAATCAGGCACATGAATTAAAGCCTAGCTATGATTTGTATTTACTAATCAACCTAACTGATCATTTAAATTTAGAAAAACAGCCTAGACAGGAGACAAATCAAACCTATAATGTGTAAAATGTTGAATTTAATAGTGCAATCACTGAATTTTGAACAGCCTTATTAGAGATTGTGACTTTAAGTTGCTACCTACACTCCTGATTCTCGGCTACCAAAACTGGCTACAAGTTAAAATCTCACCATGTGTGTAAGAGGAATTTGTTACATTTTGACTGACTTTGTTACTGATTGATCTGAGGTTGCAGAACAGACTGGGTGACTAATCTTAAATGCAACGCAGAGGATAAGTGAATGCTCTCTTTTTTTTTAATCCAGAAAACATGGATTCAATGCAGAAGTTTCATTTGCCTCTTACTGAATGAGAAGTTTGTTTTGTGCTGAAATCCTTGTATTCAGATCAGTTTCCACTTCATCTGTTTGTGTGTTTGTGCAGTTAAGCTGAGGATTGTGTGTTTGGCTTCATCTTCCACCCCAGTACAAGCCTCAGGCACTCTAATCCAGTGGAGATCCTCAGAGCTTCAGGTACTCAGCACCTCTTATTCTTCAGCACGTTGAATACTTTCTGGTTCTTTGTCTTAAACGCCATAACGAAGTGGTGAGGTGCGATCTTCCCCCGGCCTTCTTCATCCACTTGACCCATGAAGATGTAGTTTAAGCCTAGTGAGGTCACACAAAAAAAACCTGAATGCAGTGGCGGAACGGCAGAGACATTCAGGGAGGCCGTTCATCAGAATCTCCACCCGGCAGGTCTGTATTAATATGTTTATATGCGCACATATAAACATATTCACCATGACTGTTTGGACAGTGAGTTCTGCCGCTCACCTCACACTTTCAGGAGAGCTGAATCATGTGACTGCGTAAAGGAGGCAAACTCAGAGCCGTAGGTTACTCAAAACAGTCAACCTGGAACCTTGTATCATAATTTAACAGTTTCCTCTTACCACAAAAAAGTCCTATTTAACTCACCTCTTCTGATGAAGGGGCACTTCTTGCACAGGATAATGATTTTGGTGCTCATGGTTTTTCCCGCCTGCTGGATGGCCAGATCTCCCTCTCTGTAGACGTTGATGATGGAAATAGTGGCGTACATACTTCCTCCTTTTATCACCGCAGTGATAACAGTGCCGGTTATCACTGTCAGAGACGAACACACACACACACAGGTCAGAAACAAATCCACTAAAATAGTTAACTGAAAAAAAAAAAAAAGAAAATGAGCTCTTTCCTGGAGATCTCCATGATTGTTTCTCTGGCTTGTATGGCTTTCAGTGGGGTTCACCTTTTAGGTATCATTAGCTATCAAACTGATGGATCACTGTTAACTTTAAACAGGTGGTTAAGATAAAAATTCAATTTCTTTCCACTGTAAAATGATACAAGTCTGATGGGGGAAGTTTCAGCTGTTTACTGTTGAGTCTCACCGGGTTCTAAAAAAGCACAAAAATTGCAGTTTTGTAGTTTGGCTCACCGTAGAAACCACTTGACATTTAACTGTGACATTTAGCCGAGTGTACACAGAGGAAATCTGGTCTCATTCAGCATGACCAGCACTCTTCACACTGATGATACCAATATGTCTGGACTTTACGTTAAGCCTGTTTCATTTCCTGACAGGGACGAGAACAGCCAGAGGACTACTTGTGTCAGTAACGGTACAGTATCTAAGTGATTTTGACAGTTCAAAGAGAATCTCTCACACCATTATATACAACCATACAACAGCGGCAACAGTTGATTATATGAACTATTTTTCGAGCTACTGTCTCGACACGTCATTAAAAAGTGATGCAACTATTTGTGCACACCCCGCCACCACATCACACGGGTGACTTTTTCCACATGCACCAACACAACGCTTCCCTTTCCTCAGTTCCTGCAGTACATCCAAGTGAACTCTTTGAAATGCCAATCTACCACATGTGGTAAACATCTCCGAGAGGAAAACATCAGAGAGCAGGAGAGCAGCAAACGGAGGCTGAGCCTGAATCAACACGTTCATTTAACAGCAGTTTACCCTCAGTCAGGGGCTGAGTAAGTGTGTGTGAGTGTGTGTTTACACCAGAGGCAACTGTGTCCTACTGTATACGCTCCTTCACTTCCTGACAGGCTATCAAGGAAGTCTTTGAGATGCACAGAGGGAAATCAGAGGAGCAAAGACAGTAACATGAAGAGGACAGTAAACTCTTTTCAAGGGAGGTTTTGCTGCTAATGTAAATCAAAGTCTATGCTGCATTGGTTGCATTGTTTTATCAGTAATAATGTATATAACAGTGAGGATACTCTATTATAACATGAGCAAGGCTGGTGAGTTTTAGAGACATTCTTACCAAAATTGCTGGAGCAGTAGTTGCTCTCAAGTGTTCCTCGTCTTTTGCATTTCTGCTGGCACAACGCCACTGAGTACTTCAGAGCTGTGGAGACACACGCACACACACAAGAAAAGTCCATCTCTGTAATTTAGCCTTCCCGTGACTCAAGCAAGTGAGTTATGGTTGCATCTGTTTCTACTGTGGTTTATTTACAGAATATTCCCAGTAAAACAAGAGGCTCTTAAAATAAAAGGCTATCCTCAGAGAGAATGTGCACAGTGTAAAATAGCCAGATATTGTGACAAGGCAACATCTGTTTTTAGAGTCAGAGACCATAAAGAGACCATATAGGAGAGATTCAAGGAAACAAAAGGTGACTGTAAAAATGTTCCTCTTGCCGGGAGGAGGAAAGTAAGGACAGATAAGTCGACCTAGAGAACATCGTCAAGGTCTGACATCATGGCGGGGAGGTGCTGAAGTAACCAGACTTGGCTGAGGGAAAAAACAACAGTGTGTGGGATTGAAAGTTTGCGTATGAAAATGAGCTGTGACTGTGGGTGCACACACGTGCCCACAATATATATGGAAGAAAAATGCTTGAACACAAGGAAATGAGAGCAGAAGACTTAGTTTAGCATGTGCTTTGTTTGAACATGTGCATCTTAAGCACTATTGATCCCGCTCTCTTCTTTTTACATGTTTGACTGATTGTTTTCAGTGATTTAATGTGAACAGAGTATTCATTTTTATGAAAGATATGTTTCTGTACGCTCTGCTTAGCAATGCTGAATAATTATTCGTCCTGTTTGAAAATAAACCTTGAAGTACTTAAGTCATATTCAAGCACAACACAGTTTTTTAAAGCTCGTTGTACCATCATAAACAGATTTCACATGCCTCTTGTTTTTAAAAGTGCAAGATAAATCCCACATGTTAGCAAGAGATTCCAGCTGGACAAAGTTATTAGTTATCAGCGTTCATGGACAAATACTGATAGGAGTCTTTCTAAAGTTGTTACTGGATGAAAGTTGGTACCTACGTATGGGCCTGGTGGTGACTGGCTGTGTAGTCGTGGTGGGTGGTATCGTCGTGGTGGGGAATTTCTTTGGTCTGAATTTGTAATGTCCGATAAAGCCATCTGCTGTGAGACTGAGATCTGACAGGAACTGGATCAAGAGCTGGTTCCCATCTGAGAAGACCGGCCTGTAGTGAAACACAGACAAGAAAAACTGAGTACAAACTTAGAGACGCTGAGAGGATGGATGACAAGGAAAGGTGAAATCTCTAGAACAGAATCACCTACGCTGGGGGGCTGTCTCCACAGTATTTGCCGATTCTCTTGGCGTCGTTGATCTCTGCCCCGTTGAAGATGGAGACGTGGTCGTAACGACAGTAGTTGTCTCTCTCCACGTCGAACTTCTCAAACTTGACCTCTATGATCTACAACAGATGAGAAAAGGCTTGTATAAAGACTGTCAGGGTTACAGTTGATTAAGAGGCATGCTAGCATCCGCAACATGACTGATTCATTATTGTGCATTTATTAATACAGACAATATGCCTCTATCGTCAACTATTTAAAAGCCCGCAGCCAAAATACCAACTGGTGCTAGTGATGTATTTTAAGAGCAAAGACTTAAGATAAGGTGGCCTGGCTGGTGGAGCCACAAGACCCTGCTTATCAAGACACACAATCAATGCACCAATATTACAGCAAAGAAATGTCAGGTCGGGTCATTTTGCAGCAGAAGCGACTGGTGTTGGTTTGACACTTGTGGTTATGAGCAGTGCTGTGACTCTTGTGTTGGTGTTGATTAGGTTTTCTCTCACTCTCAATCCTCTGCACTGCTAATCCAGATAAAAAAGGGCTGCAAGTGACAGGATTGTCAACAAAGCTGTCAATCATGGCATCACACTCCTTCGTTAATGAATGAAACAGCTGACTAACATTTAAGTTCTTTAAACAATGAGCACCTGCCTATAAATCAGCAAAATATTTTTTCCTAGTTTGACAGATTTTCCATCTTCTATAAAGGACGAGGTCAGTTTGTTTGTGACCCTTTATTGCTGCCGGTCACCAGTTTGGTTTCACTTTTTGGAGCAGTCAATGTTTTTTGATAGAGTCTACGGTGTCTACGTCTGATCTTTTCTTACTTTTAAACAGACCAATGTCCCTTAAAGGTGGGTTAGGTAGGATTCCGTCAAAGAAGCATCTTTTTGTGGTGTATATATAAAAACGCTTTTAATATCAGTCAATAGGTATTAGTTATCCATGACATTTGGGGATATCACAATATCGCTGTGTTTTGTTGTCTGTGTTGTCAACATTGATTGGTTGTGAGGCAGATGCTGCTCCCTCATGTGGTGAGGCACGCTCCACGTCCTTGAATAATGTTCACGAGCCCAAACAAAGTTAGCGTGCTACAATATCGGACAGTAAAAACCAACCAGAGAGTATGGAAAATTTTCTGAATCCTCCTTTAGCCTTGACTGCCGACACAAGCAAGAAAACAAAGTAAATACCGGAGACTCTGGGAAAAACAGGCGCTTAAAACTCAGGTTTTGGACAATGCATCAGACAATGTTCAGTGCCCATCAATATTAACTTATCCAGTTCATAAGCATCTATACTCTTCTGACGATGTGACTGTGGAACAATTTTGGCCTCTTCAACAACTTTCAATTAAAAAATAAGCATTACAATCTTATAGCCGCAGATGATTTAGCACAGATTTGTTTTAATGTAACAGTTTTGAATTAGATCCCATACCTGGTTCTTTGGTGCCACTATGTGCCAGGAGCAGGTGACACCTGCTGGGTAGTCCTTCTCAGGCCAGTTTGGTGTTTTAAAAGACCCAGAGGGCTTATCCAACCTGCCGCCACAGTACTGGTCCCCTGTGGAGAAATCATTTTAGATTGATAGTTAAAAAGAATCTGCAAAACACTGTTTGAAGGGAATGATCCAGATTGTATTCATCAATGTAAACCAGGAAAGAATGTACGATTTATAACCCTGCCATAAACGATTTACTGTAATAGGTGCTCCCATTGCCCTCTTGTCATTATGTGTGTCCTAAAAAGGAAGTCACTCATTAGGCAGTTTAAAAAAAGACACCATGCCTTCAGCTCTGTCAAGCATCTGAGAAACATCAGCTTAAAAACACACAGACACAAGCTGTTGAGACTGTCAGGGAAGTGATTCTCTTAAAGGCACGTTTTCTTTGCAAACACTTAAACTGATGTTTCCTTTCCCACAAAGAAGTCCGAGAAGTACAATTTCAGTGACAAAAATAGATAACCAACTAAAACAAAAACAGGTTGTCCCAGGACAACTCCAAGAGACAGCTTTAACACAGTCTATCTGCTTGTGTCCATTGTGTTAGTCCCACACGGGCTAGTTACCAGACATTGTCACTGACTGCTGTCACCTACCCTGCTGTATAGAACCAGCAGTTAAAATTCCACAAAAGCAGGACTTGAGATGTTGCAACCCTGCAGAAAAGAAGAGGCTCACTCAACTCTAAATGATACTTCTGACCGGTGAGAAATTCCACATCAGGCCGTGAGGAGTGTCAAGATATTCCTCTCCTTTTGTCCACACCCTGCAAACTTTAACTTTTAAGTCTTTTCTTGGTTGAATAAAAAACTAAAAGGTCACTGGTTTTAACAATAAAGAAGGAAAATTTACCTTTTTTTGTTTGGTTATGTGCTTGCATAACTCAAAATTCATTTACAGTATCGTCCAAATTACTTTTTCCTTCTATGCCATTGTGGTGCAATCAGTTTGAATGAAACTGCCTTGTTAGTAAGCTTTTTAAACTCCAACCTTTGCCCAAATAGACACACTCCAAGGCCAGTATAAGAGTCATGTATGGAGGAAACCCAGGCCTTACATGCTTGCATTGCAACATGATATTCACTACATCTCTTACCCTCCCTTTGGAACAACATCAGCTTTAAAACCATGAGTGCCACATCTACTCTTATCCACACGAGTCCTACCTCTCTCATGTGGGTGAGCAGCAGAGAAAACAGCCAGGAAGCCACTCCCAGCTGTGTTGGCATCAGATACCATCTGCATGAGCATCTTGTTGCCTGTGGAAACCAAAGCTCCTGGCTTGAATGTCCCACAGAAGCGGCCAAGTCTCTGCCCATTGACATGACCGCTGTAAACATCCACATAGTCGTAGCGGCACAGGTTGTCGCTCTCCAAATCGATGAAGCGAAATGACAGGACCACCACTTTTCCTTCAGGAACCTGTGTGAGATTTTACACAATTTACACCATCACTGGGGACAATTAAATGTCATACTCACAATATCACAGTGAGACATGCTACTTGGTCTTGTTCTGTACCAGCGTAGATGTTTAACTACACAGTCTAGTAATTGAGTCAGAGAACAAACTGCCTTGAGCATGCTGTGGTTTCATATTTTTGGAAAGAAATTTGGAGTTCAGGGTTGGTGGTAGAGTATCATAGTGGATGGATGTTTCCTTTCATTTAAAAATATAGAGATTTACGTCATCATTAAAATCCAAGCTTTGATTGAAAAGCAACATATGTGAGTATGAAATGGGACTCACTGTGATTCTCCATACACATTTGGTATTTGGAGGGTAAACTCCTGGGTATCCCTGGCTCCCGATGACTCCAGAGTCCCCTGTAATGTTTCCACCGCACGTGAAGGTTGGTCTAGAGGTGGGAGAAGATAGTTTTCTATCTACAATCTCAAAATATGCTGATTTCTCGACACCAAACACAAAGAAAACGTAAAGCCTGAAGATGATTTCACTCTGATTTGTTTCTATGCGACATATGTCTTGCTCCACGCAGCCGAGTCTGCAGAATCATCCCTAAATAAACTCCACTGACGCTGCGTCCCCTCCACTGGCTGCATGACATCCATGACACCTTTCTCACTCCTTAAGCATTGAAATAAACCAGAGAGAAAAATCAATAAATAAAGATGTACCTCCGCTGAGACTGCGCACAGACATCTGTCAGGAAGAATAGACTCCATGCGCAAAAAATGCCGCATGTTCTCCACATTATTATGTTAACTGCACACGCGCTTTGCCTGCTTTCGCCCCGTGGCATGAATGGCATTGTGTCCAGCAGCTCACACGGTAAGGAAAAGTAGCCAGGAGTTCCTGTGGGGAGTTTCAGTAACTGCAAGCCGGAGCAGATGAATATAGCGTTTGTTCTGCTGCGTGGAGGGAGGGACGGAGCACAGGCTGCTGCTTCACCCCTCAAAAAAAGGAGGAAAAAAAATATTGAAGAAGCTCTGGAAGGGTGTGGGGTCCCGCATTAGTTTCATTATGCACCTGGCCTGGAAAACCTTGAAGGTGGAGGCATGAATAAACTTGACCCAAGAAATCATGCATGGATGGCCTGGCATTCCTGGTTTGCAATATATATAGGTTAGTTTGTAGGCTTCACATGGTCGAGGTTTTATAAATATCCAAGAACATATGGTACCTGCAATGTGATAGGTCAGTGAATAATGCAGTGACAGGAGAGAACTTTGGCCTGTTCTTCAAAAGGGACTTTAAATTTTCCAACTGCTGAAAAATCATTCAAACGCCTTGGGCTGTGGCTGTCAAAATGATATGTATAGTGCACATGCACAGGTACCAGAGGAAAACGAGAGCGCTGGGAAGCGAATGCGCCATCTGCTGGATCATATGTGGAACAGGTGTAGCCTTGGATTTTATCATAGACTGTATTTGTAGTAGGGGAGAGTGGGTAAGATGAGCCATTTTTCATATTTTGGATCACTACATCAGGGCAATCATAGTTTTGTCTCACTAGTGTATTTGCATATATTTCAAGATGTTGTGCATCCCTGCAAACCAACAGAATGAGTGTAAACAGAACTGTCTTGATAATAGAGCATACCGAAAAAAGTGGTCTCCTATGGTCAACTTACCCCGTGTATGGGGAAAGTTGACCATAGGAGTGGGGTAAGTTGAGCCGTATCCCTACTATCCACCACTCTCCACCCCAGCCCTCCCTTACCTTCTCTCTCCCCAAATAACACTCACTTCTTCACATTCATGTGTATTTTATCTATTATATGCTATTCAACTGGTACAATAATTCTTTTTATTACTACTGCAAATAACTGCTAAAAAGCTGTTTTGTAAAAAGCCATTTTTAACATGACTCTGATCCTCTCATTAGACTTCTTAACTTTCTCAGTTGGACCACTGGCTCAACTTACAGAACTACTATTATGACTTTCTCAGTCCTCTGAGCTAAAATGGTGGGGTTTTATGTTCATAGATACCATTATTAATTTATAGAAACAAATTTAAAATGATCTTTTTTGGGTCTGAACACAATTCTGAAAAAAACTTATGACAGACTAAATTCACTTCTAGAGGTTTTTGTTTTGTTTTTTTTAATAAATATCTAACCTCTTCACCCATGTGCTTCTAACCTTCACAGGCTCCATGAATTGATGCCCATCTCCTAAATATTTGGTCACATGATCAATTTCTTCTTCCATTTCCAAGCAGCAGGGGGTGGCTCAACTTACCCCACTCTCCCCTATTTAGTAGATACAGTCTATGGATTTTATCTTAAAATGTCTTTACCAACAAAATGCATATAGATTTAGATTTCTCAAAGGCATAATCATGGAGACATTTGGCTGAGGCAAATTAAAAGTCTCGGGCCTCTGTAAAACCAACCAACGAAAATTTACTTTAAAAATAGACTTTAATTCAATCAGACGACGCTAGTTTTGTCTCTGTCTCCCACAGCTGCTGTAATTTAAAGCTGTAAATATTGTCTTATTTTCATAAAAACATAATAATCTCAACATTTGATAACGTCAACATAATCAATCAGGGCGACAAAGCGGGTGAAGTGCCCTCAACCATCGTTGTTTCGGCGATCGATTGGTTAGACTACAGATTACATTTACCCCTATCGATGATCGATTATATTTTAGTTTCACAAAAGATGGCGGAGCGAACGCCTGGTGGCTCTCAGAAAGCTAGCGCTAAGGTGAATTTACACTTTAAATTACCACGACCTTTTACTTAACTGTAGCTAGTCAAACAATGTAAACGGTAGTATTCCTGAACAACTTTGACTGTTTATGTATTTCTAGCGTGCAGAAGTGACGAATGTGCGCAACGGTGATAGCTAACTTCCAACGCGCTAAAGCTAGCCGTCGGCTCTTCGAGCACACAAGCTAATGATGCTAAGCTAACGCGGAGCTTGTTTAGTCAGGACTGCTGACCCATAACACAGTGTTTTCCGGGGAGTTAAGCAGGTGATACCGCTGTTATAGTCATCGTGGAGATGTTTTCAGATGTTGGTTTGAGTGTAAAAGAGTTAACTTGTCGGGTTGGAAGTCGGGCCTGATCATGTTTCAGACAGACGCCTCTGAACTTCATGCTCTCAGTCGGTGGCGCTGCAGCAGAGTCCAGCTCAGGAAGGCCTCTGGCTAATTTTGCTTAGTTGTTGCAACTTGACAGTGCAAAAAAGTAGAAAATAAGTAAAATGCAAACCAATAAGGACCATCGGTGATCAGAGCAGTAATGTATAAGCGCGGCTGCACTCAGCTCACAGTTTAATATTGTTTCAGTGTCAGTAACGTCAGCGTAGCTCTACTGTCAACAATATCCTTCATCTGAATATTAAGTGTGTGTGTTTTGTGTACATGTACAGGCGCTGCTTGAGAGCAAACTAAAGTCGTTCAGCATTGGGAAAATGGCAGTGGCAAAGAGGACCCTGAGCAAGAAGGAGCAGGATGAAATCAAGAAAAAGGTTCGTAGCTGTCTCCTTTTCTCTGTCTTACTGCATGTTCTGTGGTCGTTTCTTTACTTTGATAAAAGTGTCTCTGAACAGGAGGATGAACGGGCAGCAGCGGAGATTTACGAGGAGTTTCTTGCTGCTTTTGAAGGAGGAGAGGGCAAAGTCAAGGCTTTTGTCCGGGGCGGCATTGCAAATGCAACTAAAGGTATAGTCGGTTTAAATCATTCATTATCCATTACTAAATGGATTGCATGGAGTTTTTAGACATATGAGTCCCTTCTTCACAAATTTTAATCTAAATTGGTGTGTAAAATGTCTTGATTTGATGTGCTCTTTTACTGAGCCGTTTAGAAATGTTGTTTTCAAACATATCAGTCTTATTTTCAAACCTTGTAAAGCACTTTTTAATGTGGGATTTGAAAAGTGCCCCATGGATAAAAGGTATTTTTTAAAAGATATGCACAATATCGTATCAGTAATATTAGTATCTGCAGATAAAAGCGTAAAAGGTGTTTTATTTGTAGATCCAAAATGTTCAGCCAATAAAGTGATCCATTAGTTACGCGCCTGCGATGACATGCTACATGCATGCAGGTATTTTGGACTGCCAGTACCACTGTATTACTAAATATCTGTATCAGAACAGAAGTACCCGATCATTCAAGTTAAAGAAAATGTTGTTTATCTTGCCACATCTCTGTTGTGAAATTAATTGACTGTTTCAGTAAGGGTGATATGTAAATTCCTAGCAGAGAATTTAGGAGAGGAGAGACTTGGTGTTGTTTACATTTATAAAAATAAAAGCATATATCGTATATATCGTCAGTTTTTGCTGAAGTGCATTTGAAAATATATCAGTTAGAATCTGATATTGTGCATCCTTTAGTAATTTTATGCTGGTGTTGTAAGCAGAGTTCAGGGCTTCAACAAATCCACCTCTTGTAAAAATAAAATGTTATTGTGAAGTTTCCGTATTTTTCGCACTATAAGGTGCACTTAAAATCCTTTTGGCTTGTCGGAGCACTGCAGCTACCGTAGCCTCACAGAGTTATTGACTGTTTAGTTTAGCTTAATGCGCTTTATAATCCGGTGTGCCTTATGTATGAAAATAGACACAAATAGATGCATTCATTGATGGTGCACCTTATAATCAGGTGTGCTTTATCGTGTGAAAAATACAGTACTTAAGTCAGACATTGTCTCTCTCCTCTCTCTTTTCAGAGGAGGCAGCTGCTGATGAGAAAAGAGGAAAGTTGTATAAGCCCAAATCCCGTTTTGAGACTCAAACAAAAAGCATCTTGCCTTTGGAAACCCCACCACAGTTTTTAGCGTTAGACAAAAGACACGTAAGTACAATCACAATGAAAGAGCAGCTCTCCCTGTTCCTCATATAGTTCATTTCTTTAATTTCACTGTGTTGATGTGTTTCCACTCCTTTGTTTCAGTCATTGAAGAAAACTACAGAGAAAGAAAAGAAGAAGAGCAACTTGGAGCTTTTCAAAGAAGAGCTGAAACAGTACGCTTGGACTTTGAAATCTCTACAAAATTTTGATTGATGTAATCCCAATGGCTTCAATATGCTAGGGTTTGATATGGCATGGTCTTTAAAGTAATGCTTGGTACCATGTGCTGTGTCCCGCAGAATCCAGGAGGAAAGGGATGAGAGGCACAGGATGAAAGGACGCGTTAGCCGTTTCGAACCTCTCTCAGGCAGCGAAGGAAGACGTTCGTGTGAGTGTTTTTTTTAGCTGCAAGGCTGTGTTCTGTGTACTAACATGGCCGGAAATGGCCCTGTCCTGCACGCCTTACACCCCCCCACCCTCACCCCCCTTTGTCTTCTTTTTCCCTGAAACAAAATTTATACTGCTTCTCTGCTTCTTTTAGCGGATGGTTCTTCAAGAAGAAACCGTCCGTCCAGTGGTAATTTCGACTTAATATAGTGGCTGTGAATTATCTTCATCTTGCTAAGAAAGTGGGTTGTCCTTTCAGACAGCAGTCGAAAACTCTCGTCTCTTCTCTGTCTCTACAGTTTTGGATGACTGTGCACCGGGGTCCCATGACGTCGGAGATCCATCCACCACTAACTTGTATCTTGGAAACATCAACCCACAGGTGAATTTGTTTCCCAACATGTACAAAAGTGGAGAAGAGTCACCAGCTGACGGAGCTTTGCTGTGCTAAGGGCTCTGTGATATTAAACATGGGCAGCTTGTGCTCTTAAATTTAAATATTTACCCATAGTCCTCTGAAATGAATTTTTATTTCATGTACTGTATATATTTTATGTTTTATAGATGAATGAAGAGATGCTGTGTCAAGAGTTTGGCCGCTATGGACCACTGGCCAGTGTGAAGATCATGTGGCCGAGGACAGACGAGGAGAGGGCAAGGGAGAGGAACTGTGGCTTTGTGGCTTTCATGAATAGGAGGGATGCTGAGCGAGCACTCAAAAATCTCAATGGTACAAAGCTTTGATAGCTTTTTTAATTAGATTGTTCAATAAATTGTTTTTCCTCATTTAATTTATCATATTTCCTCCCTTTACAGGAAAGATGATCATGAATTTTGAGATGAAATTGGGATGGGGCAAAGGTGTGCCCATCCCACCTCACCCTATCTACATCCCTCCTTCCATGATGGAGCACACTCTCCCACCGCCTCCCTCCGGCCTACCTTTCAACGCACAGCCCCGGGAGAGGCTAAAGAACCCCAATGCTCCCCTGCTTCCTCCGCCTAAAAACAAGGAGGAGTTTGAGAAGGTAACTCAGCATGTCAGCTTAGGATGTTCTCATGCGTTATTGCAGTGTTTTTCTTATTTCATCTGGTAAGATGTTAGCCTGTGTACAGATCAGTCAGGGCAGATGTGAATCCAAGTAAGCATACATGATAGTTTATGTCTTGAGTTAAACTAGTTATGATCTGTGTAGAAGTGTGGGTGTACTGTTAAATGAAATGTTAGTGTGGGAAATGCTCAGACGTGTTAATCGTTTAGTGGATAGAGTGTCAGGCGTGTTTGGCCTTTTAGTCAAACTGACAGCAGTAAAGGAAAGTTGTTGTCTATTTGCACTTTGAAAATGCATTTTTTATATTTTCACCTGTTGCCTTTTAACAATACTCACATTCTATGTTTATTATCTGATGTGACTTCATATACAGACTCTGTCGCAAGCCATAGTCAAAGTGGTTATCCCAACAGAAAGGTACATGTTTTTCTTTTTTTAAAATTGGTGTAAAAACTTAGAAAACTAAACATCCCATAATGAAGCTAAAAGTTTGATCTGTTGATCACTGCATGCTACAGGGGGCTGGTCAGTATGGCTGAGCAATGGTTGAGACTACTGTACAGTTTCATCATATTAGTAGGTAGAATAATACACTCTGACAGGTTTTTGTTTTGTTTGTTTTTGCTCTTTCACACTCTACCATCACTCATATTTCCTTTCAAAATGTAACAAACACACCATTATAGCTGGTTTGTAATGTGCTTTAGAGCCAAACATCATGATTTAGTCCATCACAGCTCATGCATCAACATTGAATTGTGTTGTTCATAGCTACATGTTACTTGGCCGCATACATAGTGTGCTGATTCTAGACCTGTAGTAGACAAAACCCGCTCTCTGACCATTGCTCACTCACACCGTCTACCCCCTTGGCCTCTGTCACTCTATTGGGCGCTCAGTAAATCTGGCCCCCATGCCAACAAATCCAAACCTGCCAGCATTAGTTTATATATGACCTTTGACATTGGCCTTGGTGAGCAGCACAAGTTGAACTGTCTGCAGCAGCGAGGGACCTGAAAAGCCTCATGGGATGGATTGGGAAAGTATACAGAATTTTACCCCGCCATTGGTACGATCGGCTCCAATACAAGTAAATGTGATCTGTGTTGTCAAATGAAAGACATCCTCTGTCTTGTTGGCCACTTGAGGCGAATTGTATGCAGCCTGCACCATGTTTACCTCCAAAAATTTGTCACAGAAGAGCTTTAGTGACCCCCCCTTTGCACTGTATTCAGTCATTCCAGACTCCACCAGTAGATATAACATGTTTAGTAAATTTAGGCCAACAATCCTATACTGCTTTGGTTCTTCCTCACTTCATATTGGCCAGGAGATGAGTGGGATTCAAAAGACACTGTGCTGACTGACCTTTCAGACAATGCAGTGTCTTTGCAGTGTGTCGCTCTCACTTTCCCACATTTTTCAGCTTCACTTTTTGTGAAATTTGAAGGACGATTTCAAGATCGGGTCCAGGCAGTGTTATGTAATGCAAACCTGAAGCATTGTAGCTTTAAAGAGAACAGGCATGTAATTGAATGAAATAATGCACAGTTGAACATCTTTCTTTACTATTGCTGTGAGCTTTTTAAAGAATAAATTCATTACGAGTTAGTATGTTTGAATAAAACATCATCTGTTGTCATTTAAAGTATTGATTTTGCCAGCATTGATGTGTAACAATGGCTTAGAGGCTTAGAGGACACAGTTATGTTTAATTTATGCTTGTTCAAATAAAGCTCTTTGACAGTTGTCTCTTTATATCAATATGACATTAAATGCTCAACTTGAGATGAAGAAAACTGTGTTGATCACAGAAATAGTCAAACCCTCTTTCAAAGTAGAGCCACAGCAGGGCTTGACCCACCGACATGATCTATCATGAGACAACTGAGTTGAGCTAAAACCGCCAAGCATAAATTAAAGCAACAGACACTTTTTTTAGTGGTCAAGGGTCCGGCCAGTCTGAATCCGTTTGCTTTAACTGTGTTTTTCTTGTAGGAATTTGCTCTCTCTCATCCACCGAATGATCGAGTTTGTGGTGCGTGAAGGCCCAATGTTTGAAGCCATGATCATGAACAGAGAGATCAACAATCCCATGTACAGGTCAGTTCAGCTGCGTATCAGATATGTTCCAACTCATACTGATTTAGTAGGTCTTTGCAATTCTTTGCTTATTTGAATGTATTTATAATGTTCTAGGTTTCTATTTGAGAACCAGAGTCCAGCACATGTATACTACAGATGGAAGCTCTACTCCATACTACAGGTTTGAATCTTAAGCGTTTTCAAATAATGTAATGAGTGCAGAGCATCAAAGACATCCATTATGTTTCTGTATCATGACATTAACTCTAAATGTTATTCTCTCAGGGTGAAGCACCAGCTAAATGGCGAACAGACGACTTTAGGATGTTTAAAAATGGCTCTCTGTGGCGCCCGCCTCCTCTTAATCCATACCTACATGGTCCCTATGATGATGGTGAAGAGGAGGAGGAAGAGGAGGAGGGCAGCAAGAAAGGCTGCTTGAAAGAAGAGTAAGGCGGTTTCCCTTCAGAGTTTTGTTATGCTCTTAGTCACAAAGTGCAGTTTGTTTGAAAATCTGCGATCGACTCTACAGTGAGCGAGACAAACTGGAGGAGATGCTGCGGGGTCTGACCCCAAGGAGAGGAGACATAGCAGAGGCCATGCTGTTTTGTCTGAGCCACGCTGAAGCAGCTGAAGAGATTGTTGAGTGTATCACAGAGTCCCTATCCATCCTGAAGACCCCGCTTCCTAAGAAGGCAGGATATAAAGATGACTACAAACATGACTCACTGTCTGAGGAAAACCTTTCAGCAAAACTTTGACAAATAATTCTCCTTTACATTTCAGATTGCACGGTTATATCTAGTGTCTGATGTGCTGTACAACTCTTCTGCCAAAGTCTCCAACGCGTCTTACTACAGAAAATAGTATGTTTTGTGTGATTTTAGATCATTTCATACAGCAGTGTCAGTTTAAAAATGTGATGCCCAGATTACTTCTTCAACTGTTTTTGTTTACAGTTTTGAGGCAAAGCTCTGCCAGATTTTCTCCGACCTCAATTCTACTTATAAAACAATACAGGGCCACCTTCAATGTGAAAACTTTAAGGTACCAAACATCCAAACCCGGCTTAGTGAAAAGAATCCTGTGTGGTATCTAAACTGACCTTGTCTGCTTCCTGCTCTGTTGCAGCAACGTGTTATGTCATGTTTCCGGGCCTGGGAGGACTGGGCTGTATATCCAGACCCCTTCCTCATCAAGCTGCAGAACATCTTCTTGGGACTAGTAAATCTGGCTGTAGAGAAGGAGCCAGTTGCTGTCCTCGTGGAGGTAAAAAAAACATCCACCTCTCCTCAAAATCCCTCCCAATAACTTCTCTTTTAAAGCCTACCCCTTCAGTTCAGTCTCACTCATTTCCGTCTGTCCTCTCTTTGGCTCAGTCTGAGCTAGTAGAGGACATTGACGGGGCTCCAATTGGAGAGTATGTCGATGGCACTCCACTGGAGGATGTGGACGGGATGCCAATCGATGCAGGGCACATTGATGGTGCTCCCATTGACGGGGCCCCTCTGGACGACCTAGACGGCGTTCCTATTAAGGCTTTGGAAGAGGACATAGATGGGATACCCTGTGAGTAATAGAAGCTGACACAGGATTGTTGTATTAAAGGCTTTCATCGGCATTAATTGTTTTAAACAGCAGAGGGCGATATCTAACTTAAACTTATGGATGGGAACATCACTACATCTCTTTACACCTGTCGCTAAGTACAGAGAGAAAGAGTGGTACCAAGGGAGAGCTAACAGATGTTTTTTTATTGTTGCTTCGTCTTTTAGCTGTTTTAGCTCTCAGTCTCTGTGTGTGCAGATTTAAATAAACATTTCTTATTTCTGTTTTTTTCCAAAGTGGATCAGTCAAAGGAAGCAACCTTCAAGGTAGCACCCTCCAAATGGGAAGCAGTGGACGAGGCAGAGTTAGAATCTCAAGGTCAGGCACCAAACTACTTTTACAAGTTTCAAAACATTACAGACTTCCAGTTGAGTGCTAAAAGGATTTTCCTGGATCAGTTCCTAAACGTTTTCTTGTTTTCACCTTAGCTGTGACTACGTCCAAATGGGAGATGTTTGAGCAGCCAGAAGAAGCCAAAAAGTGAGTCTGGTTTATGCTGGGTTGTTAAATAATAGTACACAGTACTGCAGCCTTTACTCATGTTAAAATATGTTTCTGCAGGGACGATGATGACAGCGATTATGATGACAGGAGCCCTCGTTCAGACGATAATCAAAGCTACTCCAACCCCGTCAGAGATGATTCCGATTTCAAGGCCAAGATGTCTGAAATGAACGAGGAGAAACGCACCAAGCTCAGGGAGATAGAGGTACTTGATGATTGGCGTACATCGTGATTTGAGATGTTCTTTGTGCAGACAGAATGTAGTACTTAAAAAATCTGTCCTGTTCGTTAACTCAGGTTAAGGTCATGAAGTTCCAGGATGAGCTGGAGTCTGGGAAAAGGCCCAAAAAGCCTGGTCAGAGTTTTCAGGAGCAGGTGGAGCACTACAGGGACAAACTTCTACAAAAGGTAAAGAGCTGTTCTCTGCAGTTGAGGTGACATGAAATACTGATCTGTTAGAAAAAATTATAAAAGGGTCACTTGTTGTGGTCCTTTTGTTCCAGGAGAAAGAAAAAGAGAAACTTGAACGGGAGAAAGAGAGGGAGAAGAAAGAGAAGGAGAAAGCTGAAGCACGGTTAAAAGACTTGAAAAAGGAGAAAGAGAAAGAAGACACACCAACCAGGAAAGACAGGTGAGGTTGCTGGCTCACAGTCAGCTTCTCTAGTGTTCTTGGAGGTTGATTTATGAAAAAAAAATTTTCGTTCATTTCCGATCTTAAAGCTATTTGTTCTCTATGATCAACAGGAAGCGGCGCCACAGCGGATCACCAAGCCCCACACGGAGCAGCAGCAGGCGAGGCCGGTCGTCTTCACCCCGTTCAGAGCGATCAGAAAGATCAGAACGCTCTGACCGCTCTTACTCTAAAGACACATCCTCCCGCTCTTCACATAAAGACTCTCCAAGATCCAGCAACAAGAAGTCCTCAAAGAGGTGAGGCTGTCTGCTTAGTTCTTCTCCTCATGTTGTAAAAAGGGTTTCATTGATTGCACTTGGATTAGCATAATTGATGGAATAAAATGCTTTATGTTCGCTAGATCTCCCTCACCTCGCACACCCAAAAGATCCAGGCGGTCACGCTCCAGGACGCCCAAGAAATCAACTAAGAAGTCTCGCTCTAAATCAAGATCACCTCACCGGTCTCACAAAAAATCAAAGAAGAGCAAACACTGACACCTTTTTTCCTCCAGCCTCCAAACCAGCCTACTTTCCTCCATCCCTGTCACCCCTTTTCTGCACCATGTTGTAAAAAAAAGATGGACTCATCCAGCAGCTGAAGATCTCTGCCCTCAAGTTAACGTCAGACAATGAGTGAAGGGTCCTGCATGGGTTACCATCTGGTGTATCAAATGGATGGGGCCATTGCTGTTTTATATTGTACAAAATAATAATGTGCTTGTGTGTCCTGATTCCCCCATCACCTCACAATGGAATTCATCCATGTGGTAGACCACACCTGTACTGAGTGTGATGACTTTAATCATATTCATGCTGTCATTTTCTGTTTTTGTAGTTCACATTAAAAGGACTTCCTAATAAACACGTGTCATTTTTTGATCAAGCAGTGAACAAACATTTGTTCAAATATATGAAAAAAAATAAAATATTGAAAATCATTTACATATTTCAATTTTGGCAGTGAGACACATGAAACGCTTCCTCTATTATATCTATCTATAGTCTAGTCATCTATATTTTAGTCATCTGTATTATAGTCTAGTCATCATCTGTATAATAGTCATCTATAATATAGTCTTGTCATCTACATTATAGTCATCTATAGTATAGTCATCTGTATTATAGTCATCAATATTATAGTCCAGTCATCTGTATTATAGTCATCTATATTATAGTCCAGTCATCTATAGTTATAGTCATCTGTATTATAGTCTAGTCATCTATATTATAGTCATCTATAATATAGTCTAGTCATCATCTATATAATAGTCATCTATATTATAATAGTCATCTATAGTTATCTATATTATAGTATAGTCATCTATTTTATAGTCTTGTCATCTATAGTTATCTATATAATAGTCATCTATATTATAGTCTAGTCTAGTCATCTATATGTGGCAGGCAGCACCTTGCTGCTATTGAATGCAGCTCTCCCTCCTCCTCTAACCCCTCCTTTCCCCTAATCAGGTCAGCTGAACAAAAGGCAGCAGCTCACCTGCAGTCGGCCTTCTGCTCTGCTTGGAGTGTTGGTGAGTAGGGTGGCTGGTAACTTTTAATCTTTAGAGTTTTATGATTGCTTTTAACAGCATGTCCTTTTTGTTTGTAGGTGGTAGACCTGCTGCTGTTTTGTTGCCCCCATTAACTGTAGTTATTTTTGCCTGTTTACTTTGGTTGTTTCTGCCCTTTTGATTGGTTTCCCCCCTTACTTGGTTTGTTTCTACCTCTAAGTTTGGTTGTTTTACCCAGTTACCCCCCATTAGTTTGCATTCTGTTCTTAGTTACCCTTAGTTGCTTTTCTCCTTAGTTCCCTCTAGTTTTACCAACTGGGTTCGCTGTTGCTGGTTTGTTTGTTTCTTTGGTTAATCCTTTTATTTTATTTCAGAAGTTGAGCCCACTATTTTGGGAGGCTAGGCACCCCGGGTGAGGGCCCTCCACCTTTGCATGAGTTTGACACGGGGTCACAAGACTACACCGATTTTGTTTCTTTTGTTGAAGGTTTGCAGTGTGTGTGCTGTGCTTCACTTGGTGAGTATAAGGGAGCACCCCCCTGCACTTTCCCTCTGTAGTCTGCCTCCCTTCTGGTGGCCTCAGCTTATCTTAAGTTAACTTAGTTTGGGTTTCCTTGATTTAGTTTAAGTTGGCGTTATTGTACTTTTTAACTTTTGTAGAAGGCCTTGTTTTAAATTTTATTATAGAAATAAAATTAACTTTCTTGCCCCTTATTTGTGTTTTGTTATGTTGTTTTAACTTTATCCCTTTCTTTCCCTCCTAGGTTAAATTTCTCAGTTATATTTAAGTTTAACTTCATTTTTTGATCTAATAAACATTTTGAAATATTTTAAACTCTGTCTCTGCCTCTTCAGAACTTACCTGTGTTGCCTTATTCTTATTTTAGCTTCCTGTTATGGTTTTAGTTTGAAAGTACAGTTTCCTGGGGTGCAAGTCCCCAGGTGGCGTTGCTGGTTGGAGACAATATTCTCTATTTATGAACAAAATAGCACCCCCTTGCCACATATATTATAGTCATCTATAGTTGTCATCTGTATCATAGTCATCAATATTCATCTATTGTATAGTCATCTATATTAGGTGATTTAGTATATTTTTATTATTGAATTTTTTCTTTTTTTCTTTCTTTTTTGTGTGGTCATGAAAACTTCAGCTACTTCTGACTTCCCAGCTCATAACCCCCTTGTTTTACCTCTCTGGAAACACCGGGGGGAGAAAAGACAGTGTTGTTCTCCTCAAAGAGAGGTGAGATTGTTTACACAGCCGCCCGCATTTTCTATCAGAGAAAAGAAAAAGTGGCAGATGGAGGAGGGCCTGCCAAGTTCAGGCATCCGTGCATTTTATTTGAACATTAAGTGAGCATCTGTGCCTCTGTGTTCTGGAAGTTGTGACTGTGTGCACCTGCAGGTGTTAGGTTTCCCTGCCCACTGTGCACCTGGATGGATGTCTCTCACTCTGCGGTCCAAGGAGCTCTTCAGCACATGCAGGTTGTTCCTCACCCTCCTGTGCATGAGAATTTTAAACTGAGGGTTCATTTCATATCCACATAACCTATACTGCGAACATAAGGTTCAAATAAGTAAATACTTGAGTAAGAATTCCATTCAAATGATACCAATCAATTATCTGCTTGCTAACATGAGCCAGTGGTGTTTCCATGCTAGAATTAGCTGTTGTGTGAAGTTAGCAAAAAGATATCTAGTAGAGATGTTTCAAAGAGATGTCTGAAGGAAAGAAAACAGAAAGAAAAATCAAAAAAAGTTAAAAGTGAGCATCCTTAATTTAACATGCATACACACACCGAAAATGGAGAATATAAAGTCTGTGGCTATTGTTGGCAGGCTAAGCACTAACTAGCCTATGCTCCTCCTGACAGGCAAATATCCACAGGACTGTGCTGGTGTAATTGAGCTATATGCCACTTTATGTCATAGTATAGTTAAAAGAATTAGTGTTAAGTATGGTAAAAAAGTCATAGTATAGTATGACAAAAAGATCATATTATAGTTTGATTGAAATGTCAAAGTATAGTATGATTAAAATCTGACATATTAGTATGACAAAAGTGATAGTAGAGTATGATACGAATATCATTGGATAGTATGATAAAAATGTCATAGTATAGTATACAAGAAATTTGATGTTTTAATCTGAAAAAAGTCAGAGCATTGTATGTTTAAAAAATTATAGTGTAGTATGATAAAAATCATGGTAAAGTATGATAAAAACATCTTAGTGTAGTATGACACAAAAATTTATAGTATAGTATGTTAAAAGAATTAAATAAAAGTATGATAAAAGGCTCTCTTGTGACATAGTTGACACAGTGATGTAATAGTGAGCACTGCTGCCACACAGTAAGAAGGTCCTGGGTTCAAGTCCCTGTCAGGTATAGTATGATAAAATTAAACTGTGAAAAGAATTAAGTTAAATTTTGAAGTCTAGTGTCTACAAAGGACAGTCAAATAGGAAAAAGAATGAGTTCTCTGTTGCGTCCTCATGGCTCAGAGGATAAGGAGCCTGACTGGCACTCCTGAGGTTGTGGGTTCAAGCCTTGCTTTACCCAGGTCTAGATGAATTTTAAAGTCCTGGGTCTACAAAGGACAGTCAAACAGGAAAAAAACAGGTGTCTCCTGTGTGTCCACTTGGCTCAGAGGATAAGGGGACGGTCGCAACTCCTGTTGTTGTCGGTTGGAACCTTCTCTGAGACAAGGTGGCTTTTTAAAGTCTACTGTCTAGAAATGACAGTCAAATAAAAGAAAACCGGTAGTCTTCTATGTGTCCACATGGCTCAGAGGATAAGGAGACGGACTGGCACTCCTGAGGTTGTGGGTTCAAGCCTCACCTTACCCAGGATGAGATGAATTTTAAAGCCTGGTGTCTCACAAAGGACACTCAAACAGGACAAAACCAGAACTTTCCAGTGTGTCCATTTGGCTCAGGGGTTAAGGAGACTGACTGGCACTCCTGAGGTTGTTGGTTCAAGCCTGACCTTACCCAGGTTGAGATGAATTTTAAAGCCTGGTGTCTCACAAAGGACACTCAAATAGGACAAAACCAGAACTTTCCAGTGTGTCCATGTGGCTCAGGGGTTAAGGAGACTGACTGGCACTCCTGAGGTTGTGGGTTCAAGCCTGACCTTACACAGGTCAAGCTCAATTTTGAATTCTCCTGTCTACAAAGGACACTCAAATAGGACAACACTGGAAATGTTCAGTGTGTCCAGTGTGGCTCAGTGGATAAGGAGACGGACTGGCACTCCTGAGGTTGTGGGTTCAAATCTTGTACAGGATGCATTTTAAAGTCCACCAGCCAAAGTTCCAAGATAAAAGGGCACGAAGCTCATCCCCAAGTGCGGACGGTATCCGGTGGCGCAGGGGGTATGCAACTGACACCCAAATACCAAATGCTGGTCAGGCGGGCAGCCCTAGTTCGATACCCACACGGCACGCAGGAGATCCTGAAGCAAATCCTGGGGAACCAGGCCCGGGGGGTGGGGTTTCCCCCCGGTGTTTCCGGAGAGGTAAATCGAGGGGGTTATGAGGCAAGAAGTCAGAGACGGGTGAAGTTTTGAAGCAAGTGACTAGATCTATAATAGAGACAACAACTAAATATAGTCATCTATCGTTGACTTTAATATAGTAGTCGTCTATTGTCATCTCTAGTCTTCTTTTATAAAGACTATATTTTAGTTGTCATTATCGTCTTTATTAAAGTTGTCTATAGTCGACTACGTTGATGTCTTTATTTTAGTTGTCATCTTTAAAGACGTTGTCTATAGTCGACAACTAAAATATAGTCATCTATTTTTTAGTTGACTTTAATATAGTAGTCTTCTTTATAAAAGTCATCAACTTTTTATAGTTGTTGTCTCTATTATAGATCTAGTCACTTGCTTCAAAACTTCACCCGCCTCTGACTTCTTGCCTCATAACCCCCTCGATTTACCTCTCCGGAAACCCCACCCCCCGGGCCTGGTTCCCCAGGATTTGCTTCAGGATCTCCTGCGTGCCGTGTGGGTATCGAACTAGGGCTGCCCGCCTGACCAGCATTTGGTATTTGGGTGTCAGTTGCATACCCCCTGCGCCACCGGATACCGTCCGCACTTGGGGATGAGCTTCGTGCCCTTTTATCTTGGAACTTTGGCTGGTGGACTTTAAAATGCGTCCTGTACAAGATTTGAACCCACAACCTCAGGAGTGACAGTCCGTCTCCTTATCCACTGAGCCACACTGGACACACTGAACAATTCCAGTTTTGTCCTATTTGACTGTCCTTTGTAAGGCACTAGGCTTAAAAATTCACCTCAACCTGAGTAAGGTCAGGCTTGAACTCACGACCTTAGGAGTGCCAGTGAGTCTTCTTATACTCTGAGCCATGTGGACACACAAGAGATTTCCGGTTTTTCCCTATTTTACACTCCCTTGTAGACACTAGACTTTAAAATTCAACTTGTCCTGGACAAGGCTTGATTCCACAACCTCTGGAGTGCCAGTCAGTCTTCTTATCCACTGAGCCACATGGACACACAGGAGTTTTCTGTTAGTTTTCTGTTAGTTTCCTTTTTCACTGCCCTTTGCAGACACTAGACTTAAAAATTCACCTCGACCTGGATCTGATTAAAACAAAGCGACACAGTGCGTTTGTGTGTTTTTTTATTTATTTTTATTTCCCCTGTGGTGGTTGTGTTATTGACTAAGCTCTTCAGGGTCTTTGTAAAGTAGTTTTGGCTCAAGGGTCTCGGAAGGTGGTGGGAAGGCAACTTGACAGACTGCAAGAAGTGAATATTTTTATTTACACTGAGGTCCACATTTAAAGGTTCCATTAAAAACTACAAACCCTTCCCAAGATCAAGACAAAATGAGTCTCAAATTAGATTACACAAGAGATCTCTCTTGTGTCAAAGAAATTAAACAAAACTCCTACCTTCACTGCCTGGACCTAACTTAATTAAATGATACTCCAACTAAATAAACCACATACTTAGACTCCCCCCAAAATGCTAAGTATGAGCAAAGAAAAACAATTCACAAAAGTAAAACCCCCACAGTTGGTCCTGAAAGAAAAGGAGACAATTAGTTTGTCACATTTAACCCAACAAAAGACAAAAATCTGTGCTGAGGATGTCGAACTGGACTGTGGTGAGAGTTCAGAGAAGCTCTCAGGCTTCTTCACTGTTCAAGGAGTTGTTTTTTACCCTGATGTCTTTTGAAACAGGAAAAACAAAAATTTGTGAAGTTTTTTTCTGAATTTGTGCTTAAGATCTGTTTGCACTTATTTTTGCATGACTGTCAGAAAAGCTGCTAAGTCTCAAATAATTATAAATAAATGAATAATTAAACCTTCGACTGTGTTTGGTGTTTTTATATTTGTGTCTATTACATCAATAAAATGTGGGACTTTTAACTCCATTGTTTAATATGATTCTTTCATGATTTAGTACAATAGTCTTAACATGTTTTACACTAAAAGAAAATGCTACAAATACAGGGAACTAAATGCTTAATCAGAGAACAAGAGAGAGAGAGCTAAAAATCATAATCTCTTTAAATTTGAGTCACTGGACTTTGAAAGAAATTAATATCCACATTAGATTAGAATTGTGACATGCAAATTAAAACATTTCTTTAATTCCCTTGTTTTTAGCAGTTGTTCTTGTAACTTACTACTTTAATGCATTATATTGATTGCTGAGAATTTTGGCAAAGAGGAGCTTCCAATGAAAAGTACCCAGGACTTTTAGCTTGTAGCTTTTTTTCCCCCTCAAATAAAAGTGAGTAAAAGCATTTATTTAGGTTAGCTAGAGTATAAGCCACAATCTACTGATGCAACACAACTCTGGACTTGGACTTAAGCTTGTGTTTCTTTGTAGCGGTCTTTATGAACGGGCAAAAAAATATTTAAATAAAAAATAAGAAAACTGTTTCAATTCACTCCTTTTTCAATTGTTCTTACAAAACTGTAGGCTGACAGTAGATAAAGTCCACTTACTGCTTCAAGAATAACATGTCACAATTTTATATAACGAGTATGTTTCTGTCAGATACAAAGGTGTACTAATTTTTATTTATTGAATTAAGACTTATAAAAAGCTGTTTTTTAGTTCAGTAATGATGAATATCTATGAAATATTGTGGGTGGAACAAACTGTGTATATTTGACCTCAGTGCTACTTATAATCAATACAGGGCCACCTTCAATGTCAAAACTTTAAGGTATCAAACATTCAAACCCCACTTAGTGAACAGAATCCTGTGTAGTATCTAAACTGACCTTGTCTGCTTCCTGCTCTGTTACAGCAACGTGTTATGTCATGTTTCCGGGCCTGGAGGACTGGGCTGTATATCCAGACCCCTTCCTCAACAAGCTGCAAAACATCCTCCTGGGACTAGTAAATCTGGCTGTAGAGAAGGAGCCAGCTGCCATCCTCGTGAAGGTAAAAAAAACATCCACTTCAAGCTGACACAGGATTGCTGTATGAAGGGCTTTGATCGGCATTACCTGTTTTAAACAGCAGAGGGCGGTACCTGCCTTTAACTTATGTATGGTGACATCATTTTATGCCTTTACACCTGTAGCTGAGTAAGTTAAGGATGCACTACCAGTGTTTCCCACACATCTGTACATGTGTGTGCCTTAAGGTTCTCTAAACCCACTTTTACAGTATCAAAGAGAAACAGTCATACCTAGGAAGTGCTAACAGATGTTTGTATTGTTGGTTCGTCTTTTAGCTGTTTTGGTACACTCTTGTATATTTATGTTCTTATTCTAGTATTTTCATGTCCTTTATAACACAAAGCATAGAAGGTATCAAAGCAGGATATAAATGCCCCATGGAAGAAAAAAGGGCTAAATTAAACCCTGAATATTAAACCACATGGCAAGCACATTAATTGGATTGGTCACCCCCTTATAAATGTAACCCTAGTTCCGCTATGTTGATCTCAGTCCCTGTGTGTGCAGGTTTCAAGGTAGCACCCTCCAAATGGGAAGCAGTGGACGAGGCAGAGTTAGAATCTCAAGGTCAGGCACCAAACTACTTTTACAAGTTTCAAATCATTACAGACTTCCAGTTGAGTGCTAAAATTGTTTTCCTGAATCAGTTCCTAAATGTTTTGTTGTGTTTCACCTTAGCTGTGACTACGTCCAAATGGGAGATGTTTGAGCAGCCAGAAGACGCCAAAAAGTGAGTCTGGTTTATGCTGGGTTTTCAAAGAATAATACACAGTATTGCAGCCTTTACTCATGTTACAACGCGTTTCTATTTCCAAGCAGTTAACAAATATTTTAAATGAATTATTTACAGAGTGAGGACCAATAGAAAATATACAAATATTAGAAGTCATTTACATATTTAGATTTTGGCAGTGAGATTACCCAAGCAAACATGAAAGGCTTCCTCTATTTGAAGCAGATAATTCATTGCAGCTGCAAAAGTGAAACTTGCAGCAACGCGCTAATTATCACTCTAAAGTTTGGCCTGAGCTTTCTTCAGCTGATCCCTCAGTTCTAAACCTGCGATCGAAGAGAGATGCACTTCATCAGGTCCATCAGCGAGCCGCAGAGTCCTCACGTATGAATACCTGAGAAAATTTAAAGTTATTTGCATCAATAAAGACAGATTTTTTTTTTCTTCTCATTTATGGAGAAATTTTAAAAGAAACTTACAGCTGAGCTAGGGGGACGTCTCCAGACACACCTGCACCTCCATGTACCTGTATAGCAATGTCCACCACTTTACAGGCCATCCTTGCTGCAGCTACCTTAATCATGGCAATCTGGAGAGGAAGCAATCCCACAAAAAACCTCTGATTTACAAGTACACTTCTTTCTGACTTGACCTGAAACTGCTTCTGAAATATGAAACTTTAAAGTAACTCATTCACAGGTCAAGTACAGTATCATTCTTCAGGGTTACAAACTACTCCTAGTGGATGTTTTTCTTTTAGTGCCCTTGCTGTAGACAGTTCACTCTTAACTTTTCTCTTTACTAATCTTCACTAAAGTTTAAGCAGAGCAGTTTCTACACCAAGAGCAAATGATGAGAAGCGTACCTGTTTCCGAGCGGTGCGGCTGCCCACTGTATCCAGAGAATGAGCAGCCTGTAGAGTCAACAGGCGGGTCTGTTCTATCATGAGACGACACTCCGCTATCCAGTGAGCAACTACCTCCTTCAAGCACATACAAAAGACAGCATACTTGGTTTAGCTGAATTTTAAAATTCGTCCACTAGATGTCAACAGAGGGAAAGATTTCCAAAAACGCTATGGCAACACAAGACTGTGATCAAAATAAGAACAATCATTTCATCCAAAGTCTTCTTACATGTTGGTACAGCTTCTTCCCAAATGTGCTCCTGGATGCGGCCCTCTGACAGAGCAGCTCTAACGCCAACTCTGCTGCACCGACCGCCCTCATGCAGTGGTGCAGCCGGCCTGGTCCAAGACGACCCTGGGCGATTTCGAACCCCCTTCCCTCACCTGAAAACACAGAGATAAGAAACTGTATCTCAGCTGTTCTGGTTTTAAGGCTAGTAGGTCAGATTCTGAATTATTAAACACAATAAAAACAAGATAAGAAACAATATACTTTTATGACTTTATGAATGCAGCATCCCTCTTGAAGAGGAGCAAACATGAAATAAAACAGGAAGTGTCTTACCAAGAATGATGTTGGCGGAGGGGACATAAACGTTTTCAAAATGCACCTCAAAGTGGCCACCGTGGATGGCGTCTGAGCACAGAGGAAGAAGAATGGTGCAATTATTAAACCTGGAAAGAAAGTCTGAAAACTCATGATAGCGTAAGGAAAAACAGTCCTACCATCCTGTCCAAACACAGTGAGTGGTCTGACCAACTTCACACCTGCTGTATCCATGGGGACGAGGATCATGCTGTGCTGGCCATGCCTAGGAAACAAGAATTTATGTTTTTTTTTTTTCTTTCCAACTATAATTTTAAATATTTATTCCATGATTACTGTAACTAAGATCTTTATGCTGATGGGAAAACCTGCAGACTTATTTATCTATCTGGTTTTTGTTTTGTTTTTTGCAAACAGGGTTGGGTGTGTGTTTGGTTACACTGCTAACAAAACAAAAAGCAAGTGTATTACATATCACGGGTGTGGTCGCTTCTGCAGCTCTTTTCATGAACTTCTTCAATGCATGTAACAAATGCGCCTTGGATTTTCCAGCTTGGTGCCAGTTACATCGTCACAACAAGATTTCAGTAACAATAACAGTGAGGATTAATTTAATACAATTTTCTTTGTTTTGAGATCCAAACCTCCAGGCAAAACAAAAAAATTAAAAAAAATAGAGGGCAAGGTGCAGGTGTTGAATTGCATATAAATGCTTGGGAGTACAGTCTGATCTCTGGCCAAGGTCCATGCTAGCTTTGACAAAGGCAACAAGGAGGAGGATGGAAAAATGAGGCGTCTGAAGTGAGGGGAGAAGTTCACTGAAAAGAACAGAATTCTTCTAATGTGACGCAAAGCTTGCACAAAAACACATTTATCTCAACACACAAATTCTTGAACCTTGAAATGTTTTCAACTGACCTGCTGCGAATGTCTTGAGAGCCGCTTCTGCACATCACTATGGCCACTTTGCATTTGGGATTACCAGCACCTACAGGAAAGAGGTAAAAATGCCTTTAGCCTGTTTTTGTCCTTTCGGTTTCTGTCTGTCTGGCAGTAAAACTCATAAAAAAGTTCATAGTTTTACATTTCCATGATGTGTCTGTAACTTTTCCAGGTCTTTGGCACACATTTTCATGACCATGCATTTTCCAAAAAGTTGAAAAATGATTCAAGAGCACTTTATCTTGACACATGAGTAAGATTTTGACAAGATACAATGTGTCCAATTGAATTTTCCATGACTGTTCTGAAACTTTCAGGTTTTTCTCATTGCCTCCAGACCTGGAATTTGCCATTTTCAAAGTCCAAGTCTTTTCTTTCATAAGAGTCAAAAGGACAAACAAATGTTAACGGTCTGACCCCGTCCTTGACCGTTCTATAACCGCACTCTGTTTGGAAGTGACGTGTGCCGCCTACTAGGAAGGGAACAGGGATGAAGACAGATTGGTGACAGCAGAGGTTTCCTGAGAGAGATTTATGTTTCTGAGTAGATCTGGTTTGTTAGGGTACACAAAAACATTCAGCTGACACCAGGGAATAAAATTTATCTTTTAGTAAGTAGAAACACCCTCCAGTAAGCAGATATCACACTGATAAGAAACAATAATAATGACTAGACAAATTTGCTGATAGTGGTCAGTGGCAGATCTCTCAAAAAGTTGATTTCAAACCAAGGAACCTCCCCATGTGCCCTTGATTCCTCAAGGCCAAGACAGGGTGAGCTATAGTCCTCCTTCCTGTTCCAACATCTGTCCTCTGAGCTGCATATCTGGGCCCCAGACAGGAACAGATGGGATCATCTATAGTCGCAGTTATGAGGATCCCAGCATGAGAACACTTGCATAAACACTATCTGACGGATGTGAAAAGTTTGAACTTTCTGTCTGATTGTAAAAATTCAAACAAACATTCAGTGATGTTGTTGGCACAGCAGCAAAGCATGCACAGTTGACACCCGCCTCCACCCAAGAAACACAGCGCTAAAGTCAGTTTGGCTGTGGGGCAGGTTGAGTTTTCCCGTGAACCCTTATACAAGTCTCATGGTCCGTGGCACAAGGTGAGCCGGCTCTCATGTCCCAACACGTCTACACTTCAGGTATGAAAACAAAGCTTCACAGATGCCTAATCTGTTTCCCTGAGAATGTGTCATCCAGATACATAATGTTGAAAAAGTAAAATAAAGTTTTACATGAAAGAGGAGCATCCTTTAAAAATGAATGCCTCTTCATCTCTGTCTGTAAAGGAATAACTTAAATGAAATGAAGGTCTATTTTAGGTTCAGACACATAGGGGAGAGTAAGGTAAGTTGAGCCACCCCCTGTTGCTTGGAAATGGTTAAAGGAAATTGATCATGTGACCAAATATTTAGGAGATGAACATCAATTCCTGGAGGCTGTGAAGGTTAGAGGCACATGGGTGAAGGGGTTAGACATTTATTTAAAAAAAACATTTCTCACTCTTGAAAGTGAATTTAGTCTGTCATAAGTTCAGAATTGTGTTCAGACCAAAAAAGATCATGGTTTGCAGGGATGCACAACATCTTGAAATATATGCAGATACACTAGTGAGAGACAAAACTATGACTGCCTTGATGTAGTGATCTGAAATATGAAAATTGGCGCATCTTACCCCGCTCTCCCATACATGAAAGAGCAACAAAACAAAAGGGTGAGCAGTTTCAAAGGCAACAGTATCCTTTAAAAAATAAGGAAACCAAGACCGTAATCGTAATTCAAGTGAAGGAAATCTGAGACATACTTTGTGGCAAGAGCTGCTAGACAATGGGAATTTCAGCAGTAAACCACAATGAACAGTACACACGAACGGTAAACAGGATATTATGGGATGTTTACTCATACTATCCTCTCATCCTTTCTTTTCTAGGGTGAAAAAACAAAGCAAAGGTCATTCCTCACACAACTGAAAGAAGGGGGGGTTCACAAAGTTCAAAACCTATCTGGGAGTTTTCTTTGTACGGCTCTCTGCAGCTCACGCAGACGTTAGTATGTAAGGAATTTTTTTATCCTTTTTTTCCTGCCACATAAGTACCTCTGACAGGCACACACACACAATGACACACACACACACGTGCGCAGAGAGCTACGTGTTTGGAGAGGTGTTCCTACAGACTCAGCTGAGAGAGAGAGAGAGGGAGAGAGAGAGAGAGGGAGGGAGTGACGGGTGGAGGAAAAAAGAGGACAGTCATTACAGCTCTGTGCTGCGTACAGCTCCTCTGCACTGGATCAACGGAAGTTTTTTTGTGCGTCAGTACAAAAGGAGTCACATCCAAAATAAAGGAACGGACATAAGGTAAGAAAAAAAAAAAACTCTTACTAAATATTTTTAAAAACATCTTTAAAATCCAATCCACTTTATTCATATAGCACATTTATACAGCACTTTAAATCGTAGAAATTAAAACAGAAGTTGGTAGAAACTTTCTCTAACCTGCTTTACCACATCATGAGTTGGCAGGATAAGTTTGCAGCTCAGTTTGAACCACATGGTTAATCAGCATGGCTTGGATTTCTCATGCATCTATAGAATATTTTTAGTTAATGGAGTAGATTTACATACACTACAAACACAACACAAGACTTTCCAATAACGGTTAGTCAAAGGTCGAAGTCCCGCTTTGCTCTGCTTTGCTTTATGACATTATTAAAACGACAGAGAAGGAATGATAACAAGCTATTCTTGGACTGTTGGATTTGTTTCCTTGTTTTCATTAATCTCCTCACTGTTAGTTTTGGGCAGGACGTGTAATTCAAGTGTGTTTATAAAAAGTGACCATGCTAGTTAATTATGATTTATGCAGTCTTCATTGACAAAGTAGAAATATAAAGTTAATTTATATCCTGAATGATCTTCAAACAGCATTAAACAAATCACTTTATTCATCAGCTGAGTTATTATTAGTCAAACAGCTGAGACAAATTTATTACTGCAAACAATCAAAACTAAGCTAGTGTTTATTTTCTTTTTCTTTGTTAATGATATCTGATACAAACCACACTGACTGTAAGAATAATGTCCTTAACAAACAACTTTACTAACAGATTCTTTCACATACTGACAGCAGCTCAGCTCTTACTTTTTGCTCAAGATGTCATTAAATAAAATGTTTTTTTTTCTTATTGTCAAATATATGTGGTTTATATTGAGTAAAAGCACAAATGTGGAATTTAAGTGAATCTGAATCAAACTGAAATGTATAGAGAGGAATTTCTAGGATCAACATTTCTGATGCCTGTTACCTCCGAGAGGGGGGTAGGTGTCGGACCAGATAATAAACATGTTAGAAAAAGCCTCTAACTTTCAGAATTGAACATTCAAAGTGGGTAACATTGAACTTTTATAAAGAAAGCAGAGTGAAATTCATTGCCAGAAAAGTAGTTCTGCAGATAAAGGATGAAATCCTTTTATCTGAAATAAGATAAGAGGTATTACTTTGTCTACAGGGAGCACGAACACAAAGTTCCTCACAGGAGCTTCAAATTCAAAGTTTTCCTAACATCAAGTAAGACAAACTTCAAGCTCAGGTTAGAGTTTTTGCAGTGCAGTTGGTTGTAAAACTGACTGAAATTAAAAATAATGTTTCTTTATACTGTATTTCTAAATAGAGAATCAAAAAAATTCTAAATAGATTATATTTTCTTTATATAAAAAAGTGTAATCCACAAACAAAGCCAAAGACTAAATTTCCATAAAGTTGTTAAGATTCTTGAAAAGTGATTTATTTGAGTGTTGAATCAAAGTAAGACAAAATTTTAGTTAAAACACTTCATAATTATGTATAATATAAAGTTTTATAGTTCTTTACAGAAGCTTTAAATAATGTTTATTATGTTAAATACCACAGGAGCGGGTCTGTAGCATGTAAGCCTGTGCCTGGACAACAGCTGGCAATCTCAGCACCATATGGGCACTCACATAAATATTAATGATATATTTACATTCACCTGATATAGCCTCTCACTCTGTTTTTGTTTCTCTGTTTGGTTGGTATCCATCCAAGACAGTTGAAACCACATAAACATAATAAACATATGCATCCATCATGCAGCTCAGGTGTTGAATGCTTTTGAATACTTAACATTTTTCTGCCTGTTCAAACAAACATCTGCTTTGGGTGACTTATTATGTAACAAACCTGGAGATTTTTCATAAACTGCTATTGTAATGAAAGCAGAGAGACGTCTGCCAAAACCATCTCCAGCCCTAAAATAATCCAAGCTCATAATTTGTCCTCTCAATTAGGAATTGAATCATCGACACGTAACATGTTTTGACACTGAATATCAGAGCTTCCGTCATCTCTCTTGGTAGTTAGCGAATTAAAATACGAGATAGATGAGGTTATCATCCAGGAAAACTCCCTCCTGTCCAAAGTTCCATCTCAGTTATGTGAGTGATCTAATCCTGACTGGAGCCAATGACAGTTACTATGTACACCCTCATATACACACACACTATGCTGTGTTTACTCGTCCCCACGAGACAAAACATGTTCAACTGCAGGGAAACAGCTGAGGAGGAGATGTGAACAACAACAAAGGGGAGTCTGGATGAAAGCCTCACTTCAGTGGGAGGATCTGTTAAACACAAACATGCCATTTACAGTTACTGGACTCGAATCTGGGAAAAGACCCCAGATGCACGTTTGTGTTGCCCCATCCCTCACCAGAAATACTTCCTGTCTCTCTCAACTTTGGCCTTTCCCTGCAGTTACTCTTTTGTGCTGATGGATAATAAGAGATTACATTTAAAGCAGCACTGGATCAAGTGCTGCCGCTTCCTCATCTGCAGAGCCTCTTTAATCCAACAGAATACCAACTAGCTGTATTCAAAAGGTAATCAGTGCCTAAGCGAGTCTCTGGTCCTCTGTTTTTCTCACTGAGTAGTGTTGACTGGGGTTATTCATGCCCACACACGGCTCAGGAGAACAGACAAGCAGAGCTCGAGCCATTAGGGAAACCATGCAGGAGAGATTCCTTTGGTGCACAATACACAGAGAACTCTTTTTTTCCTCCAGCTAATGGTTTACAAATGCACTCTTCTCGTGTCATGCTAAAATAAAAGGCATAAGCTCAACTTATTATATGGCGGGCAACTTTCCAGGAAAAATATCCTCCACATTTGAACTAAAACTAATGATTCTCTTATGCGTGCTCTGTTTCTCTGCAGACTAAGAAATGGAGGATTTCTACTACGACGATGATGACTCCAGTTCCAACGACAGTTATGATTACAGCTTTGAACACAGCGTCTGTGATAAAGAGGCCGTGCGATCCTTTGGGGGTGTCTTCCTCCCGATCATCTACGCCATCGCCCTGGTGGTGGGCCTGGCGGGGAACGCCCTGGTTGTGGTGGTCTACACATCCAAGGTGCGCCTACGTACCCTGACAGACATGTGCATCCTTAACCTGGCCATTTCCGACCTGCTGCTGCTCTTCACTCTGCCTTTCTGGGCGGCTGATGCCGTTCACGGCTGGAGATTGGGCTCACCGGCCTGTAAGATTACCTCCTTCCTCTACAGCACCAACTTTAGCTGCGGCATGCTGCTGCTGGCATGCATCAGCGTGGATCGCTACCGTGCTGTAGCCCATAATCCAACAGGCAGGAGCGGGACAGGATCCAGAACGAGGAGGCAGTGGCTCCTGGTGTGTGTGGTGTTGTGGGCCGTCGCTGTGTTCCTTGGCATTCCTGAGCTCGTCTTCTCTACCGTGAAGCATTCCCATCACAGGCTGGCGTGCACCGCCGTGTACCCGCCCAGCATGGCCCGGCCTGCTAAGGCTGCCCTGGAGCTGCTGGAGGTCACCCTGAGGTTCCTGCTCCCTTTCTTGGTCATGGTGGTGTGTTACACTCTGGTAGGGCGGGCGCTGAGCCAGGCTGCTGGGGTGCAGAGGGACAGAAAGTGGCGTGCCTTACGGGTCCTTCTGGCTGTTGTGGCTGTTTTTCTTCTCACCCAACTGCCCTACAACGTGGTCAAGCTGTGCAAGGCCATGGACACCATCTACCTCCTGGTGACCGACTGTGAGGTCAGCAAAAGTCTGGATCGTGCTCAACAGGTGACGGAGAGCCTGGCAATGGCGCACGCCTGCATCAACCCCCTCCTCTATGCCTTCATCGGATCCTCCTTCAGGGGACACGTGTGTAAAGCTGCCAAACGCCTTGGACAGCAACTGGGGAAACACCCACAACATCCCAACGAGGAGCCGGCGGTGGAGATCGCACTCCACGCGCACAATCAAACACAATCCCAGTCTGGTTCTGAAGACCAGGACACCAGCACCTTCACTATCTAAGACTCAGTTTACTCTAAGCACCTGCAAAAAGTATGCTAAAGTACATTTAAAGCTCCCATTTAAAGACTATCAGCAATATAGAGATTAATATCCATAAATATTGATCTAAAGGTCATATATATAAATATATGTATGTACAGTAAGTTTATATTCAGTGTTTGTATAGATTATGTACAGTATTTTGTTCAATAAAAAGATTATCAGAAATCAACGTGTTGCATTTCTAAAAAACTCCAGATATTCTGAGTAATTCCTTAATTCTGGGACAAATCCAGCGCTACATGAAGAGAGACAGTCTGCACTGCATCATCTGTATTGTTTATTTTATCCTGTAGCTGTGGTATGAAATATGGAATGGCTTGATTACTCAGCGGGTGATCTGCAAAGTTCAAAAAAGTTTTTGGCAAACAAACCGAACGAACGGCAGTCAGCAGGGACGACAAGTTTCAGATGTTTATCCGGCAAAAGCCTCCTGAGCAGATCCCTAACAGAGAGCCTGTGGAGGTCTTTGGAGATTGTTTACAGTTTGCTGTACCTGTTAGTCACCTTCTCTCCAGTTTAATCTCTTCAACTTAGATGAGTGGAAGTTAAAAAAAAACAGGCGTACGTGACGAGAGAGACGAAAGTTTAGGCTACAGCTTCAACAGTCTAAACGCAGAGGAATGACTGTTCCTGTAAATTACATCGCAAAGGAAGAAAAGACTGTAATAAGGCTTCTAGTTCACCATTTTTAATGTTAAACACATGTTACATCTCTGTGCTTGTGTGAGTGTGAGTGTCTATGCAAATACAAACGCCTATGGCTCAGAGGTAATAGGTTGCAGGTCTGGGAACAATTTCATGCCCATGGCACAGTCTAATATGACTTCCACGCCACACAGCTGAGCTGGCAACATCTGAAGGCCATCATTTTTTTTATTTCTGTAGCTACTCCCATTTAAAGACAGGGACAAACAGCATCATCTGTATGCGTGTAAATGACAGTTAGTTTCACTTACTCTGGGTTACTCTGTGGAAAGCTGTGGTCATACAAAAGACGCCCTAACAGCATAATTAGGAACTTGTATCATATGAGTGAAATACGGCATAAAAGCCACAGGTGGGAAGTCTCTGCTTTCAGCTTCATAATGATAGTGTATGATTGTAGATTTAAAAAAACACCCACATCATCATTGGGAGGAGTGGGGAGATGCCCACAGCTGGCTTTTGATATCTGGAGAACATTAAATCTTCAGATTTTGTTATTCGACTCCATTTTTGCTGAAAATTAAAATTGTCCTTAACCTTTCATAAAAATCGTGACTCACTGCAGGAAAACCTCTCAATTTTTCCAACTTAAAAAAAAATAAAAAATACCACAAAAGCAACCAGAGGTCACAGTGGGGGTGTGTGTGGACGTCAAGAGTCCTTCCTGACAGGGAGATATATTCATGCTGGCTGCAGACACAGAGGGGTTTTTTATTCCTGAGGATGGATCTTTCACTTCCAAAGAAAAGAGAGAAGTTACAGAAGAGACTTAACTGTGGACATATGTGACAGACACGGACGCTACAGTCGAAAGTCTGTGTTCTTCTCGTAATCCGGAGTATTCTCAACAACAGGAAGGAATTCCGTGCAGAGACAGAAAAAAACAACAAACAGAAGAGCCTAGTGTTTCCCTTTAAGATGGAAGTCAAAACCTCAGACTACATCTGTCTCAGAGGAAACATCTGGAGCATGTTTCTAGTTTTAGAGATTTAGGAGGTGCAAGATAAACATCTTAAAACATTGGTGAGATTCTGATATTTTATTGAATGAGGCCGTATAAATCCTAAGCATTAAAAGCTTGGTCCTTTAAAGTTTGTGGCTTTCATTTGAGAGTACTTCCCTATGTTGAGTTGCATTTTTACTTCATTAGCAGAAGAACATAAACAAAACTAATTTAATGAGCCAATAATAAAAAGTAACACTAAAGCAATAAACTGGAATACTGACTCAGGACTGATGACTCAAAGAATAACACATACAATGTACGTGACGAGTGTAAAGTTTACAGTGACGTGGTTTTAGGGGGAACTGACATCAACATGTTACATAAACATGACACTCAAGGACATGAAGTCAGCTTTGTCACTATGAATCACATATAAAAACTCATCAGTTCGAGGTTTAAAAGGCAAAACTTTGGGCAAACCAAAGCGAAACAATCTCCATCCAAAAAAAAAACAGAGTAGCGTGAATCGGAGGGTTTTTAATGTCATTAAAAGCTTTTTATGCACATTTTTATGTTTTCAATTTTCTTCTCTGAGTCATCTCTGCTCGTTTTCCCTCCATATGTCAGCGGTTTGAATAAGTGTTTATGTCCGTTGTGCTTTGTTATGGTGACTTTTTGATTTCATATAAACATCCTCAGCACATAACACCCCGTAACCTTTCCTGGTTTATTTCTTTAAAAGCATTCTTTGGTTTAAAGGGCATGTAAAGTAAGTCCGTCCCTGAAGGCATAAGACCACTTTTTTATAGACTGCCTCAAATTTGTTTCCTTTCTATATAAGGTCAAAAACTTTGGTAACACTTTATTTGACACCTATCTCTATAATGCAGAATAAATATATACATAATGTGTTATAATCACGTTATAGCACTGTGTAACTATAGTTATAATCACTCATAAATGATCATAATGCTTAATAGCAATAATAATAACACATTATAAAGCATTTTATCATGACTTACAAGGTCAGGTATTACAATGTGTTCTGTTAACAACAGTTGCATTGCATTATCTATGTGGCAGTTGTCAGTGAGTTATAACACATTATAATTCCTGAGCTATTAAGTCATGATAAAATGCTTTATAATATGTTATGATTATTGCTATAAAGCATTATGATCATTTATGAGTGTTTATAACTATAGTTATACAGTGCTATAATGTGATTATAATGCATTATACATATATTTATAATGTGTTATAGGAGTCAAATAAAGTGTTAACAAAACGTTAAAAAAAACTGTGTTCTGAGTGTAAATGATGCATTTCCTTCCACTTTTGACTGATTGAAACAGAAACAGACATACCACTAGTCCACCACTTCTTCCCGTTGATGACATAGTGGTTTTCGACCTTGTGAAGAGTGCACTCCATGTTGGTGGCATCACTGGAGGCCACATCAGGCTCTGAGGAAGGAAACACAGGAAACACTCACCATACACAATCTTTGCACTTTAAAAGATACAGGAAGAACAGCCCAAGCCCCTCTCTTTGCTTTATGTTCTGCGTGCTATGGTCTCCAGCTCGCACCAAAAGCAGAGTGATTTGGAGAAACAATGCGCTCTCACATTTCTTTCAGAGTAAATCTAACAGCAGGCATCTCTCAATATGGTCAGGTCACGCAACTCCTCCACGGCACACCATGGGGGTTCCTATCCAATGACGTTCAGTGAAATAAATCAAGTGACAAATAGTATCTGAACAACACGTCTAATCACCATCTGTGTTTATGAAAACCAACAGGGAGGTTCACACCCACTGTAATCACCTCTGGCAACAGAGGGCCGCTGTTTCCAAGCAGCGTGGAAAGCACATGGGACAGAACGGGGAAAAATTAGTCATAGCAGAGTGAAGTAGAGGCTGCGGCTGGCACAAAGAATTTCCAAACAAACCTTTCAGAGAGCCTGTGGAAGTCATTTAGTGTGAAACCTAGCTCATTTAGGACTCTTAGCATCATTAAACGGTTTTGTAGAAAACCATGACAGATTCTCAAGAACTTCAGAAAAGCAGAGCTGGGAGGAAAACTGATTTCACTTTTGACATATATGAAATATTTTTGAGAAATGCAGGAGAAAATGGTTGTGGATATACCTGTCATACAGAAACAGGAGCGGATCTCTCCTTGGAGCAGAGGCTCCAGCCATTTCTTCTTCTGCTCCTCGCTGCCAAACATGTGCAGCACCTCCATATTTCCTGTATCTGTGAAGACAACACTGTGAAACATAGTGTTCCAGGGTATTATCAGATAAATTTGGAACAAAAAATGCTTTCAAGGACTTGAATCATAATAGTTTCAATAAACAAATACTCTACAGGGCAAGTTGGAGTGACTATTTAAGTTTGAAATCAAGTCTCCACACTCAATAATGAACAGCTGAGATGACTAAACCACTGCTGAGTGAGGGGTCAACATTTGGAGGGGATCTTATCTGACAGAAGCATGAGAAAAAAAACTATCTATGTTGAGCTTATGAATATGGCTGATGTGCTTTATCTCCAAATGTGACAGGGGAGGATGTTTTACCGGGAGCTTGGCAGTTAAAGACATCGGGGGCAAAGAGGCAGCGTCCGGTCTCCTCTGCAATGTAGGCGTAGTCCAGCTGACTGAGACCGCTGACTGCAGGCAGGAAGAGATTCCACAGGCCCTCCTCTCTGGCTCTCACCTGGACACACACACACACACGTACAGTACAAAGGTTAAAAGACTGTAGAGTGTGCATGCTTGTGCAGATTTAGACATGAGTGTCTTTGATGGGCTGCAATATGTGGCTGACTCATGAGATGCAGTGTATGCAGTGGATTAGATTAGATTAAATATGGCTTTAACACCTGCTGGAATGATCCTAAAATGAGGTCTCTTTGAGATCTTAAATCACAGTTTTCATCAGTCTCTTAGCTCAGACATGCAGCCAGTAAAAGCAGACTAGGAGAGAAAAAAAGTTTTTAAAAATACGTCTCATACAAACCTTTAAATCCTCTATTATTTGAGGGGTGTGCCACCTTTGTGGAGACTGAGTGTGTTTGGAGTAGTACTCTGCAACCTCCTGAGGAAAAAAAAAATCATTTTTTTACATGTAACTGTTCAAGAAAGTAAATTCAGTTCCTTTTAAAACATGCAAATTTACACTTCTATGAATTAAGGCACTTTTTTCTGCAGTGTTTCTAACGGAGGTTCAAATCTGTGTCTGTGTTTCACAAGAAATGCGACACTGCAAAAACAATTGAGATCTGCACCACCAACTCTTGTCATGCCCTTCATTAAAAACGCAATAATGCTCAGCCAATAGTGATGTTTTTTGCGTGCGGTATAATTCAAGTAATCAATTGACTCCTGTTCTCTTGCTTGAATGGATGTGTTTGGTCTGAATGAATAAAGTGACGCACATTGTCAAATCCTTTCATGTGCAAACTAAAAGTCCATCCAAGCCAAAAATTCCCTCCTTGTGTCGCCGGCAGCCCTTGGCACTGACCTGCTGAGCAGGAAGCACGTAATGTCTCATGAAGTCTTTGACCTGCTGAAGAATAGCCTGGCCTTTAGCCGTCTGCAGGAACAGACCGTTTTCTGTGGGACCTGTGGCGGACCTGGCAAGAAGAACAGAAGTCACATTTTGAGAAGCTAATGGACAGTATCGGAAGTAGCAGCAGGACACTAAATTCCGACTGGTTCTGGTCTGAGTTTAGGCAGTGGGGGGAATTAATTTGTTGAAACAACTCCATAACAATGAAACAACATGATTTACTTTGGGAAAACAAATCCCTTTTTCTTTTTCCTTCCAGTATGTCAAACTCTTTTTATGTTTTAATACAAAAATAAATAATTGTGTGACTCTCATTCTCCTAAGTGGGACTCCGTGACAACTTACTGGTTAAATCAAAACAGAAGAAAAGATGAGACAGATGGAGACTCACAACATAGGCCAACACATATAAAAGCAACTTTAAATAGGAACAGTTGAGTCACTGCATTGTTAAAAAAAATTTAAAAACACCCACAGACATTTTATTACATAACATGAGCCACAAACTACTGACTGTGGTAACAAGTGAAACCAACCTCTGAACAAGCTGCAAAGCAAACTTAGCCATTGGCTCCACACAGTGGCTGAACTGGTCTGCGTTGGGGGCGCTGGCATTACCCAGAAGGTGGCGTGCATAGATCCCCTTAAAAATAGAAATTAGTTTAAAATTTCACACATCTTTTGTATCTAGGACAATGCACATGAACAATTGTATATTTGAAGTATCCACACGGGGTGGTATGTTCGGCTGACAAGGATAAAATTGCTGTTGAATTCTGTATGTAAATGCGGACAAACCTGTGCAATTCCTGCCATTTTAAAGACAGACAAGGCCAGGTAGAAATTTAACTCTGGCAGAGCTGATGGGATCCCTCGGCACCGGCAGTAGATGGAGATTAGGTCATCCACGGAAGGGATACCTACATTATGAGATAAGTGTGACACATAGAAAACATGTAAAAAACACAACATCTTTTATTTGAAGCTTACTGTCCACTTGTTTTTATTTCAAGCTGTGTTGATGTTTATTGTTTATTAGAAAAGGTATTTCAGAGTAACAGTCTCCTGTCAAGAAATATCTGTCCATTATCATAAAGCTCTTTAAATTCATGTCTAATCACTCACTCCAGCTTATTTATTGCTAAAAGAAGTCCGGTAAATTGATGTCAAATTGTTTATGGTAGCAAAAAAGAATGAGAACATGAATGGTGAAGAAACGGCAGGAAAGGTTGGAGACACAAGGCTATGACAGAGAAATCTACTAAAATAAAGATGGTGCCGAAAATCCACACAGTATGGTGATGTTTACTCTGATAGTCACACAGCAGAAAATTTCAACAGAGTGGGGCACAGATTCATACAAAGAAAGCTTTTCTAAACCTTCAGGATGAACCAAGACAGGGTCCTGCTCCCCCTATAAAGGCTTAAATCTATTACAGCCTGCTCACTTTACATTATCCCATACCTATCCTTACCTTCTATTCCTTTTAAACTGCCCATGGTGTTGATGACGTTAAATCCTTGAGGCCAGTATTTAGGCATCAGAAAGTAGGCCAAATCAGCCAAGGGCTGCCCAGTAGTTGACAGCTCCCAGTCCAACACTCCCAGCACACGAGCCTGATAATATCAAACACACTTCATAAACCCTTACAGCCAAATGAATAAGAGCTGTGAGAATAATTGTTGTTGAAATTGTACCTCTGTTGGATGGAATATCATATTGTCCAATCGAAAGTCTCCATGGACAAGTGTGACCACATTATCATCAGCCGGTAAATTATTCCTTAACCAGTCAGACAGCTCGTTCATGGCTGGAATGTCTCTGTGAGCAGCTGCAGTGTACTGCTTTGTCCAGGTGGACACCTAAAGACAGAAACAGATGAAACACTTCTGAATGTCATGCCTCTAACGATGAGAAGTTTTATATAAATGGCTTTGGTTGGGTTTCCTCACTTGTCTCTTGCAGTAGCCTGGTCCTTTTCCATAACTTTCAAGGTTCAGCGATGCCAGGTTCAGAGAATGCAGCTTTGCCAGCACTTCCACTGCAGCCACATACAGAGCGGTTCTCTCTGCTACAGGCAATCCAGGGAGACGCAGATCCCTGAACAAACGCCCCTGCACAGAAAAGCAAGCAGCTTATCACAATATGTATCTTTACACCTGTCATGGATTTAGCTGCCATCAGAGAAATTCTGGTCAATTTTATGAGTTTTGTTTTTGTTTAACAAATAAGTTAAAATAAATAAGTAAATAAGTTAAAATAAGTTAAGTTAAAATGGCTTAAAATCTTGTGTTGTTTAAATAGATAAATATTACTTTATTCACATGGACATTTGACAAGTCAAGCAGAATTGATGTGCGGAGCTAAGGAGGGTCAGGTTGTTTTTGATGTGACACACCAAGGGTTTGACTAAATAGAGCACCTGCTTGGAAGAGAACAGCAGTTAACATGATACATTAATTAAAGATGGAGGGTGAAGCACTGTTAAGAAGACGATACAACGACTTAAGATCGTTTTTTCTCCCTTTTCAGTTGAAGCCGCCAACGAGGTTTGTGGAGCTTGTTTATTGAGTTAAGTGACTTCAAGTAGCCGATTTCTGTTCTGTTTATGTCATTTTGAGTTATTCAGTAAGGTTTTTCTTATACATTAAATTGCATGAGATTCATTTGTTGCTGAAGAGTGCTATTTTTTATTGGAGTTTTACCAAACTCAGATTATGTTTTTTATATTGTTTTTAGTTCTCATGGCATGCTCAAACCCAAGGAGTGGAAATAAATGCCTGTCACCAAGGGAACGCCTTGTGTCTGTTTTCAACTGGAGAGGAGTCACAGTGGGTGACCACTGCTTGATTGTAACAACAAAAGGAAGACTGTGCACAAGCAAGCAGACACACAAGAGTTCAAACTCCATCTGTCATAATTCCAATATAGAGTGAAGGTCAAACAGGAGTGCAATAAATGTTACTATGTGGATAGTACAGACCTACCTTGATATGCTGCATCACGTAGAAATCTGTTCCAATGACTTCAGCATCAGTGCAGAGCAAGAGAGGCTGAGGAACAGGGAAGCCAGCAGACAACAGGGCCTTCTGCACCCGAAACTCCCTGTCCACCTTCAAAACAAAGTCACAAGGATCGGCCTTTTTTTTTTAAGTTTTTATTAAAGCTAATACTGAAAGCACAAAAGTGGTATCCCAAAGCTGTTCATCTTTTCTGCACAGATACCCAGATAGCAGAGAAAGCTTCTGCAGTTCATGCTATTGTTTCAATAAAGGTGCTCAACCTGATAGATAACTGTGCAGGTCTGATAATAATAATAAATTTTATCTATAATGCGCTTTTACAAGTGCTCAAAGACGCCTTACAAAGAAAAAGAAGATAAAATAAGAAACACAATTTAAAATACAGATATTTTTGAGAAATAAAGCCAACAATGTAAAAGGTTAAAAAAGACACATTATAAAATGACAGTGAAAGAGCAGTTCACAGGTTAAAATCCAATTTAAAAAAGTGTTTTTTTAGTAGTGATTTGAAATTAAGGTGGTCAGTCTCGAATGGGTTTAGGGGAGTGAATTCCAGAGGGTCTGCTGAACATACAAACATGTAAAATTTGGGAAAAGACAACTATAGGGTTTTTTTCATGTTCAGAGTTAGATTTCTGTAATAATTAATATTGGAGCATCTAGCCTATATTGAACAAATCTCAACAATTAAGTCCCCAGAAAGTTTAGTTTATTATTTTGTTTTTATGGAATCTGTACAACAGGGAACTAGTGAATATATTACAGGAGAAATGTATTTTCCACTTGTGTTTTGTATGTTAAAAAAAAACAAAAGGTGAGCATGCATTTCTGCTAAATTCAGATAAATAAGTTACATGCACAAACAATAACTGAATGTTAGTTTCTCACGTCTTGGACAAATATAAAAATACAGTAACTCTGTCATGCAAACCAAATCCTCCCCCTGCTGGAGAATAGACATGGAGACCCACAACAGCCCTGTCGTATCTCACCTTGTGTGCCCCAGGCAGCAGTTCACCTGGGGGTTTCTTCCTGAGCACATAACTATCTGAGGGGGTCTGGATTAAAAAAGTCGGGTTTGACTGGCCACAACTGAAAACACAGACGCCAATGAATTGTTATCATGTCATCAGTTAAATAGACATAGCTTGCACAATAGTTAAAAAAAACAAACGACCTTTGTGATTTCTGCAAAATTAACTAACCAGCTTTAACTATCTTACCTGTACTGTTTGACAGTCAGCGCGTCAGTTTTCGACACCAGTGACTTAGAGGACAGATATCTTTGGAGTCTGTCAACATTGAATTTATGTTGCTGTCGCACAGGAGTAGTTTCCTCGTCCATGTCTTAGCTCAGGAGTGGATTAATCATTCTCAAGCGTATTGTTCAGACAACTCTCGCCTCCTCATTGCGTTGGAAGTTGACGGACTGTTTATGGTTGCGCACAGATATGTAACGCCCCCAAGAAAATGGATTCATTTTTAACATGCAGCAAAATTTTGGTCGTCAAAATTGCAAAATTGCCAGAAAAAAAACACTATGGAAATACTGAATACTTTAAGGGTAGCGTGAACAATTTACATACAGCGTAGGTAGGGAAGCTGTGATGCGTCTGTTCTCGTTTCCGCACGGACATATTTAACAAGAACTCATATCCTGACAGCTGATTTTAGTTGTGAAGACGTGTACTTTGTGAACGCATTCAGTCACACAGACAGGTCATTTGTGCTTTAGACATCTATTTTTAATCGCTCCCCGTTGTTTGGCGGTGAATTTTAACCAAATGGCGACGATGGAGGAGCTGAAGCTGCGCGTGAGGGAGCTGGAAAATGAATTAATCAAGTGTAAGCAGAAACAGTGCGCCGCGGAGGATGCTCAAAACCAGGAACTTCACAGACCCAAAATTAACAAAATGAGTGCTGAAGTTGTGGACTCGAATCCTTACAGGTGAGTTTTCAATCAGTGTTTTATTCTGTTTTGTCTAGACTTCACATAGAGCTCAGAGGCGACGCCTTATGACTCATTCATCCCATATGTTTGACCATCATGGTTAATCTGAGCTGTTTTCATTTCAGCCGGCTCATGGCTCTGAAGAGGATGGGCATAGTGGAAGATTATGAGGTATGCTGCTTGTTAGAATACGTGATTTTCAAAGAAGTGCTTAATTTTGTGGTTGGAGAAATAATAGCATTATTCTTGTTTAAAACCACGAGGAATAGAAAGATCCAAACGACTTTGTTTACAATATTCTTTCACTCATCACAACTTCTGGCCATTTTTTTTTCATTGTAGACAATTTGGGTAAATCACAATATCCAACACGCTTTTTTCTATAGCACATTTTAAAAAAACATTCAAGTCTACCAAAGTGCTGCACAATAAAATTAAAAGAACACACAATGCTGGAAACATCAAGATGACATAAATAAAAGCAGGTAAAAAAAAAAAAAAAACGTTTAAAATGAAACAAAATAAATGCAATTAAAACACAAAAGCATAAAAGAAATTAAGGTGATAAAATGACCGATGTGGTCATGTTTTCGTTTACCTGTTAAAAGACGAGCAGCAGCATTTTGGACTAACTGTAAGTGTGTGAGAGAAGCCCGATTAACACCAACGTAAAGAGCAATACAGTAGTCCAACCATGTGGAAATAAAAGCATGAATTACTCGCTCAAAATCATTAAAAGATAAAACTGATTTAATCTTGGATAAAAGCCTCAGATGATAAAAACTAGATTTAACAACAGAGTTGATTTGTTGATTCAATTTAAAATTGTTGTAAAATCCCACTATTACATTGTATCTTAAAGGTTTCCATTCTGATAGACTGACTTTCCTGCTACTCATTTTAACATTTGATTACTTCATAAAGTAATTTTCCCAGACATTGTCACAGTTTGGCCAAATTTATATGCACTGAAAGTAAGGTTTTGACTAGAATACCATATATTAAGTTCTCTTACTTACATTTTTGTTGCCGATTTTAAATATATACTGATATACTGATCACCGTCTAAACATTTGTTTTGATAGAAAATCCGGACATTTACAGTCGCTGTGGTTGGTGTTGGTGGGGTTGGCAGTGTGACAGCAGAAATGCTCACTAGATGTGGCATTGGTAAGGTAATACAAACTTCATTTTTTTTTCTTTGTACAGTATACCACCTCACAGTTTAGTCTCTTCTTGAACTCTGATTTATTTTACTTTCATCGTCACAGCTGCTCCTCTTTGACTATGATAAAGTCGAGCTGGCCAATATGAACAGACTGTTCTTCCAGCCTCACCAGGCAGGCCTCAGTAAAGTGGAAGCAGCAGAGCATACACTCAGGTAAATCCACCATTCTCCCAAAGTACAAAGATAAATCTGGTTTTATTTGCTCACATGTTATTTCATTTTCTCTTCAGAAACATTAACCCAGACGTTACATTTGAGACCCACAACTACAACATCACTACAATGGAAAATTTTACACATTTCATGGACCGCATCAGGTAAACATTTCTACTCTATAGTTTCAAGTTAAAGTTTTCTCTTACCTTAATGGCAAAGACAACTAAAAAATGTAAATATGTGTCTTGTCAGTCATGGAGGGCTGGAAGAAGGGAAGCCTGTGGATTTAGTCCTGAGCTGTGTAGACAATTTTGAGGCCAGAATGGCCATCAACACAGTAAGTGCATAATCATAACAAATCAAAGATGTTAAGTCTGTGCATTTCTTTTCTCTTTCTCTTGTGCTTAATTTTTTTCTTTTTCATTTTAGGCCTGTAATGAGCTGGGTCAGATCTGGATGGAGTCTGGTGTTAGTGAAAATGCTGTATCAGGACACATCCAGCTCATCATTCCTGGAGAGACCGCATGTTTTGCTGTATGTTTCCACCTACAAATAACAGCTCCTGTTCAGGTTTTATTTTATGTAAAAGTTACATTACAATGACTCTCTTTTTTCAGTGTGCTCCTCCTCTGGTTGTAGCAGCCAATATTGACGAGAAGACCCTGAAAAGAGAGGGCGTGTGTGCTGCCAGCTTACCAACAACTATGGGAGTGGTTGCAGGCCTCCTGGTGCAAAATGTCCTCAAGTAAGATATCTTTGGATTTGCCCTGATGGAGACCTCCATATGTTCAGTTTTAAACATTTCAGCAACAATTCTGTTGTCTGTAGGTACCTGTTACAGTTCGGCACCGTCAGTTATTATCTTGGCTACAATGCAATGCAGGACTTCTTTCCCAGCATGGCTATGAAAGCGAACCCGCAGTGCAACGACCGATACTGCAGGAGACAACAGGAGGAATACAAGGTGAGAGGTTACAGTCTGTCAGCAGACATTACAAACTAGAGCAAACCCTGTTAAGAACCTCATTTGTTGCTTTACAAGTTGAAAGCTAATAATGTCGATTTCTGTTATGATTCCCCCCACAGAAGAAAGAAGCAGAGAGGCCAAAAGTTGAAGTTGTACAGGAAGAAGAGGAGGTGGTGGTACATGAGGACAATGAGTGGGGTGAGCTCCTGACTGCTTTTTCAACAAGCAAAGTCATTTGGAAGTTCTTTGGTGCTACATATCATGTCATCAGCTGAACATTCATTCTTTCTCTGCAGGTATTGAAGTAGTCTCAGAGGTGACTGATGCAGAATTACAGGCTGCATCAGGTACTGCACCAGACCTCCCAGAAGGCATTACTGTGGCTTACACCATTCCAGCTGAGGTGAGTGTTAAATGATACATCATAGCTCTGAAATCTCCATTTGGTCTCAATTTTTTAATCTACATTCCATGCCAAAGAAAATCTGGTGCTGTGGGAATAGGATACATTTAGACAGATTTTTACATCAACATAATTTCTGTGTTTAATGATACTACTTAAAGTGTTTTCCCATCCTTACTAAACTCTGCTTCCTTGTGTTGTAAACTAGACTGCAGCAAGTGGCGAGACCGTGGAGGAGACCGAACAGAGCCTGGAGGAGCTGATGGCTCAGATGAGAAAGTTGTAAGCAGCTGCCTGTCCAGTTAACACATGCGTTTTCTCACTTCCATTGCTTTATTTGATAACAAGCATCTTCATGATAAAGCCAATTAACGTCAATCAAACTACTACCAGAGTCTTTTAACAGCTGAAGAGTGGGGAATCTAAGGGACTGCTGATAGTATTTCACACCAACTAAAAAAGCGGAGTAAGAGGGAATTTAGCTGATGTACAGAGAACTTGCAAAGCTCTTGGAAATCAAAAAGTCTCTGAAATGCCTGTAAACTGAAGATAATATCACAGTTAGTGCATTAACCAGTACAACAATCTGTATGTCTCCTGGTTTTGGTTGGTGAGAGTGTGTCTTTCATGTGTGAGCTTCAATCACTCAGCTTTCAGTAAAAATCTGCTGCACAATGTTTACATTGTCTCAATAAAATATTTATTAGATGGAATACATCTTTTTGAAATACTGATGTGATTTTTCTTGTCCTGTACAGATTTTACATGAATACACAAATATAAAAGAACACTTAAAATACATTGAACATGCTGGTTTTGGCAATTTGATCATTGATTTTTGGTACATTTATACATTTTTAAATTTTTGTACATTCAGTTAGATGAAAAGAAATCAATAATTTAATGTCTTTAAATTTAACACTTAAATGGCACCATCATTGATTATCCTAAAGTTTATATATTTTTTTTATATTCAGTCATTGTCATGGCCTCTTTTTGGAAATTGAATACTGGTAACATTATTAACATTACTTTAATTTTCCCCTTTTTGGGTCACATAGGTAATACTGAGAGAACTCACTTAATGAAAACATATCACATAGAATCATATCACATACAAATGCACCTTTTTCTTAGAAAATGTAATCATTCAGGAAATTAAAATAGGAACTTGAAAAAGTGCATAAAGTAATATCTGCAGTACAGTAGAGGGAGAACTGACTTTGTGTTTATATTTTTCATGGTTGACGAAACACAGCTTCCATCTTGAGTTTGCAAAAGAATGCAGTTTTGCTGCTGAGCTGTTTGAGTGATTTAGACTTTGAGTATTTATATAAAAGAACTAAAGGATGGAAGTGTAAACCTGACTTCAAGGCTCATAAAAAGGACTGATAGAGCTCCCCTTACATTTGCTTAGTTTGAGAAAATCATTATAAACCTTAAGTAAAAGTACATACTTTCACAAGCTGATACTGCAGACTTCTACAGATACAGTATATCTGACCAAATCCTACAACCTCCCTATGGACAACAATCACAGTTTGAGCACCACAATGGTTCTTTTCTTATAGCACCATTGGGTCTTATATTGTTTGTACCACTTGTTATTTTCATTCATGCTTGGCATTAAATGACTGAAGAGTCACCTTGGGGCATGTGAGAGGGGTGCAGGTCCCCTCAGACTGAATGTATCCCCGCTGGAGGAGTGTCGAGACGGGGCGTTCCCACACACCAGCGATGGCTCGGCCTCCTTGATCTCCATTGCACGTTTGTAAAGCTCTGCTGCCTTCTCGAAGTCACCCTCTTCATAGCTATTTACAAAAAAAAGGATTAAAAAAGGGAAATGTGTATACAAGATTGAAATTATAATTAGCTAAATGTAAAGTCAAATGCTCTACCTTAACACAGCCAAGTTTTTCAGGGTCTCTCCGACTCTGGGGTGTGAGCGACCCAGACTATCCTCATACACTTTCAGCGCTCGTTCATAAAGAGGCAAGGCATCGCTGTGCTTCTTCTGCCAAAGACAAACAGATACATGGAGGTCTTCAGTTTGTATGAAACAGAATCAGTCGAACATGCCAAAACAATAAATAAACGGAGAATGTTCTCACTAGTTGACAGTAGATTACAGCTAGGTTGACCAGTGCTGTGGCCACACTGGGGTGTTTGGGCCCAAAACTTTTTTCCCTGATTTCAAGAGACAGCTCGTACAGTGGCACCGCTTTCTCCAGCTTTCCCTAGAAAAATACACACATGTTCAAATCAGACCCTGAACCAACAACAAACACAGCAGAGAGCAGCATGTGCTGTGGTGTTAATGAACATGTGTCTCACTCTGCGTTTATACAGCATGGCCAGGTGTTTGAGTGTGTATGCCAGAGAGGGGTGGTCTGGAGATAAGGCTCTCTTGCGGATGTCCAGCGCCCTCTCGTACATGTCCTCAGCTGTCTCATACTCTCTCCTTTCTGAGTGTAGCGCAGCCAGGTTATTGAGGGACTGAGCGCAGTCTGGGTGGTCTGGACCAAGGACACGCTGCCGCATCTCCAGAGAGCGTGTCAGGAAAACTTTGGCTGTGCTGATGAAAAAGAAAAAAAAAAAAAAACGTGAGGTTTGTTGATAAAAAGTGCAGTTTGAAAGAGACCACAAGTATATAAAATGTTCATAATGCAAAAAATGATGTTGGCTGAGATTTCCAGAATCTTTTGACTTATTAATCAGGTGTTTAATTGAAACATTCAAGTGTCTCTCTTGAAAATTTGAATTTAAAGTTGGAGAAACTTTCCAATGTTTTTCAACCACAAATTTTGGGGAAATTTAAGAAAAATTTGTTAATCTTTTCAAAGGAAACTTTGAGAATTCTTTGAAACTCATACATATATTTTTTCAAAATTTCTCGGGTACTTTCACTTTTTTTTTTTAATTTCTCAGTCAGTTTTAAGAAATCTCTTCTGGAAACTTTCAATGGATTCTTGTGGAAGCTTTCACAAATTTCTGTCAATTCTTAAAAGAAAATTTCTGAACCTTAAATGTTTTTAAACTTTTCAATGGAAACTTTTGAAAAAGATACAACAGAATTTTTTGGACCAAGAAGATTTTTTTTTAGAAATTTAAGTCAAGAATAAGGAATTTTAAGGAGCTTAAAAAAATGTTGACATTTTTAGGAATTTTTGGAAACTTAAACATTTTGGTGAATATTTGAAAAATCTCAGGAATCGTTTCATCCAAGACTCTAGAGACATTTTCTCTGAGTCCCTGTTGATGTGGGTGCCAGCTGTTCCATGCTCTCTTACTCCAGATTGTTTTGGAGGTAGTACAAGACGCCCAGCTCATTCAGTGTCTTAGCGCAGTCTACCGAATCTTTTCCGAGAGTCAGCTCCTCCAGCTGCAGGGCCCTGCGCCTCAGCAAAGTGAAGCCATACTGAAAGGAGGAGAGGAATGACATTTTAACAATTTGACTGATGAAATGAGAATGACTAACTATGTGAGAATCTGCAAAATATGCTTACCATATGACCTTTCTGGCGGGCATTCTTCTGACGGATCTTCACAGACGTCTTCCTGAGTTTCTCTGCTTGTTCATACCTGATAGTAAAATGCCAGGTGTGAGCTGTTAAAGTGTTTTTGTCAGTGACTTCTCATCAGATCATGATTAGAGCTGGGATACCTCTTGTTTACCACATACTTTTCAAAAGGGATCAATTATAAAAGTAGCATCATGCACGTCAAAACTGAGAGAAGCATTTACTTGTTTTGTTTCTGATAGAGCATGGCGAGTGACTCCAGCTCTCGTGCCACACTTGCATGCTCTGCTCCATACGCGTTCTCACTAATCTCCAGGGCCTGCTTGTACAGCTGCTCAGCATTACCATACTTCTTCCATTGAACATAAACCCCGGCCAGCTGGTGGAGTGAGCGAGCAACGCTGGGATGGTCTGGGTCCAAAGCTGTTTCTCTGATCTCAAGTGACCTTTGTAAAGGGGCAACAGCCTAAAGAGATAGACACAGAATCAGATCAGTATGTAAATGTTGAAAGTAAGCTCTGTCTGAGGAGACATTGACGCATACATGAGGAGAACTAAGAAGAAATTAAGCAAAAATACATTTAAAGACATAAAAATTACTTTTAGCCATGTCATATCATAGGGTGACCATATCCTGAATCCCCCAAAAGAGGACACTACTACAGAGTCACGGAGTCACGTGTCGTAAATTTTTAGAGTTTTTTGGGTTGGTTCGAGTATTTTTTTATGCGCTTCTAACTCAGTAAGTCCATGCGACACAAACTCAAAATTTTCATACAAAACCTCGGATGGATTTTATAAACTCCCCTGGACAAGGCCGGACAGCCCCCCAAAAAAGAGGACATGCCCTGGTAAAAGAAGACGTATGGTCACCCTATCATATCAAATACTCGCTGGTAAAAAGTTACTTTTACTACCTGACTGGGAAGGCCCAGGTCTTTCAGGAAACGTCCCAAAGTCTCGTATAAGTTAGCTAGTTTGGTCATGCTGTCTTCACTCTCACAGCTCTTCTCATAGTGTTTCAGGGAGTCAAAGTACTCTGTGGCCATGGAGCTTTTGTCTTTGCCAACATATTGCCAATACGCCAGCAGCTCAGAGAAATGACCCCTGCAGACACACAAAAACACACAAACATACACCTATGAGACTGAATCGACATGGTTTTGTCATATCTACTTCTGTGTGTGCATGTTTTGTACCTCTTGTAGAGGTTTTGGGAGACAAAAAGGTTCAGGAGGCTGAGCTGTAGTTTAGATTTATCCTCCTGTTGTTGGAGCAGCCAGGGCAGCTCATCTGCAACACGCCAGGTCACACGGTCCTGACTGAACACAAATCAAAACACAATGACTTGAATCAAACAATTTGCACACTGACTTGGGTTGTGTGAGTTGGACATGACTGCTGTAAAGCACCTGAGCTGTTGACTGAAGTAGTGTATAAGTTTCTCTCTGTAGGCGGCCGAACTGCTCCCTCCTCCTAGGAACTCCAACCTCACTGCTTCCCAAGCCTGTACGACAAAGAGGATCATCAGATGCCTCATGAATACCTAAATTTCTTTATTGCATTTGTTTTGTTTTGACTTTTGGGGCATTCAAAAAGCTCACTAACCTGCAGGTGTTGAAACCTAATAAGCCCACATCGAAGGGTGACAATGCAGAGTCTGTTCAGACGATGAAACAGCGAGGAGAGGACAGGCAGCTCTAGTTCTGGGAAAAGGTCTTGCACTTCTGATTCACTTATTCCATTATGGCTGGCACACACAAAGCACAACATCTAAAGACAGACAAAAACAACAACAATGTATTCCTCTGCAACCTAAGGCAAGAATTCACACGACTAACAAAAATGCAAAGTATGAAAAAGAACAGGACAAACAGACAGGAATAAACTAATAAACAGGAAAATACTTCATGTTAAAATTGTAAGGGGTAGTTAAGTGGACACATCACCTCTCTCATAATGTGTCGCTCTCTGTCAGTTTTTAGGGAGGTGAGTGTCATCTTGAGCGCCAAGCGGTAGAGTGACATTGTGTCCTGACACTGCAAACACTGCTCCAGGCTCTTCTCCTGCGACCAACATGATGTGCTGGAGGAGAGGAAGAGAAGGTGGCACAGAATCCTAACCACACATTCAGCCAAATTACCCAACTAAGGGTAGCAAATTCAATTCCTTTACCTACATCTCTGAACATTTCATTTAATTAAAAAGTGATTTGTGTGGGGCTTTTTTTTCCAAGAGTCAAACTGGTTTTCATAAAATGCCTTTCAATCAAGTCATTGTGTATTCAGTCATAGTTGACGGATGAGGAGATCTTTTTTTCTCTGATGTGTTTTTAAATTTAGTATTGTGCAACCCAAAGTGGCCCACCTGGTGATCATCCTTGCCAAAAGTGTGACGTACAAAGGGTTGCAGGTTGATGCAGAGCGACAGTGTCTTTCCATCTTCTTCTCCTGGAACAAAGGCCACATTTAAGCACTGGCTTCACCGAAGAACTTCAACTGTTTTTAAATCCCTTTATTTTATTTTATTTTTTTTCCCTGAAAGGGATATTACTGGATGTTTACTGACCTGGTCCTTTGTTAATTTCAGGTCCATGCTCTGACACTCTGCATTTACAACACTCCTGACCTCTCTGGGGCTAAGGGGGTCCAAGTGGAGTGTGGGCCACAACCTATGAATGTCAATGGAGCTATACATGAAAATATCACAGGAGCATATTCAGAGATATTTTTATACATTTTCAAAAGTATGACCTTAAAACCAGACAACAAATATCCAGAGATGGGACACTCATGAACGAGTCAGTCGTTTGAACAGTTCTTTCAAGTGAACAATAAGAATCAGTTCACACTAGCGAGCCGTTTGTTTGCAAGCTGTTCTCGTATGCAAACTGCTAATGCTGCCTTCACGTCTCACTTGTGTGCCCCAAACACCAGGTAGGGTTTTAGAATTTTGCATTCACATTTTTATCATGTCTTAGTTTTTTATCAGTTATCTGTAGCTTGTGTAGTTTTCACTGTGCCACAAAGATTTTTAGGTGAGGGAAAAATTAAAAATAGAGATATTGGAAGGAGATACTGCACCATCTTATAGGATGTTTACAATGAAAACACAAGCCAAATGAAAGTGAACTCCAACGTGTAGCCCTAGTTGGCTTCTAAGAAATAAATAGATCAAACAATGAGCCAGTCTTTTGAACGGTTCCTCAAGATCCTTAAAAGAGCCATAAATCCCATCTCTACAAAATACTAATTGGGAATTTTATAGTCAAGCAGAGTGTTCTCACCTCCAAGCTTGAGGGCACGTCTCTACATTGACAGACACCACCACTCTGACGTTGACAGGAAGAGGGTCGATTAGCCACTTCATGTGCTTTTCTGCTTGCTAAATAAAAAATAAATAAAAATACAAAGTCAGGGGTTTTATAATTCTGGTTCAAAAAGAACTAAAGAAACAAGAAAGGAGACGTACTTGTATTTGGTCAATGGAGTCAATGATGATAATGATGTTTCCCTGATGGCGTGCTGAAAGTCTCTCAAGCCAGCGGGGAAACTCCTCCAAGATCTTACTGGGCTCCATGGACAAGCCGGAGATGGACCAGAAGTGCTGCAGGAGCTGTGTGACAACACGCAGATATCAGAGTCCCAGAGTTATTCAACAAGACCGAGCATCCAGCACTGGAATTATCAAAGAGCAAACAATGAACAGCCCTTACTTTGACTGTGAGGCGTTTGATAATGAGAACAGGCTCTGCACGTGTTGAAAGTGGGCGACCGACAAAGTGATAAAGGAACAGGGTGTTGGGGGACTGCTTCTGCTGCTGCTCAATCCTGAACAGGATCAGAAGAGCATTAGAAAGGCTTTGAACTGCAGTTGTTTTCTAATCATTTAAATTGAGTAGAGTCCACTGGTCACAGGAGGTATTACATCTTACTCACCATTTGGAGAGCAGCAAAGATTTCCCTGAGCCTGGACCTCCAGAAACCAGCAGAGGAGGGGTGGGAGGGGGAGCAGCTATCATGTCATTCAGACGATCTATGTACTGAAGAAGAAGATAAATCACAAACTTCTCAGACTTTGAGGAAAGTAATATTATAGAAGAAGATTAAATAAAAAGAGAGAGTATTGGGCCTACCTTCTGGAAGCCTAGCTGTGAGGTGGTGCTGCTACAGGCCTGCTGGTAGGACTCCATCTGTTCCTGCTCATCATGGAGGTCCCACAGCACGTCTCCTGAGTCTTCCTCACGCCCTTCCTCTATCCCAGAATCCTTGGAGTCAACATCAACTCCTTCAAGACCCAGCAATTCCTACATGGGAGATGAAGAAGAGGAAGTTGAACATTATGAATAATATTATCTGATGCTGCTGAGAGGCAGTCAGTACCTGTTTGATGACTTTTTCCAGCTGAGCATAAATCAGGGCAGCTCCTTCCTCTGCAGAGCCACTGTGATCCACAACCTGGATTTACGGAGGTGGAAAAACATCAAAAATCACAAACCTAGTCTCCATCTGAGACTGGCTTCTTTATAAAAAGCTCATTTCTTTCTGTAGCTTATTTCATTAACATAGAGCACACACAAACCTTGACTTTAGCAGCCTTATCTGCAGCATTAACCCTTTCTAGCAGTTGCCTGGTGTGTCCAGTTAAATTGTGACCTTCTTCAGTCCTGAGGTAGAGCACCAGTGGATGGCCGTCAGGATTCTTCACAAAAGCCTCCTCACAATCTTCGACCGCAGAGCTGCACATACCAGTTAATATAAGAGGAACATTTTGAAACAATATACTTTATCATTTAATTGCCAATCTTACTCCACAAAGATAACAGAGTTACTGTACCTTGTGACTGTAGATTTGAGAAGCAGCACACAAACAGAGCTTCTTTCAATCTCCTGTTTGCGTTCGACAGAGTATGAGGCAGCATTTTCCTCTGGGAAGCAGATATTCAGGTAAAAATGGCCAAGACCCTCACACAACCTCCGTAGCATGGTCGAGTGTTTCTGGAAGAATGATATAGCATTTTCAGATTTTACCAGTCAAAACTTTGGGGCACATTTCTGCTTTCAAACCAGGTAATGTCAAAAGATTTTCCTCAGAGTCTGATCCTCAAACTAGGTCTACACTAGACTCTTTGATTAAACTTGGTGTAATACAGTATATTCAACTTTTGATGCTTTCTTCTAAGCAGAGACACCTTGATTATTTTAAATCATCTAGTCAATTGAACCAACCTTAATAAAGATATCAAGCTCAGCTTTAGTCTCCTGGGTAAAGATTAGGTAGCAGCGCACTGTGTTACTCCATAAAGCTTGAGGCACATGAGGGGAGACCTGAAGCAGACTGGCCACAGCAGCATCCCAGTCATCTGACCCAAACACACAAACAGAAGAGAAGAGGTTTGGACCACAAGCATATGAAAATCAGTCAAAACTATCCATTTACAAACACTATCACATTTTTGTTCCAGTGTATGTACTTATGTTTGTTTGCTTACCTCTGCTCACATTTGCAAAAGGTCCCTCCACATCTATCAAGCTGTGTGCAAACTCAGGTCCTCGAAAGGTTTGTTGCAATTGCATCATACTTCCCATAGAGGGCTCACTTCCAAGTACTCCACCAGACCAGTATTCACACTGAGTTCCTGCAGCTGAGACATCCAGACAACAACTAATGTTTTTGATGATCTTTGATTAAGGTTAAGACTCTACAATTTAAATTCTGATGGAAAATTTAAGGGATAATCTGGCAAAAAATTAAGTTAGGGTCAAACAAACCGTAACACCGAGTTAGGCACCCCCTCAGCGATGAATGTTGCCGACCACTTGCTTCTCTAGTTTACCAACTTTAGTAATGACCGCAGGATAGCAATACAGAGCAGTCTGAGGAGCCATGATCATTTCTTCAAGGAAATGATAAAGAAATGATCATACATGTTCTTCCTTGAGCTGCGTCACCCTGCTGTAGTCCGTAATGGACTGGCCTGAGGTCTCGCTACAAACAAGCAGCTGCTGGAAGAGAGTAGGTGAGTTGTGTTTAGTCTCTTAGCTAAAGAAATCAGGCAAAGTTAAAAAGATGTTTGGTGTCTAGTGCTGTGCTAGGACCCTATATGTACTGTTGATGAAGTTAGGTGCTGTCCTGAGCATTATTTGTGGCTATAGAGTGGCTTTTTGGTTGAGGTTTGTCTATGGCTTCTCAGGCTGCTGTTTATTACTATCCTGCGGTTGTTGCTAAAGTTGGTAACTAGAGAAGCAAGCGATCGGCAACAATCATTTCTCGAGGGGGTGTCTAACTCGGTATCACAGTGTGTTTGACCCTAAATTAATTTTACGCTGGAATATCCCGTTAAGTCTGCAAAGATGAGAGAGTGAATAATATGATACATCACAGACTTCAGAGTCTTACCAGTAACTGTGGTTTGGTTGTCATCTGAGTCAGAGTCATTCGGGTCAAAGACCTGAATACCCTGAGCCTGCAACTGCTGCAATTTGGCCTCCAAATCCCTCTTGGCCCGTAGGAGATCCTGGATCTCCTTTTCTTTAGTCTCCCTGAAAATCTAGGGGTTATTTTGCCAAATGGTTAAGACTACAATCATGATGAATTAGAAGAGTATCACACAGTAACAACTGTTGTGTAGTTTACCTTAAACTGTCGTTTGACTTTGTCTCGGTCATGTTCAAAGGTGGCAGCCCTCTCCATAGCTTGGTACTTTGCCTCAAGAGCACCTTCTTTTTCTCTGAGGATCTTCTGATAGGTTTTCTGCAGGGCCTATTGAGGAACATAAGAACGTCCATTAAATTTTTTACTCAATACACTCATCCTGTTATAAGATCCTCGACTCTAATAGAGTCAGTACCTGCAGCTCAGCTCTCAGCCTCTTGTTCTCCTCGTCCAGCTTGGCCTCCTTCTTTTGCATAGATGAGATCTCGTTATTCTTGCTGACACGGAAGATTTCATACTCTTTGCGGAGTCTTTCATACTCAGCTGCATACTCTAGATCCACTGATCCTGTGGATTTGAAACTGGCCCCGATCACCCGCGGTGCTCTGCGGAAGGAGCTGCGCAGGAGTCGGGCTTTGGGCTTCACCTCCACCGGGATCTCACAAGCTTCCCCACCTTCACCACCATACCCATCCTCAATCACCTCACCTGGGCTGACCAAGGAGGACGCAGTGCCCATGGTGACAGCCCAAGCTGCAATAATATGCTTAGCCTATTCGGATGCCCATAGCCTCTCCTGTGTAATGAGGAAAAAGATAATAATAATAATGCATAAGATTTTTATGGCGCTTTTTGTCAGTGACCTCAAAGCACTTTACATTGGATACATCATTCATTCGCTCACACAGTCACACCTTGGTGGTGGTAAACTACCTTTGTAGTCACAGCTGCCCTGGGGCAGACTGACGGAAACGTAGCTGCCAGTGTTAGCCTACGGCAGTGGTTCTCAAGTCCAGTCCTCGAGGCTCACTGTCCTGCATGTTTTGGATGTTTCCCTGCTCCAACACACCTGATTCAAATGATCAGCTCGTTATCAAGCTCTGTAATGGCTTGATAACGAGCTGATCATTTGAATCAGGTGTGTTGGAGCAGGGAAACATCCAAAACATGCAGGACAGTGGGCCTTGAGGACTGGAATAGAGAACCACTGGCCTATGGCCTCTCCGACCACCACCACACAACATCCACAATCATATACCAGTGGAGGACACACACACTGGGAGCAAGGTGGGTTTAAACTGCCAACCTGCTGGTTTTTGGCCGACAGCTCTACCTCCTGAGCTACTGCCAACCAGAGGTAAATATCCACAACAACTTAGATCTAATCCACCTGGTGAAGGATAGCTGAAATTGGCATCTCTGTGTCTGTAAGTAACCCACAGAAAGCATACTACTGGCTCGAAAAGACAGAGTCACATCACTCCTATCTCTTTTGGATTTGTTTTCAGATTTTACTGATTACTTTTAAAGCTTTTCTTCTGACTTCTGGTAACCTTTGATTCCTATATGAGGTGTTTCTGGTCTTGCCAAAGTTAAGGCTCCAATCTAAAGGAGACCAAGCTTAATCCATCAATTTTAATGGCCTTCCTGAGGAGGAAAGACATGCAGATTCAGTGACATTTTTATATCACTTCTTAAAACTCACTTTTACAGACCAGATCTTTGGACATTTTTCCTTCCCTTAATGCTTTTCTGTCTATTCTAATGTCTTTATTTGCCACTGAAGAGCTGAGATATCTGTCCACCCTGACTCTGTATATTTGCATTTACTTTTGTTGTCCTTTTTTGTTGCATCTTAGTTTTTGGTAGCTGATATTTTCTAGATTATTTTTGTTTGGCCTCAGCGGTAACGTTTACTCTTTTTTCCTCCTGAATTTCTGTCTTTATCTAGACAAAGGTGAGTAAAGTGGCACTGATTGTCTTCCTTATCCAGACTGACAGTTTTTTTCTTTGAGACTAATGAAGATTAAGAAAGAAATACTAGGTTAGCAAACGAACCACTACAGAAAAAAAATAACAGTTCGACATCTTCGTCGCGACATATGTAACATGAGAGACAGCAATACTTACACAGTAACCTGTTTTAGCCCCGAAAAAAGAACGAGCAAAGCCTCAATCTCTGCATGTACACACAAAAGGAGCGAAAGATAAACAAGAATGCACTCACGGTCCGCTCCCTTCACAGCTTCTTCCTGGCTGCCGTGGTAACAAGTCGATCATACGGATGCCCGCACAAGTCAAACTAGGTAAAAGTCGATTTTTTTCCTCCCGACAGAACGGCAACTGCAAAGATGTTACATAAGAGGTGTCTTATGAGTTCAAAATTTGCTACGTGCCAAACTTACTTTTTTAAAATAATTATTGGATTATTGGATTGCAAAAGCTTTTGCATCAATGTTTTGTTAAATAAATTTCAGCCTCAGACTAGCAGTGTTTCTTTGCGTTTGGTAATTATATTTGCTTGAGGTTTAAAAAAAGCTGTTAAGTGTTGAAATTAAATCATGTCATTTATTAAAACATTTGACTATTTTTTAAAAACCCGTTTTAAGTTGATTGAAATATAGAAACTGAAGTTGGTTCTCTTCATATCTTTTCTTTTATCTCTTTTACCTCTATCTTTTTTGGACTTACTGTCCTTTTAGCCTTTGTTTTACTTATAATCTTTTCTTATTTCACCCTTTAGACCTTTTATTGATTTTATTGTTTTTTCCTGCTCATTTTTGTTATTTAATTTTATCGATAATATTGCCATCATTATTATTTTATTATCATTATTAATATCGTCTTTTTATATTAACTATCCTGTTTCCTGCTTTCCAGTCCCTTTTTATTACAATTCTTTTTCTTACCTATTTTATTTTTTTGTTTTGGTCTTCATGGTCTCATTTTATGTTGTAGGGTTCTCTTATTGTCTGGGTCTTATGAAAAATGAAATCGGCCTCCAGTTTGGAGGCCTTGTTTTTAACTGAGCTTTTGTTTTTTTATTAGTTTTTATTTCCATGTGCTAATGCTTTGCAACTGTTTGTCAAAGCACTTTGTAAACTTCTGATTTTAAAAGTGCGATAACAATAAAGCTATTCTTATCATTATTATATCTTGATTGACATTTTAAATAAAATCTGTCTTTATTTCTACAGCACTTAATCACATTAATACCATCCCGAGACACGACAAAAACAGCAGGGGAGAAGGTTTCAGAAAGTAAGTGAAAAACTATACTCAGGATTCAGCAACTGTTAGTTGACCATTGAAGGTGGGATTTACTTGTTTATAATGAGGCCGTGTCCCAGTTAAAACATGTCTTATCTTTAGGGAAGAATTAAGTACTCATTTACAATCCTGATTAAAAAGGTCAATTGCAGTTCAAACTTGTGCCTCCCTCCATTACATCAAGTGATGCCATTTTTGTTTCCTTAGAACTTACTTCATAATGTGAACATAGAAGATTTTTATCACTTGTCACTTCACTTATGGCCTAACACTACAAAGTAAGCATTCATTTTTTGGTTCATGATGTTAAGATAACCATGACAAGTCATTTTTTTCTGACATTTCTTCTAACACCAACTTATCAAGTCTTATATGAAAACTAAAGAAGGAGAGTAAAACCTTGTTTTATAGAATTTATTTGCTACACATGATTTATTGCTTATAGATCATCTCTTTTTTTACAGAACAGCTGGAGCAGTTTGACTCTGTATGCATTGTTGAGGAAGAAATACATCACAGGATCCAGTACCCCACTCACGCAGGTCAGTGCTGATGTGATCCGAGTTGCTATTTTTAGAGACTCGTGGTTTCTAGCAGACACCAAGTCGTCGATGTGGCTTTTGATGTAGATTACCCTGCTCACATGGTACGGAACAAAAGCCAAGAGGAAGTTCACCAAGACGAGGATGATCAGTTTTGTGGCCTTTTGTTTCACTGGCCGTTCTTCCTGTTGTCTGACTGCCCTCAGTTTCAGCAGAATCAGGATGTAGGAGACCACTATGGTGGTGAGAGGAAGAACAAATGCAACAATTGTAGAAACCAAAGCCATGGGTGATGTCTTCTCTAAGTACAACTTGTCGCAGCTGCTGGTTGAATTATCATTCTCATTGTCTTTGGAAAAAAGTACCGGAGTCATGGACACAATGATCATCACCCAAAGTATGCCAACAACCACCTTTGCATACACAGCTTTCCTAACTAGCTGTGATTTTATGGGTAGAACCACAGCCAGAAACCTGTCCAGACTGATAAAACTCATTAGGTACATGCTACAGTACAGGTTCAAGTAAAAGAGGAAGCCTGCTAGTTTGCAGACAACATGTCCAAAAGGCCAGTGGCCGTCAGAGAGATGATAAACTATACGCATGGGCAAAATAAGGACATATGAGATGTCTGCGATGGATAGGTGTCTGAGAAAGACTTTAGATGGAGACGTGCTTTCCTGGTGGAAGAAGGCCCACAGTGCTAGAGAATTCCCAGGCACCGCAATGATGAAAATGAGGATGTAAAATGTAGCAAATATGATGTTCTCATGGTAGGAGGCAACATAACCAAAGCCCAGCGTGTCTGCCTCAGAGGTGTTCACTGTGGAGAGGTTCATCTTCTTGCAGCATAGACACAAACAACCTGTTACAATGAGGGACAGCCTTGAATGAGATGTTTTCAATGATTCACCAAGTCATACACTGTATTATCATATCAAAACCAAAAGCATAAAAGGATGACTTATGGGAGCTGACAACCTATCGACCCACATGCTACATCATGTGAAAATTTGGTTCTTTAGAAACAGGAACTGCTCTCACAAGGCGTCAGTGTAACAAGAATTGATCTACTAACTTCAGAAAAAGAGTAGGCATCCTTATTATTGTATTTTTTGGCAGACATAGAGGTCCTTAAAAAATGGATATTGAAAAACATTAAAACAAGATTACATATACTTTTAGATTCATGGGACACAGATGAAATACCTAGAAAAAAAAACAGGAAACATTGTCTTTCTTGGTATCTTGCTAGATAAATTTGCTTAAATTAAAACTGTGGTTGCATTGACCCAAACACCTGTAAAATTAACCATTTGTGTGCATGTAGTGCCACTTATATAAGAAAAGAAGCTGCATAAAAGTATCTTACACAATTTTTAGTTTCCTATTAACTTTTAAGTTTTGTAGTTAAATGTTACGCATGACATTCATGACGTTCACATCCCAAAGTTAAACAATATATAAAGAGACACCAATCTATAAACTCGACAATCAAACTTATCAGATGAAAATGCCACAGTTAATTGAGACTAATATCTGGCAGATGTGTAATAGTATAACAGTATTATGATTAAAGATAGTTATGTTCATTCTTACCTGTAATTGTAAGCACAGAGTGCAGAATCCTGTCTCAGATGCACAGTCAGTGGAGAACAGACTTTCAAGTAAAAACAAGAACTGAACTATTCTGGTGTGTTGCACATCTCCACTGTCGTATTTATACACACACACTCAAGCACAAGCACACACACACAAACACACACACACACACACACACACACACACACACACACAAACACAAAAACAAACACACACGCACAGGTCGATCACACAGGAAGCCACGAAAACAAAAACATGGACACCTGATGCATTACAAGCATGCGAGTCTTTATTTTTTGCTACTCCAACACAGTTTTGTCTTTAGCACACTGCTCTGTTATAGTATGATTTAAAGCTTTACAAAATGAGAGAAAACCAGATATTTACAAAATCTATCTGTGCAAACATCATTCTTCTTTTACACCACTCTCCTAGAATATTTGAAAGGCATGCATACAAATAAACTTTGGTATGTTAAAAAAAACTACCTATTTTCTTAGTAGAAGCATCTATGTACACGTAGTAGAACTGATTCATCACTTTGTTTTTTAGTACAGTTTACATTTTGACAACAGTACGTGTTAACTTAAACAAACTTAGACCAGCAGTATGAACACTGAGGTCGACACTTCAGCCACAATACCATGACCAGAGAGTGCATGTTAATCCCCATAATCTTGTGACTGGGTGAGGCCTGAAGTGAGTCATTGTACAACAACTTTGGCAAATAGGCACACTAAAAGAAAAAAAAAATACTCATAAAACCACATCTGCAAAAGAAATTGGCAGTTCATATGGTCAAAAATGAGGAAATGCTCTTAAAAAACAGAGGTTAATAATGAGTTTAACTTTAAAATGTCTGTATACGTTATGTATACATTCATAAAAGGCATTTACAAGGGTTCTGTTGAATGTCTGGTAACATAAGAAATATAGAAGATTAAATATACTATGGTTATTCAATCTCTGGTTTGAAAAATAAAACAAACTTTTTACAAGGTATGTTGCGATTGTACATCAACTCTATATTCTCTATTCATAGTTACAGCAAGAAAAATAGATTTTCAACACCATGAGAGCACTTCCACTTCAACTACAAAGTGGTAAAACTAAATATTTTTTTAGTTCTGTTATAAAACATTTTGTCAGAAACATCTGGTACACCTTCAAGAAAGAAGCAGAATCCGTTTTTTAAGTACTTAAAATGCAACTTAATGGAAAAAGAAGCATTGATGTGATGATGCCAGTGTCAAAGAAAACATGAATTGGGGGAGTGCATAATGTAATATTTACAAAAACACAGAGAAAACAACAAAGCAAAAGTATATAACATGAAACATGACCTGATCTACCTGCCGTGTGGTAAAGCCTGAGCAGCCATTTTGGAGCTAGGTAGCGTCCTTAGCTGCTGTGGCGGTTGGGATGCAGGATTTTCCGCTGCTGCCGTTGTGGGACCTGTAGCTGGTGAAGCTTGGGGTGTGTATTGTGCGGATGCTCTTTCCGCCCGGGCCCAAAGGTGTGGGCGACAGAGGGGAGGGGGAGGAGGAGGAGGAGGAGGAGGAGAATGAAGAGGTGGAGGAGGAGTGCACTCGACCATTCTGAGTCTGCGAGGAGAACGAGAGAGCTTTACCTGTGTGCTGTGATGGTGTGTGGAGTTTGAGGGATCCGTTAGACAGGGAGGGGATGTGGGAGGAGGGGAGGGAGCCGGAACGAGGACTGTGAGAGGACAGGGTGGAGGACTTTATCACAGAAGAGGAAGAGGAGGACGGGGAGGAGGAAGGGTTAATAGGATTAGTAGCATCTGAGTTTTGTGCACACTGGGAGCTGCCTTTAGTAGAGCTAGGATAAAAAGCAGGGATTTTAGAGATGGGTATAGTAGGGGAAGTAGTTTTATGATCCCCTCCCACTCTTTTAGCACTTCCGTTAGCCTGCAAACAGAGATGCCAAAACAGAAACTGGTTGTCAAAAAAGAAATCTGGTCAAATAAAACATACAAAAGGTAAGATGATGTTAAAAAAAAACTACTAGTTATACACATAGAAGCACACTATGACTACACAAACATGAATATTGCTAAGACACAACTAAAAGACACAAAAACAACACATAAAGAAGCTCTGTTTTTAACTTGGTAAAGTGAAAAGTGAGACAAATAAGACCAAGAAAAGGAACATTGCATGAGTTAGACAGCACAACGACGACAGGCAGGCAGGAAGAGCATCTCTATTCTGGGATGTTAGATCTCCTAGATAGTTCGGCCTCTTAACGGGGTTGTCAGGGGAGGATTCATAAGGAAGAGATGCATACGAAGGCTGAAGAGGATTAGATGACAGGGTTAGGGGTTTGAAGAGTGAGAGCGGACAGGGGAAATGTGGGCCAGTATTCCATTGAAACTCATGGTGCAAGATAGTGAGTCATCGCAAGGTCTTGAGGGTAAGGAAATAATATACCACCGTGAGGTTAAGAAGCTGTGCAGTAATGTTGGGTTTTGAGCAGAGGTGCATTGTGAGAAAGGAAGAGCCGAGCCCAAGTTGTCAGTTAGGTTGTGGTTTAACAGAGCCGTAAGCATCCTGGGATTTGGCAACACTGTTTAGGAGCTCAGCTGTGATGGGATCTGGAGATGTGATGACAACTCAGATGATGACAGGATAGGATTCCACTTTTCTTTTTGCCACTTTTTCCACTTTTTTTTTTTTTAGTCACCAACACAGTGAAACCATGAGCAGTGTGGACATGCAGAAGCATACAGTACAGTGATGTTATGGGGTAACAGTCAAGAGTCAAGCATGCCTTCTCGTCAGAGCAGACTCGAGAGAAACAATAACAGATCCAGTCACCACCACAGTGGCCTTCTTTTTTTTTTTTTAAACACTGAAAATTTCACAGCTTTGGTAGTCTTTTTTCCCCTTTTATAACACATGCCTCATGTTTTCCATCCCTACATGTTTGTTTCCTGTAGTCTCTGGTAAGGCCCTACAGTAAAACTACCTGTCGGAACTGCCTCTGAGCATCCTGCAGTTTTTGCTGTTTTCCTGCTTTGTCTGTTGTACTCGGCGACTGCCTGGACTTCGTGGACAAAGGGATGGGCATCCGACTAGTGGGGGAAGCGACACTGGTGTTCTGCAAGGGGATCCAAACGAAAAACAAAACAAGAAATAAAACAAAAGAAAGAAAAAAAAACACCACATAGGAAGTATGAAAAATCAAGGCACTTACAGAGAGATAAAAGAACTTCATTCAACACCTTAACATCAACACCAGTGAAAGATCATGCACCCAGTGAGACCATAAACCTTTTTGGAGTCAATACACAGTAGTACATGCATTCAAGGATTTCAGTTTAGACATCATGAGTGTGTCTTTGATGATGAGTTTGCCACTTGCTGAAAACCTCAGTTTTAGCAATGAACTGAAGGAGAAATATGGTAGCCTGGAACCCCGATAAAATGCCACCCCCAATCATGTCACCATGATTTCACAGAGGGAGAAAGCCACTGGGGGACATTTCGAACATTTCCAAGCACCTGTGGAGTGGGTTAATGATTTGGTAATTTCATGGTTAGGGTGGAAGTGAGGGTAAACGGAAAAAGAAGAAGGACCCAAAGCCTCCAGGAGCAACAAGAGCTAGAGAGAGACCTGCTGTACGGTGCTGGGGGCACTGGGGACAGTGGTGGTGGTGGTGGTGGTGGTGGTAGTAGGGATGATTACAGGGCGAGGAAGAAGCTGAGGTTTACTCTTCTTCTGCAATGAATGTTTGCTTGGTACCTTAGAACCTGACCCTCTGGATGTAGGGAGAGAGGAGGACCTCTTCAGCCCCACTCCTTCTGAACTTTTCCCATTGCCTGTTTTAGCTTCCTCCGTGGTGGAGGCCGGCTCCCCGGGGGAGCACGGCCCCATCTCACTGATGGTGGTCTCCAGTTGTTTGATGGTTTGCTCCAGGCTGTCCAGTGTTTTATAAGTGTTCTTCCGGATCTCATTGGTCCTGCCGATTGAATCTGAGTTCTGCTTCTTCAAACCGGTCGAGGCCATTTCCTGGGGAGGTTCTGGTATGTTCTTTGACCGCGCAATCTCAAATCTTTTCGCCTCTTTGTGCTGCCTGATGGTGCCGTCACTTTCCTCCTCCTCTTCATACACAACCACCTGTAAAGTCTTCTTGCCTGACTTGCTGCCAGTTCGTATGGCCTGTGTCAGTGCCGCCAGCTGTTTCTTGGGGAACTTAAATTTGAACTTTTTCTTACCATCCTGCTTGGCATCACCATTTGAATCTTGGACTCCACTGTCTGTCAGCTCAGAAATTGAGGATGAAGATGAGGATGATGAGCTACCATGGTCTACATTACCCTGTGAGGAGCTGCCCTTTGAGCCATCAACCACCTCATCCCCTCCAGCTTTAACATGCAGCCCACCGCTCCTCTCCTGGTCTGACTCTTCGCTTTCCTCATCGATACGCTCTGCCGCGAGCATCCTGTCCAGTTCCTCCTCACATTCAAAGATGGTGGACAGGCGCTTGTACGCAGAACGGATGTCCATGGGCTCATCAAAAATGATAATGACAGGCTTTTTGTTGAAGCCATTATCCTGTGGTTCGACAGGATCCTCCGTGGTGTTGCTCCGATTCGCAGCATTACCCACAGTGAAAGTCTGGACACTCCCTTTCTTGGCATTGACCAGCTCCTGGTACTCGCCACAGGACAGGGCCTGAACTTTAGTGTTAGTGATCATAAATGCTATGTTATCAGGTGGCGGAGGAGCCTCCTCTCCTGGTAGATCTGGACTAAGACTAGCCTCATCATTGTCATCATCACATCTATCCTTAGGTGGATCACTGTTCTCACTGGGGGATGGATTTGGTGGCACAACAGAGCATTTATAAGACTCCTCAACAGTAGTGGTTGTTGTGGTTGCCACAGGCTCAGGTATAATATTCTTAACAGTAGATACACTTTGCTTGACAACTTTTGTTTTCTTTTCAGTGTTTATTTTGTTCAGGATTTTTCCCTTCTCCATTTCAGCACTGGTCTTCAAGGATTCCGAGCGTTTAACTTGCTTCCTTGGAAGTTTGAATCCTTTAAGTCCCACAGGCTTGGGGGAAATAGGCGGTGGTGTTACAGGGGATTTGGGTGGTGGAGACAGTGGCGGCGGCTGCTGCTGCTGCTGCTGCTGCTGCTCCTGCTGGCTTGAAGAATTGTCATTAGCATTGACATTTGACACCTGTGATGGAGGCTGTGCAGATTCTCGATGTTCGGGGGTTTCCTCTGCTCCAGATGGAGGGGAATGGTCTTTGGGAATCTGTCCAGTCACATAATAAATGACCTGAGAAATGAAGAAATATCAGCTCAAAATCCTTCCAATTCTCGCACATATATTGACAATGAATGAAAATGATGTGAATAAGTGAAAGCCACACATACCCCCTGGCTCTGTCTGACAGTAGTATTCCCATTTTCATCTGTGCCTGGATCTTTATCCTCATGATTGGGCTCTGAGCTCTGCTAGGACAGTGTGTGAGGGAATAATATTACTGTGCAACTGGTGTGCAAGGTGCCTTTTGATTAACTATGAATCCACATTCACTAATCAGATGCATCCACAGTGTCAACACTGCATACAGTGTGAACTGCACAAATAACTACAGTTTTGTGTCTTTACTCTTTTTAAAATACATGCAGGAGAAACTACTAAATGATAACAATTTACAGCCAAGACTACAGACAGTTTTGTTTTCAGACAAATTAGCAAAATATTGATCACTAAATCCTGTTTTCACACCTCTTTTTGGCACTCAGAGGGGATTTCTTATCACTCTGTTTTTGATACCTTGACCTTGTTTGCAGCTTATTTTATGAACCGTGTAACATCCTGTTTCCTGTCATCGAGAATGCACTGCTAATATGCAAAAAAAATTCCTACTCCTACACCAGCTTAATACTAAGAGCTAGAATTTCTACAGCCTTCTCTGATGTGCAATACATAGATATTAAAGAATGACACCAATTCCAGAAACAGTGGGATGCTGTGCAAAATAGTATTAAAAGGAAAATTTCATAGTTTGCAAACCATTTGAACGGTGTATTTAACAGAAAATAGTGCCAAGACTACATACCAAAAATTAAAGAAAATTGTGTTATTGTATATAAAATGTGTGCTTTTTGTAAAGAGACATTCAAACACTGTTGGGATGTTAGGACTGCTTCTCAGTTCAGTTCAGGGTCTCCTGTGTTCTGTTTCTGTTTCATGATGCACCAAATGTTTCTTTCAGTGGCTGTTAAGCTGAGACAACAGGCAGGCCAGTTTAGCACCTGAACTCTTCTACTACAGAGCCATGCTATTGACATACATGCAAAATGGGGTTCAGCTTTGTCTTGTTGAAAAATGTAAGGTCTTATCTGGATGTCAGCATATATTGCTCCAAAACTTGTTTTTCATGTTCAGCATCAATGGTGCTTTCCCGCTGTGTGAGCTACCCATGTCAGAATCACTAAAAATGTTGGTTTATAATATTATATATTGTAGATGATAAAATCTTTGAATTCTTATTCAGAAATTGTCAAACTATTAGCTCACACTGTCTCTCTCTTCTCATTTTCGTAAGAGACTCAACTTCTAAGAAATGTCCTTTTTATAGCCTGTCATGTCACTTACCTCATTGTGTAATGCTAGTGTTTTTTTTTAGCATTTCACAACTATTTCATTTTTGGTTGTCTCTTTCACAAATTTATTTCAATGTGTTGCTGGCTTTAACTTTTAAAATAAGCACATTTTTACTTAGAAATTTATATGCTATCTTTGCACGATTCTCTGTGTTTTGAAGAAAACCAAAACCTGTTTGAACACAGCATCAACTTTTTTTGGAATTGGGGTTACAGTAGCCTAAAATGTATTTACTCTTAAAACTCTGTCAGAGCTGACATGTAGACTTTAAATCCTGGTCAAGAAGCAGTTGAATTACTCAATTTAACCACACATTGATCAATCACACTGAAATGTACATATTCATTTGGTAACAGCAGTTGTTATGTTAAATGTGTACATTGATTAGCCTACAGAGTGAATAATGACTATAGGGTTGTGCTGGTTACATAGGTGTAAAGCCGGGAAAGCAAACTGAAGTAAAGTTGTGCAAAGACAAAAGAAAAAAGAAAAGTGGGTCTTTAGAAAAGTACAAGTCGGGGAGAGTAGCATGCAAAGTGGCCACACTGACCTCTAGTGAACCAAGTCTGCAAAAACAGGTGTCAAAGAAGCAGTTTTAACCATGCTTTTTTTTCCCTTCTACATTGTCAATCATCAAGGTAATATTTTCAGCTGATTTTGTATGAAGATGTGTCATTAAAGAAAGACAGAAGACGATTGAATTGCCTGTGGAGTACAGTGCCCAGGTCTTTATTGATTTGGAAGAAAAGGACAAGGAAATAATTCAATCAGTCGCAGAACACATCATTGTCTGGTCCCGACACGCAAAAAGACACAGCATCTTTTCAGAGGCTTCACTTTATGCAGACTTAATCCTGAAATAATCAAGTTGTGATATCCAGCAGAATCACAAGAGGGAAGGAAACTGAGGCAGCGAGGAAAAGAGCTTTTTGAAGGCAGCTGTTACAGGTTTCTCTCGGGCCAAAGCAAGGGTGCAGAGGTTGATTAAGGGTTAAGACACAGCCATTGATTGTTTCAGAGAGTTGGCAGAGGCAGGCAGTTAGCTGGGTAGCCGCGCGGCGATGCATATTTTACCTTTTTCTCTTTGAGAGGCATTAAAGCCCCTGGTCTTAGTTCTCTGATTTGTGGTTCAATTCGAGTGGTTGGTTCTACCAAATTTTTCACCCCTACATCCTTAACTGTGCACTTCTGGAAAACCTGAAGAGTGGGAGAAGTGAAGGGGAAATGGGGATAGGGTTTTGAGGAAGGAAGAAGTTTAAGTGTTGTCACCTTTGCCACAGCTGTAGACCCCAAAAGCTAGACAGTCAATCACCACCAGAAGAAATGATAGGTCACCCGCTCCAGCAATGCAGAAATCACATGTTGCAAACATGTCTTGAGAGAATCTGTTTGTGAGTGAGTGTTTGAGTGTGTATATGCATCTAACCTGGAGCTCTGCCATGATTTTGTCCCCTTCATCCTCCTCTTCTCTGGCGACAGAAGCAGTGACGGGTGGAGGGGTGGCTGGCTTCGGCTTGGTTTCTGGTGGAATCTTAGCAGGCTTAGTTTGGGGAGAGGGAGGCGGAGCTTCCTCTTCAGCCTCCTAGATTCATAAGAGGGAAACAAAACACTTATTATGCTGTACAAGGTATCAGCAAGTGACAAGTCTGATAAGGAGACATGGATTGCTTGAAGTCACAACTACAAATCAATAGAACTCTCTTCATTAAGCGGAAGAGATCAGGTACAGGGGCAAAATTCAAGTACATGAAGGTTTTGGTCCACAAACAATTGGATGTAAACAGACCCTCAAGGAAACAAAGAAGTGTAAAGGAGTTGGTTTGAAAGGGACCCACGGTATCAGAACATCCCTAATAACAAGTCAAAGGTAAATGTTCTGACTTCTCAAAAAGAGGACACGACTACGCTGGGGTGGAGTCACGAAGTCACATGGAGTTAATTTTGAGAGTTTGTCGGGTCAGATCGAGTGTCTTTTATGCGCTTCTAACTTGGTAACTAACCCGAAACTTCCATACAAAACCGCAGACATTTGAAGGATTTTATAAACTTCTGTGGACAAGGCTGGACAGCCCCCCCAAAAAAGAGGACATGTCCAGGTAAAAGAGGTCGTATGGTCACCCTAGTAAATGTGAAATTGGAGCACCACCTTAATGCCTTTTTTAAGTTTTGAAAAGTAGGCACACACACACATGTACACTGAGAAAAAACAAGAACATAAAAAGTCAAGAAAAGACAGACAAGGTGAAGCCACAACAGTGGACCTCTTCTCATACCAACCTGGGCTGAAACGGACTCCTTCCTGTTCGTGTAGACCACCTCACCAGAGCGTGTGGTGGTCATGCCTGAGCTCGAGCTGTGAAAGGTCTTCCTTGGAGGAGGAGGTGGTGGGGACTTGCTGACCTTTTCAGACCCCTGCTTGTTCACACTGTCAGTGGGAGACGGTTTGATGGCAGTCTTGGAGGGTTTCTCCAGTGCAGGTTTGGCAGGTTTCTCTAACACAGGCTTTGGGAGTTTCTCAGGCCCCTTCTTGACTGCTGTGTCAGAGAGAGGCTCAGACTGGACCTCTTCTGAAAGGAAAAAAAAAATTTATTTACTTATGTGCAGGTGGCATACTTAAAAATGGGCTCTCAAAACAATGACCTGAATCTGCCCTTCTTTATTTAAATTGTACCTGGCTGTGTTTCCACTGGGTTGTTTTTGATATCTGGTTGCTCTTCTGTGGCTACAGGAGGCACCGCAGGGTTTTCTTCCACCTCCAGACTGGGAATGCCCTTCATCATGTTGGCCTGAGCCTCCAGCAGGATCTTCTCAAACTCCTTCCCATCATAATGACCCATGTTCTGCCTCCTCTCCTCCCATTCCTTCTCAGCAGCCTTAGGTAAAATAAGGAGGAAGAGAGCAAAAGGGAAAGTTTCTTCTAAGTTGTTCTATTACGAGGATGCTGAGTGAAGAGATTTCTTTTTTTTAATTTTTATAAGTAAGTTTGTAAACACAAAACAAAAAAAAAATTCAGTAGTCTGAAATGATGCAATGGTCAGAGTAAGTGCATGGACACTCACTGGTGACCACACAGCTAATCTTCAAATCTCACCTCTATGGACATGGCTCTGTTTTTGCTCTTTTCCTTGCTGTTCTGGAGCTCCTCTATAACAAGACCCTGGTTAGCAGTGCCGTTGCCGTTCACTGGGTTCCCATGTGTCTTCTTAAGATGTGCAGGACTTGGTGGGTCCGAGCCGGCCCCCTTGGGAGATTCCCGACCTTGATTTTTGCCAGGATTGGGGCTAGGAGAGACGGGAGGACTAGGCTGAGCCATCAGGGCTGCAGACTGCTGACACTGCTGCATGTGGACCGGGGCGCTCTGGACGTGATGGATGACCACCGGAGAGGAAGGCATCACCTCTGATCTGATGGTGGAGCTCTGAGGCTCCAGCGGGGCTGACATGGGGCCAGGCTGGGCTGGTGTTGGGGGAGCGTCTGCAGGGGCTGCTGCAACCACTGCTGGGCTGTTATCCACTTGGACATTAGCAGATGATTCAGCTCCTTTCTGCAAGCTCTCAGAGGCACATCTGGAGGGGAAACAGGATGGTGTTACAAACCAGATAAAAACAGATGAAAGGGTGATTTTCCTTTTTTATCATCTTTGCATGACTGGGTCATACTTCAACTACATTTTTAGGAAACAAAACCAAAAACATTAAGTACAATTTAATGTTTCAAGGGTTTCATTATAGTCTTCTTGATTTTTCAACCTTTCTGAAAATAATTTGTTTCTAAGAACACTTTTTCCATTTTACCAAAGAGGATTAGGGCCACAAGAAGACAAAAAAAATTACATGAGGGAGATTTTTTTTAATTTCTCTTTCCACATTAAAGTCGAAATTTAAAAAAGTCAATCTCATCTTTATTCATGTCTACTTTAATCTCAAAATTTCAACCTTCATCTCAAAATTTTAACTTTTTTGATCTGGAAATTATGACATTATTCACGACAATTCGTTATTCCAAAATGTCGATTTAACTCTCAAAATTTCAATTTTGAATCTTGAAATTTCGACATAATTTAGATTTTTTAATGTCGAAATTTTTGCTTTAATGACAAAATTTCAACTTTAATCTCCTTCCTGCAATTAGGCCCTAATTGCAGGAAGGAATTAGGGCCTAATCCTCTTTTGTACCATCTTGACACTGATTCTGATGTTTGAAATTTTGTGTTGACATCCTGAATATCAGTTCTTTTCCATTGTGATTTTAAACTACACCTTTTTAACATCTGTACACTCATACTGAGAGGTCTGTTGTTAAACATTGTCAAGTTCTTGACATTTCAGTAACATTTCTTCACCACTGTTGAACATCTGATACCAGTGCACTCTAAGTAGTACCTAAGCAAGTCTACAGTAATGATAACCCCTGAAGTGGGAGATGAAAGCGCCACAAAAATCTGAATTCAGTGTCATTGGTTTGTAACTGGGTGACTCCCTGTCACAGAGAGAGAGTGAGTGAAACTCAAGCAAGACTTTGGTATCAGTGACATATTAAAATGGAAATGAGGTGCTGCCGTGTCCACCAAATTAATTCACTTATCGGTTCAGTGAAGGCGATGGAAGTACATCAACACACTCCTCTGTCTACACAGAATGGCCTCTTTGATGGGATGAAGTCGATCCTGCCAGTATAATCAAACAGTACAATCTCCCACATCACAGACCCCTGAGAGGAGCTCTGTGGGGCGCTTTTTGTTTTCATCTTCAATCCCCCCTCTCACTTTCTGCCCCCGTACTCCAGCACCTCATCTCTACACTTGTACTTTTATCTCCTCTGACATTTTTACTCTTTCGTTTTCTCCCCGTACCTCCTCAGGCTGCTGAGTGTGTCCGTCAGGCTCTTGACCCTTTTCAGCATACTGTCCAGCTTATGAGGCTCCTCCTTCAGAAACTTGACCGCCTCTACTTCCACCCTGAGCACGGCCCTCATTCTGGTTTGTAGGGCTGGAAACTCTCCTGAAGGCACACACAGGAGAACATGCAGAAATTTTAGTTGAATGATCTTAATTGTCCAGACCAGAGTTCAAAAACTTTATCAAATAGTAACATAAATTATTTCTAATCCTGTGTAAAAGTCTGGAGGTCATTACTTTATCATTACTTTTCTAGTATTAAGATCGTTGTCTGTTTTTATACCTTTGAGCCCCGCCAGAGATTCTCCAACCTTCCTCAGAGTCACTGCTCCCTCCTCCACATCTTTCAGGGTCACTACTCTGTGTGTCGCTGCCGAGTCTTTCTGCAGAGAGCCTACATACTGCTCCAGATCACTGCACAGACAAACAACACACACACAAACACAACAGAAATGATTTAACAGGGATCTAGAGTTTCTAAATACTTGCAAGTCTTCATTCATCGACTTGGCTGCTGTTTGTTATTTACTCATAATAAACAGCAGGGGGCAGGATACAATCACTTATCTTACAGATCACACTGACACTCAGACTAGACTTTAAGATTTAATCCATGAAAAATAAAGTATTCAAAAGTATGTATTCAAAATTTGTACAATTTCAATGATCTGTTTGGGTTTCGCCGTTACCCACAATGCACGGCGTAGTCGTGCTTTTTTTGTGTGTGGAAGGAAAAACACTTCCTCGCATTGAAAGAAACTATCCAAATGATGGAGCAAAATGGCAGCTCTGCTGGGAAATGTGCCGAATGATAACATTGTGTGCAGTGTTGGATTGCATGAGAGGGACTGAAATGGTGTTTCATTGTGGCCAGGTACCCATGAGAAACACTCCTTTGGAGAACTCCCCCAAAGGGAGAGAGAAAAGGCAATAAAGGAGACAGTGTGTTAAATACTAGGCAGTGCCAAGGCCGGTTCGAGAACCGAAATTATGAAGGGATAGTCCAGCTGAGAAGAAAGGAAATAGATTTGTTTTTTTATTACCACCCTAAAGGACAAAATCAGTCATAATAAATCGACATGATATATATCACTGCAGCCCTCAAATTATTGAACTTCTTAAAGTTAGAGAGCTTTTGCTTTAGATTTAATCATACACTGCATTTTCTCTTGCATAAACTGTGACTAAGAAATCAGCTCATAGTTTAAGGTGCTTCTATGAATACTGTGCAGCATGAATATCTCCTACCACGTGTCTACATCTTACATGGTACTTTCGCAATCTCTACTTTCGCAAACATTTGATGTCATCATCTTTCATACCTTTAATGTTTATTTTATCACTTGTGCACTAATATGAGGATAGCAGGCATGCAGGCTGGCTCATGGCACACTATGACACGCTTTTTTTCCTCTGTGGAAGCTATTATCAGTAATGCTTTTTTTTTTTTTTCTTTGCTAAGCATTTATAGCCCTGCTGTCCTTGGGTTACAAACAACCTACTACACAAAGTCTCACATTCGTCGTTGCACTAAGGCTTTCTTCTGTTTTGAAACAGAGTTACACATCTAGCAGAATATGCCCTAACAGGCCGTGATAGATTTAGTCCCCCTCCTGAGAGGGCAGCGGTTTTCACACCACATTCTCCCGCTGGTCTTAAAGCCAAGCAGCCCTAATTACAAAGCCTTATTTAAAGTACCGGCAGCCGTGTTTTGCTGACTCACAACTGGCTGGAAACCAAGGGTAACAGAGATCTAAATCCACTGACTTCCGTATGTTCATTACCCAGTCTGCAGGAGCTGGTTTGGTCGTGTTTATTAAGACAACACTGTTTGACCTTCCTTGTAAACATTCAAATGAACGGATTCAATTACTGCTCCCTGTTGGAAATAGAAGCAGGGGAATTAAAATGAAAGCATGGTAGCGAGAAGTTGAGCGCCATAGCTGGGTCCATTGTTCTGTGTGCTGTCTCTGGTAGGCAGACGCTGCTTGCCTGTATAAACCTGTGAGCTGTAATTTGGAGGGCGTTGGCTTGTCAAAGAGTTTAGGAGTGAATAGCACAGGTGAGCTGATAAAAAATGAAGCCTTTTGGGGATTTTGTTTCAATGGAAGCACCTTGAAATGAGCTGCATGGGTGTGTATTAAACCAGCTTTAAAACTTTTGAAAACCTTTATAAAAGGAGTCAAAACCCTAAATACAACCAAACAGGTTCATTTTAGACCTCACAAAAGACTTTAAGAGAAGTTGAAAAATGGATGTTTGCTTGGGGTCAGGCTTCGTCTTACCCAAGCTGTGTGAGAACACGCTCTTCCAGACCCAGGTACTTGTGCCTGTCCTCTTCTACCAAAGCTCTCTGCCTCTGGACAGGGTCCTCAAGACCCCGCATGGCCTCTGCGAGTTTGACACCGATTTCATGCTCTGCACGCTTCAGCTGGACTCGTAGTGCCTCCTGATTCTGAAGCTGCGCACAGTAAGAAAGAGATAATAAAGGACCTGAACCTGCACATGCAAAACTAAGATGCACACAGTGAAAAAAAACAATCACTCAGAGGAGGAAAGAGGTCTTGCCTGCTGTGTCCTCATCTGATGGAGCTGTATCCTGAGGTCAGAAACATTCTTCCTGAACTGCAGGAGGTTGACTTTTAGAGGAACTGAGCCCTTGTCTGGTGGTGGTGCGCCCCTCTTGGGAGCCATGACGGGGGAACCACCTGTATCAACGAAGGAAAAACTGATCAAATAGCCTTTAAATCAAACTGTTGCTTACATTAGACAAAGAAAATGTTCTAATTACATGTACACTGTGAAACCATGGAGCGTCAATTCTATCAGCCGCACTAAACAACTTACCATCTAATTGGTCCACAACATTTGAACGATTTTAGTGCTCTGACTTCATCTTTCTAAAGTCTATTAGTGATTGCCTGAACTTTCTGAGGCTGTCATTTCACCTGCACTAAAAGCACATTTATACTGGCACTTATATAAGCTGCACCTCTGAAATGTCTGTCAACTGATTTTGACATTTTAGTCACCACTGGAAGCAGAGAAGTGCTAGAAACCATGGAAACTAAGGGAGCTTATATTTGTTGTTTGGGTCAGAGTGCCTAAGTGGCTGACAGCAATAATAATTTAATTCAACCCTTTCAAAAAGACCAAGACAGGTTTTTGACTTTGATGACCCTTACTTTTTTCACCTGAAATCAAAAACAGGATGGTCACTGAAGGAAGACCAGACTTCACTTAAGAAATAGTTCAATTTGACTTCCTCCGATCCGGGGCTCCTGAGAGTGGGTTGAAATTAGTAGCTCAACATTAACGCTCAAATATCAAGAGCTTTTTTTGGCATCTTTCCCGAAAAAGGACCTTTTAAAAGCCTGCTGGGGACTATGTAAGGGTCTAAAGTAGATCTACAGTTTGACGAGACATCTTTGTGTTTCATAATTTCATTTTTAATCCTTTTAGCACCACTAAAGAGGCTTCAAGACAACTATCAAACTTTGGAATTGGGCATGGTATTAATAGTGGCAGCTGTCATGGTCTTTGGATGAAAACACTCTCCAGTTTTGGCCATATATTTAGATTTCTTAGATCTAGACCAGTGTGTCTTTTAAACCTTGACATGTTTCAACTGTAAACTGCCTGCAGACTTCCTCAGAAGAGTCACTTCATGTTACGACATTGTCTGTTAGCTAATTTACAGAGGTTGGGTCGTCTTACCTTAAGCGGCAGGAAGTTCACACCCCCTGTTGTCCTGCATAGCATGACTCTTCTGAGGAAGAATTAACTCATGTCTCAAACAGAGCACTGGATGATCGACATATAAGCCTGACTTAACCTTCTCTGCCAGTGCAAGAATGACAAAGGTTGTACAGCACTTTGGACGGATACTCAGCTCATTATTTTCATCATCTTTGAGGATCTAGAGTTAATCAAAACTGTAAGATGTCATGCTAAATATGCTTCCTTATATGTCCCCAATTTAGGATAAATCAACTGCAAGATAACACTCACACGAAACAAAAAGTTCAAATATTTAACTGACATCACCCAGAAACAAGAGAAAGCTGCACTACACGGCACCAAACATGTTCTCCTAGGAGTTTCGTATTACTGATGTACCCGTAAGCTCATCAATGTCTCATCTTTGTCATGAAAAAAAAAAGGTAAAGATATCATTTAGCCAGGTGAAACTGAAGGAAAATGATCAAAAATTCCAGGTGAACAAGTCCTTTAACCTCAGAAACATTCAGCATTAAGACGAAAAGTGACCCTGCCTGTGTGTTACGCAATAGTTCAGGGAATGTCGTACTCTAAGCTCCTTTAACAGCAACTCTCTCTCTCTGTTGAGGCAGTAAAAGAACAAACTTTTGTCTTCGTAATCCCCAAACTCTTGTCCTAACACACAGCCTGACAGCTGCCCGGACCTGAAGTACAGGTTACAATGTACACAGCTGCCGGTGTTCTGGGCCTTGGGGACACATTGTCCATCAAAAATAGTGCAGGCTCTGCAGTGACAGTGACTCTGGGAACGGTAGAAAAAACTCTCATGTTTGATGTAGCTGGAGCATTTCTGATGTTTTGGACTTTCACTGAAGCATAACATGACAAGTAAATCCCTCTGAAAGCTACACATGAAATCTGTCACAAATCAAGAGATTAGCTCTCAAGACAGATGAATAGTGTTGTTGTTTTTTTTCCCTTTCTGCCTCTGGTAAGTTTGCAGATCTTTTTATCAAATCAAAATCTGACCGCACAGATTGAATGGCTGAATAGTCTTGGCAGGCTTGAAAAGTAAAGGCATCTTGTTTTAAGACGTGCAGCTTGTGTTAGCTCTGCTGGCCCGTGTCTCTTATCTCCGATTAAACTGGATGTATGTGGAGGGGAAAGATTGTTAGGAAATATGAACCGATGACAAGCGCAGAAGCCTGACTTTGTTTTCCCTCCCTCCAGCACTGCTCATTGCAGACTGTTGACTGACATTGATGTGTGGGCTTGTCTGCACAAGACATTATGGCGCTAAGACTCTTGTCTAGAGGAAGAAGAAGTAATGAAATGGAACAGGATTACAGTGAATCTAACCTGAGCTATGGGCGCTGTGGGCTGGAGATGACGTCTTCGGTGGTCTCTCACTGCAGCCAGAGAAAAAAATTGTTAAGAACAGGATTAAGGCTGTGGGGGAAAAAAACAGTGTTTTGGAGCATTTCAAATTTTAAGGTTAGTATTAGTATCAGTATCAACCAACACATCACAACAAAGTATGATGGGAAAGACTTGACAGACCAAAGAGGTTAAGATGATGTTAATGAAGTTAACAAGCTTCATCAGTGTTCACAGAAACACACAAAATCGTTGCATAAACAGACCTTATAGTCTAACAAACATTAACATAAAGTCTGCACTGAGACGAACAAAGTGCAAAGAGTTGGAAAGCAGCCAGATAAAACATAAACAGAGCCCGTTTATCTAGTGAGCACATCAGATTCAATCAAACCCTCTCTACCAGATGTTGTTTTACCTGTTTATTAAGGCAACAGATGAGATTCTTTATCTTTTCTTACCCTGTTTTTTTTAGCCAAGCCTTTCATTAGAAACTCCATTTCCCCTAATGCCTCACTCTGCCCTCCTCTGTGATTGCTTACCTTGGAGGCTCCTTGGTGCCACTAGTGTTTGGCCCCTTTAAAAGTGCATGCTGAACAAGACCAGTCAAGCTGGCAATCTGTTGCTCCATAGCCTTCATTCGCTCTCTGCAGAAACACCAGAAAATTCTACTTTTATCACTGAGGCCTGGTGGAGATTCAAACTGCCACCAGAGCAAAAATGAGCTCAGAATGACAAGTGGAGGACTGCAATAGGGTAATCGATTGTTTTTAATTACCTAGCCGTAAATCTTTCTGTTCTTTTATGGGATTACACACTGGAGATTGTTCTGTGATTGATTTGCAATTAGGTCCTGAGTAAATATTGACTCAAATCAATTGTTTATGAGTTATAACAGGGCTGTAGCACTTGACTGAGTCTTTTCACAGACAAAAAAAAGCTCGAGTCTCAATGGAGTAAACAAGATGGATGACTCGAGTAAAGAAAAGAACCCTAGGGTCGACAAAGAGGGTGTCTGAGTTGTATTGTTTTTTTAATAAAACAAAAGTGTGTCAGCACTTAGAGGAGAATAAAGGCCAATTCCTGAAATTACACAGCCGTAAGAAGGCCAAACGCTTGACGAGTGAATAGTGGACCTCAACAATGTGATGGTTTGGTAAACCTAGAGGCTGGAAAAGAGATCAACTTTTGTTCTCAGATGTCACCATTTATCTTGAAGATGGATGTGGGGCCAGCTGGGGACAGACTGTGGTTTTAACTGTGCTATAGACAATGAACAGACACAACAAATAACAATGCCTAACCTCAGTGATACAGCAAGTTTCACATGAAAAAATCCTTTGACAGCTATAGAGCGCTGAGTGTTGGGACAAAGTTTATTTTTCAAAGTTAAGTACAGTGTCAAATTCCTTTTTTCCCAGAGTCCCAGGGAGTTTCTTACAGGGGGGTTTTAGCTGCTGAGGTGGTCTGACCTGACTGGTTGACTGATTGGGCCAATTCTAATACTTATACAACCTTGTCAATATTTTCTTTGGTTGTCCTTAAAGCCCCTTTAACCTCCTCTTTTGACAAAAGCACTCTTGCCAAGCTAAACGGCAAACACCCCCACTTTCCTTCTACGTTTATGTGCTCTTTGTCAAAGTTAGCAAACCTTCACCAGGAACCAAAACATCTGATGGATTATCCAAACTGAATTGAATCTACACAGGGATTGTTTTTAGAAAACTGTTGCAGACTAATGGAAAAATATACAGTGGGCTAAAGGGTCTCCAGGTGTTATCCTGTTTCACTGGTGGTTTTTGACCATTTCTGGGTCTAGACACACTACAAGAACTCAGACTGTAAGCTCCAAAGTTTGGATAAGAACTGTGAAAATCAAGGTCAAATAAGCAGGACTGGTTGTTCAAACAAACCAAAGTGATACATAAGCCTTGGATTTTTCTGCTGGTTTTAATACGCAGCTATTGACGCTCAAGCTAGTGAAAAGGGTGTTATATTCTTGCCTTCATTCATGGATGATGAACAGTCAGAGAAATCCAGCGTCATTGTTAGGGTGAAACTGGGATGCAGAGTTAGTCCATGCTCCCATGCAAAATCCTTAATTCCAATTTTAACAATCCCCACACCCCCTTTTCCTGTAATGATCCCCTGGTGCTTGTCTTACCGTGTTTGGTGGTCACCTGCAGGTGGGATGGGCCCTTGGAGGTGACCCTGGAGGTCAGCAACTACAGGAGATCCCATGTTGCTCCTCGGCTTGGCCCCTGTCATTTCCTCCTTCCTGAAGGACTGGCGCACAGGTGAGCTCCTCTCCATGGGAACCCCATGAGGTGGAACACCATGAGGAGGCCCACCATGGATGTCAATCATGCGAACCTCAGCCATGCGGTGAGGGGATGGAGGAGGTGTCTTGGAGCCCAAAGTAGGCAACTGGCTGTTCCTGGATTTCTGCCTGTACAGTGAGGGATGATCCAAACTGTCTGTGGGGCTTGGACCTCCATAGGAGCTCGTGGAGCGAATGGAGGCGCGGTGAAATCCTCCCATGTGGTCTGGACCGTCAAGCCCGGGGTTGGGGTGTGGTCCATGGGCAGCCATGTTCATTCTTCCCTCTTGGAGTAGGTATGGGTCTGCATACAAGCCCTCATTTGCCCTGGATAGAGTGTGGCTTTTACCCCCCATGTCCTCATCAGGCTTGACGTCCCGCCTCTCCAGGATGGCGCTGGGACATGGTGAGATGGAGCGGGCTGGGGGGTTGGCATTAGCCAGCCGTTCTCTTGGGATAGTAGAGTTACCAGGTAAAGAACCCTGCCGTGGGCCAAAGGGGATTCTTGAGGGGGATGGGGGCATGGAGTGGGGAGATGGGGGCAGTGCTCCTTGCATAGGGTGTGGAGGGGGACCCATGGGGGGCTGTCTCAGAGGGTGCGGTCCATCACGGGCAGCATTTACCATCTCACTGTGCATCTGTAAAATCCAAGAGCAGATAGACGTGTTACATATAAAAAGTATTTTCATTTTCACTTGGATAGAAAATGTAATAAGTCCAGGAAATACACAGTTAAGGATCAGTAAATATATTAGAGTGCATTACTCTGTCTGCTTAAAAGCTTCAGCCACTCTTTATTTTTAACATATCCTTTATGTCTGAAAGAGGTTGCCCTTGAAACAAAAACATCCATCTCACTGAGTTTACTCTGCCGTTTCCCAGGAAGAAAAAAAAAAAAAGAAGTACTGTCAGCAATTTTCCAGAGCCAGAAAATAGCTACTCACAAGGCTACTCTACACTGGACAGCATTTTACTCTAAGTCTGAGATGTTATGGTCTTTGAAAAATATAACTGTCACACTCCCAGGCTTGAGAGGTCGGTGGTTGGCCTGCAGTAAGATCACTCTGACCTGCATGCCGATTTGGATCACTGTTCTTAAGCTGGAAACCTATCAAAAGACCATTGGGTATGAAAGTGTATAAAAACAAACCTGAATCACAGTAGCTTTTAAGATTAGGAGACTTCTTTCAAAAAGAATGTGGGTTGAAAGAGAGTTTTACAGATTCAGCCATCTGTTAAATGGAGTTTTAATATGCAAACAAGTCTCATCGCATTTTTTTACTGTTAGCTTTGGCTAATATTTACATCTTTGCTAGCTTTAACCAACATAAGCTAAGGCTAGCTTAGTTTCGTTTAGTTAGTTGATGCTGCATTTCTAAATCACTGATGCTATCGACAGCAGTTCAGATAATGCATCTTTTCTAGTTGTGCTGATGCCACATTCTCATTATTCAACAGTTTGATATATAATAACAGTGATGGCTTTTTTTTAACTAAACACTTCAAATTTCATTTGTGCCTACAAGAAGGGATGCAAATGGTAAGTGTTTTTTTCTTTCCCTTTTTTTAAAGTGTAAAATCAATGCAAGCTACACTGGCTTAGGTAGCACAGCTGATATATTGTGTCAAAATGGCAACAAGGCCTGATCCGTGCCATTTGACATGCAGAGGAGTGTCAGTCACAAGAGAATCCAATCTATCTTTCCTCCCGTCTAACTCTCGGTTCCTGCCAGACAAACAACTCATTGTTCCTCCAAGGTATGACTCATAGGTTACACCTACATAAGGAGACAAGTCAAAACCTCATGCAATATTTTTTCAGAAATTTCAGGTACAGGTTTTGACACTGTGCTTTTTTACGATGGTACCTTTATTTAGATGTGCAACAGTGCAAATACAGATTTCCTTACAGTGAAGGAAAAAATAAAGTGTATGTAGGAGTGTGTGTGGAAAACAACAACCACTCAAAGTGTACAATAACAAAGAGCTCAGACTTGGCTGTGATAACAAAGGGGGAAAAAAAGAGGCTCGCTGGCAGTGAAAGCACACACAGCCCGTTAATATGGCAGCAACAGGTCTCGCCAAGCAACAGAAATACATAATAGGAAATCCAAGACACACAAAGCCACTGTAGACTATCATAATAACCTGCTGACTCTCTTTCCAGGGTACCCAAACACACAAAAAGAGAAAGTGCCCTCTGGCATCGCTTTGCCAATTCCTACACGGCCTGGTGAGGAAAATTTGGACAAACTGTTCAATCACAAACAGATGAGGCACCTCTGGAGCTCGAGCCATTTTTAGAATATCCTGAAAAAATACACTCCCTTTATGGAACCAGTCTGTGTTCATCTGCTCAATACAATAAATTACACATTTGACACAAAACAGAAGAGCAGAGTCAGGGAAAATGAACACATGAGTGTGCACACCAGGCTAACAGGAGGCTGCGTTCAAAAACATTTGGTTTGAATTTGACTGTGGACTCTGTTTTTGTGCTCTTAAGCTTCCAATAAGGAGGGCAGCATGTCTGGTAGGAGCGCATGAAGCTGTTCCAAACTCTGTGTTACAATCGCAGTCGTAATGTTTTCTTATTGAATCTTGTGTTTTCTTTGAACTGATTGTGTCTGGAGCGTGTGTGGTGAGTGTTTGGCGAGTTGCTGCCTATCTATCATTGCAATTAGACGTGCTAACGCCTGCTGCTGATTGGCTGCTCGGGGTTTACGGGTGGTAGGCCGATGTAGGGCACCACCTTGATTTAAGGAGAAGAAGTGATGTCACCGCAGCACAGGGGGAAACCTGTAACATTCACTTTCCAATTGGCTACACCACAGCAGTATTGAGAGATTAGCTCCTAATTGTCAGTTATCTCTGATTCACCCTGAGGAGGTTACCGTTCTTTGTCACTCTTGTATTGTTGTTTAAACCTTAAAACTAAAAAGTGTAGCTGTTTGAGAAATGAGTGAAATAGATCATTTTCATGTTGTGGCCTGGGCGTAGAACTCTGTCTGTGCTGGAGATGAAACTGAATCAGAGGAAGGCAGTAAATAAAAAGAAGGTGTGCATGAATGTTCATGCAGGAATCTGGACACTAAAGCAGCTGGGTCTAGGTCTGGATGTGCTTTTCTAACCCTTTGAGCACATAATGGTGCAAGCTTACTGCTAATAATAATTCAAAGTAAAAAACAAAAATACTCTTTTTGTTTTCCCCTTCAGGATACATACTAAAATTAAGTAGTTTGCCTAGAGGAAAAAAGGCTCGAGATTAGACAATGACTGAATCTCTGTTTACAAAATATCTCTAACAGCAGTATGTACATAACATCACTTCTGACAGCTGCTATTTACTATTTTATAAATATAGAGTACTGCTTTAGGCACAGTCCTTTTCACAAATACGGATTAATACTGTAAAATGTTTCTCTGTTCTTTCATTAGATAAAAACATCTTTCAATTCAAGGAAACATCTCCTTATTTAAACCGTCAGCCGCATATTCTGCTTATCAAGTCACACATGGATACATTTATGGATCTATTTCCCTGAAATCAGTTCCTGACATGAGTGAGATGGATGTTTACAGAACTTAAGACATCTCAATTTGGTCGGACAGCTTTCGATCGATAAAAAGAAGTAGCTGTGGATCCTGCTGTGAATCTGATCTGGGGTGGCGGAGGATACTGAATAGCCTAACAGATGTGAAGAATAACGATGCCCCCCACATGCTTGAGTGTTTAAACAGGTGTACAGCTTATTAAGTTGTAGTATTTGCCAGGGTCTTTTAATAAGAGATTATCAAGAAAATTAAAACAAAAACTGTGTTGCCAAAATGTGCCAATTTCTTCTTGTTTCTTCTTGAGGAACAGTGTGATCCACCTGATTGGCCTCTTTACAACAACAACAACCACCTTCAGTCTTCTATCCGTGTCAATTACTGCCTGGTTAAACAGTGACTGACCTTTTATATGACAACACTCCCTCTGCCTATCCCCACTTCAGGCCTAGATTCCACAATGTTTGCACAACAGTCCTCGTGAAGTCGACTCGCTCAATATGTTTTAGTTTATCCAGTCAAAGTCATATTTCTGCAATCCTGCTGATTCAGCCAGTTCCAGAGTTGTAAAAGCAGCCTGGAAATACACCTGCACACAATTTATGTTCTGCAGCCAGATCGCAACCTCTTTTGCTCTTGAACTGTTTGCACTGTTAAATTCCCATTTCACTTTCTCATTCACGTCTTTTTTTGCCATCTATTCTCATAAATGTCTCGTGTTCACTTCCCCTTGAAGGACCCCTGTCACAAAGAGCCGCCGCAGCAGCTCTTCTTCTGCGAATAAAAGAGTTTTTGCCAGCCTTACTGTCATGACACAAACTAAACCAAGGCCTCTTGTAGCATCGTCATGTTTGCCTCATCATTCCTCCAAAACTTTATCCGTTTCACTTTCAACTGAAGTGACACATAACAGAATGTGAGAATGGGATCATGGGTAAGGCTAATGTAAGTTTTTTGCAGTATCACAATGGTACTGCGGCAAGCTGAGGGGAGCAGCAGGTTAGATAAAGGGTCAGGCGGATTAGTGCTGAGGATTTAAGGTGGAACATTTAAGGAAACAGCTTTTTGTGGAGGGAGGAGGGGGTAGTTTTGTGACATCAGCAGGGGAACAAACATGCTAGGATTTGAAGAAAAAGTGTAAGGGATTAGAGGTGATACTAGAGGAAGACTGAACAAGGAAAATACTCCTTAGATTTGAGCTTGATTGTCCTTTAAGGAAACTGCAGCGGAGTGTGCAGGCAAGGCCCCTTGGAGAACAATATGAGATCCCCTTGAATGGATTAAAAAGAAGCAGGGGGACATTCCTCCACTCAAGTGCAAACAGGATGTGAGAGTGAGGTGAAACACAGGCTGGGATAATCTATCTGTGACATGCCTGGTTGTCTCATAGCAGCTGCACACACCATTTTCACTTCTGTGTTAGCATACCTGTCGGTAAAGTACTCACCCTGGCATCACCGTTAGCAGGTCTTGGTCCATGGCTGAACGCTTGTGCTGGGTCTTTGTGGTAGACCTTCAGGCAGGAGTGGTCTGTGATGCTCCTGTAGGGGGAAGAAGTGGCCCATGGTAAAAAAGCAGCCCAAACATCACCGTCTGACCGCGGCCGGTGCTGCCTGAGCCTGGATCTCTTTAGCAGCTCCGCCAAGGGCACATACCCTGACAGCGGCTCAATCTGTCCTCTGCTATATGACATTTCCTCTAAATCTCTTAAGTCTATAAAAACATCCACTAATACTGTCTTAAAACGTGGCTTGACTACATAAACGCAGAATAGATCCTTCTTTCTTTTGCAGCAGTCACTCTCTCTCTCTCTTTAGTGTTGCGCCCTGGTTACCTGTACCAACCTTAAAAGATCACGAGACAATTTTTTACAGCCCAGATAAAGAATTAGTCACAAAGTACACACTGCACTTGGGCAGGAACTCCAGAGACAACAGGGCAAAGTTTCTCATACCTACAAGAGAAACGCTAAAGTTTAAGACAAGAACAAATGGCTTTATACTATCCATGTACAAAGAATCTGCTGCATTTTTGATAAGATATCCTGGTGAATACAAAACCAGGAGGGTGCAAAGAACAAGAAAAAGCAGCGAGATGGTGTGTGCGTGTGTCTCTGTGCTTGTAAATTATACTCACAGCATGGCACACGACACTTTTGAAACTACACTTGAAAGCATAAAAGGACCTCAGAAAGTGCAAAAAGTCAAACCCGACAGTGCTCAAACTTTCTAGAGTCAGAGTCTCACCACAGGAGGGAGGGCAACAAGCACAAAAAGTCATCAAAGACCGCGTCTTACTGTGGTGAGGTAAACCAGAGATATCTTTCAATAAAGCTTCATCTCCATATAAGTTATTCCAACAGAGTGAAACATGAAAGTGAAGGGTGGAAATGTTTCCTGGCCAGTGACACATCCTGTTCAGGGAGAGTTAAGACATGAGTGAGGAAGAGGAAAAGGAAAAGACCTGCAGAGGAAGACTGACACTATGGAGCAAAATAATCCTTAGCTGTGCTTTTTTTTTTTTTCCCAAACATCCCATCGAATGTTGGATTCATCTCACAAAAAACATACCTGACATCAGTGAGTTCATAGTACATATTCCTCATGTCGTCTTTGACGTAGACGGCCATGCTGGGTGACTCAAGCATCTTCATGGTGAGCAGTTGTGGGAAGGCACTAACAAACAGAGCTCTGACAGTGTCGATGCTGGTGATCTCATTAGGCATACGAATCTGTTTGGTATCGTCTCCGTACTGCAGATACAGCACACCTACAGACACACAGACGTTAAGCAGGTGGTTAGCTAGACGGAAGCAGCTTTCATTTAATACAAAATATTTCCCATGACAAAGACTGAGATTTTAAAATCCCCACATGAAAGAAAAGCAATTAACAAGTTTTTTTTTTTTCCCCAAAGTGTGATCTGAGAAGTTCAACCCCCCTTACTTTGGAGATCTGTTGATGCAAAAACAAAACTTGAAGCAGCAACTTCAGCAGTCAAAACCTGCCAACTATGTAACAAAGGTCTTTCGTCTTGGCTGCTGTCAATAATTGCTAAAAATACACTTTCCATTAAATTTGGTCCCAATCTCTTTCTGTTCAATTCTGTGTTAATCGGTGTTAAGGCTGGACGCTGTATAAAACGTGGATGTAATCTCCATGACATCACTTGTTTGTTTCTTAAGAGGCTTTAATAAGCCAAACAATGGTAGTCGTCAAATTGGAAAAGCTGGCTCAACCTGACTTACAGTAAACCGAACACCATGCCAAAAGGGGGAGTGGAAAATTTGACATCCTGGCACATGGCTACAGCACACATTTGCCAGTCACATCAGTCACGTGTCTTATTATGTATATTTATATATAACTTTAAGCCATGTTAGAGATAAAAACACTTCTTAAACAGCATATACAAAAAAATGAGCTCCTCAGACCAAAACACTCTTTGTACCAGGCTGTAAACATGAAACAAAGCTGTTGATTGGCTGTCCTAGGCCTGTGGATCAAGCCTCAAGTGGACAGTAAAGGAACTGCAGTTATTTACACCTCTGCATTGGCATAACTTTGCACTTCTGCAATATCCCCTGCAACCATAGAGGTTGTATCAAGGTGTGTCCAAATTCTGTATTCTGCCTGCATCCTTTCTGGTTATGGCTGCGCTTTGCCCAAACCTGCATAGATATTTAACTTAATTAAATAAAGAAGAATAATTATCAGCATAGTTACACTCCTACCAAGTAGGTATTGAAGTATATGCCTCCAAATATGTGGGTGTATTTAAGACTCTCAATTTTACCACGAGCAACCACTCTGCTGTTTTGTGAGCTTCAAGTGGAGGAGCAGGCCTGTGATGAGTCTGCAAAAACAGTGGTAGTGCTAAACCAATGTAACACTTGCAGCACTGTCTGCAGAACACTAAGCAAAACTAGATGAAAATGTATTACAACGTCACATTATAAGACAGATGGATAAATCAATTGCAATCTGTGGGTCAACACAGGTCTCTTTTGTCAACCTCTAATCTGAAATTAACCATCATGTGAACTGTTACTTGACAACTATTACGTAAAGGAATATGCTAAAGATGACTGAGGAATAGAGACATGGTCTTCCCAGTAGGATGTGGTCTTATTTCTTTATTTATGTCACTTGCAGCCCAACATGAAGACCCTGTACCAAAAGTCACAACTGAGCAGATGGTGGTAAATGTGTTAGCTCTGTTTATGACAGCGATCCTTGTATCCCCTTTGTATTTTAACAAGAGTATAAAATCTGTCATCATATCTACTTATCAGTTCACTGCATCAGCCACTACTTTGGTAATGTGGGTGGTAAACTGCCCCTCGAGTTATTTTTACTATTGAATGTGCTTATCACAATGAACACCTTTTCTTGCAGACTCTGAACAGATAAGAACTTTTTTTGTGGTCATTTAAAGTTGTCTGTCAGTAGTATGCTACTAAACCATGGTACAATATCAACCTGCCAGTCAACTCCGGCTCCTGTCACACATGTTTGGGAGCAGCACGCTGTATATTCCAGATTTTCAACTCAATCTTAACAAAGTGAGTTGGGACAGGAATATCGCCAGAGGCGGAGCTGTGGTGGAACAACACAAGTTGTGCATCAAGAAGACCAAAGCCTGAACCTCTGAACCTGGGTGTGGCTTCTGTACTGTGCTTTGGAAAAACAGATGTCTCCCACACTGAATTTATGGACACGCCCACACTGCACTTGTGTAAACAATGCCAGAGGAAAGAGAAAAAAACACATTTCTATTTCTGGTCTCTGATTCATTGCTTTGAACAGCATTGATTTTATAGGGGTTATCTGTCGCAACATTGGAGTTTCATCAAACAGAACAAAGGAGTTGCTTAATTTGATGTTCCTCTCTAATATTTCATGTCATCTTTCATTAGATTTTAATGAGCATGTCACTGCCTAGAAAAAGAGTTTGCTCAAATACACATCAATCCTTTATGTCAAAGTCACTTTAAAGATTATCAAGTAAAGAAATGGTAGTTTTGAAGTTAAGGAGGCATAGTTTGGGTGAATGTAACCCCATAAAAGGACTGAGTAAAAGCAGTAAAAGCTACCAGATGTTGAGTGAAACAGTATACAAGATCCTACGTGCTCAACAAGACCAAGTGAGACAGGCAGAAGGCAAATCCAGGAAATAAAATTGCTGAGTCTATCATAGCTTTCTGGTCTGTCTGGCTTTCGAGGTAGTAATAACTTAACAAAGTGCCCATTTGCAGAATAACTTCATTTTTCCCCTGAGAGCCGTTAGTGTAACAGTCGGCTAGTTTTCATGCAGATGTTTGCAATTAAAGCCAAAAGGTTAGATGACAAAAGCGCCATTGATTATGCATGCTTTATAAGGATTGAAACTTTATAACATCAGTTTTATTTTCTGCATGAGAGTTGAATAGTTTGGTGTTAACAAAGAGCTGTGCTACATTCCTGAGCGTTTGCTTTTCCTTTAGGATTGGGAGCAAATGGTTTGTTGGTTTCCTGACCAAATGGGCACAGCAAAAGTTTTCCACATTACCTCCAGCGAGACACAAAAGTTCAAATGAACTGAATATCTTTGTGCATTCATGAATAGCCTAAAGAGGTTCACAATGCAGGATAAAAAGCAGATAAAAAAAACTCTCTAAGAACCACAGAATAATGAAATGAAACACAATACCTTTGATCCAACATTGCAGATTAAACTTGATACTCACATTTGAGGTTTTTGGGATTTCCTGTTTTCTGCTGAGCTTTATAAGACTCTGGAAAAGACCACGCAACTCTTACAGCACACGCCGAAGATACTAAGCCCCACATAGAAGCTCCAAATGTCCGTTGGGACCCGGTTAAGTGTGTGCCTTGGTGTTTGCGTGTGTGCATGTGTGTGTGAGAGAGTCTGTGGGAGGGACACTGTAGTTAAGTGGTGCCCCCTTTTTCTCTCCTCCCCTTTCATCACACCATAACCCCCCACTGTCACAAAGCTTTGTCCTGATGTTTGTGAAAGAGAGAAAAGAGAGCCAGAGCACGCATGTGTGCAGGGTGTGTGTGCATGCATGCGTATCAAAGCATGTTTTTTAAAGGTGTTTCTCCACAGATTTTTGCATTCTTGCTTCCCAAGCAGAGCAAAATGTGTCTGAAACCAAAAAGCACCTTTAAGTTTTATTCATTTTCAGTTTGGTCAAAAGGCGTGCCACTAAGACGCTTTGCTATAATCTAGCAGCAAACTTCCTGCTGAGCTGTGAGCTACCTTTGAAGACTATTCTCCTTAAAAAAATATACAGACTCTTCACTTTGCATGAGTTCTCAAACTTTTTCCACCACAGTCCCCCTAATGCTGCAGCCTAATTCTCCCTGCTCCCTGCATATAGATGCAAATGAAGCACCATGTGTGTTTGATAAGACGACCTGTTTCTAATCCTGTCAATAACACGATGGCATATTGTGGCTAGGTTCCCTAATCTTTCACTTCAGAGGAATGAATTCTAATTAAAACAGCAGTGAGTGAGGTGGAGGGGATGGATGGAGCGAGAGGGAAGACTCAGACAAGGTGAAACGGTGAGATCGTGGTATGGTTTGGAGTTATTTTAAAGGGTTTTAGAGTTAAGAAAGATTATACTAAGAGAGCTGGGAAATTTAGGTTATCGAGAAGGATTAATGTCAAGTCGCTTTCACCTCAATCTATTCATAAAGTCAATTAAAGATATGAGATAGGGCCTTTTCTCAAAAGGTTCCCAACAAAGCAGATATCTGAATTTCTCTGTGGAAATTTGGGGATTCAAAGAGAGAGAGAGGGGGCTGATTGACAGCTCATGTTGTGGTCAAAAACATAACACATGACACAGACTTTTTTCTGACTGACAGATTTAACTGTCTTCAATGAGATCGTACCCAAGGAGCGGTCCTTAGTCTGGTTGGTCGATCGCACCACAGGCAGACTCGCACGGATCCGGCTGCCGCGGGTGAATGCTGTGGGTGCGTCGGCCTCAGACATGGTGTCCAATGACTCCAGGGATGCCAGGGATAGGTGGTCAACCTGGTCGGCGACGCTGGACTGTGGACTGGGGCCGTGCTTTGGGCTTCTGCTCTGGAGGGGGAGACATGGAAACAAAACAAGTAATGGGTTAGACGTAAAACATTGAACCTAAAACAGTAAAAACCACAAGCACTAAACAGACTCTTTAAAGGCATGGTTTGGTTTTTGCAATACCACTGTTTTTTAGGGCTGGGAGAAAACATTGATTCACATAAGTATTGCGATTTTTTCTTGTACAAATTTTAAATCGATTTTTATGTTAAAAAAAACTTTTTTTTTTTTTTTTTTTAATTTAAGAATAAATATTAAAAAATGACTTACATGTGATGTGGATTTTTGGGGAAATATGGTTCCTGGAATAGTCAGTAGACGATCATGATCATTTAACTGTTTCACTGGTGTTTTTTTTGCAGTAGTTTCTCATACTCAAAGCCAGTGATCAGATTTTGTATCACGGAGAAAAACAGAACACTAGAAGCAGTTGGAGCCACTATATTTCAGTGGTAAGCATACAAAAACAAAGCACTTTTCATGTTGACTTTGACTTGACTTCAGCTCATGAAAAATAAACCAAACGTCTTAGTCATGCAAAAGTTGTCACACTACGTCTCAATCCCACATGCTCATACTTTTAATACTACTTACAGCAGTCTCACAGCAAACCGGGTTAATAATAATTATCAAGAACGAGGAAGCTTCAGAGTAATGAGCCAATGCATTTATAGTCTTGGATCTGTTATGTGTTTTGACGATGATGACACACAAAGAAATAAAAGCAGAAGCTTACTCACAGCTGAAGAAATTCTTTCCAAGCACTGATAAAGGTTCATGACTTGTGTCATCAAAACTTAAACATCAGTTAGTTCATCTGTAATCTGACCAGCATGACGTGGCATCCACGAGCCACAGCTACAATAAGACAATGTGTGAGAGGGCTACAGAGCCCATGGAGCTACTGTGCAGCGCTGTAAGCTGATCTGTTCCAGGGGGGAAACAGAGAGGTCAGTGAACAGTGGGCCCTTTATGAAATGCTCTTCTTCCCTTGCAGACATGTAATATGCTGTGGAGCTAACGCAGCTGGAGACACAAGGCTGAGTCCATCGAGAGATCCTGAGCCTGCCTACATGCACACACACTGCCTTCTTTTGAACTCTCACATGTACAGACAAATAAAGAAACTGAGCTTTTAATACTAACTGCAGTTGACTTTCACGGCCAGAACTGGTTTAGCCTCGCAGCCAAGTGTTTTTGGCAGGCACACACAGGGGCAGACGCTAGGAGACATGGGGGTGCAAGAGTTTTGAACACAATCGCCCAGCAGATGTTAGGAACATAGCTACACACTCTGACATACAAACACACGCAATTGCATGATGCAGATAAGTTTAAAAAGGCTGACTAACTCTGTGGGGCAATTGGATTTTCATCAAGTACCCCTGAATGTCAAGCTCAGAGTGAAAGGAGGAGAGCATGTCCTGTAAAGACTGATGGGAGAAAAAAAAGGAGAAGAGGAGAAAACAGAAAATAAACACAAATGCCAGCAGGAGTTGAAAAACAAAAACAGTCATGAAAGAAAACAGAGAAACTATGGAAACAGATGGATCTCGACAGCTTTAAAAGGAAAAACATACATCAGAGAGTTTGTCCACTTACCTGTTTTTGAATGTTTTTTCTTGAGTACACTGTTAAACCCATTGACTTCAACAACTACATTAGCTGAAAACATCAGCGCCCTAATGCCCTTTCAGTCTGCACAGTGTGATATTTGCTGATTCCAAATGTGCTGTAGTTTTTGGGATGCACCTTCACACAATGACCTAACACAGCAGGTGAAACTGCTGAGCCATCAACAGCCTCCTGTAATTCCGCTGAAATACACTCAGCATGCAGCAGCAGCAGATTAAAAATACATGAATAGAAATGTGCCCCTCTATTGTAAATACATGATGATAGTCACCCTTTAACACAAAGGGGTCACATGGAGTTGACATGTCACTTGAAACCAGACATGTGTTGGGTAATTTAACCTGAACGCTGAATGATTTATGAGCTTTTATTCACTGGTGGGTCCAAGAAGGCCTCCTACACTGCTCTTCTATCCTCTCATATGCGACTGAGTCACCCTTGGGAATGTTGAATCATATTGGCTTTCTCCATCACCTGTACATAGTTATGAAGTCGGGGTGAGTTTGGCAGTGTAATCCAATATTTTCTGAATAACAAAAGAGGATTAGGGAGAAGATGCATTCAAAAACTAACTTGTATAAAAGTAAATATGACCTGCATGTTTCATGAGCTTCTTCAGTCCATAGAAAACACTTTTTTTATTACTTAATAGAGGTAGGAATCACTAATGGCCCCACAATATGATATTATCACGATACTTGGGCCACAATATGATATTATCACGATTCTTGGGCCACAATACAATATTATCACGATACTTGGGCCTCGGTACAATGTTATTGAGATTTTTAACATTTGCAATACAGTGAGTATTGCGATACATTATATTATGATTTATCCTTTTTTTTCTTTACTTTTTAGCTAATTTAGCATTTTCCTTTCTTTATATTTGTCCTATTTATGCTGTATTTTATTTTCACGTAGCACTTCTTGCAAACAACCTTATAAATATTTGTTATACTGACTTTCTCCTGCTTTATGGTGTCACCTCTGCCAACGTCACTGGACAAACAGTTGATATTTTTCTCTATTATCATAGATTTGACTTAATATTAGCAATTAAGTTGAAAAATCAATACTTGGTAAATGAGACGATTCAATATTTTGCCTGACAAAATATCGCCATACTATGCTGTATCGATTTTTTCTCCCACCCCTATTACTTAAGCTTTCAAAGATTGTTAAATGAAGCTTAGTACATGGAAAACTAACAGACTACAGGTATCTTTTGGTAACATTTACCTGACATTATAACAACATGGGAAGTAATTTAAATTTACTGTAAGTCAAGACACTACTACTGAGTTCAGTTTAGCCCTGGGAAACACACTTGGTCAAATATAAAAGGAAGAAATTGGTCTATTTCCTCTTTTAAAAGCTATAGTTTTGCTTAGAAATTGCTAATTAAAAATGTTCCACTCTTGCCAAATTTCAGGAAGCTTTTAATAGTCGCAGTGTGACAGCTGGAAGAAGAATTACCCAACAGATAAAAAGATAGATAGCGGAAGCAGTCGCATATAAAAGTGGAGGTAATTGCAAATGAGACCTTCTGCCTCCCTGTGGAAAGGGGTAATTAAGTTAAACCACTCCACACCAGCCCACATCTGACAAATGAGGTGTCCCCTCCAAAGGTCGACAGTTAGTTAACTCAGATGAACTCCACTGTCTTTCTCTTTTCCCTTTTCTCTTACCTGCTTTCAGGGATCATCATTTTGTCAGTGTGATGTTACAGAAATGCCCTGTATCAAAAGCCACTTCCTGGCCTGGGTAACCACTTCCCACTTCTGAGTCCAGATGTAAAAACCGCGGGCCAACCGCTGATTAGCGTCATAAAACCTGCCTTAACCCGCTCACACCTACAGTGCATTCCTCACCAGCGATTTTCCCCTGCTTCGGTCAAAACCACACAGCCTGTGAATATGCCTGTTCAGCAGCGGCTCCTTCTGAACGCCACATTTGCTCTGACAACTATGATGAATGTGAAAGCAAGACACCGACATAAGCTGATACACAAGAATATGGCAAGTCATAAAGTCATGAAAAGAGAGAGGGGGGGATGTGAGTCGAGAAAAAAGTTCTTCAACGTATCAAAATCTGAAAACCTATTGATCGCAAAATTTTCTTATGACAGTGACAGTTGGTTGACTCGGATCAAATACCCTCTGTGATCTGAGTAAGGGAAAAAAATCCTTCATTGCAGAGTGAAGAAATAGGGGACCTTTATATGTGTGCTTTGTCTGTGTTAGAAAGAGAGAGAAAAGAGTGATACAGAGAGAGACATGAGTGTGTGCATGAGTGAGTCGGGCCATTGTTCCAGAAAATCTGACCCGAACCCAGGACATCCTAAAAACATTTATGCAAGAGAGGCCGCAGAGAGAGAAACGCTGAGAGCTCAAGCCTGTGTGGATCCAAGATATATGATTTGAATTAAGTACAACATACTTGTGCCCTAATGAAAAATTCACCAGTGTTATTGAGTGGGCACCTCACTGCAGAGGTATTTGACCAGTCAGGCCTGCAGCCCCTCAGGGAGGCACAACAGTTCGCTCCTGTGTCCTGGAACACCCCCTCTGCACACTAGCTCCCACTGCCAACAGTCCCCACCAGGCTGCACGCTCTACCTCCCCCATCAATGTAATGTCCAATCCTTTAATGTTTTGACATACAGTACGCTCTCTGGTCCTTTAGTACTCTTATACAATACCATCAATTCCCTTCTTTCTGTATCTAAGCAGCATGCATGAACATTATGGGCGTCCTTTATTTCTGCTCATCTATTGTCTAACATCACAGAGCCTATTCAAACCAGAGGGACAATGCTGCATGATTCAACCATGCATTTCATGTTGTGCAGTTCAGCCCCTGTCATAGCTCCAGTCAGACAGGTCGGCATGCTGAGCAGAGATGGAGCGATTAAAGCCGATCACAGTTGTTGAGAATAATGACACCTCATACCAGAGGCCTGTTGTGTCACTGATTGAGATTAAAATGTAGCCACAGCCTCAGAAAAGTACCTGCGTGTTTAAAGCAACACCTGCCACCGACCAACACAAAGCCCACTGATTGGTGCCTATGTTATATAGAGTGAGCATACTGAGAGTAATAACAGATTTCCATTAATACTGCCTGGTTTTCTCTGTAAAAGAGGTCTTTCTCTTGACACCTATGTAATCAGGCCATTTTTTTTTCACATGTGGACAACTGCATCAACTAGTTTTACAAACCAGGCAAAAGCCGAAGAAAGTTTTTACAAATGTTTACATATACAGTACATCCACGACAACAGCCGGACTACCATGATCTGCATTTACGCACCACTTCTTATGTACACAGACGAAACACAAACACACACACACAGTACAACCTGACGAACAAGTTCCATTCACTCCTTCCTTATTGTCTCGTTAGAGAATGTCAACACAGGAGAGGAGGGGGAAGATGGTGCGTTGTTTTACACAAACTCTGATGTCGTGAGCACATCTTTCCACTTAAGATGCTAATTTGGCCTCGGCTCTGGCTGGCGAGCGGAAATTGAGCTAACTGTAATTACCTGGACGGATCTGAGTGGCAAACACACAAACAAGCATTGGCTCTGCAGACTGTTAACCCTTCACTTAGCTTGTCTTTTTTGACATGTTATTCCACTAAGAGCACTCAGTCTGACAGGCTGATGTGGTAAATATCAAATTTAAGAAGGAGGCTTTTAGTGTTTTTCGTCTTGAGTAAACTTTTAAACTTTTGGAAAAGTGGGCATCGCCTTTTTGTTTGAAAAGTAAAGCCAATGCAGAATTATGTTAGAGCTGCTTTTACTGTAATGGCCAGCAGGGGGTGGCAAAAATGATTCTGATGATATAAAAACAGTAAGAAAAAAACTGTGTTTGACTGTCAGAAAGAGATTTCTGTTGTACAACACTACTTTAAGACCCACTCCGATGAAAATCATGTTTTTCTTGTTGTCTACATGCTCATATGGCATTTTTCTGATACTAGAGGACATGTTGTGAGAAAAAGAAGTGCGAAACTGCACTTCTGAGTATTTCTGCACTCAAATCGCTGTGAATCTCTGGCAGACCCAAACGGCAGGATCAGATACAGTGAGATGTCACGTAACCAATCCAAGCTCCACCCCTGGAGCCCCACTATGCAAGTCAGGCTTAGAGAAATAGAAATAGGACAATCGTGGAGCAAGCGTCTGAGTTAGCGAATTGAAATGCTCGTAAGAAAGCTAATTATGATATTAGCTTTCATCATGCCCCTAAAGACAATAGTGACTGAGAGTGGAAAAGCTTCTATGTTACATGTTTCTTCTACTACATCAGCAAATGTTAGGCTCCAAACTAACTCGGAGAAAGTATGAAAGTCTCTACCCACGACTCAGAGGTGAATTGCTAATGAGCTACTAGAGCTCTGCAGAAGAAAAGCCCTTGAAAATCAAAAAGTAACACAATTTTGGCTAAAAACTTTATAATCAAAGACCACTTATAACACTTTAAGTAGTAAAAAAAAAAAGAAACAATCGGAGTGGGACTTTAAATACTTCGACCTGAAGAGAAGAGAGGACTGCTTTGTCCACAGGGGGCACCAAAAACAATGTAAACCAAAAGTTCCTCAAAGGAGCTTTAAAAATAATAATTCATGTTTTTTACAGGGTGAGAAGCTGCAATCTGCTCAATAAATAAATAAAACTCTAAATCCATGCCTTAAAAAGTATGATTCTATAAATAAATAGATAATACAGTAACTGCATCTACTTTTCACACAGACTATTGGCAAAAAACTAACTAGCACTATTATCCCTTAAAATATGTCAAAGTTTTTCAAAAACAGGTTCAAAGCAGATGGTCCCAAAAGTGGATGAAGGCTCATTACAAACACCTGTTTGAGTCTAAAACTCTGTGTCACAGCAGTTCTGCTCATCTTTGAAGCATAAAGCCCCTGTCAATCAACCAGTCAGTGCTCAGTCCGTATGCTGTCTGTGGATGGACCATCATCCTTTGTCTCCCCCAGCCTTAATGACATTATACCAAAATCCCCCTAGTCATCCATTCCCATTCATTGCCACCACATCCCTCTTTGCCTCCCCTCCTCTGATGCATTCCTCTTCTAATCCCTTCATCCAAATCCCCAAATGACCTTTCAGAGATGGGCCTGGCTTGTTAATTGGCGTGTTAAAAGTGGATGACTTTATAGTATCCACACAGACAGAGCTGACAGCGAAGGTGAAGCTGTGTGCAGAAGTTGGAGCAGTTCGAGTCCATTTCGCACACACGTCATTCGATAAAAACATGACCAGTACTGATGCCATCTCATTAATAAAATATGACATTGGCAAGTTAAATACAATCAAGCAGATCTGTCACTCAGACCACAAATGAAGTGCATAATCAGAGAAGACACAATGCTGCGCCTGTTGACCGGTGCAGAGAGAAGGCGAGATGACTATCTCTTCCGCCACTTGTGACATTTCCAACAAATGAGCTACGCCGTCCAATTGATTTCATCCACTCACGCATACATGAGTCGGTCACGGTTATCACAGGCAGACATCAACCCCTCCTCTTGAAAGAGCGAGGTTACTAAAGTCAACTCTGCATAACCATCAGATAAATCAGCCAATAAGAGTTTGTGGAGGAGAAAACGCCGTCTTGAACCAGTTTTCTCATTCCACTCTTCTGAAGAGGAGGAAATTAAAGCCCTTATAAATACAGAAGTCATGACAAAATGATAAAACGTTCTGAATTATCTTCAAAAACAGAATCGCACTATTTACCATATCAAACGAGTGATGAATTCCTTCCATAAAGTGACTTCCATGTGAGACTGGAAACTCCCGGCTCTAAAGGAAACAGGGTCTCTTCCTCCTCTGTTGTTTCAGCCCTTCTAGCACTTGCTCTGCACAACCGAGCTGTCCGGCTCTCTTTCCTTTCTGCTCTATCTCACAGCCCTTCCATCCAATGCAATATACACCGCCCCACATCTAAAACTATCCAACAGCACAATACAAACACACGCACACACATACACACTCCACACCCAGGGAAACTCATTGTCTGTAATGTGTGCTTTTTGAAATGTGCATCATTGTGCCAGACAGAGATTGTGTGAGAGTGCAGGATAACTGCACGACTCGCGGTCTTTAAATATTCCTCACTGTTCCAGCAGCATGAGAAAACTCAACCCCTGAAATAGTTTTAAAACTCCATAAACTTTCCAAAAAATTCACTTTATCTTAAAACGGCAGCTCCGGCGCTAATCCCTGTTTGAAATCTTAGCTTGGATCTCATCCCAGTCTTGAGGCCGTGGCTGAAAACTGGCAGATGACACTTAGGTCTAAAGGAGATAAGACCAAATTCTACCCTTAGCTATCCTTAAAGCCCGTGTGAGATATGCAAAGCAGGCTTTTAGCCCAAGGATGAGGACTGTTAATTTTCATTGATAGTGACCTTTATCGAGTTTATTTCGCTTTGAAATATCTTCGCATCAGTATTCTTAATGATAAAATATAACAGCTCATGATAGAAGGTAAAACAAGTTGAACTTACATCCCTAAAATCTGTTTTAAATTTTTTTTTTACTTAAAAATTAATAAATTCTTCATCCAAAAAACATGATGATGTTTTATTTACTTTTGCCTGACAGTCATTTTACCAAACTCAACTTGAACATACCCTAATATAACATTTTGGCTTGCCAATGAACCTTTATCCTGACAGTTTCAAACAAGGATTTTAACATCAGATTACTATTTAAATTTTAGAGGTGGGGAAAAAAATCAATACTGCATAGTATTGTGATATTTTGTCCGGTGATATATCATATCGTCTCATTAACCAAGTATCGATTTTTCAAATTAATTGTTACTGTGAAGTCAAATCTATGATAATGGAAAAATAAAATCAACTGTTTGTCCAGTGAGGTTGGCAGAGGAGACATCATAGAGCAGGAGAAAATTAGTACAACAAATACATAAAAGGTTTACAAGATGTGCAACATGAAAATAAAATACTGCATAAATAAGACAAACATAAAGGAAAGCCAAATGCTAAATTAGCTAAACAGTTGAAAAAGTTGTATAAATCGCAATATATTGGACTGCAATAATCACTGTATTGCAAAATGTCAAAAATCCCAATAATGTTGTATCATGGCCCAAGTATTGTGATAATATTGTATCATGGGGCCACTAGTGATTCCCACCTCTTCTAAATTTCATGTGGATTTGGGTCCTTAAATAGACTCCACACCCACTCCAAAGCATGTCAAGTCAACATAACAAAGTACTCTATTATTAGTTTTTTGGGCAAATGCTGGGAACATTACAAAAGGATCAGAGTGTTTTGCCAGGCAAACCCTGTTTCCCTGACATAGTACTTTCTGTGGTTTTAGTCATGCCTTCAAGTCAAACTGTTACATAATATTAAAGGTCCAAACTTGACCCAGGCTGGGAGATTATTTACCAGTCATGCATTCAATGATTCGCACACACCCAGAGCCTGTACACACATAAAGTACAGCCTCTCATCCCTGTCTCTCTTTCCAAACAAATACATGCAAAGTATTTGCTGACGGGGCTGCAGAGCTATGATCTGCCCGGACATGCTCTTCAGTATCACTTCATAGAGAGCAAGACACATTCTGCAGCTTGGAACACTTACAGATTCCCACAATAAGTCAATAAATGTTTGATTAAACTACAAAAACACACAGAATCTCTCCATGGTGAAACACAAAGCGCGTGTCTATCAATGAAGAATTAACGGACAAAGCTGTGCTCATGTTTCAGGACGCCTATTTAATTGACACGTCCTCACATGAACCTTGTTGTACTCCAGAGAACTTCCCCATGAGGTAGACTTGAAGGCCTTCCAGGTCTGATTGAGCCTCTTGGGGCGTATATCTGAGAATGTGTGGATGCATGTGTGTTTGGCTCTAAGCATGTGGTCACCCAGACAAAGACTGCCTTTCTTCTCTCAGGAGAAATCAGAGCTGTGCATCCTCCGCATCATGCTGTACACTCGGTCTCACGTGTAAACTAATGTCATTAAAAGCGAATAGTTCTTGCACTTCTAAAGCTACACTTTATTTCTGCAGCTTTGTTTGCTTGGTTTGGTTTTAAATCACTGTGTTTTGTCAAATGTCAGGTCGCCTGTTTGCCTGATAATGGCTATCCTATTTATGTCTAATTAACAAGTCACAGAGGACCACATATGCTCCTCCACTGAGCCTAAGATTTATTATACCCACTCTCCCACAGGATGGGTTCCCTTTCTCTAGGTCTGTGTTTGTGTGTGGGCTGCCAGAATAATCAGAAATAATCCAAAGTTTTAATTAAACCCCTGAATCTCCTGAACAAAACGATCTGCAACACATCATGTTGTGTAAACACTGTCAGATACAGTTCATTCTGCACTTGACCTCTCCGCTTATCACTCATGCCTGTTTTTCTTACCTCCCATTGTTTCTTTCCTTGCTCACTTCCTGGTAGTATCATGCATTTTTCCCTCATTATCCACTTTTGACCACACTGACCTGTTTTTCACCTCTCGCACACACAATAAGAAACAGTGCTAAACACACGTCAGTGACCTCTCAGCTGGAGATGACTCGGTCAACCACATGTGGTAAAGCGTGAAACTCCACCAGCTCTGGCTGTCGATAAACAGCAGCACCTATTGGTGTTGGGAGTGTTAAATCCCTTCAGGCCTATGACAGGCTTGTTATGTTTAAAATCATGTTAACACTGACTGCAAAGTGTAAAACTACAAGCCGAACAAAGCTCGGGCTGAGCTGCACGAACATACCAGAGCTGTGGCAACATTTCAACACTTTGAGTTATCCTGATACTTGTGTTCAAGATAAGACTGTGTATCAATTTTCCAGCCCTGTGCACTGATTCGTACAATGCATTTTCAATTAAATAGATTTGACTAATTACACATCAAGTTGCTTACAGCTCTACTTTTCATTATGTTTTCAAATACATAACCTATGGCATGTGTCATTTTGTCTTGCGTTGTATCGTATTATTTAATTTCCCTTTACTACGTTTGGTTACATGTTGTTTTTTTAAGGTCCTTGAAACAGTGAAAGATTACAAATGTAACATATGAGCTAGAGCTAAAGCATATCACTGCATCAATTTGAGGAGGAGGTGCTATGATAAACTGCGGCACATGCTCCTATTCTGTCAAATTGTCTAATTTATGTGTATTTCCATTAGCTGCTGTTGCCAGAATATATACATTTCCATGCATGCTCCAGATGTTCCATATCATCTCTGTCATGTTGTTTACTGTGGAAAATTCTGCCTACTCTTTTTATCTGCTGAAAATTTATTTTCAAGACTGAAAAAAATGAGATATTTTTCTGCCTTTGGGCCAAAGTGCTGCCATGCTCCCCTCTACCCAACATCCACTCTCCTCCCCTTCTATCCTCAGTGAGAAGGGCCAAATGAAAGTAAAGCCCAGGAGATCAAAATCAGGTCTGAACCAGATGCTTGGAGCTGGTCCTGTCAGTGGTAAGATCATCCTGGTGTGCCTTTGCCTCTGCACCGCCTTTTGAAGTGAAGCTCATACCTTTGGCCCAAGGTGGAGTCCAGATGTTGGGCTGCATGCAATGACTTGCAAAGGTGCAGGGGGAGAGAGGCAGCAGGAGAAAATAGGCATTTTGCTTGCTCAGCGTTTGGTTCTGTTGGTCATAAAGCCTGGAATGTCTTTGCCAATACATCAAAATGTTAGCAGCTGTGACTGTGATGGCAGACCATTAAAAAATATGTAATTTTAGACTGACATCTGGTTATCATGTAAGGATTAACCAATATTGGAACTGATACGGTGCAGATTTTAATACTGCATGAGACCGATAATCAATATTTTGAATTGATATGCACTTACGATCCCAACTTAAAACTATGTTTTAGTACCTTCAATGAATGTTCAATCAAAACTGAAACATTCAGGTAACTGTTAGCCGATCAGACAGAGTGGTGAGACCTGCAGCAAAACCAAAGTAGCACTCTTTAAATGTACTTATCAACCATCTAGTGAGACTGATACGGCACATTGGCCAAGACGACACAAAGCATCAAAACTGTTTACATGTCATCAACCTGATTAGTAACATAAGCTTGTTTTTATTTTAATGCTTACCTTAGGGGTAGGAGAAAAAAATCGATACAGCACAGTATCGCGATATTTTGTCTGGTGATATATCGTATCGTCTCATTGACCAAGTATCGATTTTTCAAATTAATTGCTAATATGAAGTCAAATCTATGATAATGGAAAAATAAATTCAACTGTTTGTCCAGTGAGGTTGGAAAAAAATAAAATGAAAATAAAATACAGCGTAAATTAGACAAACATAAAGCAAACATAGAGCCAAATGCAAAATGAGCTAAACAGTTAAAAATATATTATATAATATATCGCAATATATTGTATCCCAATACTCAATGTATTGTGAAACAGTTAAAAATCGCAATAATATCGAATTGTATCGTGATAATATCATATTGTGGGGCCACATTTTCCACCCCTAGCCTACCTCCCCAAACGAGACTTATTTCTAGCATCATCTCAGTCAGAAACAGATCAGCAGTACCAGGAAGGACCCAAAACAATTCCTTCCACTGACAAACAACGATATAAAGACCAACCAAACAGGTAACTACACCTAGTAAAGGCGTGCTGTTGAAGGTGGAGTGGTTTTTAAGTGGAGTGTTCTTGACAGGAGGACAAAGATATTTAAGTCTCTAACCTGTCTTTACCATTCAAACAAATAGAAGTCCAGTTGTGATATATGCAGCATGTATTGTGTAGTACACCTAAACTCAACTTCACCTTTCAAAATTCACACTGGAATTTCTTGTCTGTTCACTCTCTTTGTATCACTGTATTGGTTGGTAGTTTTATAAAAGGACAATCATGCTGTTAAATGTCGTAACAGACTGGCTCCAAGCATAGAGTCCTCAGGCTGCTTTATTGACAAATGGCCTTAATTGTACCTGAAAGAATGTAAGGGCATGAGGTTAAAGAGGCCGGAGACGTTTCACCTCCATTCTCTGCAGATCTGATAAGAAATCTGATTTTTTTCTTTTTTCTATCATCCTCATTATAAAAAGCTAAAGCAAAGGAGTGACAATTAATTAAAGTGGAGAAGGTCTCTGTTGTTCACTTAAGCCTGTTTAATACAGCTCTGTTATGATGCTGAGGAGCACACTGTAAAAAGAGCTCAGACCTGATTAGCTGGTCTGATTAACGCACCACCATTGCACTCGAGACGGAGTGTAAAATTCTGTCTGGCTCGACTCATTATCAGCCATGATCAGAGGCTGGTCCATCAGGGCCTTCTGTCAGGGAGGCTTAACCCCCCCTCACTCCTCCCCATAGCAGTCTGGATTAGACCGGTCTTGGCGCCATTCTTGGACCACTCGTTCCCTCTATTGGGGTCTTGCACCCCGAAAAACAAAACCCCCTTCACAAATCCCCCTTTCAGCAGTAGGTCAACGCATGCCCGCCATTAACCTTGAGCTTCTTGTTTGTGTAACTGTGTTCATGCAGAGGTGGCAGATGCTATTAAAAGCAGCGGATGGTCAGCAGGAGAGGTGCGATGATTAAAAACAGATGTTATTCCTGTTGACCTGCTGCACACAGTGTCTGATTGTGTGATTTCACACACAAGGTGTATAAAGCTCTGACAAAGAAGTGTTATGGAAATCTCCCATGGGTGTAACTGATTTAGTGTGTGCTTACCAGGTCATCTCTTGTGTCACTCTAATCAAAGGAGGAAAACCCAGCATGGAGTGTAAGGGAATGAATGATCCTTTTAGAGTTTAGTTAGAAAAGAGACACAAAGCTCCACTAAACTCCCTCCTTCTAGTCTCTTCCTCTGATTATGGTCAGATTTCTTGCTGGGAGCTGATGAATGCTTGGTGCCAGCTTTATCTATCTGACCTTGGTCCTGAGGAGCCGGAGTGTAGCAGCGCTGGACGCCTACAGGGAGAAATGTGTGGGGGACAGACCGAAATGTAGCAATGGCTCAAAATGACACATGGTGACGGTTTACAGCACATTTACCGTCTACTATGACAAACACTAACTTATGTGTTTTTGTTTGACAGGAATCAGTGATAGCATGCAAATATTATGCCACCAGCTCTGTCCGTGTTGTACTTGAATGCATCAATTTGACATGCTCTATTAATGTCGCAGATCTTTTCTTGGCTTGCAGCCAAATTTCTCATTCAGAACAAGAGAGTCTGATCATTTTCCTCTTTTTTTCAAGTGTTGTATTTATCCAGGGGGTCAGTTCTTACATATCATTTCTGTAAATTAGGAGTCCTCAAGAAAATACGGAGTAAAAAAACGTAATATCATCATCAGATGTCCTCTTCCCAGTTGGCTCTTCATCTCTGTGATTAAGTCCCAACTTGGCAAGCAGTATAAATTTCTGATTATATTGGCCATAAAGAAAATGTTCTGCTGACCACAACACGCACATGCTGTGCAAATAAATCAAGGAGTATTGGCCTGTGAATAAATGGATTTACAACACATGCTAAAAGGAGTCTGAAATCATGACTTAGCATGATAGAAAAGCTGCTATGATTTGTTGCCAGTGAAAATCAATACAAGATGTAGTACAAGACAGTTAACAACATGATGATTATGTGTGAATTCAAAGAAAAACATGTCAATCAAACTCTCTATGAGCCTGTAACTGTAACTGTCTTATGTGGTCCAATAACACTGGGAAAGTGCTAGGCCAAGTGATTAACAGCACGCTGCTCAGACAGCGTTTGTTTTTTATTCTATTTTAATCTTTTGCAAAACTGTATTTATTAATTGAAGCGACAAGTTCAGCAAAGAGAAAACAGTAAGTGCTTTGTCCACAGGGGGCACCAAAATCTACACAAACTGAAGGTACCGCACATTGATCAAGTGTTGCGATAGTTCACAATATTTGATAGTTCACACTGCATAATGTACTTCTTGCAACATTATCAAAGGTTATTGCACATTGCATAATTTCCACATATAGTGCGGGATAACTTGAAGTCTAGCTGACTGTTTTGTCATTGCAACTCTATAAAACACAAGCAGCACACATCTGTCATGCTTTAATGACAAGAAACCAAAAACTGGTTTCAAAATGGAAATTTATGGAGCAAATAAAAGACAAGACTGAACAAGACTGTGTGCACCTAAAAGCGACAGAAAACAGTTTGGGTTTTTCTTGTTTTGTTTTTTTCCCACTGACAAAGTACCATGATCTATGCACTCTGCAGCCTGTCTGTCTGTCCGTCTGTCAATCTGTCTGTCTGCTGTCCACAGCTGCAGACAGCTGTCCTAACATGGCTGCTCGTCCTCCCTGCAGGGAAACCGTTGGCCTTGCAGGTCACAGCTCATCACACACAGACACTAACACACAAGGGGAAGGAGGGAACTTGGTCGGTGAGTGTATGTGTGTTTCTGTGATCGGTCAAGCGGTTCAGTTTGTTCTGGTGAAAGGCCCCCTGGGCCGAGAAAGAGGAGTGAGAGGATGGGTGGCAGTCAGACCAAAGGGATGTTATCTCATCTCCCTTGGGTGGGATTCAGGTCTTTGCTAGGCCTGATGAGGAGAGGAGGAAATTAAACCTCTCGCTTTTGTCGGGGATTTAAGGATCACAGAAGGAAGAATCGAGGGGTACCTTACAGAAGAATAAGTCTGTGTGCGTGTGTGTGTGTGCATGAGTCAGTGTGTGTGTGTGTGTGTGGGTGGAGCAGGGTCATCCTATCACAGTCTTCAAACCAAAGAGGTATCATCTTCCTAACCTCTGCCTGACCTTGATTAATCTGCACCTGTGTAACTCAAACCTCCCGAGACGATTCTTTGTCACCTCTGAAGCACGCACTGTTGCCACTGATGTTGTCTTTCCAGTAAGGTCAGCACTCCACTAGTGTGTGAAAGTTTTTCCCACATGATCTACCGCAGATTTCACATCCGCTCGACTAGTTTTCTGGCTGTTTATCCTCACACCATCATAATTATATCTCCACAGGACACTGAAATGACAAATGCTTCACTAAACTTGTCATTTTTGATTTGTTTGGCTTCCAATCTCTGCTGCTTAAATTAGCAGTGAATTATCTAATATGACATCCCATATTAGATTATGACACATTAAACCTTCAATCATCTTTTTTTGAAGTTACAACAGCTTCATTTGTTTGCCTGAAAATTCAAGCCCAGACCCGTCTGTTCCTTGACACTATCTTCAATCTTTTTCACTGACATGATATATTCAAGAGCAGCCGGCACCACTCAGATCTCACTCCACAAATCTGAATAACATATGACAGGGTTTCACTCCAAAATCAATTTGAAAGTGTCATGTCTTAGCAAACTGACAATCAGCACCAATAGATCAAATCTGCCTTGGCTTATTCTAGCATATGAGCAGCCAAGAAATGAACTCCACAGACTTTTGGAATAAGACAGCTTCATGTTTTTAAACTGTAACTCAATTATTAAAAAGCTGTGTCAGATAATTCTGGGTAATAGGGATGGGAAGGTCCAAAGTGATAACTCTGTGACCCTGAGATAACCCTAAACATTATTTTCTCTACAAGCTCATACACTGGAAAAATAGTCTTCCTCCTGCAGCTTCTTATCACCTACTTTGCAAAAGTATAAAACTTAAGTAGGGCCTAACCTTTTTTTCGGCGAGCCGATTGAAATGGCCAATTTTAGCCCGTTTGAGCCAAAACTCGCCGATTTTCGCCGATTATTTTCAGAAATAAAATGCAGAGAATAAGATTCAGTTTCACTTCAAAAACGTTCCGCCATTTGAAAAGTTCCCCGACTTATCCTGTAGATGGCGCAGTTAAAAATGCTTTTCTGGTCCGAGTTTGATCAGTCGGTCTTCCTGTCAGCGTGAAGAGCAGTAGCCTACAGTATATCTACAGTATATAGTGTATTAAAGATATAGATATTTATTAGAACTTTGTAAAAAAAATTCAAAAATCGTCTGATTAATCAGTAATCTGATTTTTCTTCCCCCTAAACATCGGTATCGGCATTGGCCCCAAAAAATCTATATCAGTCGGGCCCTAGACTTAAGTATAAAACACACTTTTTTTCAAATTATGAAACAACAACAGCAACCCTGAAACCATTATTCAAGAGAGACGGCACCATTTAACCCAAAAGGAGACAACTTTCTTATTTATGCATGCCAGGAGGAAGACAAAATGAAAGATCAGACCGAAAATTGACGAATCTGAGTTCAACCTCTGCCTTTACACCAGATTCAATTTTACAGATTAATCACTTCTTATCAGAAACACTCAACTTAAACGACACAGACACGTAAAATCTCAGAAATTTGCTTAAAATATGGTCATTCGGACGTAATGACGTTGCGAAAACGTGCATAAACAGCAGCAGCTATTAGAAAACTATTCTTCAGCCAGCATTCTCCATCCGCTCATAACACCATCTTCGCGCAAGCTTGGTATGCGTTTATCAACTTTTGCTCATGATATTTTTTTTCTCTGCAATAAGAGATCCATTTCATAATTTGGTCTTTTGAGACTGTTAGTCTGCAGGTGATTTTGCATTACTATCGCAAGGCTAAAACTCAGTGAACTGAAGAAACAGTCGCGCTCATGTAGTTTTTTTCTTCCATTTTCCTTCCTCTAACTTTGCAGCACCTTGCAACCTGCTGCCGTGCACTCGCGCCTTCTGCAGCACGAACAGCTTTAGACTTTTCCTTACAGCGGAAAAAAAGCGTCCCCGCATAAAAAAAAGTCGTTTTAAGGCGGTTTTCTAAAGTCTAGAAGAGCACCGACTATCGAAAAGAACCACAACATTTTCGATAGTTTCCTACCTCTTATATTTCTCCACCGATATGACAAGTAATTCCGTCTCTTCTTCTTGAGAAGTTAGTTTTTATTCCTCCGCAGACTTCTTGTAAAGAAAGCCATGCTTCCAGACGCTCTTCGGATCCATCGCCTGTTCTTCCGCAGAGCGGCTTCCCTGCACTCCCACAGCTCTCAGCCTGTCCGCTTCAGCAGGCACCTACACGTAAACTGAACCCCTCCAGCGGTGACATCATGGGTCGCTATAACAACGCTGACTCCACCCCAAAATCCGGAGCCGATCTTACCTGTCTGACTGCCTACATTTCACAACAAACTCTTTCCTCCCTTCTTGTCAGCAGTGGAAAACTAACAGAACTTGCACGCTGTTTTTCTCCAACTGCTGAGCACCTGTTGAACCAAATAATGCAAAACCCGCTGAGATCATCCCCTTCAAGGAGACAGGGTTGTCAGAACATGACACCAACTCATCTGCTGCCTGATATTGTCTATGCAAATTCATCAAGTTTATGATCAGAGAGCTAGATTGAGACAGAACTTCATGAAAAGGGTTAACTTTGCATGCAGGTAGAGCTGTGTGGGCTGGTCTGAAAAAAAAAAAGCACACAAAATCCCTCTTGCACAATGCCTGGAGCTCCCCTGTGGCCCGGTGCCAGTCTCACCATTACTTCAATTGTTTTGGCTACAAAACCAAGCTTGCCCCTCCCTTTTGTCTCCTCTGACCTGGAGCCAACAAACAGACAATGACCAGGTGAGCCAAACGTCCACCTAGTGACCTCTCTCGAGGGTCGCCCTCCCCCGTCTTCAAAAAGCTGAGGCGGTGCAGACTCGCAAACAACTCCGAGACAACTTCTGTACACAAACTAGTCTGAAACTATAAGCAAGTGCAATTATGGCGATCAAAACAGGACTCAGACAGTATAGACAATTTAAAGCAGTTTGTGGTTCACATGTTTTCCTCTACCTACTCACAAAAACCTCAGTGTTTCTCAGCCACTGTGGGAGGGAAAAACTTGACAGGCAGATTTATAGGATAGACTTCACATTTAACCTGCGGCAAACAAAAAGAAAAAAAGAGGAAATTGCTTTGGAGTTACACTGTTGCTTCAGTCTGCAAGGGACAATAAAAATACCTCAGACTCAGAGTGGACACTACAGCACTCAGCAGTTCACTTTTTATTCTGTTAATATTAATGTTAATATTTATCAGCTGCTGTTAACTATGTTTTATCTCTGTTCCTACGCTGAAGCATATAGTTCAATTTGTTTTGGAAAATACTCTGCTCTGGATGAGAGAGACTGACACCATTATGTATCGCTGCTTTTCAATGAAACTTGCACAGGTATAAAGTCATGTCTTGAAGTCATGTATGGTAAAAGCGAGCATTTAAGCGGTAACCAAACAGAAGCACAGTTGACTCAGATGCCAAAATATTCTGATCTAATTTAGCTCTAGGGCCTATGAAATGACGGTTTCAGTATCCTGCGTGTCAAAAGACATTGATTTATGTGGATAGAAAACATGGTGAACTTAAGCTCAGGTTAGCATAATCCATGTATCAGAGCACTAAAAACTTCTTAATAAGCACTTTACTTCCCCAAAAGTAATGAAGTAAATCAAAACAATATGCCAAAGCCAGATTTAAGTCTTGGTAGGCTAGCAAGCTAAGCTAAGTGGCTGGCTCCAACAAAACATCTGTTGTACTATCACCTCATATGCTTGATATGGATGACATAAGCATATATGGCTGGGCGATATGGCCTCAAATCGATATCACGATATATTGAGCAGTTCATCTCGATAACAATAAATGGTGAATAACTACTCCACAAGCTGCTCACACCCTTCCACATTAACTTTGCCTGTTTCAGCCGCTGCTCCAGCCACTACAACTTTTAAACTGTCCTCTATCCCCTCACCTGTCTTTGGGGCGGAGTCACGTCTCTAACATAAGACTGTCTTAAAGGGACATAAGACTATAGCCTACCTACACACATACAAAACCAACTTTTATTTATCTATTTTTTTGACACAGAATATATTGACATGGGTAAAATGACATTGGTTATTGCCGTAAATGTTGGTATTGGTTAATTTTCAGTTTATCGCCCAGCCCTATGAGCATACTTTTTAATTTCTATTCCTGATGAACTATTTACTTGTAAGCTGCTAACTCTGTCCTTCACCCCCGCACTATTTGACAGGTAGTGTAGAGAGGTTTGAAAAAAGCCTACAGAAGCTGAACCAGGGCTTTTATTCTTCTGCTTATTCATAATGTTCATTAGTTAGGCTTTCAAGTTTTTACAATGATAACATTTGAAACAAAACAAATCAAAGGTTAACACATTTAATCATCCTAATAACAGGAGGCTGAATGAAAAACATGACTGCACACTCATGGTTCTGTAAACCCACTGACCTGCTCTCGCAGCCTCTCCTGATGGCCCATGATTGCTGAGGCATGATGTGGATATTTCTGCTTCAGATGCTCCAGAAAGGCCTCCCTCTTCTTGTCCATGTCTGACGGTTGCATAGCCAGGATCTCTCGGGAGCCGCGGGCCCCCCCTAACGTGTGTCTTCGAGGGACAGTGCGGCTGCCTTTGGTGTCCCCCCTTGAAGGAGGCGTCCCATTTGGGGATGCTTGCCTGCGGCCTACGTGCTCAGCGTCCTCCGGGGAGGTTACCTTCAGGTTGCTTTTTGTTTGTTCTGAGGGGACAGAGGGGACACAAAGACAAGGGGTCAACATGTGCAGCGCTGATTATTTTGACATCAACAACAAGTGCGTGTGTGTATGTTATTCTTCCGTGGTTCATGCAGAGGGCATGTCAGGGTGAATTCAACCATCTGAGACCTGATACTTTACCGAAATAGAAAAAAATACTCTCACATACTCAACGCGACGGAGCAGAGAAAAGAGAAAACAGCCTGACTTCATATGCAAAAGGATGTTAAATTCTCTCCAAGAGCTCGCAGAAATAAACATTGTCTGATTTACAACAGCTCCAGATCATTTCATATTTATACTGTTTTACATTTTTACAATACAGCCGCGATTTAATGTGACAGGCACAACACTGGCAATGGAAATAGTGAACTGAAACAGCTGCTTTTGCTTTGTGTTTTTAAAGAAAAGCCAAAGATATCCATTAATTCAAAAGAGGAAACTTGGAAATGATATCCAGAGCATCTGTTTAAGCATCCAGAGCCTTGCAAAAATAATTAATTTATTCAAACATCGGGAAGAAATGTCGTTTTCTATTTTTGATGACCGTGTGAAACAGCTGGGTACTGTCTGAGACTTTATAATCACATAAAATACTTTAAACCACAAAAAGAGAAAGATGTTGGAGCTGATTTGGGGGATAAAATAAACACAGACTTCTCAAGCAGATGAACATCTTTGCTAGTTCATCTTAAATCAATCAGGGCCTGGGGAATACATTTACAATCTGTCAATCTGAAAGTGAAACAGGGAGATTTTGGGAGAAGAGAGAGGAAAAGAAAGACAGAAAGGTGAGACTGTGCAGAAGCAAAGGAAGAGAGCTGCTCGTGTATAAAAACGGAGGGTAAAGAAGCAATAAAGAGGGCTGATCTGCTGCCTTGTTTTCAGACAGGCAGGTAGAGCTATAATGTGCACCTTTTAGAGGGTAGTGGCTGAAAATAAAGAGCCTCTTAGGGAGTTCAGCCCCTCAACAGTTCAATGAGGATATTTCAAGTGATTTTCTCTTATTCGGTGAGTGGCTTCATATGGCTCCCGCTTTTCTTTGAAAGCTTGAGAGCTCGTTATGAGCTATAGATGAAAAAGGAATTTCATGTTTTCCCCCCTCAAAGACATGTTAGGACTGAGATTGAGGTAGCTCATATTTAACTAGTGCAACAACTTTGGACAGAGAGAAGACACGTCTAGAAGCTCTCACTCATCCCTCCCAGATAGCTCCTTTTCTCCAGGTTCCTCACACCGTTTTAGTCTATTTTTTTTTCAGATCTAATTACAAAACAACATAATTTCACTAACTGCTTGTGCGTCATGATTGAGCACCGTCACCAGCACCGTGAGCCCAAACCCCCACCCTGTTCAAGTTCAGCGCCGCAGTAGTCTCATGTACTTCCAGACCTATTTTTAACTTCCAAACAGTTTCCCCACCGCTAACCAAATTACACTCAGCAGACAGAACATAGACAAACCTCCGAAAGATCTGAATACATTTGCTTGTGGCATGTCAGAAAGCTCATTACCTTCCTCGGGTGAGCAATCTTTGTCTTCATCTGCTATTTCTTCTTCCATTGCACTCTGGGAAACACACACACACACAAACAGTGACGGCGAAAGACTGAGGCCTGGGGAATCGGCTTGCTTAGAGATTCCAGACGTAGCTCACATGGAAAAAAAAAGGGGCTTGAGATAGGCCCTGCCCCGCAGCCCCAGGATAGACTGGTGGGGATTTAGAAAGTCAACTGCATTCCAGGACACAGAGTGACTAGCCCCTCACCCTCGGGCTAAAAGCTCTGCTGTTAGCATGGAGGGGTCCCACATTGAATGTCAATGTGTGCGAGGAAGAGAGAGAGCATATAGGGAATTGTAAAATGAGCAACTCTTCTCTTAAAACCACACTCTGAGACTAACAGGTGTCAATCAAACTGCAGGCGTGCAAACACCCACCACACAGTCCTGTTCTCCATCAGGACTTTTCTGCAATCTGTCTCTTGTTTAACTCTGTCCCCGCGGAGAGGCCCACAACACGCAAGCATGCATCCAAATGTGTCATAACCTACTTCTGAGCCACATCCAAACTGCTCTGAGCGCACGCTAATATGTGATCGAGTTATCTGATCAACACAACACACACTCAAGACAAGCACCCTTCCTGCAGGCACAGTGTTGCTTCCAATTAGGAACCCCACAGGAGACACCACAGCCTTTGTGTTCACTTCTTCTCTTGGGTTTTATGAGAAGCAACACTGTCCTATTTGCCTGACAGTGTGCAAACACACTTGCCGGCTTCATGTACTGTGCAAACATGTCAGTGAGTACACATCTGTAACGGAAATATGCCTGTTTATAAAAAGGCACAAAAGGGGGTGAGCTCATGGTCTGCTTTAGATCTTTTGTTTTTTTTCTTTCTTTGCAGCTGCTGATGTAAGTGACCTGATCCAAATGTGCGAGGAAAAGGCACAAATTGACAACCCTTAGCAGGAAAACGTGAGGGGATCAATGGCCTAGTTTGTGGGCCATGTAATTGAAAGTGGTGGTGGTGTGCGCATGAACAAACACAATGCAGCAGCTGACAGATAATGTCTAACATATGGAGACAAGTCTGCTCCCACCCACTTTCTGTCTGCTTTCACACGCTCACATGCTCAGGCACTTAGCCGCAATAGGCAGACAGTAAACTGGTCAATGGGCAGGGTCAGGTTTTCTCAATTATACTCTGACTAAAACAAGAAACGGGAGATCATATCTCTCCTGTACAACAGCCTCTCTGCACACGTGCTTTCCATAAAATATATGAAATAATCTAAAATCCTTATTTGGTCAGGCATCATCATATTTTATCTTGTGGTCTCTAAAAGTAGTATGGGAGGTAGAGCCTTTAGTTATTTGGCATCAATCATCTTCTCATCAGGGTTTGGAAGGTAGAAACTTTTCAGGGTAGGCTCAAAACTTTCCTTTTTGGGTTGGCATAGACTTGGACTAGTTCTGCCACACTGGGTTACTAACCATTAGAGGTGTCCCGATACAACTTTTCGACTTCCGATACAATACCGATATTGTAGCCTTCAGTACCTTCAATACCGATATTGACACAAAATTGAGCTTGACAAGTTTTTCACTCAGCTGCAATGTCTTTTTCAGACTTAAACAAAAAAAACCAGAAGGCAGACGTCACTCCCACTCCTTGCTACTTTGTTAGTACCTCAGTACACACCGTTGTTATGATTTTGTGGGCTCTGCATGCTGGATCTGGGTGCTGCTAGATAGAGGTGCCGGAGTGGAGTCTGGAATGGACTGCTTGTATCGGAGTGCTGATATCGGAGATTTTAGATACAGGCCGATATAATCCAAAATCTGTTTTTCTTTTTGCTCATATTGGACCGATATCAATCTCATATCGGGACACCCCTACTAAGCATATATCGTCCTTATTGTCAAAAGGTAAACAGGGTTATAATAATTCCCCGCACATTATCCTCATAACATTCATTCATGTTAATAGTAGACCAATCGGTTAATTCTCACTTTGCCGATGTAGCGAATAGCATACACTCTCAGTATCATTACCGTCACTGTAGCCAAAAGTCTGTTTCATCTATTGTTGTGTCCCTGTTTGTTTGTTTGTCTCTCTCTCTGCCTGGAAACCCATCACAGTTGCAGCAGATGGCTGTTCAACATGAGTCCTGTTCTTCTCCAGGTCTCTGCCTGTTAAAGCCTCACTATTGCTCGGTGAATGCTGCAAAGTAAGTGCTGTGCTGATGGTGGATTAATGTTAAGTCTCTGTTAAGTAACATTTATTAACTGGTGCTTTTAAATTAAAGGTTGCTTGATTAAATTGAGTAAGCCTATACTAGCTTGGCTGCAATGGTTATTTAAACTAAAATTTTCTCGTAAAGTAATGTTGTATTTTTTGTTGCACAAACTATGTTATCTGCTCCTGCATGAAAGTGGTTTCCTTTATCTCCCAGAACTATATAACCCCCTGAGAACAGGACTGAACATGTTGTGTTCAGCTCATCGGCTGTATGAGCAGATGGTGAGAGCAACAGCTTTAGCATTATAGAAAAAAGCTATCTTATCCCTGTCTGATGGATCTTTCTCTTCATAATTGCTGGAGGCAGATGAGCCACTTTTTAAGTTTATCTTTATTATGTTTTGACTTAAAATTAAAAGTTTGAACCTTGTGATTGAATAAATTCTCCTTTTTATGAAAATACTTAAATGGAAATGACATTCAACAAATGTCAAACCTGTTTTGTCTTATGTCAACCCTGGTATTGAGCCAAATTAACTTCAGCATCTTTCTTTTTTGACAAATGTCAGTAATCCACAAACTTGAAACCTGAAGAAATACCATCGAAAGCCTTTACTTTCCACCTTGACCCAGTAGTTAGTAGTTAGTGTCAGTGTCAAAATTCCTGACGATGACCCACATCATCACCGCCAACCGTCGGGTCAGCCTTTGCAAACCGAAACTCATAATCAAAGCAGCTCCTCCAAACCAACAATTACATCCTGTGGTTTTAACCACCTGCCTCGCTGCACTTTACTGTCAGCATTCCAGGCCAAAAACTGACCTCTTTCTTTCAGTGTCACAAGGGGATCTGCCACTGAATTGTGTCTTGCCCCGATAGCTCAAGAATGTCGCTCTCTCTTTCACAGCTGCCAGCGTTGTTGAGTAAATGATGGTCCTCTCAGCTGAAAGACACGAAACAGTTGCCCACGAACACCCAGGGTCTTACGAGGAGCAGGGCCTCCTGCTGTGTGCAGTCACACTCGGGTTTGTCACTTATTTATGGAGGAATGTATCCCTGAGCGCACTCCCACTCTCCTCTACTATTACTGTCCCATAAGCACGCAGTTAGATACAAAGCCCTGTTGTGTGCAATAAAAGCAGGGCTCACTGGAAGCCACGCATAATGTGGACACATAACAACCACTGCTGAGTGTATGACAGTATTTTTATTATGAAAAAGTTATCAAAGTCTGAATATCAGATGATCTGCTCATGTGGAAGTGAACCTGCTGAACTCAAAGGATCTTACTTAAGAAAAAGGAGTCAGCTTTTATTCCACTGCAGCTGTGCTCCTTATCCATTATGGACTATATGTGACTAAAATGATTTTGAAATACTGTCAGCAGGCTAAAAAATAATGACATATTACATGATGATAGTCAAGGTTAGCGGTGTGCCTCTTTGGATGCTACAGATCAAAAAGAAGTTGGCTCATTATTATTTTATGGTGAATCCTTTCGCAACCCTGGATTTTCCTTTTGTATTTACTTGAAAAGATGTTCTTGAAAAAATTGGGTTTTAATTTTCAGTTCATCCGGTGCTTGCATGCTCTCACTTTACATCAAGATTAAAAGTCATAATACCTGCTATTTAACACTCAAATGACAATCACTAAATCTGTATATTGTTGGGCATTATGTCCAGATTCATTTCAATATCTCGAACAAAACGAGGACTTGTAAAAAAAAAAAAAGTCTACAAACTATGGACATATTTTCCCACTCCCCTGCATCTCCCTGCCAAAGAACCTTTGTTTTCCCACCAGTCATACTTCCTGTATCAGGCTGACCACCAGCTGATTTAATGCCCTTTACTTATCACACTATCACACTACTGTCTCCTGCACATAACCAGCACTGCACAACAACCCTGCCAGGCTACAGTAGAAGGCAGATGAGGTGACCTGCTCATAACCAAAGCAAAAATAGAAGCTGTTTTCAACACTGACTTGTCACTAGTTGCCGATCTAAATGATAAACTCTCCGTACAACTGACACCTGAGCCGTAAGGTGCCGCCAAAATGCAACAGGGCCACATTTTACACGTTAAGTTTACACACGATCATAAAGTCATATGCTAGCACTCACATCAGACTTTGTTTCAGGCTTTACATGCATGAGTCATAGAATTAATTACCAGGCATGCCAACACTTTTGAATTTCACATATAATTGGATAAGAAAGGTGAGAAAGTGATTCTTCAAAATAGGAGAAGAAAGTGGGAGCCTTGTCTCAGATTGGAGGGATTTCACTGATAGCTTCAGGCTAACCGCCAAGGAAAATGGTCCACGAATGAATCCAAGCATTCAAACACACTATTATGAATGGAGGACCTTTACCCTGAAGTCCTTCCCTCCAGTAGGCTGTGGATCAGTGCTGCTTTGTTTTGATTCATCGGGGTGATAATGAGTTTGAGGTCAAAGCATCACAATGTCTGGAGAGCATGAGGCTGTTGTTGCTCTTTTTAAGAATTCGAGCTTAATTAAATCATTCATTTTTAAATGATGAGGGAATGCTACGCTTAATTTTTTCTAACTTTTTGTGAGACGCAGTAATAATCCATCAACAAGCACACACGTCAGGACAAATCCTCCAATTATCAGGCAGAAACCTCAAGCAGATCTGGACTGGCTGGTGGTAACCTGTCTACCCCCATCACCCATTTTCTTCTTTTACAACAATTTCCTTATTTTCTTCTTCCTCACTATCAGCCTGCTCCCTCTATCAATTCTCCCATAATGAGGTATCTCCCAGCTGCCATGCCACTGTTAATGACCACTGGTCTCCACCCTGTTAGCTTAGACCACCACAACATCTGTCTCAGCTCAGACTTGCAGACACCCGGAGCTCTGCGGCTCGCTCACTGATTGCGATGCTCCTTACAATTAAGTGTATCAGTGGAAAGTACAGTGGGATGGTGTGTGTGTGGACGCATCCACAGGCCTGTCCAGACTCTCTGCTTGGGTGAAACCTTATAAACAGACGGGGCTGCCAACCTGACAGGCAGACGGCCAAAAGATATGAGTTACAGACATGTGGTGTGCTGTGTGAGTGTGGGTGTCAGTGCTGGGAATAGCAGCGGTGTTTGGGGTGAGCGGATGTGATATCAAAACAGTTATAGAGCAGCAGATCATTTGGCTGCTTAACATTGCAAAATAAAAGGTTAAACAGTATACATAACAATCACACAGGAGGCTCCAGGCAAGTTTAAGTAAGGCTCTTTACTGTAGCTGCACTCAATGAAGTGTGGCCAATTGATTTTACTGCTGCTTTACCTCCGAGTGGAATTGCTTATCCTGAGAGTGGGTTCGACTTGTAGATCTTTAACTCAAGTGAAAAGTTAATACCTTTCCAACTGCATGGACTACAGCTTGAAAGTGTCTGTGAATGAAGTTAGTGTTTAAATTCCAGTTGAAATCACAGAAAACTTTTCTCTGAATCAGTAATTTTGCTTTCTTTCTTCCCTGTGTCCTTCAGCCATCCCGAAAAAAAACTTAAACAAACAAGCAAAGAAGAGCTGAAAGGAGAGGTCTGTTAGCTCTGGTACTCCCCTCTTAGACAGCCTGAGGACAACTCAAACAAACAGCTCTGTTTATTGGCTGTCTGCACTCATCAGCACAAACACCATGTCTCTGACTGCTACCCCTCTCTGACACACATCAGCACCCGATCAATCCCAAGCACATCACCTCCCACTGCCTCCACTCCACTAAACGAGTTGTTGCTCCTTTTAAGATGCATTGCATTTAAGCCGCACCAGGGGGTGCTGTTGAACATGCTCCAGGCGTGTTGCGCAATGATCAGAAGGTTAATATAGTGTGAGAGAGTGAGTGTGAAAGAGAAAATCGAAAGAAACTTTGTGTGTGTGTCTCTTCTTTCTTGCACAAGGAAATAAGCTTGAGAATATTTCCCCCGTCATTTATTAACCGAGACACTAAGTGCTGCTTAATGAGCTGGTGTGTTTGTTAGTGTGTCTGTGTGCAATTATGTCTGTGTGCACACAAATGCACATGTGTTTGCCACTAAGCCCCAGCAGTGTGTACACTTCATTAACCCAAAGCCAGAGTAGGTGTAAGTCAAACTAGCCATCGGCTCTGAACAGCGCTGGTCTCCTGTGACAACCGTCTCTAGGCCAACAGTGAGGACCGGTGTCCTAAGGGAGGGGGAGGGAGGGAGGAAGGTAGACCGAGGACAGCTGGAAATGGGTGGAGGACATCCACCCAGTAGCCACAGAGGAGGAGTATGCAGCCTTTTTTTTCTTTTTTACAGCAGAAGATAAACTTTAAACCAGGACTCAGATTGACTGCAGGTCAAACGCTGCGGTCTCAAGCCTGAACTTTCTCCCTGGATAAAACAAGGTGGGAAAACTTAAACTGCTGAGAATTGAAATACATCACATCCCAACTGTGTGTAACTCAGCTTGTATACCAACATTTTTTTTCTTTTGCTAATATCTCTGTTTCAAAATCCTACAGTTTTTTTTACTATTTTCTGTGGATAGCTTCTTCTTGTTGAACTAATGTCATAATTTCATTTAGCGGGCAGTATTTTGAGGTTTATTTTCAGGCATTTCTGCCTTTATTTAAAGAGGATAAGACAGAGGGCAGAGCAGGCTGAAGGGTGAGAGAGTGGGGAATGACATATGGAAAGGAACCACAGGTTGGAAGCAAACCTTGGCTGACCACTTGAGGCATGATTTCTTTGCATCGACTTAAACTTACAGTAAGAACAAGACAAGCAAGGCCTTAGACAGGAGGGAACAAACTGTATATGAACCAAAGGGCTCTTTAAGTCCAAAAGGGCTCTAGAGAAGGTTGATATGATGTTTTTATTGAATTAAATCAAAACAGAGTGATCCCTCGCAGTAAGGCTAGGCGATATAGCCTTAAATCAATATCACGATATATTGAGCAGTTCACCTCGATGACGATAAATGGATGATAACTACTCCACAAGCTGCTCACCACCTCCCACATTAACTTCATCTACTTCACCTGCCACTACAACTTTTGAACCGTCCTCCATCTCCTCACCTGTCTTTCCCTCTTTGTTACAGACTGGATGGGGTGGAGTCACATCTCTAACATAGGACAGCGTCTTAACATGAGACCACAGCCTACTTACACACATCCAAAACCAACTTTTATTTATGTATTTATTTATTTTGACACCGGATATATCAATATGGGCAAAATGACCTTGTTTTTTGTCGTAAATTTTGGTATCGGTAAATTTTTGGTTTATCGCCCAGCCCTAACTCGCACACACACACACTACCTCAGCTGTATTGTTTAATCCAGTCGGTTCACAAAAAGTGAAAGTAATAAAAGGTTACTCTTAGGATGGGCTTCTTCTTGTCTCTCCTCTCAAGAAAGTTACTTTAGTATATTTAGTGTATCTTCATGCTCCAACAACCACTCACAAAATACAGCCTCCGGGCTAAAGTTGAATCATCACCTCTTAATAGCAGCTTAAACAGAAATCGAGCATTACATTCCTCCTGCAGACTTCAGCAATCATGGTACTGTAGACCTGACCATGGGGTAAACCCATCCTCTAGGTTTCGAACATGCATGGGACACCATCATCTCTCTGCTGAACTCTGACCATGTGATCATAATTTCACTCTGCTCACAAAGTCGACTGTCTGCAGACAGTCCATCAGCCTGCAGGATGTTGCCCGGGTGTTGCAGTAGGAATTGCAGAAGAAAAATAATTCTCAGGGCTCTTCAAAACTGTTGAGAAGATATTTCCTTATCTGTCTGACAAGTTTTCTGCGTCAACACAATCAGTACAAGTGCTGACAGCAGAAACGCTCTTGTGAATTCAACATACATACATAGACACACTCAAGCACATATAGCTAACATGGCTGAACTATCTGGTGATAATTAAATGGCATAAGACAGATTTCTAAACAGATGTACATTTAAATGAAGTGGAGATATTGCAGCAAAATCAAAGCAAAAATTTAGTGCAGCAGCGGGTTAACTACGCGTTCAGCCCGCACATGGCTTCCATTTAAATATGTCTTTGAATGTGCGTGCTCTCTCACAAGTTTATTAAAAAGTGATTGCGCTGCAATTGACTCTCTTCATAGCGATAAGCAGCTTATGGTCCCAGACTTTTTTTGCCAGCCAGTCAATCATGTGTTCCCTATTTCCTCTCCCTTTTTCACTGTATATCTTCCCTCTCTCCTATTCCTCTCTGTATGCAAGTATAGTATAACCAGCATACGCTCTAAACGTATTCATACTTAAAAGCTCAGAAATGTAATGAAAATGCAAGTGTGTGACTAAATCAAATATTACCAAATCAGCTTTTGTCACACAGAATGAAATTAGATGTAAAATAAGGATTTATTATTTCCAATGCTCTGCTGAACCTCACATCTGTGTGTCAAGAGCTGATGAAGACGAGTAGCTCTGTCCAGCTTTGGAGAGGCGATACGTGATACAGGTGGTAGAGAGATGTGAAATGGGCCTCTGCGAGTGGGGTTGCTGAACACTGGAGCCTCTGTCCTGGTCTTAATCTGTGAAACCTGTGTGTGTGTTTTTCATGTGCCTATAGATGTGTGTATATGTGGGTCAGAGGGTGGAGTATATCCAAGCTTCAAGGCCTTGAGCTGAAGACGGAGCTGTGAGGTTTGTGACTGTGCTGCAACTTGGACAGACCTTTCCAGAGCGAGGAATGAGAAAGCTTTAATGCCCAAATGTGCATTAAGTGTAACGGTGCAGGCTGAGCGCATTCTCTCCCCTCAAGGCTGTATGTAAAAGAGGAATTTTAATAGTTTGAGGTCATTTAAAAACACACACACAAAACAGGTTTATGTTCATATTTTCAGAGGGGGATTAAATCACAAGAATTCAGGTGATAAACCTGAAGGAAAGTAAGAGAAGAAACAGCACTGGCTTTGTTATATTGTGGTTACAGCAACAGAAATGTTGCCGCTTTCCCATGAGAGAGGAGGGGGAAAAAGTAAGCGCCTGCAAAGTTTAATAGTTTCCCCACAATGGAGCCATAATGGGCAGCCATGTGGAGATCAGGTCACAGGGTGTATGGATAGTAGAGGAGTTTGTGGTGGGTATAATTTTAACTGCACAATAGTGCCAGTGATTGATATTTCTCTGTGCACCAAACAGTGACCTGGCGTCGTATTGTCCCCTTGTGTTATTAGGCTGTGTGCTGTAGTTTAACCGCCTGGATTATAAAGATCTATGAGTGGATGACACAGACAGAGGTACCTTATTAAAGAGACATCTAAAGTCACTGCTTTAAAGCCTCTATAATCAAAACTTTTATATTAACAATTGATCAAACGGCTGGATGTAAAGTGAAATGGGTCACCTACACCTACAGTGTAGTTATATCAGACTCAGCACTTTCCCTTCGCTAATAGCACAAAACAATTTTAAGTCCTTCAGGTGATTGTTTTGGTTTTTGACCCACAATTTAACTGTTCTGGATCATTCTCACAGGCACAAGTGTTTATTTCCACATGCAGCTGTTTTCACAACAGTCCGTGTAATAACTTAGCAGCATGACAGGCGGAGAAAAAACCTTAAAAGCTGGCTAGTAAACAAAGTAGGACATTTAACGGCCAAAAGACAACATACTTATTTTAGGAGGGGGAAAGAGGGAATAGGCTCTTACTTGCAAGGCTGACCAAGAAATCGGACTAATGCAACATCTGACAGTCTGCCTTATGTGAGTAGTCTCATATCACATCAAGCTAAGTTTGAAGCCTGTAACAAACCAACTGTTGCGCACAGCAGTGACGCCAAGTTAGGAGCTGCAAGTGTAAACATTATCTTCACAATGTCGCTCCCTTTTTTTGGGGAAATATAATAACATACAACAGCTGCCACATAATGAAAGGGGTATAAAAGTTGAGAACTTTTACAGGATGTGGGTAAAGATTTCCCAGACTGGCAAAGCTAGCACATCAGTATCCCTGCACAAAACAGCAATATCATATCACAGTTTGAACTAGTGTCTACTGCCAACTGTGACCCTGACTGGCGGCATACTATGTGGACATGTTCATTCTCCTTAATTACAAGTATGCAGAAAACTGGATATTGAGAGTCTTAAATTAGGGTGACCATTTGTCCTCTTTTACCCAGACATGTCCTCTTTTATGGGGGCTGTCCGGAATGTCCAGGGAAGTTTCTAAGATCTTTCAAATGTCAGTGGTTTTGTACGCGACTATTGAGTTTGTGTCATGTGGACTTACTGAGTTAGAAGCGCGTAAAAGACACTCGATCCAACCTGAAAAACTCTCTAAATTAACTTCAGGCGACTTCATGACTCCGCCCTTGTGTAGTCGTGTCCTCTTTTTGGGAAGTCAGAATATGGTCATCCTACTTCAATGTTTTTTTATCTGTTCAGTTCTTTTGTTGCATATTTTCCATTTTCATTTTACGCTTCACTTTGCATGGCTGAGTCCATTATTTTCCTGTTTGCAGTGAAAAGTCACAGTTTAGATTTCTACAGTTTATACCTGTAGTGAACACATATCTGCTCATTCCCACATGTCGAAGCACTAAGGTCACTAATATAAGTTTTAATGGCTTATCAAACTCACAGAGCACTCATGTTCAAGTGCTGAAAAGGGCAAATGTCTGAAAATACAATCCCCAAAGCAAATTGAAAGGGACCTGTTTGTGTGACCTCCCTGACCTGGAATTGACTTTCTTCGCCACACCAAACACTGTCAAGATGAAACCACTCCGCGCAAAGCATTTCTTCCAGTTAGCTGAATGCTAACCCTCTAATATTTACTCTTTTCGGTTTAATCTTTGCTCTGTGACGGAGACAGGAGCAGGTCTGAATAATATTTGTTTTTGCACAAGCCTATAAATAACTTCAAGAAAAAAAACAGCTCGCAAGACACAAAGGCTCTGTGGCTTGACAGGAGGGAGAGACATTTTTTAAAGAGATCCTGCTATTACAGTCTGAGAAGCTGGCCAGACTGTACCGGCCAGGAGATCTCTGATTGGTTATTAATGACATCATCCCTGGGGCCGGCCTCTCTCCCAGCCTGACGATGTCATCAGTGCTGAAGCATCTCAGTGATGTAATGCAGGGTGGGCCATGACAGACACTCAAGTAGCACCCCTCTTTTCTTCTCCTCCCATGCCTCTCTTCCTCTCTTTTCTCCTCTTGTTCCATCTTTCCTCCCTCCTCCTCCTCCATCTTTTCATCACGCCTTTTCTCCGCTCATCAGCTGCATCCTGATAAAAACCCTTTCACACCTGTTTATTAGCAGAATTTGCAGTTGAGCTTAAAGCTATTAGGAGCTTTCGAATGAATCCTAGAAAGACATGGAGGAAAAAAAATGACAGTAGAGCTTTTCCATGTTTTAATCCTGTCTGTGTCCTGCAGCTGTAATTAAAATTTAAAGCACATATCAGGACGGCTCCTTCCCACAAGGTGTGAGTTCAGATGTAAAAATGAAGGTGTGGAAGATGTCATTAAATAGTGACTTTAACTTCGAAAGAGAAAAAGCATTTCTCTGTAAAAGCAAAGTGAGTGTAATGACGAAAAAGTGGCACAGGAAACACAAGCGCACACAAATGTGGAGTCCCGCATCCAAGTGTTATGTCAGTTTGTTCCCATCTCACGTATTTAGACCATTTCATCTTTTTGGCTCAGCTTTTACATCTGTTTTTTAATCACAATTTGCGAGAGAGAGATTGTGAGTGTGTGTTTGAGTGTGTGTTTATGTGTGTGTGTGTACATACGTGTCCTGGGCAAACATCCAGAGCTCAAGCGGATTAGCGAGGGGGACTCTACCCTGATCAAAGCGGCACAGAATCCAGCTTACTGCGGCATACTGTGTGACACATTACCCCAATGGAAATGATACTGTACCGAAGTGTGTACATGCCGGGGACGCACAGACCAGCAGCTGCATGGGCAATAAAGACCCTCAAAGGAGAAGACTTTAGAAAATCCTGTGTGTCCTTCACATCCTTCAGAGTACTGAGAGTTAGAGAACCGACACTCAAAGTAAGAGCAGTCACCAAGTGTGAAGTGTGCAGCTGCTCCATAGAAACATTTTCTTTTGCAAAGAGAATCTTTTGGTCGTCTCTGGAAAGCTACCAAGAACAGATTTCCCCCTCGGTGGTGCAGATGCAAGTTTTTGGCTCAGACTTACAACAACTCGCAAACAAATTGAAGCTCAACACAGACAAATAATGTTGAATTCTCTTGGTCTAAAGAGGAAAATACATTTCCTCTCAAACTTTTTGTCTAATTCGTATCAACTGTTAAACGTCTGTTTGACAAAATAAGAAGCATTTCTGAATAATGTTGATCATCGCTCCAAAAAGCAAAGACAGCAATGTTGTTGGAGTACTTTGCTTTTATGATTTATGATGTTTTGTTTTGTAAAAGTAATATAAGAATCTGCAGATTACAGAAGAAAACAGTCCATCATTAGAGCTCGCTCGGCTTCACATCTCCAGAAACTCATCCTCACATTTCTGTCATGATTTCTGGTCCACTGTAATTGGGGCATGCTGATGCTAAGTAAGACATACATTATGAATGCACTCCCAGTCAATTCAGCCCGAGATACTGACTGTAATTAAGTCATTCTCCGGCTCTGCAGAGAGTCCTCCATCAAACTGTCTGAGGCTGACTGAGAGACCAAATGGGATGTGTCTGAGTCTAATAATAAAAAGCCTCCTCAGCCATAGCCGGGATCTGTCTGCCTTAAGAGATACTGAGCTGCATTTAGCCAGATTTACAGGAAGCTCTAACAGAGGGGGATATGAATTGATTTCTGAATATGTGGGGGGTGCATAGCAAGAAGGTTGTGGGTACTGATCTGCTGGCCTGCCCGAGCTTTTCTTAGTGGGGTTTGAATGTTATCCCTGCACGTGCATGGTCTCTTCCAAAGACAGAAAAGATGTCTACGTTAGGCGATTTGTTTCAGCCTTTCATTGTGTCAGCCTGGGACACCTCTGCATGATTTACAGCTCAACAAACTCTTCGTCTAATACTGGCATCTGTGAAAACCCTTATTTCAGCAACATTGGGCCTCAGAATGAAACGCTTCATTTCAGCTGCTATTCCAGTGATATCAACTTAGAAACAAACTATGGGTGCTACTTTCCACACAGCTTTAAAGTCACAAAACAACTTGAAGGATATGCCTTTACTGAAGCCAATCAGCAACAGTTCAGACAAGTGAATTAACAAGTGGCTTTAATCACTGTCATTAGCATTTAAGAGACAGCTATTCAAACTACTTTGACGGCAATCCACATGACAGAGAGAGAGAAGTCAGAAGCCTCTTCCACACATGAACTCTTGACATCTTATGAACAATTTCAGGACACCAAAGCCCTGAAATAGACAAGGAATTTGCCTTTTACACACGCACTTCACTGCAGGAGAATAGCAGACATTATCTCACAAATCCATTTACTTCCGTTAGAGTGAGGGTGGCGCAGCTGGGCAATACATGCAGAGGTAGATGACTCTATTTTAATAGAAACTGTGCCTGTATGAGTATCACAACACGTACAAACAAAGGGGAAACAATATACAACAATATACTGGCAACTGAGACAAGCAGTTTAGAGTAAAAGTGCACTCAACTTTAATGATGCCAACATGGATGTCGTGATGAATGTGTGGGACTGCTGGTGTTTTACAACCTGACAAAGTCTGGAATTTCACAGAGTACAGTATGAGTGTAAAAGGGGCTAGTGAAACAGCCAAACAGCAATCACTTAAGTTATTGTAACTGGTGGAACTTCTCATTCACAGACAGTAAATCAGAGAAAGTTATGTATTGAACCAGATTTAATGGTTGTCTTGGATATAGAGAAAGTGGCGGTCCAAGGATCCTACAAATGTGTGCATGCCATGCCATGTGAATGTAAACGAATGTGTCTACAACCATCTTCAAATGTGGCCTGATGGATTGGATCAGAATGCATCATGGGTACGTTTAAAACTGTACCACTGGCTGTTCACTTGTGATGGATTTCCTAAGTTTAAAGAGCCTTGTGTCAGAGCATACAGGGCACATAAATCCATTTGATGGCCTTTCTTTATGACTTACAGTCAACATGATTGGGCAGGCAAGATGCCGCACTTCTACACGGCAACATGTGCCCAACACTCACACACAGACAGACTACCCCATTCCTTCCCCCGGGTTCATTATGTACGCAGTGAGATGGTTATTTTGTGATGCCTCTGTGGCTAACCACCGTCATCCACCACCTAATAGCTTTAGCATGTGCCTGGCAGCCTATTGGCTCCAGTGGTCTCAGATGTTGGAGAGTTGAAATGAAGCGGGGCATTGTTGTTGTGCTGCCGGGGAGGATACACTCACTTGTGAAAGGAAAACCTGGCAGGAAGGAAACCTCGAAACAAAGTGCTAAGAAAAGGTGATAAAGGGGCACAGGAGACAGATCTGCATTGGGTATGTGGATGAACGAAAAGGGTCTGCTTCCCCCTTTTCCTGCCATTATACCAAATCCTGGAAATGTTCAGAACTTCATGGAATGTCCTGTGGCCTTAAATTCTGAAGGAGAAGCCGAGTGGGATCTTTGGGGGAATGGAAAATCTAGGCAAACGAATTACTGGCGATCATTTCCCCCCATTTATGGAACATGTAATGATAGACTGCTTAACCATGTGACTGCTCCATAATACAGATATTATCTGTAAAGACGAGCTTTAAAATATAAAGTTTCTCAGTACGTGTTATGAAGGGACTTTCAGGCTTGAAACTCAAAGAAGGACCCTATCACTGCCAGGCTGGGTAATATGGAAAATACATATGGCTGTGAAGGCTGCTATAATATACCTTATATATTCTTTTACCTTTGGCTTTTATTAACTCTGGCAATACCACTGAGCACAGGACGCAGTTTAGCAGGATGTTAACAGACTTATTCCATGATTGAAAATGTCAGATTTTACTCATTACTGTGAGTGTAGCCCGAGGCGGAATAACTCACTGGCTCAGAGGTACAGTCTGGGCGACAAGATCTTAGAGTTAAAGACGCTGAAAAAGCCTTGTCTTAACAAATCACAGAAAAATGACACGCCAATGTTTTAACTCATTTAGTGTGTTGTCACAATTTATTTTGGCTTACCCTGTGTTATTTGACATCCCTTCTACCAACTTGCAAAGACAAAGTATTACTGTTCCCATTTAGTCCATGTACAAGACAGTCAGGATGAAAGGATGAGAAAAGTAAGCATTTTACTTAGGGTTGACATTGATGTTATTAGAAGTTCACAAGACTGATAAGTGATATTTGAGAATGATATACATTTACTATAAGACTGACAAGCTTTTATCAAAATGTTAAAGTCCCAATATTACAAACCTCAACAAAAGATTATGCTTGGCTACCTTTAACATAAACAAGAGTAAACAAGTACACTTACACTTACAGTAAAGTTGCATCGTATGGTTGTGAAACTTCTAGCCAATCAGATGGTATTCCAGGTGGGACATTAGGTGGTATAAAGCGGTGAAAAAAGGGAAACATATTTTAGCAGTGGCGCCAAATTCGCACACTTTTTAACCAATTAATGTTATTGGCGATCTGTAAATAAAGGCTACAGATAGTTAGTGGCCAAATATCAGCCCTGATAATCTGCGTTAATCCTGCTACTTAAAAGATTACATTGAATATCGTGAGAAAGTAAAACTCTCAGCTCATTAAGTTATTGACCGATGCATTGAACATCATGACTCCCACTAGTCAGCATCAGAATTATTAGTTAGTTAAATAAACTATTAATATGTAAGTTGTGTCTTAGGTTGTGTCTTCCTTGTTGTGCAGCTACCCACCACTGACCAGGACATCTTGCTCAACAGCTTTTTATGCAAAAAAAAAAAAAATTGAAGATGACAGATGGCATCAATTTGGCAATAGTTCTAGAAATGGAGAAAGAGTTGTTTGTGTCTGGTTAAAATCTGGCAGACGACAACTCTGCCAAAGCAATGAGTATCCTGTCCGTCTAAGCATGCATGTGGATGTTGTCCTGAAAAGAGGACTGAAGGCTGGTGGTGCTAACTTTAGCTAACATCACACAGTTCAATTCATATTCATAGTATTCAATTCATAGAAATCTGTGTCAAATAAATAGTGCTATATTTTGGACTGGTTTCCTACCTTTAAGCTGGTCAGTTACTTGGAAACATCTCGAAATAAAAGTTTTCATTATTTTCCAAGACAAATCCAAGTAGACTTGGTGAAATCTATCCATTTAACATCGATAACCATGATGTGAAGAAAATCTGTCAAAAGTTGTTACCATGACAAAAGTAAGTCACTTGATTTTGCACTTTTAGTTGTGTTTATAGCAAAATGCATCAGTGTTGGGAGACAATATTGAAAGCTTAAAATGTGTCTAGGTTAGTTTTAGACTATCATCAATTCAATGTACACAGGCGTTCAAGTTTAATTTGGGTTTATTCAGCACCAAAGATTAGAGTTTACGAGGCAGTGCACCACTGAAGATAGTCCCTGACTAATATTTCCTTTCCTGATGTTTGAAAACGTATCCTTAAGCTACTATAAACGGTCCAGAAGTAGAGGATTAGTCTTCCTCTATAGTATATATTTATGGCGAGTTGTTACAGATTTCAGAGTGAACAGGATCAGCCAGTCGCAGACAGCCTGGGTAAGTTGTCAGAAACTTGTACCGTATCCACTCAGATTCACTGCCACTAAATGCTGTTTCTACGACATGTGACAAAATCTGTCATCAACCTAAGCACGGATTTGAAATTAAGAGGTGTCACAGTTGTTTAATCCTACTACTACTTATATAAGGTCTTAAAAGTAAACTTCAAGCAGAGAATAAATGATTTTAAAAAATGTGTTTTTCTGTTACTCTCTGATGTAACATTTAGCCTGAAATGTTTCTGTTTGGTGCTCATGTAAGTGCCCTGATACGCCTTTCTCTAGTATTTACAAAAGCGAGTCCAGTTATCAGCCAGAGCAGGAAGGACTTCCTTAAACAGACCCAAACACACCATGAAGGAGAAGGAAGGTTTCTGCTCAAATGTTCAACTCCAGATTTCAGGTATAGCTGCAGTTCCAAGAATAGCCCGGCTTAAGCAAAACATCCTGTGACACCGGCTTTGCAGGGTATTTTCAGGAATGGGACTTCTACAACTTTAACTGCGACAAAATGAGTTGGGAAAATTATAAAATCATGCCACGTTAATGACTCATTAGTAAGCGGTCAGTAGGGTGGATAAAAAGCGTTAAAACAGCTAACATTGAAGAGAAAAGGCCATGACACAGCAGGTTGTTAAATACCACTCAGGACAGAACTCTCATCCATATTTATTGGGATTAAGCAGCTTTAATACTTAAATTCAGACTTCTCTTAATTAACAACCCTTAACGGGGGGACAGAAAACCTCGAGTGCTTTGCTCTTTCAAGGAGTGAGAATGATGTAAGCAAATTTAGTTTTACAGCCTGCGCACGAGGGCTTTTACGGCTTTATAGAGACAAATTATTACTTTTCACCACCCCTCTGACCCCATTTTTGTTATTCTCATTGACGAATCGGCTCTCAGGTCACAGACACATGACGACAACACACAACTCCTCTTTACATGTATACAAAGCATGTCTGTCACGACACAAAAACAACCTTGGTATGTTGTTTGAGTGTTTTTAAGAGGCACCACGTCCAGCAGAATGCCTGAAGGAGTGGACGGATGAGAGAGGAGGGGGGATGTTTACACTGTGAGCAAAGAGTTAGGCTGGGGTGGGGGGGGTTTAATCAGGACAGCAGAGTGTCAGAGCAGTGTCTGTTTGAGTCTCTCCCGCCTTCGTCTCAGACCGTGGGTGGAGAACATTTGTCTAACCCCCCTTCTCATTATTGCCAGACAAAGAGGAGATGGTCAAACAAATGACTTCACTGAATGGGTGGAGTCGGTGTAGTCTGTCAAACTTATGGACGTCAAGAGGGAGTAGAGAAAACAGGAAAAGTAGGGCATTATTCTTACAAGAAGAAGACATAGACGACATTTCCTTAATCAAATTTAAACTTGAACCAGACATTTTACTGCTACCCTCTTTACTGTAAAGCCCATTTGTAGGTTGACTTTACGTGACTTCCTCAGCATACTCACTCTTTGCAACAAGGCCAACTAAAAATACAATTTCATGTCTTGGCAAATGCTCAATTTGCTCCTAGAGAGTAAGACATGCCGGCAGGAAGCATGACTTTTCTCTGGGGATTCTCTACCAAAGATGAGCCAAAAACAACAACAAGAACTCTAGCAAATAAAAAGATGTAATATAAGCGTTAAGCATCGGCCAAAAGCATAACAAAATGAGCCGATGCAAGGAAAACATTCTCAATATCACGAACTCATCTGTGTAGATCATTTTATTGTGAAGGGTCGATTATTTCTGCTACTAGAGATATCTGAAAGGATTTTTTGTTGCCTAGAAAACCATTTTATGCTGGTTTAATACATTCCTCCAAGCATGACAGACAGTAAAAGATCAGTATTTTTTGGGAAATGCTTTTGTTTTAAGAGTGTATAATAAGAAAAATCCCTTTTAGGGTGGTCTTGTGTACCCTACTTCATTACCTTTAAAGAAGAAAAAAGTGCCTTTAACTGTTCCAAAAAGGCTTATTTGGCATAAGACGAGGTCAATTTACAACATGAAGTAGGCAATTAACACGATAATGACTGTGTTTGATTATAGCGTGCAATCTTCCCAACCCCTATTAGAATCAAGCTGTTTTGGCCGAAAAGGCGGCTGCTCTTCTGAGCTGCTGAAACGATAGAAAGTCTTCCTAGAGGACAAGATCAGTCGGCTAATTGGGAACATAATTAGGCAAAATCTAAAAGCTTTTGAACCCAACTATTGATGTGATACAAGCCCTGAATGCTTCACTGTGCTCAAAGGTGACCCTGGGAAGGAAGTCAGTTTACTCAAACTTCAAAACCGTAGACCAAGGTTGTGATTAACTTTTTTGTAGGATATTTTGACGTAAGGTTTTTTGACCTTAAAAAGTAGTACTACATAAATTCTTGTAAAGGTCCTCCTTCTCAAATAATTTACATCACTGCTACACTGGTGGTTACAAATCAACTTCTCTCTGAGGAAATGCCAAGAATCCAAGAGAGCATAAACTTTTTTTTTTTTTTTTTTTTGCGTATTTCAGATTTTTAAAGGGATATTCCAGCATAAAGTTCATTTAGGGTGAAACGGCGTAACATCGAGTTAGACACCCCCTCGAGAGATGAATGTTGCTGACCTCTTGCTTCTCTAGTTATACCAACTTTAGTAACGACCGCAGGATAGCAATACACAGCGGTCTGAGGAGCCATAAACGAACCTCAACCAAAACGTCACTCTATAGCCACAAATAATGCTCAGACCCTATATGTACTGTTGATGAAGTTAGGTGCTGTTCTGAACATTTTTTGTGGTTATAGAGTGGTGTTTTGGTTGAGGTTTGTTTATGGCTCCTCAGACTGCTGTGTATTACTATCCTGTATCCCTTTAAGGCTAATATTAGCTGATTTCTGAAGGCAACCAAAAGGAGGACTTTAACCTCGTGTTGGCCTGATATCACTCAGGATTTTTACTACCAATTGTTTTTATGAGTTGCTTATCAACTGGGACTTAAAATGCATGAAAAGCAGGAAGTGTAGCGCTAAAAGCCTGTGTTATTCTTTATATAACTTACAACCTTGAACAAAGCAATAAGACAACATTTGGAGTTATCTGCGTGATTACAAAAGCAAAAAGTCTTTTTTTTCAGTAATAAGCACAAAAGTGATCCTTTTATATTTTTTAAAAGTAAAAACATAGCATTTCTTTGTCTTTATCTTATATTAAACGTATGTTGAGTCAGTACACTTCATGGAGCTTCTTCTGGGGGGCATGCTTGATCATATCCATAACTCAGCCACAAATGGGAGCTGAAATGAAAGCTGTGTAATGAGGTTTGATCAAAACCCTGAAGCTCAATGAGACGTGGCGTGAGTTGGCTTGGGGCCCGATGAGGGATGACAGCGCAGACAGCTCACGGGAGAAACACCTGGCGAGACCTCCTGTACCCCCCCAATCCCCACCCCCTATCCCAGTCCTCGTCTCCTCTCCCCTGCCTCTACGCTGCTCGGCCAAATGCCACCAGTCCACTCAGGCTCTACATCCTGTGGAAACCATCAAACAGCACAGCAGCAGATTTGCATCAGCTACTACATGTGGCCTCAGTTAGCTATTGATCTTGATCTATTACGTCTAGATTCTGATGCAAGGAAGAGTTCTAGCCAGGTAATCAAGTGGTCAAACGTTACCTTACCTTTTTGTAATGCTAACAGACAAATGGAGGCATATGGTCAGGAGCTACTGTGTGTAAAAACCCTGACAAGGCCTCACATGCTAACACTTAGATAAATAGCGAAGCTGAATTAAACTGGCAGCCAAAGCACGGCCTAACAGTTAATAACAGTTTCCTTTGGTCTTGTGACAAATTGACAGCTTGCTACATCAGCAGAGCGCAGTAAAAACTTGTGAGAGACAGTCTGGAGCTGTCAAAGTGCAGAAAACGAGCGATGAAAGATGAGGTTCAGGGGCTCCGGGTGGGGTTCAAGGGTGCTAGATCGTTTGTCTTTGTGACGAGGAGATTCTCCTCCAACCTGTTTACCTTCTAACTCAGCGGGTTGGAGCTGAAGTTGATCCTCAAATACCTGACTGGTAAATAATGTAAAGTTATGAAGAATGAAAGATTCTTTTTCATCACTTTACCATACTACTTTTCAACCATGACTTCTAGATAATTTTTGCGAATTCAGAATTAAATAGCAGCTGAGTATGAGCTACTGTTTTTACAGCGAGGATGCCTTATTTTTCCTCTTTTAAATCTCCTGTTTTCTTCGCCATGCTCCTGCTCTGTTTTCCTTTCTGACACTTTGATTTCAATTTGTTTGTTCTTCAAGCACTTCAGAGTCTCTTTTTTTAACAGAAAAAAAAAAAAGAAAAAAGAATACTTCAAAACTCAAAACTCTCAGAAGGCAGGGCAAGAGTGTCTTTTCATAGAGGAAAGAAGCTACGGGAAAGCCATAAGATGAAGATCTCTGCATACAGGAGCTGCTTAAATCAACACAAACTATGATTTTAAAGACAGTAACAGCAGCGTGAAAAAAGTGAAATGATATCTGGCATTTCGCTGGTATTGTGCTGTTTGCAGAAGTAGACAGTAAATCCAAATTAAAGTCTGTCAACTGTTTATCCATTAATGAAGACGTTACCTTTGATAACAATTATTCCGTCAATTCAGTTTGAGATTATTGACACTGAAGTTAAACCTATAGTCTGACAGCAATCTAATAGGACTTACACGTTATGGATAACCTAAAAATCTACAAAGGCTGTATGCTCTTGCTCAAGTTGTCTGTGATCTGTTTTACCATGTAAGTTCAGGGTTTGAATCCTTCTTTCTTCAAAGCATAGATGCTCCTGGTGATGGGAATTTTGGCACTTTTTAGTGATCCGGATCATTTGACACAGGAAGAGATTTTTTTTATTTTTGGCTCCTAACTATCTTTCGGTATCATTCACGTCCAACAGTTGTTATTTTTAAAGCTGAGTCAGTCAAAACCATCACATAATTTGGCTCCCTTACTCAGCATGGATGTCTGCTGCCACAGCGCTTCCTTCCTGCAGTTATGTCAGGCGATGTGATAATAAAAAAAGAGTCAAAGGAAACCTAAAAGTTTAAGATTTTATCAATCCCAAAAAAAACCCTCTTACTTTTACAGCTAGTACAAAAGTAAGATATTTAACGATGGACTACTAGATGTGTGCCTGGCTCTGGCTGTTCATTTAAGACCCCCTTAACATATTTTAACATGAAACACTAAGTCATCAACATGGTGTGTTTTGTGGGTGAATGTAAAAGGGTTTAGTTTTTCTAATCTCAGTGTAAGAAGAGCTTCTGCTTCTAGCATTTTACTTTAAAGTTGCCAATTTGAATAAGAGCTCCAATTTTTTACAAGAGTGCCTTGGTTTTATTCTCCTTATAAACTGTCTTTGCGCTACACAGAAGAAAAGCACCTTCATCATAGTTTGACCCCAGGCTTTTTCCACAGAAGTAAAGTACTTTAAACTTGGATCCAATCAAATATTTACATAAGAATTTATGTGAACTAGGTTTATTTCTAGTTATTTTTCCGTTCTTTTGTGCTGGGTCAGGCCAGGCTTTCACAGATGTAAATCTACTCAACAGTGGAAAAAGCTGAAGTGATTCCAGTGGTGTTGGAAAGATCGAGACAGGAAAATAGGCTTGTTAAGACAGTTAAGTACCTCAAATGCTACTTTATTTGCAGTGTGGTGACAAACTGGTGACATGTCAGTCATTTACAGGCATTTATCTCCAATAACAAGATATCAGTATGTACGGTAGTTTAGCCCTCAGCTCAGCCTGTGAATCTGTGAAACACGTGAGTTAAGACGCCTCTTTGAAGTTACAGACGGACATTGATGTTCATTTTGAGAGGAGGAATGCAGCATCTCCCTGATGGGAAAATTAAAAAATCCATTTGATCCAGAGAGCAAGCAGCACCATACATGGATACATTTAGAGTCAATCTGATCATCTCTTTTCACTCTCTGTTAGAAATAATCTATCATCCAGACAAAGATTAGGAGAAGCCTTAGTCGTTAGGATGCCTTCGTGAAAGTTACCGAGGTGTTTTCAAGTTCAATCCTCTCGTGGTCTGACCTGCACCCCTCATCTCCCCCATTAGCTTAATTAGACACAGCCACACACACATTAGATGTTCCCCCCTCTTTTTTTTTTTTTTTTTTACTCCTCTCACTGAATGGTTGGCCACAGTTCAAGGCACCACAAAAACACAGCTATGCAAAACAAGCAGCTTTCCGAGGCAGGGGGAGACCATCAGCAAACAGCACACACTCTGAGAACACTACAGTGAATATACCATTCAAACAAGCCTCTGGGATTTCAAATGACATTGCGTGCTGTAAAAACAAGAAGCTGCATCCCAAGTCATGCAAGATTATTGCCTTGGAATAAGAGGGAATTTGTTGTTTGTACTTGCATCTGTGCATTTTTTTTTATTTTGTGTGTGTGTGTATGAAAGTGTGTGTGTCCTCATGAGATGCACGTACTCACCTTTCTTTCTGCCTCTCTGCAACCCAGTAAGTCCTGATAGAAAAACAGCCAAACCTGTTGCTCAAAATCAAAGTGACACAACTCTCTAAAACGCCCGTTGCTAACGCCGTCAGAGTCCAAAACTTTTTGCTCCCTCCCGGCTGATCTGCACACTTTCTCTACTCCCCCCTCCCTCTCTTTCTCCCTCCCTCTTACTTCAGCACTTCCTGGACTGCTTGTTTATGCTCCAATCGGGCCATCCAAGGAACTGCCGTTGCCCCTCCACCCTCAGCGCTCTCCCTCTCAGCCAACAGCTATTGTTTGGCTTTGGGGGCTTGTCACATGTAGACGTCTGTGAGTGTGTGTGTTCCCTCTGACCAAGGGGGAATGTCTGGCCGCTAATGTAAATCTGGGTCTCCTCGGGCAGAAGACGAAGAAGAAGAAGGAGCAAACTTAAGATTCTGGTAGGCTGAAGAAAACCACATGGATGGGGGCTTCCTGCTTTCTCAGGATGAAAGGAAAAGGGGGAGCAGCTGAGTCGAGTCAGACTCGGGGGTGTGTCTAGAACTTTCTCTCTAAATCCAACAGCTTGTTGCAACAAACCGCAATGGGGCTTGGTCCTGGTAACCCCCAGAGGATCTAATAAGAGTTCAGTCTCCAAAAGAAGGCGACTTTCCCGTAGCCTGCCAAGAAATTTGACATCAACTCTTTTTTCCCAGATGCCCCAGCCTCTAATTCCCTGTTTCACCAAAAGCTGGCCTAACTCAGCCAGACCAGCTCTTTTTTTTTTTCCAGGATTCTGAGCGGAGTAAAAAGCATGGAGGTGTGATGAGGGGGTGCAGGCTAGGAAAGGTGAAAGGTGACATGTGGGAGGAGACAGGTTGACAGCAGCACACTGAGCTTTTGTTAGTGTTGTTAACGGTTCAGTCATCCTTGGATTGTCTCACTTTGCAGGTTGTGGAAGAGTTCAGAACAAACATCTCACATTTAAACCGACCTTCAAGGTGGTTGAACTTGAAACATTTGTTTGAGTTTCCTGATGTTTGGGAGGCAAAAGACTTATTCTGGCCTGAATTTAAATGTTATCCATAGGATTAAAAAGCTTTAGGTATATCCAGTTGGCATTTTTACACTGAATAAACACTTCAAATATGGGTTAAAACAAGAATATGGACAATCAGACCTGATTTCACCCTGTTTTCATACACACGTCAACACTGAAATCCATGTTTTTGCTCATTGGGTAAGAGGTTTAACCAAAAGAAAACTTCATACAAAATGTGCCTTTTTAAGTGATGGATTTAAATGACTTGTTATTTCCATTTTTAGATGACCAAACAATTAAATCTCATCACCCCAGCTCTAAAATTACTAGTCTGTTTTTGCAGGTCTCAAATGCCCTCTTAAGATTGTATATCTTGTAGAGTACCTGTGGTGCGGGTAGCTGGGGATTTGCAGGTTAATGGCTAATGCTGCAACGCTTGAATTATATGTGGGTGTCAACCTGAAAAAAAGGACCAAAAATCTGGTGGTGTAAACTCTGATCCTCTCACTGAGCAACCACATCTCAAATCATAGCCAAAGATTCAGTGATCAGGTGTTTACTCTAGTTGGATAAATCATGGTCATTTTTGACTGTTTCTTCAATGTCTTTTTAGATTCAAAGTTTCTTGTAATGTTGTGATTCAGGATGTTCTGATGTGAGTAATTTACAAGTATTTAACAGTGTTGCAAAGTGCAACAGGTTTTACACATGGCAACAACTTATTTAAGGTAAAACCAATTAATACAGAAGCCAAAATGCCATAAATTATTTATAAATGTAAAACAACAGTTGCACAAACAGTAAGTTCAGAAGGCTAACACTAATGAATACACCTTCTGTTTGTTTGGCTAGTCTAAAAGTTTGCCAAAGAAGAACCCCAATCATTTATTATTTACTCCAAAAAGTTTTTGAATTGAGGATAAAGAGGTTGACATATTGAGACTTTATATGCTCAGTCTGAGTCAGCTTCCAAAATGTAGACTCCTACATTTCCCATAATGCAACTCCAATTGCATCTTTTTTTCATGTGACCTTCTATTCCTGCTTTGCACCACATTTTATAATCTCCCCATCTGAATCTTGCAGGCTTTTGTTGAAAATGTACTGTTCCCCGAACCTCATTCCAGTTAATTTGACTAATACTTCAGGATGACATCAACTAACCTCAGAGATATTAAAAAAGTTTTACATGCCTAGTAGTTGTCTACATGTATAGTATACGAAGCTGTGTGTAAGTTTGGTGTGGCGCTTCTTTAAACCCTGTTCAAAGACCCTTATTCTTCCTCTTTGAATGTACTTGCGGTTATTTTACCCAGCTACCCCAGCAGATTGGGAAGTCTCTTTGCCAGGTTTGATTCAGGAAACATTCATCTTGTTGTTTAGTCTGGGTACCATGTGTTGGAACAGTGAGGCCACTCTCCCCACCCAGACCCCTCCTCTTATGCACACAAGCACAGAAAACCCCAACACTGACAGACACAACCTGGACATTCACCACTGCGGTTCATTGTTGAGGGGCTCAGATGCACAAAACAGCGACTTCAAAGCAGCAGCAACATGAAAAGAGAAAACTAGCTAGACTGTGACTCAGGTGTGTCAGTGTGGAGGCTTTGTGCATCGGCATCTATTTCTTATGCTGCTTGAGTCATGCAATAAAGAAAGAGAAAGAGATGTTGACACAGAGCGAAGAGTCCTCTATAGAGTAGCTAACTGGAGGTGGGTGCAATGAACTGTGAATAGGAAACATTTGAATAGTTTTGAATGGTTTGACCATGTGAAACTGTACAGGCATGTCCTCATGATTACATTCTGTGTGTATGGTCCATTGTAAAAAAAAGACAAAAACATCATTTTTTTTCTGAACTGTTTAAACAGATCCCACTTTTCCTAATCCCTGAGTGCTAAATCCTTCCACGGCTGAAAAGGGACCCAAACAAATGGAGAGGAGAGACAAAATAAATCAAAAACATTCAGGATTTAACAGTGAGGGAGCAGGTGAGGATTACACCTGATGCTATTCAATGCGGAGCCTCAGCTTGAGCTGCCAGGCTGCTGCCGCTGCTGAGAACTCTGCAGTCAAACAGAGAATGAGCCACCTGTGTGACTCAGAAGAGACTGAACCCGACTATGCGTGGATTATAAAAGAGTAAATGACAGGCACTTTGCTTCTTGTGACACAAAAGCCAAAAAGATTCACGAGAAGAGATTCAGTAGCTTTACGGTTTCAAAGACGGCTTAAAAAAAAACCTAACAGGGGAAAACGAGCGCTGTGTACGGATGCCAAATTTGAAACAGATGAGACACAGAATTCAAACAGACTTTGACAACCTGAAACATTGTCATAAAGTCTATTTTTATCCATCCTCCATTGTTCTGATAAAGTTGTTATCGCTGCTGCCAAAATAAAAAAAAAAAACTCAAACACAAACGGTAAAATATTTGGATTATAGACACAGGGGCAGAGCCAAACTTTTTGGACTGGGGTGGCCCAGCTACAGTTTTGACTTTAGGGTGGGCACATCTTTGGAGACAACTCAAATCTAAGAATAGAGTGGTATTATGTACATTTTCTTTGCACTAGGAGATGTGGTTAAAAAAGAAGTGATTCATCCAAAATCTCAAGTACAACATTAATTTATGAACAAAGCTACTAACAATCTGTTGCAACACAGCCGTAAAAAATAATTGTAACTCTAAGTTCCCTCTGATGAGGCAACAGCTAACTGTAGTGGAGAATTTGAGGGTGGCTGAGTAAGCATCAAGAGGGGTGGGGGTGCAGGGGCATGGCCACCCCTTGGTACCTACTTGAATCCACCCCTGTGAAGACTGGCAATATATAATATACTTTCATCAATATTGTATGGACTTTAATTTTGCATTGGGCAACTGTTTTTACAAATTTTTACTATTAAGCATTTATTAGTAGGCTAGTATATGTATATGAATTTATCAACAATAACTTCACCCAGAAAGCAGTGTAAATTTATAGTGAGCTATTAATACACAAATTGGTACAAAAACTATACTATAGATGTATCTGTATTTAAAAAAAACGGTCAACCTTTATCCTGAAAGTGGTACTGTTACCTAAAGGTATCTATATAGTCTATAAAGTCTAAATGTAATGTGCCAAGTGGATGCACGCTCTGCAGCGACAGCACTGACAGTAAAACGATAGTCTATGTATTTTATAAATAACTATAAAGTTGTATCAAAATAATGCTATATCATAGCTTTCATTCATTATGAGTAAAACTGTTGATAAGAAACGTGTTTAAACATTAAAACGACAGCCTCTGAAGAAGTGTAGAAATCAGCTACTGCATTCAGTAGTGCTGAAGAGTCACTTTGCTGAGTCAGAGTCTTGCTTGCACACCTGAGGATTTGGTTTGCAGAACAACTTTCAACCAAAGTGAAACAGTATGCAAAAAAGTCTGTAAATAAGTAAAAGGCACTAGTAAAGGCCTTGGCTGCTGTCCATGTAGATCCCACTCCTGCTCATGGTCCTTGGCATTTTTATTCTCAGATTATCCAAAACCCTGGAGAGCTGCTTCTCTTTATTTCAAAGCCAGATTCTCTTACAGGGGAGGCTAGAGAGTTCCACCAGTGGGCACAATGGAGCTGCTGGTCCAGTGTGAACTCTGAGTCTGCATCCAACTCCTCAAATGTGCATGAAAAGATCTGAGGGTGTGCTAATATTATTCAAATATTGCATCACTTTAATCCTGTCACAAACACACCTGAGTCAACTAGTGCTCATAATTTGATGTAACAGCTTCGTTTATCTGCCTGCCATTTAGGATTTCAGTGGAAGAGAAGTTAAACAAGTATTGATTAAATAAATTAATAACAGCCTGAGGTAACGAGGATGAGGAGTGAGAGGTGTGAGATGAGACCCGGACCAGAGGAGTGATTGTGGCACTATGAGGCCGGCTGCTGCGTTGACAGAAAGGAACAATGAGACATAACTCACAGAGAACATGGCACAGAGGGTCAGAGAGTCACATGACTGTGTTTCTGTTCGCCCGCCTGCCTGCCTGCCTGACTGCTGCGCTCTCTGCCTCTTTGTGGACGGACACACACGCAAACACACACACACATACAAATCGGGCTACAAGTAGCAGCATCCGAGAAGATGTGGTTAGACAGATTACGTCATCTGTCTGTAGTGAAGGCCGGTCAGGGCTGATCAGTCCTGATATCAGGCTTATACAGAAATATAGAAAGAGACATGACAGGCAGGAAGAGGGGGTCAGCAGAGGTATCAGACAATAACAAAACAGAGGCAGGGAGACAGATTCAGAGCCAGAGAGACCGAAGGAGATTTTATTTTTTAAAAAGAGCATCTGTGATGGTAAGATCATCTGAAACTATGGAGAATAAAAACATATTTTACTGAAGCAAACCAGAGAAAAGCTGCTGCCGCTTTCACGATGACCTTGAGTAAAGTTGTCAGTTACAACAAGAATAGAGTTTAGGAGGAGCAGAAGGAGAGGGAAAGCTTTGACATTACATCGCCTTCTTTCAACACAATGCTAAGTCTTAAAGACTTATCTTTATCCTTCACAGACTGATGTGTGAAATGTCTTTTCTTCTTATTCATCAGTAGGGTGCATGTTTATATCTGAATTCCAGCATTTAATCTCTACTAGTAATGAAAATCATGTCTAGGTTTTACAGGAATGAACGTCTTTTGTTGTTATATGCAGGGTGTCATCAGTTTATATTCCTACAGTCCAAAGACTGCAAAGTAAAGCTTCAAATATTCAAAAGAAAAACCCAAAACAAACTTACATATAGTGGATTTGAAGGATAAAAAAAAAACACCAAGGGCATTTTAAAGTTTGAAAACTTATGTAGTGCTTACTTTCAGACCACAAATGTAGGAAACACTAAATAGATACATTCGCTGCATTTTCGCTCATCTTTAACAACCTCATATCTGCTCACCCCCATATGCAAATTTTTGGAAGGAGCTGGCAGGAAAAAGTGCAAGTAAGGTTTGGAAGAAAAACTCTGCTGTCTATGTTTATGTGCATATGAGAATGAATGGCAAATGCTGCTGATCCCAGTAAGAATCAACACTCATCTGCAGCTTATTGCAAGCCTACATACTGAAGTGTTTGTGGTTCTCACTAGTTGCGTTAACATGGGCACAAATAATCGGAATAAATGCCCGATCTGAATAAAATGTGTCATGTAAACATGTTGATCGGAACATTCTGATCCAATTCGCTCTTTCGGAAAGAGATTGTATTCCGATCAAGAGGGGTGGTTTATGCCGATCATTATTCCGAAACGCGTCCATGTAAACACTTATTCCGATCGCGACTCCCATTATTAACACTCTGGCATAAAACACAACCGCAGGTACCGCGTCTGCTCCTACAGTAACACAACAAGGCATAAATACAGCGTAATAATGTCACATCTGCAACCTTTTACAGAACAGTAAAATAGGTATGCAAGGGCGCCATCTAGTGACAACATTTAACAGGGGGGAAAACTCCTAAATTGGATGGAGTGAGCCACTAGCGCAGTGGTTGGTTTGTTGACAGCACAGGCATAAATACAACTCTTCGTCTTCCTCTGTCTTCTCCTTATATTCTGAAGCTTGTTGCATGTATACGGACGTCATGATCAGATTATTTGATTTTGAACCCATATAAACTGTGGATTCAGATTATCTGATCCCTCAACATTTTCATCTAAAATTTTGCCCATGTAAACATGGCTACAGACACTCCTTGAGTCACCCATAAACATTTTCTATGAAAAACATAATTTGGGAATCTCAGTGATTTAAATACAGACCCTGAAACAGTGGCCCTGGCTTGGCCTCCTAGTTTTGGCCCTCCCCTCTAATCTTCCTGTCTTTGACTCTATCCACTATCCTCTCGTCTCATGAAGGTCAAAAATAAAATACTAACTAAACAGACAAAAGTACTTCTTCTCATCAGCATCAGCAACTCTTCATATTAGACACCCTTAATAAACCAACACTTTTGATTCTTGTAGAACAAAATCACAGCTCAGATTGTCTCCAACCTCTACTAAAAGAGAAGACCCAAACTTTTCTTTTTGTTACAGAGACTACCAGTGTAAAAGAAAAATGTCCCTCTAACAGGCAGAAACCTTGAACAGGACTGGACTCTTTGGTGTTAAAGCACCAGTCAAAACACAAAATTGATGCAGAGAGAGTGGTGAATAGGGACAAACAGCAGCAGATAATGCAGGTTTGATAGAACTATAGTACTTCAGAGGTGTTTTCTATGGTGGTTATCTGTATTCCTGGTAGTTCTTGGATTAAATCACTGCACAACGGTAGTTCAAACCTGGGGCGTATATGGATTGATTTTGAACCTGTCTACCACCTTTGAACCCTCAGGCCTCACATCCTCTCGGTTTTGCCTGTAACAGCTGGGTCTAGATTTGTCAGGGCACAAACCTGCCCTCTTTGCACTAAAGCGCTCATGTGTTTGATTTGGTTTGAGCGGTGAACCTGTACGGTCAGACTCTTCTTCTCTTTCACCTGGATCCACATGAGTCGATCACTCCACCTCTGCCTCTCTTAACCCTCATCTTCTATGCAATACTTTAAAATAGATCCACCCGCTGCTCTGCTACCAATCACTGTAAATACATGTTTTAGTTGTCATAGAAACATCACCATTACAAAACATTAAACTTAATTGCATTTGACCCATAAGTGCACTTAAGGGTCTTGTGGTGCAAAACAAGAATTATTGGTATTAATAAAATGCATTCAGACAGGCCAAAAAAATAATGAAGCTAAATTATTTATCAGCTGGTTTATGTAATCCAAAACAAAAATCAACAACTATGCTTTCTCCATAAGAAACAGTTTTATAGCAGGCTGCAGTCTGCATCTGCTTTCCAAAATATTTATTATGCAAAACATGTCTGCAAGGAATTTGTAGACAAAGCAGCCCTAAAGTTTAACATAATTTGCCTATCGATAAAAGCACCCTTTATTGCTACCCTGGAAAAATGTTTCAACAATGAATAATTGATGTTTGCTGGTTGCACATCGCATTAACTGCCGGCTGTCACAATGTGAACTGAGGGCTTCAATCAGCAACTTAGCACACCCTCCATGACTCGCTAAGAGCCGCACTCCCTGTTTGCCTGTCAAAGGATTTCAGGGGATCACATAACAACAAACAAATGTGCTATGAAATATGCAGTGTGAGGAAACATTTGGTCCCTATCACAATTAAAAATTCAGTCTCCAAGAGAGTGGAGAGAGAGCCAAGGATGAAAGAGTAAGAAAGAAATTACATCTGACTGCTTTGTTTTAACGATAACAGCAATTCTAAGTCTCCATATGGACAGTGTGAAGAAATTCATACATCTGCTGTAGATTCACTAAATAGAAGCCACACTGCTCTGAGCGGAATAGTTTCACTCTTAAATATCTGCATCAACTGTGTCTACGTATTATCTGAATGTTTCACAAACAAATTAAACTTTACTTAACAATTAATTAAGTCAACATGATTCACTTTAAAGTGCAAAAAAAGTGCAATAAAGTGCATAAAAAATATGACAGAAACTTAAAAGTAGTGGAAGCATAATTTAAGTTATTGTTCTTGTAGTTTATCATAATGAAATAAAGTTTCTGCAGTGTCCACTGGCTCCAGAAAACCAAGGGCACACATTTGGGTGCGCCACTGAAAAAAACTGAATGTCCTTAAAGTCCCACTCCGATCATTTCTTTTTTTACTACTTAGTATAAAAAGTGTCATCAGTTGTCTTTGAGTTGTGATTATGAAGTTTTTAGCCCAAATCGTGTTACCTCTGCCATTTTTAAGGGCTCCAGAGCTCATTAGCAATTCACCTCTAGGTCGTGGGCGGAGACAGCGCTTCTCTGCACACTTCTCCTTGTGTTAGCTTGCAGCCTAACATTGCCAGTGTCGTAGAAGTAGCAGGTAACATAGGAACTATTTAGCTCTCTGACACCAATGTCTTTAGGAACACAATGAAAGCTAATATTATAATTAGCTTTCTTACGATCATTTCAATCCGCTAACACACACGCTTTTCCACACTTGTTCTCTCTATTCCTTCGAGTCTGGCTTGCATAGCGGGGCTCCGGGGGCGGAGCTTGGATTGGTGATGTATGAAATTTCACTGTATCTGAACCTGCCGTTTAGGTCTGCCAGAAATTAGCAGCGATTTAAATGCAGAAATACTCAGAAATGTAATTTTGCACTTAGTTTTCTCATGATGTGTCCTGTAGCATTCGAAAAATGACACATTAACACGTAGACAACAAGAAAAACGTGATTTTTATCGGAGTGGGTCTTTAAAAAAGTTCATTTTTTTTCCTTTGTGTGAGTTAATTCAAGAATATGCGGAAGTTTCACTTTTTGAATCAAAGTTAAACATTTCATGTTTCTGTTAGTTTTGGTGCTGTGGGCAGGTGCCAGGTCCCATTTGAAAATGAATTCTATATCCTTATAGAGCTTCTGTGCAGATGAGAGCATAAACCTCCTGGTAGATTTCAGGCTGGATTGACTCTACACTTGATTAAAGATAGTAGACTAAAACCTGTGGATCAGATGGCGCCCAAAATCATCGCTGACTGTTGAAACTTAACGCTGAACTTCAAGGATCTTGGATTCTGAGCCTCTTTGATCTTCTTTCAGACTTTGAGACCATGGGAGAAAGAACATTTACTGCAAAATTTACCAATGCGAAATTAAATTCAGCCTTGTGCTTCTGCTATCAATACCAGAGGACACTTGCTGTGTATAAGTAAGAGGCCAAACACGTGAATTTAAAAAGTTTGGGTGTTTTAATGACTTGGGATGAGGATGCACTGGGTAGAGAAGTTAGAAAAAGAAAGCAGAGATGTACTTCTACACCAATTGTTCCGATTACCAAACTTCTGATTGAGAGATGACTCACTGTACCACTGAGCCAGAGCCGCCCTGAAGCAGTTCCTGCTGACATTTTGACAAACTCCCTGCCCCACTAATAACATACTCAAAACAGTTGAGCTAATTTGCTTTGGTAGTGGATCATTGGATTAACCAGCATGTTACTGTGTTTTCTACAATCTTAACAGAAGAAAGCAACTCTTCAGAGCCTGGAGGAGAGGATAAAGCTGGACAGCATGGGGTCATCAGAGCAGCAGCTCAGCATCTGTTCTCTAAAAACAACAAGCCTGCAGGGACGGACGCACATCCACACAGTGTAAACAGCATCACTCAGGAAGTGCGGCGCATTATCTGTCCTGGTTAGAATACACCTGTGCATGTGCTGATGTATTTGTGAACTTGTGACGCTGCCAAGCTGGGACACAGATGAAACATATCAAATCCGAGTACTACAAGGCTTTCATTCCATCCCAAAAATACACATTGCCCCCGTTTCCACAGCGATCAAATTTGATTTCTCTCGTTGTTTCCCCCCTCGGTTGTATAACTCGACAGTGGGTCCTGCCGGCTCTGCCTTACATTGTCTCCTTCTCCAGTCTCTCTTGTCATAAGCAATCAAACATTACATAACCAAGGATGTTAGATAAGACTTTCTGATGCCTATTACAACCAATCTTCATTCCCCTGCTGGGCGTCTTGTAGAGCCTTTGGCTGCAAAGAATCATGGCTGAATGGTTATTTGGTTGGTATAATTCAAGGAGACAATAGCAGCTTAGAAACAGATTCAGCAAATAATAGATGCAAACAATTGACTTCTGCACAATAAAAATAATCAGATTTAAAATGTATTTGCACGCTTTCTCTTTTCTGTCACAAGTGTGGAAATAAAGGGATTAAATCTTTGCATCCTGAATGCTCTGTTAAATTTGCTTCCACTGCTCTAAAACTAATAACAATTCCACGCTTTTTGATTTGATTCAAGAGATAAAACTCTGATAACTATCATAGGACAAGATAATTCAACTCAAACATAAAAAGTGAGTTTAGATCAATCTAGAGCAGCAAAATTGTGAGTTTTGAGTGAAGCGGAAACTGTAGCAGCCAACATCCGTTTAACAGAAATCCCCCTCATTCTCTCCTCGCTAAAGCTAAACTGCTGTGTCAGTCCCCTGATAGCTTTAGCTGCAGCTGGAAAGGCTGCATGTCTTACCAATGACTTCATCACACAGCCAAACCGTATTATTCCCCTTTTGAAAAAAATCCCTGGATTTAAGAGAGAGAGAGAGAGAGAGGGGGTGGAGGGAGGGGTGTGTTTGATCCCCGGTTCAATTTTTTAAAGTGTATAATGCCGTAAGAATGCACCAAAGGTGCTCAGAGGCACAGGGCGGCTGTCAAACCCATCCCAGTGTTTCATACTTTGGAGGAAAGGAAGCTGGCAAAAAGAGGGAAGTTTCTTAGTCATAGTGTAATTTAACAAGCAGGAATCAATTGAATAAACGTCAAATCAAACTCTTGAGAGGGATAAACCGACATAATGACTGGATCTCCACTGTGGGCAAACTGAGGCAAGTTTCAACTGAAATCCTGCAGGCTGTACAGCTGGGGGCGCTACACGCTCAGAGCTATTGAACTTTCTAAACAGGAAGAAAGCAACCACACTTTTCCTGATGACACAGACTGAAGTGTCGTGAGGTGGTGGGAAACCTGCTCACTATCAAAACTTTGAAAGAAGGACTCCATATGTGAACAGGATGTCTGTTTTATTTCTACTTGCTATACAACGACACAGAGCAGTGCTGCAGGAATTAATCTTACTTTTTGGAGCACACATGCTCTATGGTTCACAGCTCTGCTCTTGAGAACATTGCACAGGATTGTCAGTCTAAAGCATAAAACATTAAAAAGCAGAATCCTTAGTATCTGGTGTGGATTTCAGCCCTTTTGGAAGTTTCAAAACAGCCTGATTGAAAAGACAGAAATGTTTAAGGGATGTGAAAGAAAAATACCAAAGTCTGAGTCAAAATAAATAAAAAGTAGATTTCTGATATATGATTATTTTGCTCTAACAACTAGGAATTTATATCCCAGTGCTGAGGGATCACAGTGATCTTAATGGCTGCAAAGAAGGCCCAGCTTGTTCTCTGTATCTCACTGTCAATACGTTAGCAGACAATCAGGCGCTGCCAGGCGCATGACAATTACCACACAATACGCGTCTGTTCTGCTGAGGTACATACACTCAATTATTTTTGGTTTAGACGCAGTCAGAAAGCATGTGTGGCTATTATGGTCTGATATCAGTACTGTACTCTTTATGAAGAAGCCCTCTGTGTGCTGCTGCTTCACTGTTTGTCAAGTATTATCATGAAATACTACCATTATAAATTATTTTGCACACATCTAAAATCACTGTTTTTTTTCCATCAAGTGCATATTGTGCAGCTACTCACTGAGTCCACAATCCTGCATGCAACTAGTTTGTCTGTTCTGAGCTTCTGTAGAAACATGGTAGTGTAAAATAAAGGACTCCATAGAAGGGGAACTGCTCCTAAGTAGATATTAAAGGCAAAATGCAGATAAATGTTCCAAAATAATGCTGCATCCCAGTTGTACTCGGAAATCGGAATTTTCGAGCTTCAAGTCGGAAATTCATCTGAAATGCCCCCTGAAGTTGGATTTCTGTTAGGTCTAAAACCTGCAACATTTACCTGATAACATATAAAGAAGAGAAAGACAATGGTATATACTCGAGGAGAATGGACCGAGATAGCTTCAGGTACCATCTCGAAACCACTCTGAAAGGTATTTCCGCCCAGTCTCTTTTATTTAGGGTTGTCCCTGGTTACACAATGTTTCTAAAAGGTGGGGAAAAATATGTGTAGCAACGTAAGCACTCTCATAAAGCATAATAATGAACAACTTGTGAATATGTGAAGGTCAAGGCGGCATCTAACGAGCTCCTTCTGATAAGCGTGTCCTCCCCTTATTTCCTTCCCACGATTCATAGTGGAGGATACATCACACACACCTGCTGATAGGAGAAACGAGTTCACAGAAAACTGAAAGAAACATTGATGTCTGTGTAGTAAAGCTATTGGAGAGAGAAGTTAGGAAACACTCTTTATATGATAAAAATACTCTTATATAATGTATAAAAAGATGTCAAAGCAGTTTATACTTGTAGTATAAACTCTTACATAAGAATATGAGGAATAATGATAACTTCTATATACATTTATGCACATTATTCTAACAATTTCTGACTCAGAAAGTCGGACAATCCTCACCTACCCCGACTTGACGACAACATCACAATCCAAGATCGCAGCACAATGCATCAACAGTAAGGAGTAACAGTGAAAGCTCTAACCATAACTAACAACCGCTGACAACTGCTAACAATGACTATGGGAAATTTTACCTTACCTAGAGTGCGAACAAATGCCATAAAAAAACTGTTATCTATAGAGGTATGAAAGTATGGAACTCACTGCCAAAACAGATCAAGCTTACCACAAACATTAATAAATTCAAAGTATTAGTTAAACAGCCTTTACTCCAGACAGGAAAACTTTAATTTGAGTACAAGGAAGTGTTTGTGTGCACTAAGAACAAGATAAAGTAGTATGTAGGCTACATATTTTCTCATGTCATATATCGATTGAATCTGAGATGCTTTTTGCATGGATCATTCTGCAAATTTTGTGTTTCTCAATGGTGACGGATTAGCCTTTAAGTGTCTTTTTGTTTAGATACTGGTTTATATTTATTTTGCTCGTAAAAGTGTTTATATTTAAGTCCATTGTTGTATTTATTTTTATTTTGTGTGGACCCCAGGAAGAGTAGCGGGTGCCTAGGGTGACAGCTAATGGGGATCCAAATAAACAAACAAATGACTGACAGTTGCTAACGACAGCTGTCAATTGTAAACAAAAGCTAACAATGGCTAACCGTTGGTGTCCATCTTGGTTTTCTGTTTAAAACTGTCAGCTGTTGTCAGTTGTTGTTACTCTTTACTGTTGATGCACTGCGCTGCTATCTTGGATTATGACATTGTCGTCAAGTCGGGGTTGGTGAGGATCGTCCAACTTTTTGGAAATCCAACTTCAGAAGGGCGTTCCAGATGAATTTCCGACTCGGAGCTCGGAAATCACGACTTTCGAGTACAACTGGGACACAGCATAATACATATGGGTCATTCCATGTCAATTCAACCAAGAATCTCCACTCAAAAACAAACGTACCACTCATAACAAAAAGATTAAACTTGAAGAGAGCTTTAAAATGACACCTGAATCAGCTCTCTAGGTGCCATACTTCCAAAGATATGAACACTTTTGTAACGCATGTCATGCTAATTAGCCAAAAATTCGTTAGCCCCTTTCTCACTAATTAGATGGCTTTGAACAAAAATATTTGAGCTCTGACAGTTTCTCCCAAAGGCCAATCACTCCACCAAATTTCATCGAAATCTGTGATGTGAGTGGAGATTCTTGGTTGAATTGACATGGAATGACCCATACTGCATTTTTTATATGTTGATTCATCTCATTAAGGCCCTGAAATAAATTAGTAACCATGGAGACATTGCTGAATGTGGCTATGGAGGGACTTCTAATCAGTTTGAATTAGTCATATTTAAATCTCTGCAATAAGTTTTCTATCAACTTTTTAGTCAACTTGGCAGCTCTAAAGTTGGTTGCCAGGTAATAAACAAAATAATGCGTAGTGGGCAGATAGCTGACAAATTGGGATGCTGACAGGCTGAGCAGGACAAATGGATTCTTATCTTCAAACATTTTCCCCTTACATAACTGTAAAATACCACAAAAATACCACATATCACAATGGCAATGAAAACAAATCTTGACTCTTTACTGACAGAAAAATCTTGCCATGCACTTTTACAAGGAAAGCCAAACACAGGCTACTGAGCATGTGGAGAAAGTGGAGCAGTTTGCTTTTTCAAATAAATGGTGTCTGGGGCTGAACAAATACCGTCAGAGTTGACATGTTCCTCCCACTGAGTGGAATACCCGAGTTATCAGTTTCATATTTAGACAGACACTGAAAAAGAGAGAACCCCTCCTCACAGCAACTGTTGCTTTTTACATGTTGTGTCGATTTTGCAAAACTTGGAGAAACCCTGCCAAAAGAGATGCTCACAGTGTCGCCTCTATTATCTCAGCTTTGCAGCAGGTATGGTAAACATAAAATGGAGCTCATTATTGTGAAAAGCTTAGCTGCTGCTGGGATACAGACACTGTCAGAAGGGTCCATAGAACATCCATAACAACACAGGTAACTACAGACTGCAGGTAAACATTTTTTTTCCAAGTTACATTCCTCATACACCCTCATTAAATGCCTGTTTATACTTGCACCTGTCTGCAGTTAACAGCGCTGCCTCTAACCTGCAGTTACAAGTCTGAAGAAAGAGATAAAAACTATATAGAGATACAAAAGCAAAGTATAGATGAAGTCTATATTTCTACAAAACTCTTGACTTCTTCTTTATCTGTCTTCCTCTGTGTCCCCAGTCAGAGAGAGGCAGAGAAAGAGAGAAAGAAAAAGACCAATACATCAGTGAGATTTAATACTGCCTCATCCGGCTCAGCTCTACTATCACATGCTGAAGATCGTCAATAATCTTTACGAGCTGGTGCCTTGGCTAAAACACAAGGGTAATGTGTTGCTCCTGTTGGAACCACAAACTCCCTTTCCTGGCGTCGGGGAACTTATTTCCAGTCTTTTATTTTCTGCATGTAATTGCATCACAGCATTAAAAAGGCCACTGAGAATTTTACAGCCTTCACAGGCTGAAACTGATACTTGACTACAGGATGCTGGGCTTAGAAATCTGTCTCCGAATGAGGCTTGGCAACATGGGTTTCTGACACAAGCTGGCTTCAAGATAAGAATTAGATATTAGAGAGTATTTGTACGCTTGCATGTTGAGTTAAATAGTTGGATCAAAAATGAGGAATACAAGCTCTTTTTGCTTAGTTTTCAGATATTCATAGGTTTGAGGCAAAGCCGCAAAGAAGAGAACAGGAAAAAACTAAGGGTAATGCTGAATAGTGAGGATATGACGGATGTGTTGTCCCGTACAAAGTTCAAGGATCAACCCAGAAGTAAACACACAGGCTGTGTTTTCTGTCTTCAACAATGAATAGTGACGTTTTGGGTTCCTTTAAGTTCCTTTTCCTGACCACAAGCCAAACCTCTTTCAAGAAATAACCCAGAAGTTCAATTTATATCCTTGTCAGGGGTTTTAAACATGAATACTGCTGCACGGTGACGAGTCCCTCTGGAATACCACCATGAAGAAAAAGTCACAGTCGGATTTCTTTTGAAACAGATGATACAAAGCACACAATAACCCACATGGGAACACCCTTAAAAAGGATGTGGTTTATCTCAAATCTTTGTACACATTTTTGGGTGGGTGATAAATTTCTCTTCTTATCTAAGATATGGTTTGTATAAAGATATGCAGCTCAAAAGTGTCAGCCAGAGGTCAGAAGGTCCTGAACTTCCCTAACCCAGGGTTTCACAGCTTCACTTTTATGCCTGCTGTGGCTTGCGGTAAAGAAAACATTGTCTCAGCCTTGTCTCCGTCTCTGAGAGTGTGACAATACAAGGAAGGAAAATCCGTTCCCTGATGGAAAGTCAAATCTCTACTTTGTCTGAGACCTAGGAATACAAAGGAATACAAAGAGAATGGAAAGAAGCAATGTGGCTGTGATATTAAAACTATTAAACTGCAATTAGGACCTGCTGTAAAAGGTTAAACACTGGGGGAAGCCTATATCAAAAGGGCAAACTCACTCTCATGTCAGCTCACTAAGAGCTCTGCGCCATACAGAGCTAAAACCAGGAGGGAAAGAGCTTAGCTTTAGCATTAAGACTGAAAGCCAGAGAACAGCCAGCCCAGTTCTGTCAAAAGGTTGAAAGTACATCAACACAGACATGTAAGCCTGGAAAAGTCTCATTTTTTATAAACTAAATTTTAAAACTAAAACCCTGCAGCTCTACAAATACAACTTTGTTGTGACAAGGCACAAGGGTGTCAATAAGCGTTGCTGCTTGTTGCCAAGAAATCAACATCACGACTCTTTAATACTGAAAATAGATGCTGTGACGTTCAACTATAAGATAAATATAATCCATCTGTGTCTTTAATACTTGTTAAAGGCAGCTGTGTTTGTTAAAACTGAAGGAGACTCAGACGAGCTGTTCATCCCTGCCTCTTGACCTCAGGCTAACTTAAGCAGTCTATTGCCCTCTCTGAGCTCTAAAGCGTGGTAGTTATTTTTGCTCAATAAGGAACAGTTACCTACGGGTAAAGCTGTCATTCTTTTACACTCTCTGCTTTTCTAGCGTGTCCAGTCTGTTTTTCTGTGCACACTGAAGAAATGAGTAACAGTTTTGAGATTTAGTGGTGTTGACAGATTTATTTTTATCATGTGGGGCCTTTATGCTAGTTACGCTTTTCAGCTACGGGATTCAGCTCCATATTTAGCACAAAGACACAGGAGTGATATCAATCATCTCATCTATTTAAGATCACAATAGAATAGAATAAAACATAAATAATACAAAATGATAAAATGACATATTTCTCCATGTGTCAGACATCTTTAATTCCACTTTAGCCCTGAACTCAACTCTAGTATAAGCACTCTCCCTGTCTGTATGCTACAATATTGTTTTAATAACCTCAACCGAATATGCTTTTCACAGATAATCACAGGTGGGTTCCAGCAGCAACATTAAATATGAATTGAAAAGTTCTGAATAAAAAATCCACTCCCCTAAAACTACAAGAATAAACAGCAGGAGGTTTCGTTTTCTATCTGCTGAATTACAAAGATTAATGTGGGTGAGTATCCCAAAGTTTGTGCATGTAGCAATTTGTGTGCATAATCATTCATGACCGCACAGACAGACAGAAAACAAACCAACACACACATAAACAAACCACATCCCATTGTTGCCTGGAGGTCAGAGGGGTGTAAGAGAGAAGGTGGGGATATTGATTCCTCTGTCAACTTTCAGAGAGGAAACCCTGAGGGAGGCCTTGCATCCGATCACATCGCTCAGTTGGGTGAATTAACCACATTTCTGCTTTGGGCTTAAAAAACACACACACGCACGCATACCATTAAATTAAAAACACAATCTGGAAGTGAGATGTGAGGTTTGACGGAATTTCATGCCACATTTGCAGTATTAGCTTTGAAGACTTTGCTGTGAAATCAAGCCAAACTAACAGGCCACAGTGGAGAGTAAACACACAAAAGATTTACATCAGTTGACTCCAACAAGTGAAAACCTTGGGACTTGAAGTCAGGGTGGGCATTAAAGAGATTAAAGCTTTTGTTTTAGCCTTAATCTGACATGCAGACTATACCAATCCCCTCTACTGTCTCTCTCTGGAAGCGACTCAGCTTTTAGGCAACAGGAAGAAGCAACATTGCCCCAAGCTAAAACAACACCCCCCACTCGCCTAAAAACACACATCAGGGGATTTACACCACACACTCATGAGTAGTCACAAAACTGAAGCTCTTTCTTCTTGCTCAGTGGCCCGATTAGTATCTGTTTGTGTTTGAGGGATGAGTCACATCCACTCATTTTGTGAGCACAGAGCCCTGGGTCCATGAACACACCATTAACTCACCTACTCTTTTTGAATGACTCAGCTGACTTCTCCCCAGTCACTGGGTACTTATTGATAAGGCGCAGACAAAGGTGAGTTGTCTCCCACAGCTGAGAAAACATCAATGCGTTTTTTTTCTCTCTCTGTTTGTTATTTAAAGAAAAAGTCCCTAAAAAGTTTCAGAGGAACAAAATAATTTTCTAAACCCAACAAAGGACAGAGGAACTGAAAGGATAATAAACGATGTACCCCTTTTCTGATCATGTAACTCTATTTTAAAAACTTTTGATCGAGTCTGACAGTTTTTTCTTGTGTCTAAAGTTTAACATCATATACAAAAAGGACAAAAACACCATGAAATAACAGCGAGTAAATAATTCAAATGCATGCAGCGGAAGGCTGTGATTGCCTGATTCAAAGCAAAATTAGAAGTTTGATAGAAAATCAACCCCCTACTTCTGGCGGTAAACTGGGCAGCTCGATCACACAAAAAGGTAAGTCTATGGCACAAAGATAGTCTCTCAAATTTTCCTTTTGGCAGAGTAAAAATCTTATCAAGACACTGCACAAATATATCACAGATATGTACACAAGAAGGGTCATTAAAATAGGTTCCTGAATAATCTGATGCTTCATATTGATGTAGAGAGGGAGTGTTTCGTAATCTTAAATAACTGTTGCAGTGCGCCCTATAGTTGTCAAAGAAGAAGAAAAAAACAGAAAGAGAACCAAGGGGTTTAAAGAGTCATGAGAGGCTGCAATTAATGTAATCCCCACTCTTGGCTTCAGTGTCAAAGAAACGGGTGATCACATCCCAATCCGCCAACTCATTCCAATCACACTAAGCTGTTTCTTCAACATTTTTCCCCAAAAGGACTAAAGCAGCATCTGTGAGAAAGTCTGTCATGGATTCAGACTACTTAGAGTTCAACAGTAAGTGTTCGCAGCAAACTAACACACACGAGCAAGTTAAGGCATCTCACCAGTGATTCACTTTAACACACTGTCTATGCTGATACCAATAGATTGAAGTATATATGTTAACTTGTGTACTCAAATGTCTTCACCACTTCTGACACTCAGAACAAGTTGAAGCAACTCTGCAAATACTGATGTGGTAACAAATCTTGCAAAACCAAATCAGGCAAGAAACAACAGAAATGTTTGTGCATGGGTGATAAAAAAAAAAAGAGCCCTCGAAGCATTTTGTTTCTCTTACTGACTCACCTTCTCAATCAACGCAAGCTGAGGTCATCCAGAAATCTGTGCAGTGACTTTATCTTGAGAGAATCTCGAAAACAAATCCCTGCACGACGGGGTACGGGATCAAAGAGTCCATATGGTTACTCAAGAGGTGAAATACTTTCAAGTTGATCTAGACACAAAGGGAGTCTAAAGATCGCAAGGACTGATAGAGGAACCAGGGTGAGGTTAAGTCTCTAACCTCTCCAGATGTTTCCATGAAACAGCTGAACAAGCCTGGGTAGTTTTGACTTAGTCTGTCCTGGTGTAAACATCTGGCTTTGTGATAGAAACTTAGAAAACAGTACAATAAAATACAATGACATGCAATACTATATGACACAATGAAATACGGTACAAGGCGATGTGATGCAACACAATGCAATGCAAGCCATAAGATGCAATGTAGTGCATATAACGTGATATAATAAGATAGATGTGTTACGATATGATACGATATGATACGATACGATACAATATGATATAATAAGATATGATACAATATGATATGATACGATACGATATGATAAGATATGATACGGTATGATATGATACAACACGATATGATGCAATACGATATGATATGATATGATATGATATGATATGGTACGATATGACACGATATTATTTGATACGATAGGATGGGCTATGATACAATATGATACGATACAATACGATAGGATACAATATGATGCAATATGATATGATACAATATGATATGATATATGATACGATATGATACAATATGATACGATACGACATTGCACGACAAAACAAGGTATGATAAAATGAGGGCAATGGGATATGATGCAAAATGATACAATAAGTTATGCTGCCATAAAACGTGATTTGATGAAATGCGATGACATGCTACAATACAACATTGGTAAATGGTACAATATGATCAAAGTCAACAGATATAATACAATTTGATATGACTTGGTGTGGTCAGATATGATCAAATACAATATGATTCAGTACTATACAAATACAGTACAACAAGACATGATATACACAGACTGAAAGGATTTCACTGACAGCTGCTTTTTGATCCAGCTTGTGTTCAATAAAGATACTAATGAAAAATGCAATGGGCTAATTTTTTGAAAAATTTTCTGTGTTGGTTTGATGTGTGTTGATGAAATGTTTGTGTTTCTCTGCTTTATCAAAAATTGCCTCATTGAGGACGCAAACATTTTCTCTAAATCTAATTAAATATTGTGGGACATTTCACTAAGTATTTATGTGCCCTCATACTTTCTTCTGTTTTATTGAAGAGTGTTTAAGCATTGACTATAATTTAATTATTATCACTAATGGCTACAGTTGGGGTGAATACCATTACGTCATAACTGATCAACCTCATTATGCCAAAATACACAAGTACACTCATGTAGGTTTAGGGTTTTAAATGCACAGAAGAACATGACTTCATCCCATCTAACTCCTGTGATCAAATTTGCAAACCAGGTCTTATCAGGAGACGCCAGAGCTTGGCTTTGTAGTGCTCCTGTTTCTGATAGCTAAAAATCCCTGCAGTGTGGCTTCAAATTCTTGTACACCGTCTCCTCTAAAGGGTGGAGGCTGACCATAAAAACAAACATAGGTGTGATGTTTGGGTATCGATGTGCTCTTGCCTTGAAGTGTGTCTGAAAATTTAAAGAGCACCACAGTTTGAATGAAAGATGCTCAAAAAGAATGAGCCGACATGTTGCTGAACAGTGGTTTGATGCAATGTCATATAGTATCAAAAGAAAGCTCCATTTGAACCTGTACTTGAGACTCATGTTACATCTTCCGTCGACAGAAAATGTCAGAAAGATTTTGCTTTCAGGTGCAAGCTGCCACTTTAACACTGAAATTGGGCCCTTTGGCTAGCAGCAGTCAGCTCTGAAGCTTTCACACAGGGAAATGTCACCTGTCACACGCTCTCATCGTCTGCCAGTGCAGTGTGCATCAGCTCTGTCCGAGCCTGTGGGCCTGTGCTTTAGCTGCTGTCATGCCCTGTATCTGGCATCAGCTGGGAAGATGGAGACCCGAAACCTGGTTTGAACCCTTACATCAACCACTTTTGTCTATATATGCGGGAAAAAAAGGGATGGGGAATAAAATCATCCTGTAGAAAAGGGTATTTAGCAGAGCTGGCCTATTTTTAAAATCCAAATATCTCAACAGCGCAGGGCTATATGGAAAACGTGAGTGAGGGCCGTGCATGGCATATAAAAATTAAAACGTTATATATATCAAAGAGCTGTGGACCTAGACCATATCGTGAGTTTCTTGAAAAAGCTCTTCTTTTCCAACAAGGAACTTCAAAGCTACTGTCCATAACAAGTAGCAAACTTGTTCTAGCTCTTTCCTCACTCACACTCGAACTGCACACCAGGAAAGAAACCAACTCAGAGAAAACAAACATCTTTCATTTATGCTATGCAATGCTCTTTTGTGGGTTTGCGCGAATGTGTATCAGCGGGTGATGTTGGCATCTTTTAATAACTGATTCAAATGCTGTAAGAGGAGAAAAATGCTGAGACAAAGAAAGACAAAGAAACAATAAACATCAAGAAAAGTGATGAGCAAAGGAGGACAAGAGAAGAAGCAGATATCTAGACTGTAGATCCAGGAGTTTGATCTCTTTGAGTGTCTTTCAAAAGATGTTTGTTTCAATGAAAGTCCTGCGTCAAGTTCTTTTTATAGATGGAAGGTCCACTTCACTCTATTCATGTTGCTTCAGCCCACATTTATAACTGAATGAAGTGACCCTGAAGATGGCCGAGTGAATCTTTCTCAGCAGAAAGAGCTTTTATTTGTGTAAAGAGGAGACTGGAAGCAGCACAGACAAGAACATCTGGTTTCCAGTACAAACCTGCCCCCTTGTAACCCATAACCTGTCTTTAGCGCAAGGAGGGACTCGCACACAGACACAGCTCAGGACCTGTTGATTTCCCAGCATGCCCTGCTCACATTCCTGACCTCTTTCTGTCACTCTCTCACTTGACTCAGCCCAACATCTAGACACTTAAGCCTCCCCTTAAACTTCCACTCTGATGTCTTTGAGTAGAAACTGAACAGTCAAGTGTGATTTAAGGGTGGCTGACAGGAAACATCTCAACAACTAGGGGGAGAAAAGTCTGGTGTGTCAGTCAAACTCTTAACTGTATATGCACAGAGCTCATCGTTCACAGACTTGGTCAAGTTTTCTCTTAGAGAGTGTGGTGACCTGATGAAACCACGAGGGGATGGCGCCCTGCAGAGTTGGGAATGTGGTGAGAAGGCCAAAGGGGGATGATAAGACCAGTTTTCCCAAACCTCTTTCCCCCCATTTCCTAATCTACCCCCCATAGAGACTGAGGCAGTGAGAAAGTGATAGAAATCCCATGAGCACTTATTTCTCACTTCTCAAGCAAGGCAGCAATCACCCCAATGACGCCACTGTTCCCGAAATCACCACTTCCCCATTCGTTTTAATGGGACACATTCGTCGGTGCAGCTGGGTTTTGGAAGCACAAGGCACAAAACGGAAGGCAGCAACCAGGTTTTACCCCAGATGTTTTTTTTTTTCAGCCTTTTTAGGAAATGTATAATTTTGCAAAAGCAGAAATAAGCAAGGGTGGATAAAACATGAGATGCCTTCCAACAAGCTGATCCACGGTGCTATTTTGGGTCAAAACGCTGGTTAATTGCAATTGCTTAACCCGAGCGTTTAATCCTGCGCTCTAGGGCAGGAAGGAGATCCAAGATAACCTGGGAAAACCTAATCCATACAGTACACGGCACAATGATTGGGACCCAAAACAAGCAGAGGAAGCCTAATCCCCTGCATGCTGAGCTGACCAACAAATGATGAGGGGTAAAAAGATGGAGGAGCGAAGATTTAAGACAACCCAGTTTTGGAACACACATGAAATCTGCTTGTACACTCTAAAGATGTCTTTATAATCATTGATAACTGCAGCTTTTGATCAACGATCAAAGTTTAAAAAGTGAAATAAAGAATAACCATTGGAAACACGCTGGTATTTAGGTTCAGTTTGGCTCATTACTTACTGTGCAGAGATCCTTTAGGTGGGCTGATCCTGCTCTTGGGATGAACCATCTCCATGTTCTCACTCTTCTCACCTGGACTCTGCTTCAGGGCCTGAGTCTCAGCCTGGGTCCGAGTCTCACTCTGTGTTTTGTCCTGTGGCAAAGAGGCCGGTAGAGACTTCTGTCTGCTGAGGACACCATCACTACCTGCCCTCATCAGCTTCTCCCCAACGCTCACCACCCGGGCTCGACCCGTGGTGGCCGCCGTGCCAGGGCATTCCTTCCTGGGCGATGGCAGCTTGGATCCGGCCCCTAAAGAAGGGGGGCGAGCCAGCCTAGAGGCTTTGGACATCCTGCGGGTCAGTAAAGCTCCTCAGTCTTTCTCAGCCAGTGTGAGTGCAGCTGTGTCCCCCGTGGGCGATCCAGGGTTACTGAGCTCTTAGTGAGTGACTGTGACTCTCCAGCTCCAGCGTGTTGTGACTGGCGCAGGTAGGCTGAGTGGGCCAGAGGCAGGGAGGGAGGAAGGGAAGGAGGGCACTTTTGGGAAGCAAGCAGAGGGTGAGGGTGAGGGGTGGGGGGTTAATAACTCCTTGGAAGGTGTTCTCCTCTCCTGGCGTGGCCTCCTGGGATCATCCTCCAAAGCAAACAGTGTGTGTGAGCGCATGTGTGTGCTGGCAAAGTGTATGTGTAGATAAACCTGTAGAGTGACAGGACGTGCTGTGCCAAAAGCAAACAGAAACTCAGGTCTCCAGTGTCAGCGCATTCCGGCTTCTTAATCCCTCCTCTGCCTCTCCTCCCCATATTTCACACTCTCTACTTCTCCATCCCTGTCATTTCTTGTAAATTTCTCCTGCTCCCTCTCTCCACGACTTGCACTCATAATATGGTTGTCAACTCTTCTCCTACCTCATGCCTTATAATTCTTTCCCATGTTTCTGTCCTCGTGTGCCTTCTCTCTCCTCCTCTTCCCTTCCCTTTTGCTCCGGTTCACTCGCTCTTCTTTGCTGATGCTCAGCGGGTAACAATCCCAGCACTCAGGCGGGTGGAGACCAGAGAGAAAGAGAGAGAGAGAAAGATTTAGGGACAGCAAGAGGGGAAAAAAAAGAAAAAGAAAAAGGAGAGGGCAAGAGGGGAGAAAGAGAAAGTGCCGGCAGAGGCTTTGCAGAGGAGTCCTTGTCTTCAGGTGCAGCTGCTCAAGCTGTTCCAGATGTGTGTGTGCAGCGCTTCACGTCATCCGACAAATGCTCAAAGCCACACTTTGGTACAATCCCCGGCTTCACCTCGTCCTACTTTTCCTCTTTCTTCATCTTTTTTTCTCCGTCCGTCTCTCGCCCCAGTACTTCAAACAGCCTGTTCTCCTCACATGCAACGAGATGTTCATGCTACCAGAGGCACACACACACACACAAAAAAAAAAAGCACCGCAAAAAAACACAGCAAGCCTCTACAATCACTGCTGGAATTTATAGAGAATTAAAGAGCGCAAAGGAGGGGAGTGTTACAGCGTGTGTGTCTGTGTGTGTGACTGTGTGTACACTAGAGACGCACAGTGGAGCCATTCTGATCTCCAGCACCGAAGGCATCAGCTGTGACAAGAAAAAAAAAAAATACAGCCAGAGTTGGCTGAGAGAGATGCAGCACGGAAGAGAGGATCAGAGTTTTTTTTCTTCTCTTATTTTTTTCTTTTACCCTCTGTCCTTAAAAAACCCTGAACTTATTTTATAAAGCCAAGACATCGCTTCTTTTTGACAAACTACTTCCAATATCTATCTTAGTCTAACCCAGAGAAATTTCCCCCAACTGTACAGAGTTGTCTTGGCCAGACAAGCGCAATAAAGCATGACTCATTGTTAGTGGGACAAACAAAGAGAGGGCAATAAAAACAACAACTCTGAACCGTTACTGAGAGCGTTTTGCTTTTTGAAAAAAAGTGAGAACATTTCGCTGACACAGTTTGCTTCTGAAAAGTAGTAACTGTGCTGACAGGCCACCCTAAGCCTGTGACACTTGTGTAATATGCTGCAGCATGCAAAACGGACATGTGATATACAGGGCAGGGATGCTGTTGCGTGCACACCAACTAAATGGTTCCGAAAATGGATTACAGCGAGCGAAAGGATCAACCGTGTCCGGGACAGGCAACACGTTATAAAAGAGCAACAATCCACCAGGACCCGAGCATTGGCTTGGATTTAAACAGGGATGATTTCACACAAAGCATCCCAGTAAAAAGTCTCAATATGGGAAAAGGAGGATTAGGTGAAGTGGATGGCACGACTATGTGCATGTTAGGAGTTTACATAAGGATTTAGAGGGGGGAAAAAAAAAAACACTTTCATGTGCGATATCAGCCAAAGAGATCTGATCAATTCCTCCACACCGAGCTCCTCACTCTCCTCCTGATTGCCTTTTTGCCTACTAACCCCTCAGAGTACCCCGACAGCCATCACTGATAGTAACGAGATGAAATACTAATCATATTTCTACATATCTGTATGGCTTTAGATAAAAAGCAAAGCAGATTGACCTACATACTTTGCCGATGAACAGTTTGCTGACAAAATCAGCAGGCTAAGAACCTCATGGGAACCTCTGCATGTCTGATGGATATTTGAGCGAGAGAGGACGCACAAAGACGATGGAGACATTTCCATAAGATTAAATGTCAGAGTTGTGCCAGATTATATTTGTGCGTCATCAGTTTAGCTACTATATTAACAGCATGGTTGGACCGAGGATTACGTCAAAGCTAAAAAAAGGCTGACCGTGGAAAACACAGGCTGCATGTGTGTAGGTTTCAGTGAGTGAGTTAATAGTAACTTTCTCATACTATGGTTATATGGCTTTGGGAATGTGTGTGTGAGTGAGTGAGTGTGTGCATGCTGGGAGTAAATGAAAGCCTTCTGTGTGGACGCCCAGGCTTGAAGCCAGCTCGGCGTGTACAGCAGAAAAAAAGCAAAGTGGTTCAAAGGCTTTAAATAACATAGCATTTATGGATGGATATAATTTGAGTTTCCTAATCAAGCCTGTGATTTTGTGCAATGTGAGAGATCATCAAGTACGTCTACATATCAAATAACAAACCCCAATGTTGACACACTATGCAGCCATGGTTTTAATTTGCATTTCAAACAAGAACTGGAAAAAAGCAACCACAAACTTTCAACTTAAAAAAAAAAAAACTTAAGAAAGATGATTATCTGTTGAAATTGCCTTGAACAATAAAGACCAAAATGACTAAACTGCCACCCAACCACGCCGTCTAACACCATGGTTTCCCCCAGCCAAAGAGCCCACTAACGCCTCACTTTCCAAGCAGGCAGGAGGCAGTTTAGATCTGAAAAGTTTGAGCTGTAGAGAAATGCAATGGTCGGTTATGGAAATATAATGGTGCAGAAAAATCCCACAACTTCTACTATTGCTTTTCATGCTTTATAAGTACAAAAAGGAGGGGCTGTTGGACAAATTTAAGGAGGTCGGTGGGCTCAGCAGTGGCTGTCTGAGTGCTTCTGTGGTATTTCTCTAATTAACTGACTTTTCTGTCCAAGGGATATTAAAAAGGGGGGAAAAGGTTATAAATGAGACCCTCCACGTGAACTGAGCAGAGCCCAGTGCAGGTGAGAACCATTACTACTTTGAAATACACATATAGCTTTCAGACTCTGAAACGGAGGAAAATGTGCCATCAACTCTTCTGCAATGCAATAATCTCCAAAGTTTCCAGAAGCCATGCCCTCTAAATTTGCCAAAGTTGCTTGTACACTGTAGTAGTAGCAGGGGGTCTGTGCAGGTCAGTAGAGCTACAAACAAGGTTCCAAGTGACTTGTTCCCAACACACCGCACATTTACTGTGTGCAGGGAAACTCTGCAGGAGACAACAACTATACAGTCGTAGTGTCCAAAAATGTACGATCACAACAGGTATCCTAACGTTATGTTACAACATTAACTTCCAGTTGCCATGGTAATCCACATTAACTATTTAAAGCAACTCTACATAAAGAAGTGATTTTAAAACTCACATCCAACCTCCCTGTAATGGGGGTGGGAGATGAGTATCGAGAGGTGGGGTGTGAAGACAAAAGTAAGTGGTCGAGGCCACATTATGACCAGAGACTGCCTCCTTGCTGGGTGAAGCCACCGCAAGAACAGCACCCTCTGTTGACGGGGTGCAGTATGTAGTTACAGTAAGACTGGTTTGTGCTCAAGTCCTCTTTTTTCTGTGCAGCTCCATTTTTAAAAGTTATTATGGGGTTCATGTTTTCTATGATTGACACGATACAGCCTATGAGCATACAAAGATTTCTTAGCTCACCCAGGGATATGCTGTTTAAGTCAAGTTGTCCATAGTACATACAGTTTATGATTATGACACAACTGGCATATGATAACAGAGACCTATGCTAAGATGACATCATTCAAAATAATACAGACCAGCTTTTACAAACACCATGGAAATCTAATGCAATCCAACACAACATCCCTACCATAAATTCTACTTCTAAAGAACCATCATCGCCTGTCTGATCGTGTCAACAAATATGACAACGTTCAAGCTTTGTAAAGGTAGACTTGATGGTAGAGCTGTTGTGTTGTGTAGCATTAGACTGCCCAGGCATTTACAACATTACGGCTGACCAGTGTGTATCAAAAGATGTGTGCCAATGGGCGATATACTGTTCTCATCTTTAAAAACCCTCTTTTTCTCCAACCTCAAAGGTCATCATTAATCCCACTATGTGTCACCCTCTTGGTGAATCGTATAAATGTCCTAAACCCCAGACTGCTTGTGAATTTTTCACATCAGCTCACCTAAACTTAGGGCTAAAATTGGTAGAAAAGTTTTTGCTGAAATCGACCTTTATATCCAGGTAAGTATTCTGGAGCAAACTTTGATTCCTTTCACTGGAGTCAATATTGTGATATGACAAAAGCTATCATAATTTATTGCACATAAAAAGACTCACTTGTAGCTACATCATTAATCTGCACAGATATAGAGTACATTTCAGGGCATTGTGAACCTGTAAAACTGAAGCTGCCGACCCTTAAGAATGGTTTATTAGTGGATTCAACTCTGTGAACCTTCCCTTTCACCTTTTCATTTGATGCTATGTTTATATAAAAATACTGTGCTACTTTAAATCTAAGTATACCACATGACTGGTTTTTGATGCGGCAGAGTAAAAGGCCAAAGGCTAAGTTTTTTTTTTATAGAGCTGGTGTTGGCTAGGTTGGAAGATTTGAGAAGAAATTAGGGGGGATGGGTGAGCTGTGTACCTCACTGCTTGGGATTAAGGTTGAGTCTTTTTTCCAAGCCCTCAGGGGGTGGTTGTTTCTTTTCCTACATTCCATCTCAGCGCTCCCTCCAGACCATATCATGAGTCATTACTGCCTGTAACATTCATTTAGTATCACCTACTGCATTTGGTAGTGAAGACACACAAGCTCTACGGAAATGCACAAATACGTAACAATCTCAAGGAGCATGCTGGGACCAGAATACAGCAGTATGAGGTGCCGAGTAATTGAAAAAGCATTTTTAAACCAGATTGCAACACTCGCTCTCTCTTTCTCGCTCTTCCGGCTTTTCCATCAATCTCAGTGACGCAGTACAAAGCAGGACAGAAATCCCATTAAATAATCTTTTAATCTACATTTTTTAGGAAATCCCTGCGTCATCAAAACCGAATTTTGTGGATTTTACTCAGGAAAGCATCTCTTGGAGGCAAGCCTGCTCTGAGAGGACAGTAAAACTTTCATGTTCCTCAGAATAACAATTTCTCACTCTGGCAAACAATCAATATTTCATCAGAGACTTTTTACAACTTCACAGACTCATGAATCTGAATCTGATCAACATACAGTTTTTTCTTTTTTTAATATGAAGTCCTTGATCCTCTCTGTAGTAATGGCTGTTGACTGCTGAAGTAAAGTGACCCACAGGCAAGAAAAGAGGAAGTCTATAGGAGACAATGAGACACTCTGACAGTTGGGACCAATTAGTCTTAACACTGTGCTGCTCCCTGAGGAAGGAGGCTCCCAACATCGTCACATTTTCTGCTACATTAAGTCGCAGTGAACGCAGCGCTGATCGTGGCAGACGGGCTGCCAATCAATGCGGGTCTGCAAATTTGACAAGGGTTAAATTAAACAGACCAACAGGACTTTGAGTTTTGAAATTGGCAGTGATCTTTTTTAAA